AAAGTTTTGATTGTCTATACCCACAATTGACACAAAAAAAAGATCTACATATTGTATCTTATAATCTAGAAGAAGTGGGGGGAAGGAAAGGCGGAGGTTTTTTTTTTTTTCTTTGGTATACAATAGACCACTTGTGTGGGACCATAACTTCATAAGAAAGAAAAAAAATATATATATAGTGAAGTACAGGAGATATAGATCTTTTGGGATTCAGTAGATTTAAACAAAAAAAAAAGTAACGCTTTACACATTAAATCCAAAAAAGAAGCTATTAGTAAATTGGTTAGTGATTATTGCCTGACTGAGCTAGGCTTTGAATATCTCTATGTTTTTTTTTCTGGAATGCTGTAGACGTAGAGACGCCTAAATAACACCGGCAACAAGATTCTGGGAATCCACTACTTGACAGAAATTAAGGGAGGATTTTTATTTTTATTTTTATTTTTATTTTTGGCGGAACTAAAACTAATTTTGGGAATTGAAAAAAAAAAAAAATTTTTTTAAAAAAAAATTTAAATTAGAAGAAAATGGTTTGTAATTGACAAATTGTTGTATAAACTTCTTTCAAATAAAAAAAAAAAAAAAACAGGTGATAGATCAAGAAGATAGAAATAAACTTAGCATTTTTTTTTTCAAAATGGCGCGCCAGAATGCGCAAAGGGATAGTGAATGTGAGTGCTAGAGAAATTTTTTTTTTATTATTCTTGTAAATGAAATTTAAACTTATTTAGAGTTTATATGCATAGAAAAAAAGAGAGAAATAGAGAAATAGAGAAATAGAGAAATAGAGAGAGAGAGAGAGATTAAAGTCTTTACAGAAGATGAGTAAGTACGTGATTGAACCCAGAAATTTTAAAGGAAAGGGTTGTTATTGTTGATGACAATTGAATGTTCAGATATGTGAAGAAAGAGAGAGCGCTTGTAATGAAATGATCTTCATTAGTTTCCTTGTTAAAAAGAGGAGGGAAGGAGAAACTTCAATTTGAAAGCTCTTTTCTTGATTCCCCTTCTTCTTTTTTCTTCTTCTTCATAGGTACAAGAGATTACGAAGATCAAGATTTAAGAATGAAGTAAAAATAAAAAATAAAAAAAAAGGATGTGAAGTTTGTATGAATCTTTTATTTCATTCTTTTCGGGAACCGAAGTGAACCGTTTATTTATTGATTTAAATTTTTTTTTTATTCATTCGGGTTTGTCCATTTTCTGTATAAAATCCGGGGTTAAAAGAATTTGTTTTATTTCATTTCTTCTTCTTCTTCTGGCCAATCTCCAAAATAAGAAAAAATATAAAAATATAAAAATATAAAAATATAAAAAAAAAAATAAAAAAATCTGGTTAAGATGGTTTCCCTAGTTGCAAGTCCAATTATTTAATTAAATAAATATTAATATTTAAAAAAAAAAAAAATTGATAATGAAAATCATAATGAAAATGAAATTCTTCTTTCTGTATCTTTCTTTTTTTTCCTCCTTCCCCAGACTCCTTGGTTACTACTATACATTCCCCACGCTTTTTGTTCATTCCACAGATTATCACACGCGTATCTAGTAATAAATGCGTCACAAACAAACAAACAAACAAACAAACAAACAAACAAACAAACAAACAAACAAACAAACAAACAAGCACCCACCTACTTACCCACCCACCCACAAATCTCAACGTTTTACAAGCATATATATAATCAAGAAGTCTTTCCATGTGTTGTTGTTACACACACACACAAACAGGCGCGCTTTCACTTATTTCTTATGTGCAGAATTAGTTGCGCCAATGTGTATATTGACGACTCTATGAGATGAATAAATGTTGCATTTTCCCAAAAGAAAAAAAAACACAATTTTTTTTTTTTTTCAAATAGAAGCAAAGGAGTAAGTAAAAAAAACATGATAGTATATAGAATGTTCCTGTGTAGAATTAAAGGATTGTACGAAAAGAGGACATTGATATCACTGTCCGTGGTTAAATATGGGCATCAAAGTGGATTGGTTAAACTGGGTTGTTGTTTAACTTAAGAAAAATAGAGACTTTTCTAATAAAAAAAATTCATTTTTTAATATTAATTTATTATTTTCTTCTTTCAATTCTTTCAATTCTTATTGTTAATCTTCTCCACACCTTGTTTGGATTATCCTGGAGTTTCTTTTTTTGTTTTTTCTCTCTCAACGAAATTGTTATGCACGCGTTTATTTTTTATAATGCTAATCACAGAAAAAAAAAAAAAAAAAGATGGAGAGTAATGTCAAAAAAGAAAGAAAATGCAATGTGATGTTCTTGAAAGAGAAAATATTAAGAAAAGGTAGTTATGATAAGATATAAATAATAAAAGGGGTGAGGAAAAGGACAAGAATATTATTTTATTTTACTTTTATTTTTATTTTTTTTGAAGAGGGTTGAGAAGGAGGTTTATTAATTAGATTTTTGATGTTGAATTTTTAATATTTTTTAATTTTTGATTTTTGATTTTTGATGTTGACTTTTAATTATTATTATTATTATAATATTTCTGTAAGCAACAATAGCATTTTACTTGTACAAAAAGGATTAAAAGACGGTATGATATTATTAAAAGGGGTAGTAGTAATTAAATCAACAATTTGAAAAAAAAAAAAAATAAATAAAAATAAATTCGGAAAGAAACATTGAAAATAAGCATCCGTCATTTTATTTTATTTATTAGAATTGAAATTCTTAGATAAATACTTTTGAATCTTATACATTTTTAAAAGTATAAATTGTTTCTGATAGATTGATATCTAAGATATCTGAGATATAAACTAAGGGACTTTTACCACGGAATCACTACTACTACTGCTACTACTACTACGACATTTATTGGTTTACCCTTAAAGATCCCCTTTTTTTTCGTCTGTTCTATCCAGGTTTTACGTTTACCATAAAAATAAATAAACTAAATCATCTGGTTCCTTTTTTTTTTTCTCTCTTATTTTTTCTATTTATTTTTTATATATGTCTCCCGCTTATATATGTCCTCCTCCTAACTAACTCTCTCTCCCTCTCTCTCCCCCTCTTTTACATTAAAAAAATCAGGAGTATCAAAATTGGTTTAATTGACTTTTTTAATTAAAAATTTTGGTAGGGGATGAGAAAGAAAAACAAGAACAAGAAGAGAAAAAAAATAAACAACAAACTAAAAGTAAACAAACAAAACGGTTTTTTTTTTCTTTTATTATTTTTAGAGTACTTAAATTTTCCCAGGGACTGTAAAAAAAAAAAAACCTTCAAGAGGTATCTTTTTTTTTATGGGAAGTTCACAAAGATGGTGATGATGGGATTTTTTAAAGCGGGATTTAACAAAAATCCTAATAAAGTCTTTTTTTTTATGAAAAATAAAAAATATATATATTCTACATTTTTATTAAAATCATTTGATCAAAAGCGTAGAAAAGATATTATTTCAATTCACCAAGATGAACTAGAAATATGAAGAAGAATAATTGACTATATATATATATATACATTTTTAAAAGGGGTGGGTTGTTGAAAAAGAATTGAAGGGATGGGGAGAAATAGTGAGAAGGAAGTTGTTTTTCTTTTGTGCAAAATTCACCATTAATGGTGAAGGGATGGATAACTTTTTGAATGATGAATGAATGATAACAACGGTCTTTTTAACAATTTTATATTTTTTTTAAAACAAAAAAAAAATGAATTTTTTCCGCGTTCAAGAAATAAAATTTAAAGTAAACTTATTTTATTTTAATTTAATTTTTATTTAAATTTATTTTATTTTTTTTAAATAATTTCGCGTTGATTGATTTAAAAAAAAAAAAACAATGAATAGGTTGGAGATACGCGCAAAACGCGTTTTTTTATACGCGCGCCGCATTATGGACAGTACGAAATCCATCATGGAATGGAGCAAAAAAAAAAAAAAAAAGAAATAAAGAAATAAAGAAATAAAGAAAGAACGAAGGAACGAAAGAACGAAACTAATGCGAGAAAAAAAAAACTTTAGAATTGATAGTTTTTTTAATGGAGAAAAATGAAACAAGGAAACTTTTTTTTTTTTCAATTGAGAATTAAAGATTCATTTATAATGGATTTTAAAATATTAAAAGAGAAATTCATTTAATTTTTCAATTTTAATTTTCAATTTAATTTGGGAAAGTTTACACTTAACACAATAATTTGGTCCAAGCGCGTATATACCTGCTTGGTGGAGAGAGGGGGGAAAAAAAATTAAATAATTAATCTTTTAAATGGTTAATTTGTATTTTTTTTATCTATATTATAATATATAAAAAAAATAATCATTTAAATATTTATAAAAATATTAAACCCACCAGAAGGCTTTTTTTTTTATTTTTTTTAATTTTTTTTAATTTTTCCAAAAATATCTTTTAAAAAAAAGCAATAACATAACTTTAACTTGAACTTGAACGAGAAGAATCCGGAGAAACATATATATGAAATAATAATAATAAGGCGAGAAACAAATGCCTTGAGAGCTTAAAATAATAAAAAAAAAATTTTTTTTCAATTGAAAATAACTTTCATTATTACGCACAATTTTCTAATGGCTTCTATGTAAAAGAAAAATTAAAATGAGATTTGCAAGCTTTTATTTTATTTTATTTTAATTTAATTTTTTTTTTGGCCTATTACGTAGAACATCATAGACTCAATTCAATCAAACAACGTACAATGGCTCTGATATATTTCTCGCACACAAAAATATGGAGTGGCTTCGGCAACAATGCCAGGAGGCTATATATGGAGGAGGCTTAGGTCCTTTACTAAATCACCATTCAATTTTAATGATTGAAAACAAGTAAACAAGATAAACAAGGTAAACAAGAAAAAAAAAATTTTAAAAATTGTAGATAACATGTATTTAATGAAAATGAGGGAATAGTAGTTAGTCTATTTATGGAATCCAAAATGAAAAAGAAAAAAAAATGCAGAAAAAAGTTCATGTTCTTTTTTTTTTTGGTTTTTAAAAAAAATTTATTTTTCATTTATTTTTTTTTTGTTTTTATGACACAGTCATCATAGATGCAGAATAAGAAGCGTGGTGAGGATGGGGCTGGTGGACCATGGGCATCTGCGCGGCAGATACTCCAACATTTGTAGTCCGTGGAGAAGGAACGGCCTCATACATCTCTTGATCAGGCTTTTGTTCCTGTTGTTGTTGTTGTTCTTGTTGTTCTTGTTGTTGTTCTTCCGGTGATGGGGTTCTTGGAGGAGTCATGTATCCCACAGCTCCACCAGCAACGTTTTGTGATGAAGGTGGCACCAGGTCACAGTTCTGTGACTCTTCACTCTCGTAAACAACCGAAGACGAGCGAGAAGGCAGAGGAGAAGGAGGAAGAGCAGATGACATGAAGGCAAGCATCTTAGATCGCAGGGCGAGGTAGTATGCAATGATGCGAGGGATCTGGTGATATGCCGACTTCATGTACTTGCGTTGAAGAGAATTGGTAGGGTTGGCCATGTGTGACTGCAGCAGGCTGATGCATTGGAACTCTGGAGATGCTGGGGATGAACTAAATGGAAGAACCGAAATGTTTTGTGGTAATTGATGCTGTTGTTGTTGTTGTGAATGCGGAGGAGTTGTTGGTGGAGTATCGAAGTCATGCATCCCTGAATAGGACGAAGCAACGACCGGCGGTTGCTGTTGTGAATCGGAATGTGAAAGAATATGAGAAGCGAGAGCCACGCAGCAATTGGCAATGACTGATGGTCGGAAGGAAAAGAAATCCTTGTGATACATTGAGACCTCTGCAAGATAGTGTGCAATAGAAGAAAGAACTGGATTGCACTTTGAACCAAGCAATAACTGCAGGAACGACTCAACAGATGCATGAGACACCTGCCACTCAATAGTGTTGAGAATGTGACCCTCCATTTGGACAAACATAACGTCCTCATAGAGATCACAGCAGATACCAATGAGGTCATTGAGTTGCGGGATGTGAGACTTTTTATCTTCAAACTTGGCTGCAATCCACAGCGCAGTGCATCCCACCAGTTGGTAGTGTTTCTTGGACACAATGCGCCGCGAACAGTATCGGTCGACGAGGTTGACAGCTAGGAACAGTGTGCTTGGACTCAGACGCAGAGTATAATGAGTGTCGAGAATAAAGTCCAACAAGAATGGTCGCATGTACCATTCGATTTCCGGCTGCATATCAATCATGGCCGCGTTAGGCAGACTATCGAGCTCTTTGGCCTTAAGGTTAAAGATTTGGTCTGTTCGGTACTCATCCTCGGTCACTTCAAATGCCTTAGCTTCATAGTATGCTAGCCGAGGGTCAACTCTTTGTCGTTTGTGAGATCGAGTTTGCTGGGGTTGTTGCTGTTGCTGTTGCTGTTGCTGTTGCATTTGCTGGGATTTTGACTTGAGAGAAGTGCAAGACTGTTGTTTGTTCATAATGAAAGAGTGACTAGAGTGGGGCTGTTATACATTAAAAGAATGACTAGAAGTTGGAATTATACAGATGATTTAGAAAAAATCAAAAAAAAAAAAAATTTAATTTAGAAATAAAAAAAATAAAAAAAAAAGAAGAAGAAGAAAATATATATATATATATTAAATAAAATGTCTGGAGATGAAAAAAAATATATAACAAGAAAGAAAGAAGAAATTTTTATTCAGGGGAAGGGCAGGTTTGTAAGGTTTTATATATAAAGGTCTCAAGAACTTTTTTTTATTTTTTTTAAAAGGGGGTGTTTTTTTTTTTTTTGTTAGTTGTTATTATGTGAGAAAAAAAATATATATATTAAATATGGCTTGAAATAAATGTAGGGGCAGGAATTTAATAGCTGGGGGGTATAGAATATTTTCAATGCGCATTTTGATTAAACGAGACTTATGCATATAAATATATATATATGTATATAGTGTGACAGTAATAATAATAATAATAATAATATTTAATAGGCTTTAATTATTATTTTAGACGCGTTTATTTTAAAAAAAAAAAAAAAAAAAAAGGTTGGATAGACAATGTCAGTACAATTAACATTAACAACTTATTTAGCTTTCATAAGCTTTCTATTCAATAGAAGGGGCCCCTTGTTTCGGTTGGTATGAGAATGGTTGAAATTTTTTAAGAAAATTTAAGAAATGCTACTATTAGCATTTTAGTAGTAGTAATAGTAACTACTATTACTATCTCTAATATAATAACAATAATAATAAACAACTTAAGAATGATTGACAAAAAAAAAAAATAACATCTCATGATATATATGAATATATAAAAAAATTAAAAAATTAAAAAATTTCATTTAATAATATTTACAGCTTTTTATATTTCATTTGCAATATAGCACTAGTTAATTACATTTTGTACACACTAAAAAAAAAAGAGATTCATATCATCGTCATAACAAAAAAAAGAGTTCTTTTTCTTTTTTTTTATATTTAATTTCTCATCATAATCATCATCATCATCAGCATCATCGGACCTTGTTTTATTTTTATTATTATTATTATTCTTCTTCTTCTTCCGTTTACTCCACAGTAAGAGTGGAACCAGAAGGACCACCAGAAGGAATTGCTGAACCAAGAACGTCTCTAAGAACACTGGGAGGCTCAATGATAACCATCTGCCTAAGAATGTCCAACACTGGGGGCTTGACACTCTTGTCATAAATGCTCATCAAATCAATGGGATTGGGGTAAACGCACAGCGCACGGTAAAACGCCAGAGCAGTCTCAACAGGATCAGCACCTGCAGACAAAAGTTCATCGGCACGACCAACCTCAGCAACAAAGTACTTCTCACGAGCACCCATATCAGTAGGGATAGGGTCCTTGGCCAGTGATTCCTTCAAAACCTTCTCAATGCGCAGCTTCATATCCATCTTCTTGGCCTCGGCTTGAAGCTCCTTCTGCTTGATGTACTTTTGTTCCCGCTTTCGGAGTGCCCGTCGGAACTCAGGGTTGTGACGGCGCTGATAATCAAAGTAGATGAGGTACGAAACTAATGATATAGTGTTAGGTGGCGTCAATCAATCAAACAAACGTCTTTTGTAAAATAATTTTAATACAACTTACCAGCAGAAACTGCTAAAGCAGATGTAACGACGGTAGCTGTGGAAGGCATCTTTGTGATGGATACGGGTAAGTCAAAGAGTGATTAGCGAATGTGGTTCAAAAAAACTTGAATTCTTTAGAATCAGCAAAAAATAATAATATAAATGGGAAAAGAAAGAGAGAAGGGCCAAAGAAAGAATCTTTTTTTTTTTTTTTTTTGTGGAGGTTTTGCGTGAAAAATTTTTGGGGAGTGATGGTTGGCTGGTGGCAGTGCACTTTACTGGCTATTCCGCCTTGTTCCGGGTAACCCCAGAGTTTTTCCCTTTTATTTTATTTTATTTTATTATTTTATTTTATTTTTTTTTTTTTTTGGAAACAGCCTTTTATTTCCCCATAGCCCCAAAAAAAAAAAAAAAAAAACAAAAAAAACATCTGACTTAAAGGTCATACATATATCATGATAATGGCTGTTAAGAGATCTTCAAAACATTTACATTTTGAAAATTACATGTAGTATTAAAAAATTGTTAAATAACTAAAATTGAACTCTTATTTCAAAGATTTGGCGGCCAGCGACAAAAACCCATCACTCAAAATCACACCGTAGGCAGCAAGACCAAGAAAGGTGCCCAGGTTGAACAAAACACTGAGTCCATGGATCTTACCAAACTCCTTGTTGATCTTCTTCATGGTCTCAGACGCAGTCGGGTCATTGTGGGGCTTGCCCTCAATTGCAACCTGTTCACGGCGCTTGGCCATTACCACACGGCTCTGAGGTCCAAAGTAAAAGGTATTTGCAGCACCTCCCACAGCTGCAATCCCCAAAGACAGGTTTTTGGCCAAAACAATGCTCGAAGCAAATGACACCGGAGGAGTCAGTAACAAAACAACGGCAGCAGCAGTTTGGAAGGCAAAGTAGGGAGGAAAAATCTTTGACTGCAGAGCACTAAAGTGTTCATATGGAAGAGTCTTGAAGGCAACAATGCCGTTATAAAAACTCTGGAAAGTGGTCGTGCCAAACACGAGCGAGTAGAGTAAAAGGTGGTATGGAGCAGCAGTTGCAAGAGTAGAAAGAATTGGCCTATTGAAAGAGAGATATGTATAGAGAGAGACTTGTTAGTCAATTAAATAGAGAGGTCATTTGCAAATGGTATGAATTGAATTGGAGGGAATTTCTTCATTCGTGTGTTTTCAGCGATAATAAAAGTAATCTCAGTTGCGGCAGTGCAACGATACGAAAAGTCAAGGCCAGCAACTCATTTTAAGGATGACAAAAAGTTTTCATCATTTTATGGAAGAGGATTCTTTATAATTGAGTCTTTCTTTGACACTTACATTTTGAAGTTTTTTAAAAAAAAAAAAAAAAAATAAAAATAAAATGATAAAAAGATGTTTGTTTGAAGAGAAGGAAAAAAGAGAGCCAAAGCTATGGTTGTATTTAAGCAAAAAAAAAAAAAAGAAATAATTACTAATTCCAACGCACGGAAACGGGCTTCTAAACATATGATTTTGATAAAATGACGGGGTATGTAAATCACATGATTAAGATCAGATAAGATTAAATTGATAAATGACTAATATATGACTAAGAAAACATTTTGAAATTTCTTAAGAAACACAATTTAGTTTTTTTTTTTTTTACATGTATGTCGCATGTTGCAATTTTAGAATATTTTTGCCACTACCACCAACATTACAACCATCACCATTCCCCCTTTTACACCCCTCATTCCTCTCTACCAATTCATCCATAATGGACTTCTTCAGCGTATGTATTTAACGTCAATTAATCAATTATGTTGCTAATTCATTTATTATTATTATTTTTTTTAGAAACTTGCAACCGTGGCTGAAATTCCTGGCTTTAACTGGAAAGGCCTTGTTGTTGCCTTTACTGCTGGCCAATTTGCATTCGACACGTACCTTAACATTCGCCAATACAACTTCCTCAAGAATGACAAGCCCCAAACCCCTGAGGATGGTGATGAAGAGACCTTCTTCAAGACTCAAAGGTATCAACTTACCAAGCAGCGGTTTTCCATCTTCACTGGTGCTTACAGCTTTATCACCAATGTCGCCTTTCTCAAGTTCAACGTTTTACCTAAACTCTACTATGCTACCGGTCAATTCATCTCTACCTACGCCGTCAAGTTTGGTTTTTTGAAGTGGTTTGCCAGCCCTACCCCACAGTCTGTCGTCACCTTCCTTGCTCTCCAGGTTCTCTCGTCTATTATCTCTCTCCCGCTCAGTTACTACTCTACATTTGTGATTGAGGAAAAATTTGGTTTCAACAAGCAGACTAAAGTTCTGTTCTTTACAGATTTCCTTAAGACACAGGTTCTCTCGTTTGCCATTGGTACCCCCATCATTCTCGGCTTTGTTAAGATTATCGAATACTTTGGTGATGCTTTCTTCCTCTACGTTTGGTCTTTCTTCTTTGTTGTCCAGATCTTCATGATGACCATTGCTCCGATCGTCATTATGCCCCTCTTTAACAAGTTTACTCCCCTCGAAGATGGCTCACTCAAGACTAAAATTGAGGACCTTGCCAAGTCCCTTTCTTTCCCCCTCTCTAAGCTCTTTGTCATTGATGGCTCCAAGCGTTCCTCCCACTCCAATGCTTTCTTTACTGGTCTCCCATGGAGCAAGCGCATTGTTCTTTTCGATACCCTGATTGAGCAGGCTTCCTCTGATGAGGAGATTGTTGCCGTCATTGGCCACGAAATTGGCCATTGGGCTAAAAACCATCTTGCAAAGACTCTTGTTGTTCTTCAGGGCAATCTTTCTCTCATCTTCTTCCTCTTCTCTGCCTTTTTCCGCAACAAGTCCTTTTATGAATCTTTTGGCTTTGATACCACTTCCCCAACTTCTCTCTTTGCTGACCGCAATAACCTTCCCATTATCATTGGCTTTATTCTTTTCCTTGACATTCTAAAGCCTCTTGAATTCTTCACCACTTTTGGCTCTAACTTGCTTTCCCGCAAGCACGAGTACGAAGCCGATGAGTATGCTACTGATCTGGGCATGGGTGAGGATCTCAGCTCCGGACTTGTCACTCTTTTTAAGGAAAACAAGAGCTCTGCACGTTCTGATCCTCTTTACAGTGCTTACCACTACAGCCACCCTTTGCTGCCTGAGCGTCTGGCAGCCATTCGTGCTCGTATTGAAAGCAATAAGACTGCAGAAAAGAAGGATCAGTAAGAGAAATGAAAAAAAAAAATGGTGCATGATTAAAGATAAATTTTTTTTTCAAAAAGACTAAAGTGTAACAGTAGTATCATTATCATTATTAACAGTGTAAATATATGAAATTAAAAAAAAAGTTTGTGAAACTGTGTAACTGGAATATCAGTCTCCTAAAAAGTTTCATCTGCAGTGTCCATTAATGAAAATTTGGGCGTGTGTATCAGTTTATGAGGCTAAATATTTGTATATCTATAGAAGTCAAGTCATGATTTGATTATCACCATTATGGAGAAGAAAGAAGGATCTCCAGGAGGAGGTGTTTTTTTTTAATTTTTTTAAATTTTTTTTAATTTTTAATTTTTAAATTTTTTTTTGCTTGATTCTTCTGTTTCACCTATATGAAGAAGGGTTTAAAGGTGATCTTTATAGTGAATGTTTAATAGATCAATATCCCAGTATGAAACAAAAGAAAAAAAAAATTGACCAGGTTAATCTTCACAAGTCCAAAAGGATTTTTTTTTATCTCTAAACGTAATTGATGGATAGGAAATCCTGGGCAAAAGAATTTTCTATTTTGAGAATATCTTTAGAATTAAAAAAAAAAGAAACCCCCCGTCAAATCTCATCAATAAAGAGAGGCTTATTTGATGTTTTAAAAAAAAAAATAAACGTAAACACTTGCAAGCCTTTTGATAACCAAATTTAACGAAGAACCCTGAAACTTCTTGTGACCTGTTGTATCCTTTTTCAAGGAATTAACTCCGAATTAAGATCACAAGGGTTGTTTCTAGTAGTATTTTAAAAAATAATAACCAGTTCATGAGGATGATATGAAAACAGGGTTTTATGAAAAAAAAAATTAAAAAAAACTCCACCATTAAACCACTTTTCTTTCTTAATCAATTCATAATAATTTCTCAATATGTACTTCTATAAATAAATAAATAAATAAATAAATAAATAAATAAATAAATAAATAAATAAAAAAATAAAAAAATAAATCAACCATTGGTACTTCATAGACTTTTCCCCTGCTCTGTTTGACATTTCCATGTCATTTTTCATTTTCAAAAAAAAAAAAAAAAAAAACCGACCCATAAAAAAGGTTCATACTAAAAGCCCTTTTAGTCTCATAATTTAATTAACAGCTAATGGCACAAATAAAATAGAATGAAATCACACACTTATATATAAATATATTTAACTTATATCACACAATATCCCCTCCTAATTTCACTTTACTTGCTCTTGAACTAAAGTCCCGTACATATTCCTAACCTCATGCTCTTGTCCCGACACGCTGTGCTCCTGAATAGTCTCAAGCCCTCCTGGGGTGCTTTCATCGGAAACATTATGTGGAGACACTGACAACTCCACGGGTTCCAGGGGGCTTTGAATCATCCCTGCAAGCACCGCAGCTCCATGATCTTTTCCTTTTTTATGTTCCAATTCACTATCATCAATAGCCCCATCTTCATTGCTACTCTTACTAGTGGCACCAGTACTTGTACTGCTTAAAACTTGATCCTCGCTAGTATTATGGGGCAACCCCACAGTCTCATGTCCTAGCTCGTCTTCTTCTGAATCAAGTTCCTGAGGTGATGACGGTGATGACGGCGATACAACCCACCGACCACCTGATGCTTGTTTAGACATTTTCTTGCGCCAGCTCTCAATGTCGTTGTTGGTGTAACTATAGTCATTATCGTCATCTTCTGTGTTGTGCCCAAGTACCAACATATTATCCCCACTACTTTCAATCTCAGACTGACTGCCCATACTACTCGAATCAACATCCTCTTCACTGTCCCCATACTCAGAATACCCCTGGTCCGGGCCTTCAAACCCTTGAGACTGAGACTGCGATAAGGACCCCCCTACTGCCAAAATATCCTGGCCATGTCGATCCTTACTATCGCCAAGCTCTGCAGGCGCACTTATTGATTTTCTCCGCATACTGCGCCTCACCCTAAGTGTCTGACGGTGTAGTGGAATTTCTCCTCCTCTTGCTATATTCACTTCAAGAGACCCATGGCTGTTCCGCAAACCACCCATTCCACGTCTTGCTCCTAAGGGTAATGCACCAGTAGCTGCAGCCCCATCGATTGATGCCCCACGCGTTACAATTACAAACATAAGCACCACCAACAAGACCACACCTTGCAGTATCGCCATTTGTTTTTGATGCCGAAGGTCGTTAGCAAGTAACACCAGTTGCTCGCTCACAAGTTGCTCAGCTGCTAGGCGCTCTTCACGCTGCTCATTTAGCGCAGAGACAACCACTGATACAACGTTCCCGCGAAATTCGTCAAGCGCATGGCGCTGGCGCGTCAAGCTATCATTCACCGTCGAAATGTAGTGTTTGACTCGCGCATCGTGCTCAGCATTTAAAATCACAACTTGCTCTAAAAGACTTTGTGTTTGAGCCTCAATGTACTTCATTGAAAGCGTTGCATTCGACTCTAGCAGCGAAATACGTTTCATAATGGTCTGGAAAACTGACTCCTGGGTAGCTGCTGGCGTCTCATACTCGTCGTCATCAAACTCATCATCATCTTCGTCATATTCATCATCCTCGTCATCATCTTCATAATTTTGTGTATGACTTTGCGTGTTAGTGAAATTTTGGTATTTCTTAAGTACTGGTTCATCACCAGCATCACATATGCTATACTCATTCATTAAACCCATTAAAGCCTCACTCTGCTCTTTAGAGCGAGGATTGCAAACACATCCATTGACACCATTACCAACTGCCTCCATATATAAACAATCCAGCTCTTTTAAATCTTTGTCAATAACCTGTACTTGTTCCAGGCTCTCGTCAACCGTTTCCACCGGTATAACAAGCTCGGTCTCAGAAATAACTTGAACATCCTCAGTCACCTTGCTTGTATCCTTTTCTTCGGAACCTGCCGTCATGGGTGTGTCAGGCGACTGCGTGCTCAAATCTTGCACATGCTCATTGGTATCTTTTTCATGGTTATCATGCGTTTGATTTCCATCCGTGTGCACCTCAATATCTAGAGTATCATTAAAATCAATCGACTCCTTGGTCGACACTTCCTCAATATGCATAGAATGAGGCTCTGAAACATCAACCGAAGCCTCATCTGATGAAGACAGTGCACTTTTAAAAGTCTCTTGTAAAAGCTTTTCTGAAATAGTACTGGCAACTGTATTAGAACCACCCGCTACAGCAATCTTCTTCCCTGAAGATCCAGACTGCCCAGCCTTTTTGTACTCTTCCATCATTGTAGTTCCGTAAACTCTTAGCACCGTAACGGGGCAGTAATACTCGTGGCCCCAATGTGTCAAAAACTCAACCCGGATATACCGCGCCCAAATTAATGGATTTTTAATGTGGAAATACTGCATGTCTCTCACGCTTTTCCCCTCAAACTCTCCAAGTACCTTCCAATCATGTTCCGGCACGGGGTACCGGTCTGCCACAGAGATGCGAATGTGGCGAAACATGGACGAGAAAAATTCATATGTACCAATTGCAACGGTATCAACCAAAATATCCTGGCAAAGCTCAACAATAACAAACTTTTTAGGAGCAGAGCACTTGTTGAGCATATAACTGTCCTTGTTTTCTCCCAAAATGTTGGATGCACCTTTCGCTTCCTTATTGGTTTTTAAAATGGTTGCGGCACAGTCAAATGAGGCATAATTAAATCGGTCCTTGTATTGCTTGTCTATGCTAACGGATTCCACACCATCTTCATCTTCTCCACCAAATATATTAACGTCAATCTCGAGTTCATCAATCATTCCCATATCGCTGTTTGTTCCTCTTCCAGCCCCACCAGAAGAAGATTTCGAGGATTTAGTTTTGGATTTAGATGATTTTGGTTTCCGGTTGTTGGATGATCCTGAGTTACCCCCCTCTTTATTGTCATCATAATAATCTTTTTGTCCGGACTTTTCCAGGTTCTCCTTCCTCCATTCTTCAAAAGATTTTAGTTTGGAGTTTTTAAAAGTGTTCTTTTTAAGTGATTCAGCAACAGCAGCGGCAGCAGCAGCTGCGACAACTTCACTTTCGCTTGCAGTCTTTGTAGAATAAGAAGAAGAAGAAGAAGAAGAAGAAGAAGAAGAAGAAGAAGAATAATGCGAATCTGAGACTGTTGCTTTAAATGTATGGGTTAATGCCTTGGACCCTGAATCTTCAGGGTCCTTAGAAGTCGCTGCTAATGTTGTAGATGATAACAAACTAGAGTCTGATGTTCCTAATTCTGCTTTTGACATGCTCAAATTAGCTGATTTTGTATAACTGCTTTTTTGTTCCAGTGAACCCGTAGCAGACACAGAAGAGCTGGATTGGGCAATGGCCAGATATGCCCAAATCAGCAAGAAAAGTGCAAAACATCCTGTTGAATGAGAACTGGGTCTCATTATAAACGTGCTGGCATGCAAACAAGACTAAAATAAATCTATTCCCTTTCTCTTTCGAAATGAGAATTTAAAGAGGATCTGCTGAGCTGCAAAGGTGTTTTGCAAAGATGGCAAAGGACTAAATTTAAATGGGATTGGGAATGTGCATCAATATTGTTGGCCTTGGGAATAGTACGGCTTCCATTATTTGTGTCATCTATGACTCAGCATTATATAATAAAGCAACGCGCTATGAATTTTTTTTTGCACCTCCAGAAATTCCACGCTAACCACCGCGTTTTTTTTTTTTTTTCGAATTTTTGATTTTTGTTGATTTTTTTTGGCCACCACCACATTTTTTTTCACAACTAATATCACAACCTTCGTTTTACCTTAACAAAACAACATCCCATCCCTCCCCTTGCAGACACTCTATTTAGACATTGTCCCTACCAACAGATTCAGCTCATCGTTCTCATCTATATAAATATATATATTTTCATCGCCTTATATATTTTCATCTATACCAGATGTTAGACAACTAACCTTTGTTATGAACTCCCAGGGACATGTCTGACAAAACTTTACTGTTTAGTGTCGTGCACCAAAAAGTCGCCATCGATGTTGATCTATATCATCGCGTTATTTATGGTTCTACGGAACTCACAGTAACCGCTATTCTACCTAATACATCATCTAAAGACTCATCATCGCATGGCAGCAATAATCACAACAATAATAACAACACATCATCTGCACCGTCTGCAGCTGGACAACAAAACTCGGAAAAAGCTCTTCCACGAATTGCTGCTACACTTCTTCAACTTCATTCTCGAGGATGCGTTATTCAAAATGTCATGATTGACGGTGTCAAAACCCTTTTTTATCTTAGTAACGAGGCTAATCCAATCTCCAATTCCCCACTAGTTCCTCCAGAATTCACCACACAACAATCCGAATTAATACGGAAAAAACTTGACACTCAACTTTCACCATATCCTCCAGGAGACTTGTTTATATTACTACCAGTAGACCTTCTCCAAAAGATCATTCTATCCTCTAATAACTCGCATAATTCAACAAACACACCAGCTCCTGATGGATCTGATACTTTAAATTCCTTTACCATCAAAATTGATTACTCTCTCCAAGACTCTGTAAATGGCTTCAACTTTGTCGGAGGTAAAAACAGCAAGATCAAAAAACAGTATTGGCATGCATACACAACTCATAACCCAATAGGGTTGGCCACCTCTAGTTGGGTCCCTTGCTTTGACGGGTTTTGGGACCAATGCTCATGGCAATTTGAAATATCCATCCCACGAAGGATATCAGATATGAGCAACTTCAAATCCCACTTTGGCGGGGACTCAAAGACTAAAAAGGATATAGACGGCGACGTTGAAATGTCTAATACTAAATCATCTAATGAAGACTCCAGTAATAACGCCACAAATAATGAAGATGACGACGACGAAGTTGACGACCCTGAAAACCGAGACATTTTAGTAGTTTGCGCCGAATATTCTCCAAAGGAAATTCCACATCCATTTGACCCTCATAGAAAGATTGTATGCTTTGATATTTCAACTCCTATGGGTGCACAAAATGTTGGTTTCGCAATTGGCCCCTTTGACTCGGTTTCAATATCAGACCCAGCTCTCGGGGACAATGATGAAGATAATAGCGGCGATGACGAAGAAGATGAAGAAAATAAAATACCTTTAACCGTTTACGCTTTACCAGACAAAATAAATGACGCTCAAAATACATGCGTTTTTTTGTTCAAAACAATGGAGTACTTTTCAAGAGATTTTGGCTCCTTCCCCTTCAACTCTATGTCTTTTTGTTTCGTCAGTCAACCAATAGCCCCTTATGCATCATCAGCTGGCGTCTGCATTTGTGATGACTCTTTACTTTACCCTCCTGATGTTATTGAACCTCTTTTTGTCAATCCAGAAATTCTAAGTAAAGCTTTAGCAACACAGTGGTCTGGTGTTGCACTAGTACCTAAATCGTGGAACGATATTTGGGTGACTAATGGAATCGCTGGCTACATGGCTCAATGCTTTATTAGAAAACTCATGGGAAGCAACGAATATAGATTTATTCTTCGCAAGCGTACAGAAGAAATTTGCCATAAAGATATTGGCATGCCACCTTTGGGAGACCCCCACTTTGACTTCCCTTTAACACATAGAGATCTTTCATTCATTAGCTTGAAAGCACCAGTTGTCTTATTTATTTTAGACAGAAGAATGACTAAAACCGAAAAATCCCTTGGTTTAAGTCGTGCCATTCCTAAAATCTTCATTCAATCGGTCTCAGGAGACCTAACCAACTCTTGCTTATCTACAGCTCATTTCATAAAGGTTTGCGAGCGAGTCAGTCACAGCAAACTGGACTCGTTTTTCAATCAATGGGTTTATGGCTCAGGATACCCTATTTTCCGTGTCACGCAAAAATTTAACAAGAAACGCATGTTTATTGAAATGGGTATTCGCCAAGTTCAAGCTTCAGAAACTGTTCTCCCTAGATTTTCAGAAAATGATTTTGTTAAACGTGCAAGACATGATATTCCAAGTCTGGAAAAATTTCCAGTCCAACCTGTTTTTACAGTAAGTCTAGCAAAGAGTGATTTTTGTACAATTTAAATTTCTAATTCCTATTTTAGGGTCCTATGACAATTAGAATTCACGAAGCTGATGGTTCTCCATATGAACACGTTGTCAATCTTCAAGAAGGCTTTACTAAACTAGACATTCTCTACAATACCAAATACAAGAGATTAAAGCGCAACAAGAAGAATAAGGAGCATGTTGATATCCACAACCTTGATGGAGGAGATGACGGCGAAATCGATGGCGTTTTGCTCCATTGTCTTGGTGATGTGCTTCAGAGCGAAAGCGAGGTCGAGGCTTGGCGATTAGCCGAATGGACTAAAGAAGAAGAAGAGCGGATGATGAATGAAGCTTTTGAGTGGATTCGTGTGGATACTGATTTTGAGTGGATTTGCACACTCCATATTGGCCAGCCTGACTACATGTTTGCTTCTCAGCTCCAGCAAGATCGTGATGTTGTTGCTCAATACGATGCTTTAAGATACTTTGCGGCAAACAAACCTTCAAAGCTATACTCTTCACTTTTCACCAAAACCTTGATGGATAAGCGTTACTTCCATGGTATACGCACTGAAGCCGCCAGCTGTCTTGCATTATGTGCAACTGAGGAAATTGATTTCATTGGAAAATTTCATCTAACTAAGGCTTTTCAAACTCTCTTTTGTTTTGAAAACTCCTTTATCCCTAAAGCCAATGATTTTTCCGACTTTAGCTTGTATTTCATACAAAAGGCAATTCCTCTTGCACTATCTCGAATTCGAAATAGTTTTGGCCGATGTCCTAAGGATATGCAGCAATTCATTATGGATTTACTCCGTTATAATGACAACACATCCAACACATATTCCGACTCTTATTACATTTCACATCTCATCAGCGCAATGGTCAGCTCGTTTGCGGTTTTCAGTGCTGAGGATGGCTCAACAAGTTTCATAAATAATGATGTGGAGCAGTTTGAGTTTGTCAAAAAGGCCATTGATGAGATTGACAGATGTCTGCGGATGGACAGCTGGATTCCTTCTACTCACAATATCATCACAACTACCATCATCAATCAAAAGCAAGGGCTGACTATTGGTGGCTTTCTTCCGGTGAAGTTTGAAGATTTGATTCAGTATACCAAGCCTGGAAACAGTAACTTGGTCCGCCTTCAAGCTTTCAGCTCTCTTTTAAATCTTGGAGGGATCAGTGACAAGTCAATTCTTCATTACTTTTTCACTACTGCTCAGTTTGACGAAGCAGCCGATATGCGAAGCGGTCTTTTAAGAATATTAAATGATTCACTTGGTAGATTGGCACTTTATGGCGACTTTAAGCCCCAGAAACACGAATCTACGCCATTCATGGTTGTTGACGATGGGTCTGCCTTAGAGGCGCGCCAAACGTCCCAAATGCGTACAACTGTTCAAGGTGCTAAAACTCTTCTTCGCAAACAACTACAGAGCAATCTTGCACTGCGAAAGGGTATAATGCGTCTTTTGGCTAGCAAGCGCGTCAGTATTCTGGATAAACGAGATTTGCTTGACATATGCTTTGTTTTGGATGACCCCAAAAACTCATTCCCTATTACGCTTCCTACACCACGGATCGTCCGGTTGGTTGCTCAGCGCAGAAATAACTTTAACATTGTCATTAAGCGAGTTAATGTAATTGAAGAGCGCAAGCGGTTAGAGGCAATTGCTCGTTCAAAGATAGCTAACAAGGCGGCAGCGAAATTAAAGGCTAAGGCTAAGCTGGTTTCTGCAGCCCGACCGCCAACTCTTCTTCCGCCAGTGCCTGTTGCACCGAAAGAATCGGATGTTACGCTTGTTTCAGAGACATCGGTTACCAAGCCTACTGAGCCTTTGTCTGTTCCGAAGATTTCGATTACCCTTGCTCCACCTAAATCCAAGGCGAGGCAAAAGAGTGGTAGTGTTTCGGAGTCACATAGACCAATTGTGGTTCCTCCTGCTCCAGCAGCAGCAAAAGCTTCAGTAGCTGCAACCAGTGTTTCTGCAGCTGCACCGGCAATTCCAGAAGTAAAGGCTCCGGCGGCGGCGGCGCCACCTGTGGAAGAACTCAAGCCTTTGCCAAAGATTTCATTTTCTATATCGAAGAAGAAGCCAGGGCCTAAGTCCAAGGCTAAGCCTGCTGTGACTATTAAGACTGAAACTATTGTATCTCCTGCAACTCCGCAAGCAACTCCACAAGCATCTGTGGAAAAATCTGCTGAAAAATCAATACCTGTTACACCCGCAACACCTGCAAAAACAACAGCACCTACACCTACACCAGCTACTTCAGCACCCGCACCGTCAACAGTGGCAGCGGCAACACCAGCATCTGTACCAATATTAGCGATGCCTGTGGCAGCACCGCCAACACCTGCTACTACATTAAAGCCACCGACTGGTAAAGGTGTTACTAAGAGTCCACGCCAGAGAAGGAAGAGAATGATTATCAAGCTCAAAGCTGGATCTGCTGGTCTGGCTTTGATTAATGCTAAAATGGAAGCAGCAGCAGCAACAGCAGCAATAACAACCACAACAACAGCAGCGGTGACGTCAGACCATACTTCTAATGCCAACTCGACGCCAATTAAAAAGGAGCCTGCTGATTCTAATGCTCAGCCGGTTGGAGCTATTACACCGCATACGAGCAGCAGCGCACCAACACTAACGTCCAATTCTACAAGTGGGCCTACAATCGTACCAAACAACACTACGCCAGCTGGTGAGCCAGCAACTTCAAATCCAGGAAGTGGCAGTGGGACCAAGGTCCCGAAGATCAAGAGTGAGTCTCGGGTGAAGAAGAAAGCCTCGGGACCAAAGCTCATTCTCAAAACCAACAACAACAGGAAGAAGAACAATGGTATTCCACCTACTTCATCTGTGGAAGCGGCATTACCGCCTTCTGCCATTAGCAACAAGCTCAAACCCATTACATCTGCATCGCGGCTTTCTGCATCGCCGTCACCGGTGCCTTCACCTCAGGGCAAGTCACGGAAAATTGGCGGGAATGGAGGAAGTAACAGTGGCGCTAGTGGGAATGGAAATGGGACGGGTAGTAGTGCGCTTGGTGGAACTGGAGGAAGTCATTCTAACCATGCAGCAAACCATGCGGCTATCCGTTCAGCTGTGGAGGCAATTGGCACTTCTGTAAACCCAGGAGGCCGGTCTCTTTCACCGGGACCTGGCGGGTTGCATCCGACACTCAAGCTGGCCAAGTCATTTAAGGTGAGCTCAGCAGCAGCTGGAGGTAGTCGCCCATCGTCACGGCCAGGATCACGACCCGGATCGCGCCCAGTTTCTCGGCAATCGTCACCTGCACCTGGAGGCGTTGGTAGTGGGGGTCATGGTGAGGGCATGCCAGGAAAGACGACGAATGGTGTGCACCAGAAAAGTGGCAGCAGCAGCAGCAGCAGTAGTAGTAGTAGCAGTGGCGGTGGCGGTTTAGGAGGAAACAACGGTAATTTGACCAGTGGCAGTGTGAGTTCTGGACTGTCGATCAAGATTAAAAAGGAGCATACTGGTGGATATGGAGGTTCTAACCGGGGCCTTAAGTCGTCATCTTCAGTAGGTGGCGGTGTGTTGTCACCATCTCCATCATTGTCTGGTGGATCAGCAGGGTCAGCGGGGTCCACTCCTACGGCGACTCCACCTCCCCAGTCGTTTTCATCTTCGTCGCATCCTCAACGGATGACATCGTCTTCTTCTTCTGGTCCGAAACCGCCGTTGCCGCCGGGACCACCTCCTCCTCCACCACCTCATTCACAACGACCTCCCCCCCCACCACCATCTATGCCACCACCTCCACCACCGCCAGGTCTTCCACCTGGAGCCAGTCCTGCAGATGGCAGCGGGCCAGGGTCTGGAATTGAGAGTGGAGGAAGCAGCGGGGGAGGAAAGGGAGGGGGAAAGAAGAGCAAATTGCCTAAGGTCAAGCTTAAGCTTAAGTTTTGAGGAATGGAGAAGAATAGGAATGAGATGAAGATAAATATTGAATTGAGGGAAAATGAATACAACCACCAAATGGGATTCAAATGGGATTATAATTAAAGACAAAAAAGAGAAAAAAAAATAAACAAATTGATATATTAAAAGTAAAAGTAAAAATAAAAGTTAAAGACAAAAAAAGTAAAGAAAAGAAAAAGAACTTGCAAGATATTTGTATAAATAAAGAAAAATGATATAATTTTAAAAACTCTTTTAAAGCTGGTAATACATTTGTTAACATTAATGTGTGGATCCAATTTACAATAGATAGATACTGGTTTATTATTAAAAAAAAATATAGTATAGTTTATTGTTGACTGTATATAAATCTGTGATTAAAAGATTTTTCAAGTTATTTTATTTGAATTTTTAGATTTTAAAATTTTTTAAATTTTTTAAATTTTATTTAATTTTTTTTTCAAAAATTTTCCTTATTAAATTCCCATTTCATCAATTTTTTTTTTTGGGAATTCTAACAACTTTCCCCATTTATTTTTTTTTTCATTAAAAGATAAACAATCCTGTTGTTCCAACACCCATAAGAACAATACCAGTCCACCAAATCATATCGTAATTAGTCTTTTGCTTCTTGACAGCAGGAGTTTTATTTCTATTTTCCAAAGACCGTCTTATTCTTCTGCGGAGCGACGAGTTAGTTGCAGTAGCAGAGGCGGTGTTAGAAGTTGCAGAAGCCTGGGAATCACCAGTGGATTCTGCGGTAGGGTTCATGGTAATTGTAGGGAGCATTTGTGGAGGTTTGTAGGCGAGATAAAGGGGAGGCAATGGAGAGCCGTCATACTGGTAAAGATCGAGACGGTACTGGCCGCGGTAAGGATCGACATAAACAGCCCACTTGATGAAGGTGATTGTTTGGTTGTAACGGGTATAAGAAGAGGTGGTTGAGTTGCAAGGATCGGAGTACAATTGGCGACCGTCGACTTTAAAGGGGTTAAGAATCAGGGTCTTGTTGTCGAGCATTTCCCAGGTACCGTGCTGGAAAATCAAAACTGCAGAAGGACAATCATGTTTTTTGGCTATAGGAAAAAAAAAAAGCAAAAAAGCAAAAAAGCAAAAAAGCAAAAAAAAAATAATAACAATAACAACACTCAGCAAAAACTAGAAATGTACGATTAAGACATGGTGAGTACATTTCAAAAATTGTGTACGTGTGTTGTATTATTATTATTAATTTTTTTTTTTTTGGATATTTTGTATGGTTAGAATGCAAGGGGGCAACTTTTAAGGAATGGATTGAAAAAAAAAAAGAAAACTTACCATTGCTTGTGACACGATAAAGAGCTTGCTCGAAATAACCATCTGAAGTAAAACTGTAACTGATTCCTGGAAGAGCAGGTTCAATAAGAAGTTCATCGACGGGATCGTAAAAGTCCTAAATAAACAAGGTATTATTGAGTTAGCAAAACCAATAGACAAATAAGACAAACAAGAAAAAAAAAAGTTTGTATGACAAAAGACTTTTTTATTTTTTTTTTTAAAAAAAAAAACTCAAACATACAGGACCAGTAAAAACGGAATTTGACTTAGAGGACCAAGTGCCTTCGAATTCAACAGCACCAGAGCTAGATGTGGCAGTAGCAGTTGAAGCAGTGGATGCAGTTGAAGCGGATGAAAGAGAGGATGCAGTTGTAGCAGTTGAGGCGGTTGTATCAGTGAGAGTAGTTGAAGAAGAGGTTGTAGCAACAACGCCAATAGTAGTAGTTGAAGAAGTTGAAGCAGTTGCAAGGGTATCAGTAGAAGTAGTTGCAAGAGTATCAGTGGTTGAAGAGGATGTAGTGGCTACGACACCGACAGTGGTTGTTGAAGATATGGATGAAGAAGATGAAGTGGTGGCCACAACACCTATAGTGGTTGTAGATGATGTATCGGTTGTTAGTGTTGATGAAGTTGTTGCAAAAAGGTTATTGATAGTTGTAGTTTGCGAAGATGAGGTAGTTACGCCAACAACACCAATGGTTGTTGTTTGTGAAGATGAAGTTGTGCCAACGACTCCAATGGTTGTTGTTGATGAAGTTTCAGTGTTTGCTCCAGCAGCAGTCGAGGTAGTTGTATCTGTAGCCAACGTGTTTGTAGTTGATGTAGTTGCGGCCACACCGACCGTTGTTGTTGTAGCAGCACCGGCAACGACTTGTGATCGGGCAGATTTCAGAAAGGCTAGCAGCAGTAGCGCGCAGAGAGCCAGGTGTAAGCGTCGCGGGCTCAACATTGTGAAAGAAGGTTTATGTGCAATAAAAAAAAAAAGAAGGAGGGAATCTTTTAGGGGAAGAAAAAAAAATAGTCCTTTTGTATATTTAAATGGAATATGTTGTTATTATTGTTGATAATAAAGACCTTTATTATTATTAAAAAAAAAAAAAAGAGAGAGAAGAAAGTTGGGATTTTTTTTTTAATGATTTTGATGATTTTAATGATTTTGGTGATTTTAGTGATTTTAATGATTTTGGTGATTTTGAATTTTTTTTTTTTTTTTATTTTATTTTATTTTATTTTTTTTTGGAGGTTTCAGGGTTCACGTATACACATAGATGGTCTTTTATTAATGCTGATGTTGATGATTATTCCGAGCAAAAGTTGACTGGCCAGATGGGAGGGGAAGGCAGTTTTCTTACTGTGCTAAAAATATCTCTTGTAGAAGCTTACAAAATTGCTGAAAAAAATATTATATTTATATATATAATATATAATATAAATATAAAAAAAATAAAAAGAAAAAAATGTAGTGAAGCAGCAGCCATTTTGGTGGTGGTGGCGGTGAAGGCGGTGGGCAGTTAACTAATAAAAAATAAAAAATAAAATGTAATTGAAAGTGTAATTATTATTGTAATTGAAAGTGTAATTGTAATTGTAATTATAATTATAAATAACATATCCATAAGCCACTCTACATGTGAGTCACGTGACAAGTATAGATTAAAAGTTCCACGTAGGCAACAGGCAATTGCGGCATTTGTTACACTATCAGTTCTTTGTTACATTATACAAAGATAACTATAATTAAAGGGTTGGGGTTAATATTTAATAAATATTCCAGACTGGCAACAACAGCAATTCTTGAAAAAAAAAAAAAAAAAAAACATCTAACCGCCTCCTTCAAGCAGACAGCAGCTCTAATAAATAAATAAATAAATATATATATATATATTTATTTATATATTTTCATACCATTAAAAAAACCAAAAAAAAATAATAGCCAGTTTTCAACAACTGACTTGATTAATTAAATTTTTTTTTTTTTTACTTCATTTAGAATATGTATATATAAGTAAAAGAAGAGTTTTGTTTTATTTTTATTTTTATTTTTATTTTGTTTGGGTTTTAAAAAAAAAAAAACTATATTTCTTATTACTATGTGCCAACTAGCCTGCTTTAACTGATCTATATACATCATCATCACCATCCTCCACATAAATTTTATTATTATTATTAAATTATACTTGAAATATACTTGAAATACCCACACAAATCAACAACACATTTTTATTATTATTATTATTATCATTATTATTATCTATATATATTTATTCAAATATATATATTTAATATACTATCACATCACATCGCATCACTATGAGTCTCCAGGAATCATCTTCTAATACTCTAAATCCAACTTCAAATTCAAATCCACAATCAAATCCAAATCCAAATCCAAATTCACAACTACAACCACAACCAACTTCATCATCCTCTCAAATAAATTCTTCAACTTCTTCAACTTCTTCACCATCAACTCACATAACTCACGCCCCAATTTCAGTCACAACTGCTGGAGGTTACTCCTTTCTTCTGCGCTTCATCGACTCTCCTCAATTCACACTCTTCCACTGCATCTCATACTTGGAACGTTATGCTGATGAAATCGGTATTCACTTTTATCTCGCACAAAAACTTCGTCATTACCCAGACGAAGATGTTGAGTTTTTCATCCCCCAAATAGTCCAACTTCATGTTACTATCAAAACGGACTCTTTGGCTCTTGAGGATCTCATCATAGAACTATGTAGTCGTTCTACCCATTCTGCTGTTCTTGTATGTTTTTTTTTTTTTTTTTTTTTTCACTCATTCTAACTAATGTAACAGATCTTTTGGCAAGTTCAAGCCCATCTCACAGAACTTTCGGATGAACCGGAATCACATGGCTTCATTGTTTGCCAACGTCTCATGGCTAAACTTCAACATGTTCTCTTTAACGTTGGATTACCTCCTGACGATAAAATAAATGAAAATACTCTCCCAGCACTGGTTCTGGCAGGCTCATTAGCCACCGGGTTAGGTCTTCCGGGTGCAGTCGACTACATCAAACCATTAGTTGTTTCCCAAGGCAAAAAGAAGCGATCTCTCATCTTTCAACTAGCTCACAAAGCTGGCTCTGCAGTCTTTTCTCCAACTTCAAATTCTTTCCGTAGAAGTGTCTCTTCTTCATCTCCATCCTCTCCATCAACCTCATCTTCCGCTCCTCCAAATCTCACCCGTCATACCTCCTTAAGTACCTCCCAGCTCAACCCAGGCTCAAAACCATACTCGGCCCACTATGACGTCAATGCAACATCTCCAGACCTTTCCCTTCCAGCATACCTCAATTACCGCCATGACATTTACCACAATAAAATCCCTACTGTCCAATCCACTCTCGAAGGAAACTCTAACGAATCTGAAATCTCAATCCTTTCCCCATCTTACCAGGTCCAACTTCGCAATGTCAATGTCCTTAAATCAAACTACTTTTACTGTGAAACTCAGTTTATGGATGCTCTCCACAAGATTTCAAACAAACTCTCCCAAGTTCCGAAACAAGCTCGTCTTTCGGCTCTTCGTGTGGAAATTGCAATGCTAAATAAAGATCTTCCAGCTGAAGTAGACATCCCCTTGCTTCTTTCCAATACTGTTTCTTCTGCTGCATCCACCCGTTCTTTGACATCATCATCATCAACAGCAACAACAGCAACAACTTCTTCTTACCCTCATGATTTCCATCTAGGAGATCTCCCCAAACAAAACCGTCTTATTAGAATTGTCCCATCAGAAGCCGTCTTGCTTAATTCTGCAGAAAGGGTCCCATATCTCCTTCTTATTGAATATATTCGCAACGATGTCGACTTTAACCCAGCTTCGGAAAAAAACAGAGCAATTCTTAACCAGGAGGTCAATAGAAGACACATCTTCGATACCCTTTCTGTCCCTGTTCTGGGAGATTTCCAACACTCCTTTTCGGCCCCTTCGTCTACTCGTAACTCGGAAGATGTAAATATGTTTTCTACCGTTACCCCCCAATCAAGACTTAGTAGACAACGCACACCATCCACTTGGTCTCTGCCTTCGTCGTCGTCCTCTTCTAAGATGTCTTCTTCAAGGGACGGCAATAGCCGCCTGGCACGTTCCGAAATTGTCCCCAAGGAGGAAAGCGACATGGGTGACATTTCCGTTATTGATTTATTTGATGATAATAAACGCACAATGTCACAATTATCTGCTTCTCTTTCTTCCTTGGCATCCTTAGGGTCTTCCTATTTTAGTTATGGCAAAAATAATAATAGCAGCAACGGCCGTAACAGCAGTAGCAACAATAACAATGGATTTACTGCTTCCCCCAGATCTTCAGACTTGTCCTTTTCTCCAGCTTACATGACACCACTACAAAACTTTCAAAATGACGAGATTGATGAACTGGCGGCTCGCATGCGTACTGCCGCCGTTATGATTAACCAACTTGAATCTGCGGGAGGTGCCAAATTATCCAAGGAAGAGGTTGAGCGTATCAAGAGTCGCATCATTTCAAGCATGCAGAGCATGGAAGAACACACCGTTTACCAATCCAATAATATGCTTGGAGCTGCGGGCGAACGCAAACTGGAAAATGATTTGATTATTGCCGGCATTGATGATGATTCATCGGATAGAGCTGGTAGCAGTGGTAGCACTTCAAGCAACAACGGTGGGCGATTGAAAAGGCATTCTCGTAATTTGTCTACTGCCAGTAATAACAAAACACCACTTTCCTTGGGAGAAGACTGGAAGGCCAAAAAGGAGCGCATTCGTAGGGCTTCCCCATATGGTCATTTTCCTGGCTGGGATTTGTTTTCGTGTATTGTTAAGACAGGATCAGATTTGCGTCAGGAAGCTTTTGCTTGTCAATTGATCCAAGCCATGCAAATGTGCTGGGAGCGCAATAATACTGGAGTATGGGTGAAGCGAATGCGCATTCTTATCACACACAATTCTGCTGGTCTTGTGGAAACTATAACCAATGCGTTGAGTATTCACTCTATCAAGAAAGCCATGTCGACCACCTTGGAGAATTCTTCATCTAGTGCCAAAAGTGTCATTCCGTCATTGAAGCACTACTTTGAAACGACATTTGGTGCTGGTACACCTCAGTACGAGCAGGCTGTGGACAACTTTGTGCGCTCGCTTGCTGCATACTCTGTTATTTGCTATCTGTTACAAATCAAGGACAGACACAATGGCAACATTTTGCTTGACAACATTGGTCACATTGTTCACATTGACTTTGGCTTTTTATTGTCCAATTCTCCTGGAAGTGTTGGGTTTGAAACATCACCATTCAAGTTGACTCATGAGTATGTTGACCTCATGGGTGGTGCTGACTCGGAAACGTTTGTATTATTCAAGTCGCTTGTGCGCCAGGCATTTAAAGACATTCGCAAGGAAGCTGAATCTATCATTATTCTTGTGGAGATGATGCAGCGAGACTCGACACTACCTTGTTTTGCGTCTGGTACTGCAACAGCTCACCAGCTGCGCCAGCGTTTCCAGCTTCAAATGTCTGATTCTGAAGTTGATTCATTTGTTGATCATACATTGATTCAAAAGAGTTTTGGTAGCTTTTCTACAAGACTTTATGACCAGTACCAGTTGTTGACTCAAGGCATTTACAGTTGAGAAAAGTAAACTGTAAATGGGAATTTTGTAAATTTTTTTAAAAAAAACAAGAAAAAAAATATATATATACATACAATCAATTAGTGATATGAAAAAAAAATAAAAGAAATGCAAAGTAACAATTTTATCAAGTGAAAAAACTGGGGGAAACTTGAAGATAACAAGCATTTTTAATCCGAAAAGTTGACTGATGACGATGGCATTTTTAAAAAGAATCACGTGTAAGTCATATGACAAAATCATGTGAATGTTTATATTTAACGCCAAAAAACCGCCAAAAAAAATTTTTTTTTTTTTAAAAGTCGCCTTCCTTACATCACCAAAATTAAAAAAATAAACAACGCGTTCTTTTTTTTTTTTTTTCTTCTTTTTTTCTAAGAAGGAAAAAATCATCAATTATATAAAAATTTCCACCTTTAAAAGGGGCATTTTAAATTATCAAATTGATTTATATGAATCTCTATATAGCTTTGTTTTCTAAAGACCCGTAGATATCAATGACTGACGGTTTCCCGTGCACTAAAAACACAGGGGGACTCGGCACTTCCTCCGTAGCCGTGAGCTACAACAACAACAACAATAACAACAGCAGTACCGCTAAGAATTCTCATCACCACCACCACCACCACCACCACCGCCAAAATCATAATAAAATTATTAACAACAACACAACCACCAAAACTCCAACACTCACCAACACCACCACCACCACCACCAACTCAACAGTAACCAACACCAACTACTACCACAACTCATCCACCACATCCAAATCTAACGTTCTCAACGGTAAAAGGATTGGCGGAGCCTTCACGAGTCGCGTGCACCCAACCAGCACGACATCTCTTAGCAATAACATCGGCAACAACATCTTAACAACAGGCACAGGAAATGGTTCTGGCGCCTCATCAGCGGCTTGTATTCAATCGTCTACTTCATTAACCAAATCTTTAAAAATCTCTAAAGAAGCAACTGGAAAATTCATGTCCCCAGCAATAATGGCAACTGCTGCCAAATCTTCAGTCTTATCAAACAACAACAGCAATAGAATTAGTAGAAATAATAACAATAATAGCAACAACAAAACTTCAACTTCTAACTCATCTTCCTTTTCAAAAGCTACAACTTCTCGCGTCAGAATCCAGCCACCCAGTGTTGACCTTTTATCTTCTCAATCAGCGAGTCCGTCAGTCACCGCCACTGGGTCACGCGCTGGTGGCAATAGCAACAATATTAGCGGGATGGGAGGAATCGTCGACCATGATCGCAAACGGCGGACCAGCTCCAGTATTAATACCACAACCAATAACATCCATACTAATAAGAATGCAAAAGACCGTTCAGGGCTCGCCACAAACAACTTTAAGGCATTCAGTTACTTTTACGACGATCGGATCGGTAGCTTCAAGTCTGGGAACCGAATCAGCAAGTCTTCAAATGCAACAACTGGTAACCATCTCAAGACCCCGCAACGCGCAGGAGGTAGCAATCACAATCAACAACATCTGCACCAACACTCACTCCAGCAAGGACAACACCAACAACAACAACGGCCCCACTACAAACATGGCCCAGGAAGTGCAAGCAGCGGTGGCAGTGACGGCGGAAGCCGTAGTAGCAGCATAGATTTTAGCTTCATTGAAGGTAACGGCGGCTGGGCCGCACGGAAAAGCTCAGGGCTTGCGAGTGGCGGTGCCCGGAGTGGTCTTAGCAGCAACACCAACAACAAGCTACGGAAAAAACAAAAAAAATCCAAACCTTTTGAAGAAGATCATAATAATAATAATAAAATCAACAGTCCCAGCCGGGTTCAACGCAATGATAAAAAGGATGCTTACTACAAAGACTATGACAATGACAATGAAAACGACCAGACCAACAATATTGATATGGACATTGACTACAATCAAGATGACAATGATGATTGCGTTATTCTGGATGCCAATTTGCCACAACATCAGTCCCATACTACTCCATACTATTATGAAGATTCTCAGGGAATCTGGGTCGAACCGACTACTGATACTTTACATCAATCTTCTCCAAAACCGACTGAAGATTCACCTGCTTCCCATAAAAAAACCAACACTACTTCAGGCTTTTCTCTCAAGGACAATCATCATTATTTTTACAACAAAACTATCAACAATTCGCCACCCCATTTATCAACAAAGGCACAAACTACCGCCAAATTATGCACTTCACTTGACTGTTTTAATAAGGCTTCGTCACCCAATTCTCAAGCACGCGTCAATGCGATTATTGCACGTATCGAGAGCGACAGTAACTTTGCGCCAGTTATTTCCGCCGTATACGGCAATGACAGTGAGTTTTCGTGTCTGGACGCGCCACCACCAAAAACATACGCCCAGGTTCTTTTCGAACTAGAAGCTGGTGGCTACATCCCATTAAACGATCCCATTGTTCAGGAAAAAATTCGCCTGCGCAGACAAATCTCTACAAAGTATGACTTTTTTTTTTTTTTTTTTTTGAAATTCACAGGACAATATACCCTTTTAAATAAAGTTTTTTTCTGTCATTTGTGTTTGACTAACTTTATAATCAATTTTTTTTTTTTTGGGTGTGTTTACTATAGAACTCCGGAATTATTTTCTATACCCAAGAGTGCAAACCCATATCCGGATAGATACACGCGGCATATTCAAAACATGCCATGGCCTTATGCCTTTTTACGCGTCCAACAACGCCAAAAATCTGGTGCCCTGTTCTCGCCACACCTTCCAGAGCCTTTACTAAGTCCAGAAGACTTGGGTCCCCAAGAACGGTTTGTGGTTGAAGAACTTTCGTTTTTTGAGTTTGACGTCAAGTTCCACGGAATCGAGCCTGACTCGTACTTTGAGCTCTGCGATACGTTCCGTGCCGCCCGCCTGCGGCACCTCGGAGACAAGAACTTCAAGAATGTAAATTCCCAAGCGGCAGAAGAGGAGCAGAAACTACGGCCGGGGGACCTTGAAACCACACAAACAAGTAGATTAATTGCTCCAAAGCTTAGCTTTGACGACCTGCGTACTCGCACAAAGTTCTCGCCAATATCCATTGACGAGTTTCTCGAGGCTGCAAACCTTCTGCCTGCTGACCAGCGCGCTGTGCGTCAGCAGCCTCCTTTTGCGCGTGGGTGCCCGCCACCACCGCCGCCTCCGGCGTTGCCATTCCGGCCGCTGTCCAATGTTTCTACATCTCCATATTCTTCCTCATTTAAGTCATTTGCCACTCGCCGCGAGTACATTGAGGATAGTGAGGAAGAGGTCTCAGCTATTGTTAGCATTCCTCATGAAGGCCCAGAGGTGATAAGCGGTATGGGTAGAAGTGGCCGAGCAAAATTAGATGCTCGGCGGCAAAGCTTTGAAGATGAAAATAGTGATCTTGACGAAGATTTGTTTGATACTACTAGCAGAATGAACGAGATGAAGAACAAGATTAACAAGGAGAAAAATAATGTGGATCATGATGAACAAATCAATAAACAACAAAAGGTTTGGGTTGACATGTCATTGCCCCTGGAAACTTTTGGTAAGGAACGCAATATTAAGGCTGCTGCTACTGCTGCTGAATATTTACAATTCAAGAATCAACAACGGAAGGAGCGGGAAGAGCAAGAGAAACAGGTACAACAACAACCTATGCAAATACAACAACCTTCATCGCCACCACAGTCACAATTGCAACCACCATCTCCACAGCTTATTCACCAACTTCATTCTGATAAAGATATGATTCCAGAGACTCAGCAACCTCCTCAATATTCAGACGAAAGCGAAAGTGAAAAGGAAGAAGATGTAGAAATGGAGGAGCCTTCAATTCCTACTGCTATCGATACAGCAGCAGTGGCTACTGTATCATCGCCATCACCCCCAATTCCTTCACCAATTGTCCGTAAACCATCAATCACAGCAACTACTATGGAAGTTTCTAAAGATACAACTATCTTGGAGTTCATCCCTGCATCTGCTACACATCCTGATTTGCGTTCGCCCAAACCTCACGATCTGGCTGCCATGTTTCCTGAAATTGGTAGCAGCGGAGGGTCCTGCAGTTCTATTCTTGCAGCTCTCGCACCTGGCAATCTTTCATCTCCTGTGCAACATTATAAGCAACCACAGGAAGAACAGCAACAGAAACAAAAGTCTCCATTATCTTCTTCTTCTTCAAGCCCACTAAATTATGTGGAACTCAGTTTCCAAGAAAAACTGCTCCGGAGTACATCCAAATTACCAAAGAGTCCAGAGGAAATTCAATCTGTGGAAGGCAAATCGATAGACACAGAAGCAAAAACAAATATTCCTACCACTGCTGTTACTCTTACAACTACTACAGCTGCTGGGTCCTCTATGCTGAAAAGCTCACCCCAAACCCCTGCCAAACAAAACACAATTGATCAACATGATATTGTGATCCCATCTACCCAAGAACAAGATCTGTTTAAATCCCCAGCCCGCAAGGATACTACCAATGTGCCTGCCCAATACCCGCATAGCACAAAACTTGATCAAGAGAAGCTGCAAAGTTTACAAACTCAAAACCAAAGCCATCAAAAGACTTCATTACCTGAGCAGGGTGATGAGGAGGAATTTGATGAGGTTGTACCCAATACGCCAGATGCTGAGATTGATGCCAGGTACCGCCAGAGGACCAGAAATGAACATAGTGAATACTTTGCGACCACAGAGTTTCAGTCTTTTACAAATCTGCCTGCTGAAATTAGCAATAAAGCAACAGCAAGTGAGCAAGGTTCTCAAACTACTTCTCCAAAACTACCAGAGACTAAGGAAAATATTTCATCTGTACAGCAGCAGCCATCAGGATCTAATGATTCTTTCAATCTTACCAGTTCACCAGTAGCTGCAAAGTCTATGCCACATGATAAAACTTCTACTACCAAATCCTCTGCCATACCTTTCGAACCTGAATCACGACCACACATCGTTTTGAAGGCCATATCTGGCGAGGCTGTCTCTTCCAAACCAACCAAGGCTCCGACTTTGTCATCCATGGAAGCTTTTTCATCTGTTGCTACCAAGGGTCCATCACCACCTGTGATTTCCCCAAAATCTGATTCCCAAACTTCTGTTCAAACACCTACAAAAGCTGCAAATGAGAAAACTTTTAGTCAAGGAGAAGCACTTTCAGAGGAAGTTTCTTCGAGCCAGATGCAGGAAATTAAGTTTGTGTCACGATCTGCACGCAAGCGCAAAAACATTGTGGATTCTCCCAACCCGTCTCAGCCGCAGACTATTTCTGAACAGCTGGAGTCTGAGCCCTCAAGTGCCAAGAAAATAAAGACAAACGGAAGCGATGCATCTCAGAAACCTAATGAGGTTACCATATCGCAATTTGAAAAGAAGAGTTTGCGAAGTACAAACACTGTAGAGGGAGATGATGAGAAGACGCCGATGCCTACAAATAATAACAGCAGAAAGCGGAAAACTCATGAACGTAACTTGTTTTTGGGGTCTGATGATGATGAAGAAATGGAGAAAGAAGGAGCAATACCCCAGGAACTTGTTTCTGAGCCTAAGTTACCACTTACTCAACCTTCTCTGACTCCTCAGCAGGAATCTCAACCTCAAGGACTGCAGCAGCAGCAGCAGCAGCCACAACAACAACAACAACAACAACAACAACAACAACAACAACAACAACAACAACAACAACAACAACAACAACAACAACAACAACAACAACAAAAACGACAACAAAACCGACAACAGCCGAAGATTGGATCACCCGTTTCATCTTTGTGCTTACACGAAATAATTCCAGATTCCCAGCCTGTTCCTTTCAGTACAATGGTCACTGATAAGGTATCTTCACAAACTTTGTCTAAGGATAAATCTATGATGAATTCTCAGCCAGTTGCTCCGGAGCCTGCCAAGTCACAGACTTATAGGGAGAATGTGGTAACACCTCCACGACCCCCACTTGCTCTTCCGCTTCCTGAAGTCACTGAATCAGAAGTCAATGGTCGTATTGAAGGTGAAGGGGAAGGCGCTCCTGAAACATCCACATCTTCACCTGTAATATCTTCTCCACTACCTCTTGCGCCGACTCAAATCATTCCAACGCAACTAGTTGACATGCCACTTTCTCCTGTTACTGGCAAAAACAGTACAACCAAGGTGGCGACCAAAACCATTGGCCCTGGAAACACCAATACCAACAACAATAACGGCAATGACATTCTTGCCGGCGGCATTGGTGTTGGCATTGGAATTAGCATTGGCATGAACGAGCAGCCGCAAAGGGCGATGCGTGAAGAGTCAGCATCTTCTGCGTTTTCTATCGAGTTCAACAAGTACATTAACCACTATGGTTTGAGCCAATCTTCTGAAGACCTTAGTACGACAACTGCTGTGATCACTAAAGAATCCAACCAACAGTCTAGTTCTAAGGGTGATGAAGACAAGAGACTTGAGACGAACGATCAACCTGTGCAGACGCTGCCTGCTGTGACTGCTACTATATCTGGGGTACTATCTGTTGCAAAGAAGACTGTGGAGGCTCCTTCAAAAGCTTCAGAGACTGTACCAGGGCTAATCCGGCCTTCTGAGCATCAACAAGAACAACTTGTTACTACTGTGTCGCCGAAACAAGTTTCTCTTTCTGTTACTGGAGCTGGCAAAGTTTCTGTTCAAACGCAACAACCGTCAAAAACCCAAGTTCCAGCTCCAGTTCCAGCACCATCTGTTGCAGTTACAACTGCAAACCGCATTAAGCCTGTGGCTACACCTGCTTCCAAGGCTTCTATGTCGACTAGCAGTGGTTCAGTTTCTCAACCTCAGAAACCTTTGCCAAAATCAGCTTCAAGCACAAGTTTGTTGTCTAAGCCAGTTGCTGCTCAGCTACCTCAAGTAACAGCCACTGTTTCGTCGACCATCGTCCCGGCACCTGCTCCACAGCTTGCAATCACTAAACCCTTGATCTCGAAATCAGTCCCAGGACCCCGACCTACAAGCCTGCTGCCAAACTCCAAGTCGCTGTCGTCTGTTCCGCCAACCTCTTCTGCTGGGTCTACTCCGGCCCCTCCTGTCCCGGTCACAATTCCTGCCTCGGTGGCACCCTCGGCCCCTGCAGCTTCAGTTTTGACCCCCGGCTTGACTTCTAAACCAACATCAGTCCCAGTGTCTGTGCCTCGCCCACCACTGCCGTCATTGCCCCCGCCACCGCCGCCACCGCCGCCTCCACGGCCTCAACCTGCTTCAAAGCCTTTGGAAAAACAGGAAACTGTTGCTGGTGCCACTGGTTCAGTTCCAACTTTGGTATCTAAAGCAGCTTCTGCTTCTGTTTCTGCTAGTACTCCAACAAAGAGCCCTAGATCTGGTTTAGGACTTGGTAATAAAGCTCCTGCAACGGCAAGTATTACTGCTCCTGCTACAACACCTGTACAGACTAAGGCTCCCTCTAAAACACCAACTATTGCTTCTACTACTGTTTCTGCTACTAATTCTTCAGTTTCAACCCCAGTACCAACTAAAGCTCCCGTTAAGGTCCTTGTCAAAGTTCCAGCTACTGCAGCTGCCTCAACAAAGACTTTGGCTACACCAACCACTTCAGTAAAAGCTTCGGTTACAACTGCTGTTCCAGCAAAGACTTCGGCTCCTGCAACAGCATCTGCAACGGCTCCTGCAACGGCTCCTGCAACGGCTCCTGCAACGGTTTCTGCAAAAGTTCCAATTAAAGCGTCTATCAAGGCGCCTATTAAAGCACCTATTAAAGCATCTGCTACTACTACTATGGCTCCGGGGAAAGCAACTGTTACTACTACGGCACCGGCAAAAGCAGCAACTACTATTACATTGCCAGCGAAGACACCAGCCGCCACCACTGCATCAGCAAAAACATCTGCTACTCCTGCGGCCCCCTTCAAGGCCTCACCTACCATTACATTACCTGCTAGTATTCTTTCTGCTGGCTCGGTTTCTGCTAAAGCTCCAGTCACCACCAAGGCTTCATCTGTCACTAAACCCGCTGCGACAGTTTCTGCCAAAGCCGCAACTGCAACTGCAACTGCAGCTTCTGTTCCGGCTTCAGTAAATACTACAGCAAATGTTCAAGCTAAAGCTCCGGTTACTACCGCTGCTCTAGCAAGGGCTCCAGCGGTTACAATTACCAAGTCTTCGGCCCCGACCCCGGTTCCGGTATCGGCCTCAGCTTCGGCTTTAGCTCCAGTTCCTGCTTCAACTGCAGCACCTGAAAAGGCTCTAGCTCCTACTAAACCTTCTGTTTCAGTTGCCAATAAGTCTACAGCTCTATCTTCAGCTAAGTCTTCAGATAACACCACCACTAAGACTCTTGCTTCTGTGGCTACCCCAGCTGCAGCTCCGGTATCTACTCCAGCTTCAGCTCCAGCTACAGCATCTGTAACTGTTCCGGTAACTGTTTCGGTAACTGCTCCAGCTTCAGCTCCAGCTTCAGCGTCAGCTCCAGCGTCAGCTTCAACCACACCCCAGACACCAGTTACTAGGCGGGGTCTTCGGCCATCTACAGCCTCGGCCACCATTTCTGGGTTTACACCCATGGGAACCAGGTCATCTGCTGCACACAAAACTGCAGACCAAGAAGTACCAGCAGCCACCAAGACAACCGAAACAGAGTTTTCTGCTATTACAAACACATCTCCCGCCACTCTTGGAATAACAAGGGAGGAAGCCTTAGGAACAATACCAGCAACGGACGCTGTTAATTCCGAGCCTGTGATACCATTACCAGTTTTAGTTCGAGGAGGAAGAGGTGGTAATCGTGGAGGTCGTGTTACTAAGGGTACTGCGAAACGCGGAGGTAGAACAACTGGGAGATCTACGAGAACCAAAACAGGTCGTCCTCCTGGCCGGCCTCCAAAGAATCCGGCAGCCAAAGCAGCAGCAGCCAAAGCAGCAGCAGAAGAAGCAGCGGCACTGAAGGCCGCGGCAGAAGCCCAATTAGCGGCAATGGAAGCAGCCGAAGCAAAGAAAAAGGCAGCAGCAGCAGCAGCAGCAGCAGCAGCAGCAGCAGCAGCAGCAGCCGCTGTTGCGATGCCTGAGTCCTCTGACTCTAATGTCCATGAGCTGGCTGAAAAGCAGCCGCAACAGAAGTCTACTGGTACACTTGGTCCTGAGTTGCCATTGATTTCTTCAAGACGGTCTTCTATGGTTAATTCCAAATCATCACTAGCAGCTAAATCGAAATCTGCTAGCCCTACCCAGAAAAACCTTGTCGAAGCTGTTTCCGATGGATTATCTAAAACTACCCAATCTCCTTTGTCTCAACCTGAGCAATTTCCATCTACTGGCGAATCCGCAGCAGCTGCATCTGAGGCTAGTTTTGATAAATCCAAGACAACTACAAATCCTGCAGAATTGGCACCCGCTTCTACTACACCAACAGATTCTAAAGCCCCTAATACAGCAACAACAACCACGGTAGAAACAATCACAGCAGCAACAAACACAGCAGAAACAACCACAGCAAATACAACCACGGCAGAAACAACCACGGCAGAAACAACCACGGCAGAAACAACCACGGCAGAAACAACCACGGCAGAAACAACCACGGCAGAAACAACCACAGCAGAAACCACCAAGGCAGAAACAACCACAGCAGAAACTACTACGGCAGCAACAACTAAAGAAGCAACTACAGAAGCAACAACCACTTCAGCAGCGGCAACAACAGAAGAAGCGGCCAGCTCTGAACCTGCACCTGCTTTGGGTCCTGGCCTAGAAGAGAATGTTCCTTCTGGCGAGTCAGTTTATTCCCCACCAGCCAGACGCCGTGGGCGTGGCGGATCACGCGGGCGCGGAGCGCGAGGACGAGGCAAGCGTGGGGCCAAGATTAACTCGTTACCCCGGCGCATCACGAGGTCCATCACTAAAAATGAGAACGCCATTGAGGCTTCAATCCAACAAGCCTCCCTCCAAGCTGCTGAAAATTTATCAACAGCGAGTCTGTCAGAAAGCAGATCTGAGACACCGACAACTAGTGCACCTGCTGCACCTGCTGCACCAACCTCTGTGCCTGCTACTTCTGTTGCTCCAACCACAGCAGCTACTACTACAGCGTTGTCTACCACAGTTGGATCTGTCATTAGCGGATCCTTTTCTACGACTCCAAATAGCAATCACCACCATCATCACCATCATCACTTGAATCTTAATGAAATTGATCTTGTTTCGACGTCACCTTCCACGAATATGGTTCCGGCTTCTGCCACGTCTGTTTCCCCATACTCAATCATGTCTAATTCGGCGTACTCTCCTGATTCGCGTGAATATGAGCTTGGTGGGAATGACAATCTCGATGAGCCACCTCTTTCCTCGTTGCCCATTGGCGTTGAGGAACGGTCTATGCTTTTCCGAGCAGCAGCTACGGCTTCATTTGTGACGACAACAGAAAAGAATCATTTCAACACTCCACAGCGAAATTCCACATTATATTCTCGGCCTCAGCTCCATACTTCAGGGGGACCGCGAGTTATTCAGCAGAGTCCTCCAGATTACAAGGGATCTTCTTCGTCTTTCACTTCAATCAATGTTTCTTCCGTCAAGAATACGGCGTTTGCCTCAACAAGTTCATCTTCGAAGTCGCGAAACACTGATTCGTTGTTTTTAAATCCACAAAACACTACAGATGTTAACGACAATAGCCCGTTGAACTCTGCTGAGAATTTGGCGGAGGAATGGTCTAATTTTGGGGATGTTTCCAAGAACCTACACTGGGATTTGCATGAGGAAATTAAAGACCCAAATGATTCTGGGAACTTTGATAAGGAATTTTCTGATTACTCAAGTGACGATGACGACGATGATGATGATGATGACGATTTTGATGATTCTCGTCACCAATTGGATGAGCCAGGTACTGGTAGCACCACTAGCGCTCCAGTTGTTTCTGATAGTACAAAAGCAAAGACTGCAAGTACACCTTCTATCTCGATCAAGGGAAAGCCTGGAAAGAAGCCTGAGAAGGTGACGAGTGAAAAGCGAGCAGCAGCGGCAGCAGCAGCAACTGCTACAGCAGCCACGTTTGTCAAACGAACATACAAACGAAAGAAAACTCCAAAATGGTAAATAATAAAGGAGAAAAAAAAAAAAACTAAAGAAAGAAAGAAAAAAAAAAGTTATTTTAATATATAATACTTTTTATGAATAAAGAAATTATTTTTTGTGTTTTATAAATTAAAAATAGACAGGTTTAAAAAACAAATCCGGAGTGTATTTTGTTTGTCATTTTTTTTTTTTTTTTAAAAAACGATAGATAGATAGATAGATAGATGTCTACGGTATCTTGAAGATAATCTTACTTCAACAAAATGAGCTTCAAAAATAACTTTCTGGAAAAAATATTTAGGATATCTAAAGCTGTTCCTATATAAATCTTTAATGAGAATTATTAAAATTATGATTTAAATAAAGGTTTCTGTTTTTTTTTTAATTCCCTATATCAAATAGATAAGTTGACTAAGGGAGCCTTTTGTAAGATTTTAAACTGCAATTTTGTCCAAGTTTCAGCTAATTGTTATTTTTTCATCAAAGACTATATTTACACTTTATTTTAAGTGTCTACTATCCCAAGATCTACAAATGAACAAATGTGTAAGATATATTATATATATGAAAATATATTGAATTTAAAAAAAAAAAAAAAAGGAAAGTCGTAACACCAGTGCCAAGCTTCAATTCATACTGCTAAGTGCAGTCCGTTTCGCCATACCAAAGGTAGTGGGGTCCTTGCTTGATTGCTCACCTGGGGAGTAGCCACTTACTTACCGCTAGCTCAAGCACCCAGATTACTCACAGGGCTTAAGAAGCGCACCTTTGGATTCGAACCGGACACCAAACAGCTTCCCGAAAGAACGAATTTTATCAGAGCGGGTGCCACTTCCACCAAAATGCCATTACAGCGATATTTTATAAAACTTTGTAGGATTTAAATTGAAGTTTTGAAAAAATGGAAAAAACAGAAAAAAATTGCATAAAGTCTTGAAAGGAGAAATCCACAAGTTGGAAGTGATGCAGAACATGGCTTTAAGAAGAATTGTTGGTGCTTATCGCACAACTCCTATTGCGGTATTACAAAAGGAAGCTGGTATTATGCCATATAGTATTAGGCTAAAATTTATGGTGGCACGAAAAGCTATTCGTTTACACCTAAATATTAGCAAAACTAATCCTATTAATGGTCATTTGTTAACATTGATTGAGAAATCTCCAATTGCAAAGCTAACCACGCTTTACATGTTGGCGAAAGATAATAGAGACTACATGATTAAAAAGAATGAAAAACCAAAATGCAAGAGGGTTGAACCTCTTACACTGAAACAACAACAAAATCAGACGATTGGAATTTTGAAGAAACAAGCAATGGAAGAATGGCAAGAAATGTATTGGAACAGTAGTAAGGATCTGTGGTATCATAATATCACAGTGGAGTCGAAATGTACTGATAATCTTTCCAAAATGGTTACGGGAGTAATCATGAAGAAAGATAGTCGAAGGATCTTGAGTAATATTACTCAGTTTCGCACAGGCCATGGCAACTTTGGCGCATGGTTTAAAAAGTTTGGAATTGAAAAGGATAGTTACAACTGCAAATGTGGAGAGCTGGAAACAGTTCATCACATTTTAGTTGAGTGTCCTTTGCTTGAAGAGGAAAGAAAAGGACTGAAACGGATATCTCCAGAGATGGACATGTCGACTCTCTTAAACAGTTTAACTGGCTTACAAGAGATTGTAAGCTTTATCTCTGCTTGGAGGGATTAAGAAATACAATCACAGCGTTGATGAAGACAAGTGGAGATAGGTTGGGAAGGTTTGGTTATTTTTAACCCCCTGTTCCTCGTAAGCTGGCATCAGGACTTATTTTCGGGCTGTTGGAGATGCAATGTTGAAGCCAAAATTAAAAGTTTATTATGAAAATGAAAAGATATATAGTATGGACAAGAAGGATAGCGCAGATGCTGATGTTATATAATTCTATAACCCTTGAATAAAAACAAACAAACAAACAAACAAAGAAAAAAATTGGAAAAATTGGAAAAAGTTTAAAGATGGATTGGAAATATGAATTGTTAAGGTCAATAGAGATATTCTAAACACATATTTAAAAAAAAAAAATCTTGTTAAAGGTTCATCACTGATCATCATTGAAATACAAACAAATATTTCATATATTTAATCTGAATAGTATATATAGGCCAGCAATTATTGTTGGTATAATTAGAATTTGGTATTAAATTTTTTTTTTTTCTACAAAAAAACTTTAATTAAGAAAAAGAAAAAAAAATAAATAAAATGGTTTTTTTTTATATGAAAATTAAGTTACTTTGGAACGTTTCATTCATATTAAACTTTGAATAATTTTGGGGTATAATATATTTGGTAATTGCTATTTTTTTTTTTTTTTTTAAATTAATTTCTTGCTGAACAACATTTTTTAAGTCAACTTTCTTAAATAAAAAAGACTTGTTTTTTTTTTTTTCAATATTTTTTTTGTGGAATGTGTTGACCCAATGTGAAAAAAAAAAGACATTTCTATTTACTTTCTTTGTCAATTGTTGAGTTTGCTTTCTTTATATACCCAGAATGGTTAAGTCAATTCTCAAAATAAAAAAATAACGTTTAATAAATGAATATTGAAAATTTTGAAATTTTGAAATAAAGATAAATTTGCTTAAAAAGAATGAATGAAATGGAAAAGTTTTCTTTTGCTTGCTTGCTTGTGCACAGTAAAAAAAAAAAAAAAAAAAAAAAAAAAAAAAACTTTTGAAGGTATCACGTGATCAATCAAGTGTAACCTGATGTTAGTTTCACTTGTGTGTGTGTGTGGTAAATAAATAAATTTTCATTTTGGTTATATTTCGGAATAAAAAAAACGGTCTTTTTTTTTTATGATATTTGTGTTTTTTTATGAAGAAAAAAATAATTTGAATTAAAGAAATTGTCACTATATATATATATATATATATAAATAAATATTTAAACTATATGTTATTTTTTTTGGAATAGAAAATGTGATTGTGCAGTTTTACAAATTTGCATCTTTACATTTAATGGTATCTATCTATCTATCTATATATATATGATGGGTAATATTCTTTGAAAAATTTGGTAAAAATAAAATAAAAAATTTTTTTTTTCCTGGAACCTTTAAATGTCTTTTTTTTTTTTTCTTTTCTTTTGTATGTGTTTCTTGTGACATTTTGCGACGGATGTTCATTTTATACTTGAGGGGAAATATTGAATCATAAATATTCCAGATATTTTAGACATGTAAGAACAATGTAAGATTGAAGGGATGGTTATAATCTTGATCTCTACCGTCTGTAAGTAGTAGGGAGCATTTTGTTAGTATTTTCAAAGTACATGGGCATAATAATAGTTAATAGTAGTAAGCAGCTACCAATCCAAGGTAATTAATTTGTAAGTTAGTAAGTTTAGATACTATACTATACTATACTATACTATACTATACTATACTATACTATACTATACTATACTATACTATACTATACTATACTATACTATACTATACTATACTATACTATACTATACTATACTATACTATACTATACTATACTATACTATACTATACTATACTATACTATACTATACTATACTATACTATACTATATACTATATACTATAATCATCACTAACCACATATAATTTAAAAATTTAGTAAGATTGTTGTTACTCAATCAATTTATAGGAGGGACACTTTTCTGTGGGGTAACAAAAAAAAAAATAATTAAATAAAAGATAGATAAAGAGATAAAGAAATAGATAAAGAAAGATATTTAAATAAATATATATATATATATATATAAGATCTTATGATAAAAAAAACAAAATGATTTAAGCATAGAAAAAAAAAAAAAAAACTCATGAGTGATCACTCATCTGATTTTTTCTTTCCCAATATTTTAAAACATTTTAATAAATTTATTATTTAAATGAAAATAAAAAAATGATCTTTTTAATATATATTTGTTTATATATATTTAACTGAAAACAATTTTTTTTATAAAACAAGAATAAAGTTCTTGTAATATAAATTTAAAAAAATAATAATAAAATAAAATAAAATAAAAAGTCTCAGGTTTATTATTTAAATTTAATATATATATATATATATATATATAAAACTTGATTCATATAATGGGCCCTAATGTATAATTCCTCCTCACCACTTTACCCTATTTTATATTTATTTATTTTTTATTTCTTTATAAAGAGAGGGAAAAAAAATCCAAACAAGAACCCTTTTTTTTTATTTTTAATTTTTTTTTTTTTCATTTAATAATTGGATGCTTTGAATTGAATGGCTGCCCTTTTGGTTGCTTTTTTTCTTTTTTTTTTTTTTTGAAGTTAATATTTTTATATATATTTAATTTTTTATATATATTTAATTTTTTATATATATTTATATTTATTATGTCCCTTAGATGTAAGTATGTACAATATGCAGCTTTTGTTTACACTCGCGGTATTTTTTTTTTTTCCCCTTTTCTAATTAGTTTTCTAAACAAAAATCCCAAAATATATAAATATATAAATATATAAAGTTGTATATATATTTACATTTCAATATCTCCATAAATTTTTATTTTTTTAAAAGAAAATATTCTTATTTATTTTATTTTATTTTTTTTGATAAATCTTCTCCTCGTTAATTAATATTTGTTTTCTTGATTGAGTCTTTTTGTAGAGAGAGAAAAAAAAAAAAAAAAAAAAAGAAGATCCATTTATCTTCTTCTTCTTATTAAAAGAGGAAATAAAAAAAAAAAACTTACCATTTTTGTCTATTTTTTTCTTTGTTTAACTTTTTTTTTTTTTAATCTTACAATAACATCGGATAACCAAATCTATCCGTAATAATAATAATAATAATAAAAAGACTTTTAAATTATTATTCTGTTTTGTTAAATTAATTAAAAATTAATTGAAAATGTTTGTTTATTGAATTCACAAAAATAATAAAAAAATAAAAAAACATTTTTTTTTTAAATTTAAATTTTAAGTTTTTTTTATTTTTATTTTTTTTTATTTCTAAACTTTTATTTGTATCAAACAATTTCATTGGTTTGTTTTACCAGTCTTTAATAGTTAATTTTTGTTTTTTTTAAAAAAAAAAAGAAATCAAAACTTTTGTTATTTTTATTTTAAAATATAAATGAAACTTTTATTATTAAATTATTATTGAATTAATTAAATGATTTTGGTTTGGGTCTTTATATATATATATATATATATATAAATTTTTAAATATATAAAAATGCTTTCTTCTTCTAACTTTCATGCCCCAAATATTATAATAAAACAAAAAAAAAAAATATTACAAGAATTATATATATAATAATAATAAATTTATATTTAAAAAAAAAATTAGATTAAATGGTCCAACAAAATAAACAAAAAAAGGACCAAAGTTTTTTTTTTTTTTTTTTTTTTTTTTGGGGTATTTTTTTTTTATTTTAATTTCGGGAAAGAATTCTTCTTCTTTTTCTTATTTTATTAAAAAGCCAATTTCATTCGAGGAATAAATTTCATTCTTTTTTTGGCTTTTTAAGGATTTTTTTTTTTTGTTTTCAACTCTTTTTTTTTTTTTTTTTTTTTTTTTTTTGGGTATTAGTTGTTTTGGTTGTTGAGGGAATTTATAAAAAAAAATAAAATTTTTCTTTAATTTTTTTTTATTTTCTCTCTCTTCAACATTCCTCCCCTTTGGTTCTTTATTTTAATTCATCAAGCCGCCCCGGTACCAATGAAAAACGTAGGTCCTGAAGCTCTCTTCATCGCCCCACCATTAACTGTTGAAATATCATCGCCATTGGGAACCGTAGTAGTAACTGAACTGTGAGGGCTTAAACCATTGGTAGTACCAGAAATCACCTTATGCATAGGCATACCTTGAGGAATCTGTTCAAGTTGCTGTTGCTGCTGGCCTCCATTCACAGGGAAAACTCCTTGCTCCCTAGGTGATGATCGTCGAGACGGCACCTGGCTGTCTCCATTAGGTGGATATGCTGTATAACTTGATCGTCTTGATAAGGCCCCAGGAGAAGGTGTTGCAGAAGAACCACCATATTGAGCTGTAGAAGGAGGAATCATCATCCCTCCATAACCACTATTATTATTATTATTATTATTATTATTAATATCATTGTATGGGTTACCATTCATATAAGGGTTATTATTAAACATGCCAGTGTTAAGTGCCGGAGTTGAAGCCGAATGATGAGACCCACGAGATTGCTGCAACATATATTGCTGAGTTTGCATTTGTAATTGCTGTTGATAACTGCTGTTACCATTACTATTATGAGCAACATGACCATGATTTGGATGTTGCTTAGCCATGAGATTGTCAAGTGTCAACGAGTTGGAGCGAGATTTGGCCAGCCGAGCACTATCCACGGCCGCGTAGCGATTAGACGTAAGCGACGAAAACGTATCCAAATCTGCTGTAGGAGACGTAAGACCAGCGCTCAGCGTAAAGTCCGTCACAGACATTCGTCCCGGGTACGGCCCCCCATTAATATTATTATTGTAAAAATTATTGTATGCACCGCCCATGTTGGGCGACGGACTAACCACGCTCAGTGAAGACCCGCTGCGAAATGCCGAAGCCGCGGAAGATCTTCCATTGGAAGGAACATTATTACCCATTTGCATTTGAGATAAAGATAACGACGACTGCGACCCGCGCACGTTGCGCCCGCCAATTGTGGTCGACATTGACCGGCGGTTTTTCCTTGAAGTTAGGGACATCATGTCGAGGTTTTCAACGTCAGGCATAGGTTCTGGTGGAGGAGGGGGGAAACCTTGGTTATAAGGGGCCCCTGGGCCATAATTATTATTATTATTATTATTATTATTATTATTATTAGGAGTCATGTATCCATTTGGTGGAGGGGGTCCCAAATAATTTCCGGGTGCTTTGCCGTTCATGCCATTTAACTGATGTGAAGATCTAGTGCTATAAGATTGAGGTCGCTGTTGATATTGTTGTTGCTGTTGTTGTTGTTGTTTTATAGGAACCGGTCCACTTACGGAAGCACGGGTTCTTGAAGGGACTCCGGAAAGAGGAGTACCTATGGGGCCAGAAGGCATCATAGGTTGTTGCTGTAGCTGCTGTTGTTGCTGCTGCTGCTGTTGTTGTTGCTGCTGCTGCTGCTGCTGTTGTTGTTGATGATGATGCTGTTGTTGAAGTTGTTGTTGACTAACAGAACCAGCAGGCGGTTGCTGACGTTGCAACGACATTTCCCAGTGAGACAGTTTAGCATCTCGCTGAATCAGATTTTGTTCACGCTCATTAAGAGCATGTTCTTTAAGCTCAAGTTGTTTAAACTTGGCTTGAAGAGCCGAGGAAGCTGCTGCGGAGCCATCATCGGAAGAGTTTGCAGATGATGCGGAAGAATCTTCAGATGCGGAACCTGCAGAAGAGGCAGCAGAGGAAGCTGCAGTAGTGGTTGCGGTACTTGGAGGGGTTAAATCTGTAGGATCCGAGAAGGTTTCCGTTCCGGTGGGTTGGTCGGAGATAGGGTCAGGTTCAGTGACGGGAGTAACATTTTTAGAATTTTTGCTTTTTGGTTTGATGCGGGTCAAAAGGACAGAAGAGTCCAAAGAATTAAAAAAGCCCATTTGAGATAAAAAGGCAAAGACCGACTCGAGATATGGTGTTTTAATGCCGTAGTCGTCGGCGAGTAGAATAGGATGGAGGAGGAGAAGGTCTGGGCGGACGGGTAAGTTATGGTAGTAGTTGTAAAATAGGAGAGGTGAAGTGAGATAAGGTATAATAGAGGAGGAAGAAGAGGAAGAAGAAGAAGAAGAAAAGGGAGAGGAAGAGGAAGAAGAAGAAAAGGGAGAGGAAGAAGAAAGGGAAGAAGAGGCAGCAACAGCAGCAGAAGCAGCAGCAGAAGTAGAAGTAGAAGTAGAAGTAGAAGTAGAAGTAGAAGCAGCACTACTAGAAGAAGCAGCAGCAGTGTGGGTGGTTGTGGATTTGGTAGTACCAGTGCCAGTACTAAATGGGGGGGTGGCCACATAGTCGTCGACCAAACTCTCCACGCTGCCGCCCTGCGGGAAAGTCACGCCGGCATGTTTTTGGGCCAACTGCATAAGTTCTCGGGCAACGCCTGAATAGAGGGGTTTGGATAGAACATTTGAAATGAGTCCTTGAGCAGTTGGGGCTTCGAGGAGAACAGTTAAAGGGTCTAAAGCTACAGCTGGAAGGATATGAGGCCATTGTGCAGCATCGTAGTTAGGGGCAATGGTGGCGTCTAAGCCAGAAGTTTGTAAGGTCAAAACAAGAGCCTTATATTTTTGGGCCAGGGCAGGGGCAGTTGAAAAGGGAGATGGCATTTGAGAAAAGACAGTTTTGGTGGAGGCACCGGAGTGGAGCAATTCCATTCCTGGAGGAGGGGATTGTCTCAGGTTGGCTTCAGTGTAGAATGCACAGACTGGGTTTTGGGGGAATTTGCTGGCCACAATTGAGTGGAGTGAGATGTAATTTGTAGAATCTACAATGATAATTGTATGACCAGGAGTGATGATACCTGATTGGGCCACAGCACGAGGGAAACCTGCGAGAGATTTAAGAGAAGATGGTGCCAGAATTACAAAATCGTATAATGGGTGATGATTATGATCTTGAATTGAAGTTGATGAAGTTGGAGTTAGAGTAGAGTAAAGTGTAGCAAGATCATAAGTTGCGATAGGAGTAAAAGCTGAGTTTGTACCAAACTTTGCTGAACGTACTGGGACATTTACCTTAGGATTAAGATCAGTTGGTACACCAGGCCAAGCGACAGAGACTTGATAAGCGGAACGGGACTCGTGAATTCGCCATGCTAAAAAGATAGAAGCTGGAGATGTACCGACTAAAAATAATTAATAAATAATTAATAATTAATAAATAAATAATAAAGAAAGAAAGGAACGGCGTTAGCAAAATAAAATAAAAAAAAAAAAAAAACCATGAACAAATTGATGCAGCAACGTCATGCTAAAAAGGCTAGGTGGGAGGTGGTAGATATCTAGTTTGATATCTATTTAATAATAAATAATAATATATATATATATATATATATAAAACATACTTGAAAGAACAGAGACAGAGCCGGAAGAAGAGGCCATTTGGGGGGAGTTTCTGTTTTGAATTGTATAAAAGAAATTTAAATTAAAATGATAAACGAATGGATAAGTTTAAATAGAAAAAAAAAAAAAAAATTGGTGGTGATGATGATGATGAAAGATAAATTTTTTTTTAATAATAAATTTATGGTGATGATAAAAGAAAGAAAGAAAGAAAGAAAGAAAGGAAAAGAAAGAAATAAAGAAAGAAAAGAATTTTTAAAAAAAAAAAAAAAAAAAAAAAAAAAAAAAAAAAAAGGAGGAGGAGGTAAGAAAAATAAAAAAAAAAATAAAAAATTGGATTGCGTAGAAGCCAAAATAAATAAAATAAAATAAATAAATAAAATAAAATAAATAAATAAAATAAAAAATAATTTCTTTTTTTATTTTTTGAAATCTTTAAATGGTGTAAATACACACACACAATTAAATACAGACGCCTTCTTCCCCTTTTAAAATAAATAAATAAAAAAATATATATATAATATCAGCCGTATGCCCTAACCCTAACAGTGCATTATTATTAATAATTAACTTAAAATTCAAATCAACTTAAAATTCAAATCAATTCTAAAATCAATTCTAAAATCAATTCTAAAATCAATTCTAAAATCAATTCTAAAATCAATTCAATTCAAATCAATTTTTAAATCAATTTTCAAATCAATTCTAAAATCAATTCACCAAACTTCAAATGTTTCAACTAAAAAAAAAAAAAAAACTATAAAAATGACCCTTAATTTCCCATCTTCTTACTTTTCTTTTCTTTCACTCAAAAAAAAATTATCATCATTCTATAAACAATGCTTTCAAACTATTCCTTCTCAAACTTCACTTCTGATCTCCCAATCTCTCGTAACCCAACCCATGCTATCTCAAGCTCATCTACCTCCGGTTCAGGAACTATCATGACCCGTGAAGCTGCTGCTGAACTCTTTAATAATAATAATAATAATAATAATAATAATAATAATCACAACAACAACTCTAATATTCATGCAATGTTCCCATATGATATCTTCTCTGATAAAAACTCTTATCACATCAAATTTACCCTCCCTGGAGTCCCCCCAGAAAATGTAAACGTCGAATTCGATTACAATGCTAACGAACTTAGTATCTCTGGAAAACTCAAATCAAGATGGCCATCTAAATCTTCAAAATCAAACAGTTGGACTGATGGTGCTTCCTGCTCATTTGCCCGTTGTATTGCTTTCCCATCAACCGTCCATTTCTTAGAACCTAAAACAACTGCCATTTGGGTCTTTGGTGTTCTTGAAATCACACTCTACAAAGACAAATCATATGAAGCTTCTCATAACTTTAAAAAATTAACTATCGTTGATTCTAAAGATGTCCGCGAAATTGCTCCTAAAAAAATCCTTGCAATTGATCCTCCCCCAGGTTCAATGCCTCCAGAAAACTTTTCAACATATCAACCCTCTTCAAAAAATAAAACTTCTCCTGAATCTATCCGTTCAATTCCAATCTCAATGTCTTCAAAAAAGAAAAACAATACTCCCCCCATTGTTGCTCCCTCTTCTGCTTCAATCATGTCTTCTTCTTCCTCTCGCTACCCAGAATCCACTCGTTCTTCTTCTTCTTCTTATTCTACTTCCTCTTCTCTTAATTCTACTCCATCTGTTCGTTCAATGGCTGCTCCCTCAATTCGATCTGTCTCTTCTGGAATCCCTGGTTCAATCTCTGGATCATTGACCCATGATGATACAATCTCAATTCGTTCTGGTAATTCTGCCATCTCTGCTTACTCCTACCAATCTGCAAAATCAAATGTTTCTGACCACCCAGTTCAAGAATCACAATCCCTACTTGGCCGTCTTTCTGCTCTTGCTTTTGGATCAACTTCTTCTAACCAAGATTCTGATTCACAATCAATTCGATCAACAAATAGTACTAGTACTCTAACCCCAGAAAACTACCAATCTACTGAATCTGTCAAATCTGGATATGCTGGATCTTCAAAATCAAAGTACCCAGAATCAACTAAATCTACAGCTTCTTCAAATTATCATGCTCATGAACTCTCCGCTTCTGTCAGCGTTCGTTCTTCCAAAACTGGCAAATACCAAGAGTCTGTCCGTAGCTCAAAGTATGAGGAATCAGTCCGCAGTTCTAAGTATGAACCTTTTACTAGAAGTTCAAAGTATGAGCCCTCTACAAGAAGTTCAAAGTACGAGCCCTCTACTAGAAGCTCCAATTACGAAGAATCTGTTCACAGTTCCAAATATGAGCCCTCCACAAAAAGCTCCATCTATGAAGAATCATTTTACAGCTCCAAGTATGAGCCTTCTACTAAAAGTTCCAAATATGAAGAATCAGTGCGTAGTTCTAAGTACTCTACCCGCTCAAACTCAACCCTAGACCGATCAGTCCATTACTCAGAATCTGTGAAAACCTCGTCACGCTATGAGCCATCAGTCCGTAGCGATTACGCGTCTAGTTTCTATGCAGTCGATGCCATTGCAGCTGCCGCTAGGGAAAAGGAAAAAGAAGATGTTGCTAGTTTTCCCACACCTTCTCCATCTGTTCGTTCAGGGAAGTCTTCATACTCGTTTTGGAGCAAGAAGAATTGAGTTTTTTTTTATTTATTTTTATTTTTATTTTTATGATTACTTGCTTTGTTTTGCTTTGTTTTGCTTTTGTTTGCTTTAATATTTGGTTTATTTTTAGTTTAGTTTAATTTAAATTAATTAAATAAATTGATTGCTTAATTATTTATTTATTGATTTCATTTCAATATGAATTGTTACTCATGATAACTAGATGTTATCTTTGGTTGCCAATATAATTTGTACGGGTTAAGATGATAATTCTGATGAATATATTTTATTTCCATGAACTCCACCCCACCACCAAAAAAAATTTCTGTTTCTGTCATGTTCACATTTTTTTATTATATTATAATTATATGATAAGATTATAATTGGTTTTCTTATTTCATATCTTAAACCAATGATGAAAATATTTTTAAAAAGTTCTAATAATTTTTTTTTCATTTTTTTTTTCATTTTTTATTTATTTTTTGGAAAAAATTTCTTACCCATTAGTTCCCATTTCCCGGATAACTTTTACCACCATTACCACCACCACCACCACCACCCCCTTTTGAAATTCAATAATCTTTGTTTCAATAACTGACTCAGGTGCTCTTTAACTAAAACTAACTATAACAAAATAACTGCGTGATCTTTTTTTTTTATTCATTCCTTCATCAGAATTTATTCTTTTATTTTAAATTTGTCTTATCATATATAAAAACAATAAATTATTCTCTGTCTCAATTTTTTTTTTTTTCAATTCCAACCATCTCCCTTCCCTCTTTTTTTTTCTTTTTTTCTTTTTTTTTTAAAAAAAAAAAAAATAAACCCGTCTCATTTTTAAAAATCAAGTCCCTGAAGCAGATTCCTTCTTATTATTTTTCTTTTTTTTATTTTTCTGTTCAGTTGCGTTTTGTATTTTTTTAATTTTTTTTTTGTTTAAAAAAAAAACCATCAATTTCGGCTATATGCCTAAGTGAAATCTCAAACATGTTAAACTAAATTCTACATTCCATCCATCCACACATTTCATCCATTCTTCCATTCTTCACCCCATACTTATTATTTTCATAATAACAGCTGCTCAAACGGAATATCCGCCTTTAAGCTTTTTTTTTTCAGACTAACTCCGACGTTGCATCATGTTTACAATCCTAAACAATTGTTCTTCTTTTTTTAATCTTACATCTATCAATCAATCACTCAGTCAGTCTTGTTTACTACTCAATAGATAAAGCATTAAACTGAAAATCCCTGAAATAATGTAAAAAAGTTTAAAATAAAGGGACAACTAACTAATAAAAACTTTTTTTTGACAGTTAACGAGATTACTTCTATAAAAACGTCCTCTCTCTTTGCTGTTCAAAACAATCAAATTTACGATGCTAATCAGTGTTATCAGAAACCCCTCCCCAGACACAAATCCATTGACTTAAAAAAATGATTAGAGCATGAACTACGCTTGAGCTACAAAAATATGGGCCAACACACTTGACACTAATAACCATAGACCATTACCATCAGAATCAGCATGAACAATAATAGGCCCAACCCTAGAGACATCAATTTGGACTGATGTTAGACTCAGGGCTTGGACAACAAAAAAAAATGCATCAACAAGGTAGAAGAAATACTGGCAAGTATTAATGATTAATATCATTGATGGGGAGAAAGAAATCGTAAGTCATCAACAATGACACCAGAATTAACAGAAACTTGATCTAACTGCTTAGACATCGACTTGGGCCGAGGTGTGGAAAGTAAAAACTTTTAGGACTCAAGCATGCATAGTAGATAAACCATTCAGGACGAGGCTTCGGATCAACGTAAAAAAAAAAAAAAGAAACCTCACAAAGTATCGGGATCCACCTCAGCTTGAAATAAACATTTCAATTGACTATGATTTGAACCGATTGCACAAACATCAATCAAATTATTAGACTAAAACTTGAGTAGAAGCATATTATAGGCAAAAAGAATTATTTAATCTGAGTGCATTGTAGATAAGGTTAATCTCCCGGGGAAATGTTTCTGTTGACGTCAGGGATATCAGCAGGACAAAGACCCTTAATCAGCATATAAAAGATCAGTCGACACACAAAAAAAAATAGTCTTTGGTAAAAAAATGTGACAATTAGCCGGGACTTGAACAAAACTGCAGTTTGAAATCTCACAAAAGGCCCTCTAGCCAACTTATCTATTTGGTGTCGGGAATTAAGAAAACAGAAACCAAAAAAAAAGAAAAAAAAAACAACCGGAACTCGGGTCATCGATAAAAATGTCACGATTATGACGCAGCTTATAAGCTGCATAGGTATTAACTTGTACCCAAACTTAACAAACAAATTCATCTTAGACTCAAGCTAGCATTGGAAAGGTATCATCATTTGGTTTCAAAAATCTGCGTAAACCACAAAGATATAAACAGAAAATGGATACAATTCATAAAAAATAACTTTACAATTGAATAATGGGGTTTATGAAACACTCAGAAGAAGCAAGCAAGGGTCTAAACTCAGAGAATTTGGCCAACAAAGTTGATTCTACTGAAAGTGTACAGCATAGTGTAACAAAAAGGTCAACATTGGAATAGGTCTCACACCCCCAAATAAGTCTCCAAATTTCTTGAAAAGATGCTTAATGGATAGTACAGTGACGGAAGTTCTGTGAACCCCACTAAAGAAGCAATCAGAGGTCCAATTCTTGAGAATTTAGTTCAAAATGTTGACGCTAACATATAACCTTGATTACTATATTTTAAAATTTTGGTTGTATAAAAGAAAATAGCATTCTTAATTTATAATCAATATTTTGATTAATTATTAATCTTAAAAAGGTCCTCCAAAGTTTTACGATCCTGCTCCAATTTTTGTGTGTCTTTTCCATAAGCTTGGTCAACATACTTGTTCACTTTCTCAAGCAGAAGAATCAAAGCGCTTCCAAATTCAATTTCGGAATCTTTGGTTCGACTCTCTAAAGCTTTCAAAAATACACTGACTGCAAGCGCAACATATCCTTGGACCTTAGGATTTTTTGAAGTTTCGATTGTTGACAATGGAGGCTGCGAGTGTGCAGGTGAGAGCAATTGATACAGATCGGTAGAAACGTCAAACGAGCCGTCAAAGTTGCATGCTAATGTAATAATTGACAAGTCTTGGTAAGCCGTTTCAAGCAAAGTTTTTGGTGGTAATTCCAACGGAGGTGCACTAGTAGACAATTCATTCATGTTATCTTCAGGCTGTTTATTCATGTTATCTTCAGGCTGTTTATTCCTTAAAAAAACCGATTTTAAAACAAAATTGCTAGCTCTTCCAAGGCAATCTTTCATAGAGTCAATTGTTGAAGTTGTAGGTATAGTTAAAGCAGCACACTTATCAACAATATAAGAATTATTGGATCTAATCCTGGATCTAATCTTAGCTGAAGACCTGTTAAAAGGTTTTGGACTTGATCTCAAATATTGCAAACATTGCATTCTTAGCGGTAAATAATAAGATGACCCAAAATCTGATTCAAAGATGATATTTTCGCCCAATTTCGAATCATTAGAAATATCATTATCCGATTCAAATTCTCGGTTCTTGTCTTTGATTTTATTTTCAAGGGCAAGTAACGATGTCCAAGGAGATACTAATCCAAAAGTTTCACCTATTAATTCACAAAACTTGTCGCGCTTAGATTTATCTGTTGATTGAAGTATTTCATTTTCTTCATTTTCATTCTCCTCAGCGTCTTTTTCATCTGAAAAAGTTCTTAAAAGCGATCGACCTCCTCCAACAAACAGAAACTTTTCATTATCATAAGATTCATCTTGGACAACAGGTGCTTCAAATGTTTTCGTGGATCCATCATCCAATAATAATTGAATCTTAACAGAAGGTGCAACGAGTGATGCATCATCCACAAAGATATACATTTTGGAATCATTTTTGGAAAAAATTGGTAGTAATCCAGTATTAGGGGTTATCAAGTGGCCCTTATCATAGGTATCAACTTCCATAAGTTTGCCCAACTTGAAGCTTAATGGCTCACCATATCCTTCAAGCATCTCAAACTCATCTTCACCATCTATTTTTTTTTCTTTATCTTTCAAAGACCAATAGACAGTAGCACCAATAACACACGGACTCAAAATGATCTGCAAAAGTTTGCTAATTTTTAACTCCATGCGCTCCTTGACTAAAACAGTTTGTTTGATTCCACCACCAGCTTTCGCCAAAGAATCTAGAAGGCTGTGTGACACAGAATCTCCTACACCAAAAGAGTGGACCCGTGTTATACCGTTACCTTCATTATTTAAAGATGAAACCATTTTTTTCAAAGTTTTGAATATTTCAGAAACATTAAAAACCTCGCCATCTGTCAGCACAATAATCTCATGATCTATAGTTTTTGAATTTGTCAGACCCAAGTACCGAAAATAACCAGGGGTTTTTAACTGGTTCAATATTTCCACAAGAGGATCTAAAATCTCAGTGCCACCAAAATCAGCGTTTATACTTTTAATAAATGTGCGTGCATCTTTAAATGACTGTTCATTAAGGAGCCGGGAATGAGGCCAGAGAAACTTATATTTTGAACCAAATGATACAAAATTAAAGTAAATAGGGTAATCGTTGTTTTGTCCAGAGGATGGCAATGAAGATAAATATAATTGAAGAGCATCTTTTAATGTCTCTACGCAGGAATCCATAGAACCGCTGCGATCAATTAAAAAGATAAGTTCTTTGGGACGGGTACTGGTGAGATCTAAGGTAGGTCGAAAATTAATCGTTAAAAGATTACTGAGAACTGGAGCATCAGCAACAGGATCTTGACTAGATAAATGAGCAGAGAGTTCCAAATGACTCTGATCCTTGACTATGACGACAAAATCATTCTCAAGTTTTGGTTCTTCTTTGCTGGAATAGGTCACTAAATCTGGCTTGACTTTGGCTAATTCTTTGTGAGAAACACACTCCAAGAATGATGTTTTTGAAGAATTTAATTTGACTGAAATATAAGTTCCTGCTTGGGAAACAGTGCTGACAACTTGAGCTCCATCAACGGCATTTTCATTTTCTGGTTCTATTCCATATCTGGGGAAAATGTTAGTTGGAATAAAAAACCGATAACCATCATACTGAGAGTCGTATTCTAGCATTGAAAAGTACTCCTAATTATAGTTAGTATAATTGATGGAAATTATTTTAAGAAATAAAAAACTTACCAATTCAACTTTTACTGTTGTGTTCCATGGAATATTACCCAAATCGATTTGAAAAATATCAGGGCTATACATAGTAGCCAATCCGGCCAATATATTTTCGCGGTCATCAAGAGCGGTTTTAAACTCAGCTTTAGCCTTGGCTGCCGCCATAAACTTGCCTTTAATTACCCGATCGGATCCAACGGTGGCTTTGAAAGCAGTCACTGCACCTGAAGGCGGGTTAGGAAACCGATAGGCAAAGTGAATGGATTTGTTTTCAGGTGAATCTAAAATATTTTCATCGTCTTTTGCTTTGAAATCAGGTGGTAGGCAGCCAACCTTGAATGACTGAGATACAGAAACTTTAGCTCCAAAAGGATTTGCAATTATGGCATCTATTTTAGTGAATTCGCACTGAGTAACTTTTGCAAGATGATTTTTGAAATTAAATGAATTCAAAAAAATAAGACCAAACTCCATATTCGTATATTCTGTTTTGATGTTGTAAAAAATTAATTTTTGTAATTGTGATGATTTTTCTATTTATTGTACAGTTGTAAGTTTGACTGAAAAAAAAAATATGGAAATTCCTTGGTTTTTATAAAAAAGTATTCAAAAAAATATATATATGGAAATTAGAAGTATTTTTTTGCCGTTTATTAATTATCGATAATTATAAGAAGAAGAATGAAATTCGAGTCAAAGTTGCGTGAGGTTGATTGTTTTATACTTTTGGCCTTAAAGGCCTACCAAGTAGCTGAATGCTTGGTAAGCCTCCAAAGAGGCTTTGACGATTGTAATAACGACACAACCACATTTTGTTATTAGGCGCTTAAATTTTTAATATTTTATCATCTGAGCTATGAAAATAATTTACCACATACTTTAATGTCGTTTTTTTTAAAAAAACCAGTTTTCTATATATCGAGTCTTTCGTGCAAGGTGGCAATAATTTTTAAACAAACAAGGTAATAATTTTTTTTTTTTTTTTTTTTTTTTTAGATTTCCAAGGGTAAAAGTAAATTATGGTAACCAGTTAAGGCCTTAAGGGATTTATCAAAATAAACTGTCAAAAAACAAGAAATATCAATTAATTATCTATACTATATAAGAATATAAAATTCTTTTTTCCCTAATTTTCAGGAGCATATCGTTGAAACTCTTCATAGTCCAATACAAATAGCTTTGTATTTCGTTGATAAAAATCTATCAAGTACCCCATAATCAAAAACCGTAATGAAGTTAAAGAACTACCCAAAGATCCTCTAGTAAGACCACGACGGCTCTCCATGGTGTCTAAAAGTACAACTAAAGACAGAGATACAAAGGGCTGGGCGTCGGGCTGAGAAGCTCGATGCAAAGTATTTAAATGTGAATGCCCTTGCCATGGTGAAATCAGGCAATAAAGCTTTGGACTTAGCTCAAACGTGCCATCACCTCTAGAACACTGCGTCATGATACCTAATTCACGAAAAGACTTTTCTAATGAGGTTTCATGGAATAATGATAATGACATAATGCTTTCGGGGTTTCCAACAGATCCATTTAGACTTGATGCAATCCTTGAACTGTTATTGTGTTTACGCATTTTAACTGATACTATTTGATCTTCAGAAGAAGTAATGTTTAGTGTACTGGCTGCTTTATTCCCATTTAAAATCCCTGGGTGAGGTGGTTTAAATGTAAAGCCGGGTGAACCAAATAGAAAAGAAAAGGAACTTGTGTTTTTAACTAGATTGGGTTCCATTGGTGTTCCTGCTACTGGGTTTTTTGTAACTGGTTTTGGTACCGCAGGTCCCGGTACTGTGAAATTTGAGGTTGAGATTAGCGCCAAAGATTCAAGCACCGAAGGTTTTGGTAAAGTTGATTCAGGTAACGTAAAAGCTGGTGTTAAAAATTTAGGCGTTTTATGTTGTGTAGATTTGCCCAGAGCTAAGGAAGAAAGTTTCTTGTTCAAATCCACATCTTCAGGATCAATTCTTTTAACTGGCTGTAAAACTTTACGATTTTTTAGATAGTCGTGAAGCAAAATTTCATCCAAAAACGGCGGTGAACGTCCAAGTCGTTTACTTTCCTTAATTATTGATATTTCCATAGAGTATTTCGTTTCATTGGTATAGGTTTCATAATCAGCAATCATTGATGTCCAGGGCGTTACCAAGCTAAACTTCGAGCCAATTGTTTTACAAAAATCACTTTTATCTTCATTTAAATACGACGAAGAGTTTGAAAACAGATTTTTGATACCATATTTTGCGTCGTAAACTAAAGCGTTTGCTAACGTAGAAACAGCTGAAAAAAAATATGGCTCGCACTCCGCGTTGTCAATATCGAGAACCCGTTTAAATATTGGAGCTTCATAGATTTGAATGTGTTCATTCTCTAATGTAATTGTTAATTCAATAGATGATGCAATGTTTTCGGCATCTCTCAAAAAAATGAAAGCATTATAATTTCTCCCAAGATGAAAAGAAGCGTCATCAACAGCAAAAGCCAATTGGTTTATTTCTTTCTCAAAATCTTTCATAATAAAGTGTTTATTGTTGTAATGAAATACCAATGGAGATGTTATGGGCTGATTTTGCTTCAAATCTGAAAAAAAGGAACAGCGCCAGTTAGCAAATGCTATCCTGGGTGATAGAATTTCATTTATGATTGAACTTATTTTATGATTGTTCGACTCATCAATTGAAAGAAATGATTCTGTAAGACCACCACTGATGCGAGCTAATGATTCAAATAGTTTATGGGGAAACATGTTTCCAATTCCAAAAAAGTTCATTCGAACAACCATGTCGGTAATTTCTTTGCTTGGAATCTTTAGCGTATTTATTAAATTTTTTATGTCGTTGGCAAGTAGCCCCTCACCAGAAGTCACCACAATAACATCGCAGGTTCTTACTCCAGTTACCACTTCCCTTGTATCGATTAGTAAACTTCGGCTTTTACTTCTCGAATCGTAAATAAATTTAGCAAATGAAAATATTTTCGATTGATTCATAGTCCCAAGCAATGAATTAATAAATTTTATTGCTGTTTCCAAAGAATCTTTAGTGAGTTCCTTAGAATAGGGCCATAGGCGTTTCAATTCATCTAGAGGAATGATGATATTAAAATAAACTATTAAATTTTCTGAATTTAAATTCCTTTCCATCGCTTGTAAAGATTGATGCAAAATATCCTTTATTGGTTTTATGTTGAATATCATATTTTTCCCATTGTCTATCAAAAAAATTATTTCTCTTTTTATTGATTTAGTAGATTTATTATCAATATTGGCATTTATTGCAATGATATTGTTTAAAACAGAATAGGAATTCGACTTTTTTTGAGATATAAAAGATGCTGAAAGAGCTTTTGTATCTGTGTATTTTGCAAAAAAAATTGCATCTCTATCTAGACTGGATTGCCTATCCAGAGATATCTTTTTTGAAATGAACCCCTCTGAAAGAGTCTTATCAGATTCTAAGTAAAAAAGCATCATCGTTGGTGAATCTTTCAAATGAATTGATAAGTTAAAACAATGATTTGGTTTGTTAAGGTTCTGTGAAACCCCTTCTAAAGGCTTGGTGCCATATTTAGGAAACATATGGGCTGGAAAAGTAAGTTGGTATCCAATGGACTTAGACATGTATTGCAGTTTCGTAAAATATGAAAGTGTAACTTTGACTGTTGTTTTCCATGGAATACTTTTTAAGTCCACTTCAAAATCTTCTTCCAAGTTGTCAATTGTATGACCTTCAATTGGGGAATCGTTGACATTACTTTTGTCAACAATAAATGGTATTTGCTTAATGTTTTTAAAACGGCATTCAATAACACGGTCTCCCCCGATTACAGCTTTAAAGCCTGTGACTATTTTTGAAGGGCTAGTAGGAAACCGATATGAAAATTTCAGAGATGAGTTTTTTGAAAGAATTTGATTTGGGAAAAGTTCAGAATTTTTTTTACAAGACTCGGCAACAGTTTCTAGGGTTCCGATATCGAAGTGCTGGTCAATTGTCACTGTACAGCCAAAAGGACCATTCACAATTGCCTTGATATCCGTTGATAAGCAATCTGCAAGGCCAGGCAGACATCTTTTAGTTTCCTGCTTTACCAAGCCAGGAATTCTAAGGGTAAGGCCATATTCTAGTTCCATGAGGATGAGTGATTTTGAAAAATCATAAAAAAAAAACGAGAAGCACAATTCGCTGGCTTTTTTTTTACTACTGTACTGATATGATTTCATAATTTATTACAGTTACAACAAGTTCTTAAACACTTATTGTAACAGAATCTCTTACTTCATATCTTGTAATTACTCGCATTCAAATGTTTTATGATTATATTTATTTTTTAAATTTCCCAGATTCTTTTAAAAAAAATTAAGTATAATTAATAATTAAAACAAAATAAAAGATACAATTATATTTCTTTAATTCAAAATGTTCACTTAAAAAGCTCCTGTAAAACTTTACGTTCTGTCTCCAACTTCTGTGCGTCATTAGCATATGAGTGAGCAACGTATTGGTTAATCTTTTGAAGAAGAAGGTTTAAAGATTCACCTAAACTTATTTTGAAACTTATAGCATCCTGGACCAATTTATCCAGATAAACAGTCACAGCAAGTGCAACATAACCACTAGCGTTGGGATTATTTGCTGCGTCAATGGAGGCCAGTTGCGGTTGTGAATGTGCAGGAGAAAGCAACTTATAAAGCTCAGGGGTCACATCAAATGAACCATCAAAGTTGCATGCTCTTGTCACAATTGCAAGGTTTTGATAGCATTCAGAACCAGATGCAGCACTGGATTCTGGTAATTCTGTGTGATGAGAATCTGGTTTATTGAATAGAAAGCTGGCCGACTGAGGGTTTTGTATAGAACTAGATCCGTAATCTTTAGGATAGTCTCTCCTTATTTTCTGCATCTGGGAAAAACTTGAATTTGTATGTGCAACCTTTTTAGAGCTTCCAAAAAGTCCAGTCGTAGACTGATTGGAGCTTCCAACAAGTCCAGACGAAGATTGTTGAGAATTTCCAAAAAGTCCAGGTGCAGACTGTTGAGAGCTTCCAAAAAGTCTAGACGAAGATTGTTGATAATCTCCAAAAAGTCCAGGTGCAAATTGTTGAGAGCTTCCAAAAAGTCCAGACGAAGATTGTTGAGAATTTCCAAAAAGTCCAGGTGCAGACTGTTGAGAGCTTCCAAAAAGTCCAGACGAAGATTGTTGATAATCTCCAAAAAGTCCAGGTGCAAATTGTTGAGAGCTTCCAAAAAGTCCAGACGAAGATTGTTGATAATCTCCAAAAAGTCCAGGTGCAGATTGTTGAGAGCTTCCAAAAAGTCCAAACGAAGATTGTTGAGGGTTTCCGAAAAGTCCAGTCACCGATTGATGGGAGCTTCCAATAAGAGCAGGAGCATACTGATTTGAACTTCCAAAGAGTGAAGATGTAGGTACTTGACTGTTTCCAAAAAGTTTAAATGAAGTGCTGCTAGGATTTGGTGTGTTTGCAAAAAATACTTTTTGTTGACTTGCATTTTTATTGAGTGATGATGGTTTCTTTCCATCAGAAGATCCAACAGATTCTTCAACTGCAATTAACGACGTCCAGGGGGTTATCAATCCAAAGGTTTCGCCAATGCTGTCGCAAAATTTTAAACGCTCTATTTTTGGAATCATATAGGTTGGCAGGATACTAATATTGGATCCCATGCTCTTAGTAATAGAATCAGTGGAAATCGCAGACACAAGTGCTCGTGCTCCGGCAATAAACAAAAACTTGCTTCCAGCTTCATCATCATCATCATCATCATCATCATCTTGCACAACTGGTGCTTCATAAGTTTTTGTTGACTTGTCATTAAAATGCAGTACCACTTTGACGGAAGGTGCCACAACTTTGGCATATTTAAGAAAAATGTAGAGTCTGGAGTCCATATTGGAAAGCACTGGAAATAAGCCAGTTTTAGGTACTGTTAAGTGATCAGCTTCATTAACTTTCAGGTCTTCTAGGCTCTCCGTCAATTTAAATTCTAAGGGTTCATCATAACCTTCAACAATCTCAAAATCATCATCTTTTTCAGCATGCTTCTTTTCATTATTTTCTTTTCCCTTAAGAGACCAATAAACAGTGGTATTAATAACGTTAGGACTTAAGATGTTCTGGAGCAGTCTGCTAACTTTGACTTCCATCCGTTCATTATTTAAAACACTTTGTTTGAAACCACGGCCAGCTTTGGCTAAAGCATTAAGAAGGCCGTGTGAAACGTTATCACCAACACCAAAAGAATGAACACGCAATGTGCCGCTTGTCTTAGGATCGTAAGAAGGTACTATATTCTCAACAAATTCTTTCACTCGATCAACATAAGTAATTTCACCATCTGTTAGAACAATGATTTCACGTTCAATTGGGTCAGTATAAACATCGTTTGTGGTATCTCGATATGTTGATTTTTTAATCACTCTATTGATTTCAATGATTGGCTTTAAGATTTCTGTACCTCCCATGTTTGAATCTATTTCATCAATAAAGGTTCGTGCCGTTTGGAAAGACGCATTATTGAGTAGTCTAGAATGTGGCCAAAGAAAAGAATAGTTGGAACCAAAAGAGACAAAGTTGAAATAAATTGGATAGTCACAGTTAGTTCCTGGTGCTGGCAAAGAGGACAAGTAAAGCTGAAGGGCGTCTTTTAAAGTGGGAATATTGTCACTCATGGAACCACTGCAGTCAATCAGGAAAATTATTTCCTTAGCAGAAGTGATTTTGGATGGTATTTCAGGACGAAGGTCAATAGTGAGAAGATTGCTGAGAACTGGAGTTTCAGGGAGGGGTCCCCATTTAGAAAGATGGGCCGCGAGTTCCTTTTTGTCTGAGTCTTTAATGATGACCACAAAGTCGTTTACTATCCCAAGTTCTTCTTTAGAGACATAGGTCACTGAATTGGTAGTTACTTTTGCAGTATCTTTGTGAGATATACTTTCAATTGTTTTATTTTCAGAAGAGCTGAGTTTAACTGAAATATAAGTGCCAAATTGTGGGGTTGTTCCTGCTGAATAGTGGCCGACAACACCATTTATTTTAGAAGGTGATGGACCATATCTTGGGAAAATATTAGTGGGGATAAAGAAGCGATATCCATCGTATTGTATATCGTATTCAAGAAGTGAGAAGTATTCCTATGAAGGTTAGATTTAATTATTTAATTTTTTTTTTTTTTTTTTGGAAATTAAAAACTTACTAATTCCACCTCTACTGTGGAGTCCCAGGGAATATTTCCAAAGTCTACTTCAAAAATATCGTCAGAATAAGTTGTGGCCAAAGCGACTACTGTTTCTTTATGTTTTTCAACAATTTCTTGAAATTCTTGTTTAGCTTGAGTGGCGTTGGTGAACTTCCCCATAATTTTGCGGTTGTTACCGATTGAAGCCTTAAAAGAAGTGATAGACCCCGAGGGAGGGATTGGGAAATGGTAAGTAAACTGGAGATGGCCTTCATAGTTATCTTCTATATCAGGAATGCATGTGATAGTTCGTAATTTATGTTTGCGAAATTTGGATTCCAATAATCTTTCAAAAAAATCATCGTCTGGCTTGGGATTGAGTTGGAAAACTTGAGTGATTTTGATATTAGCACCAAAGGGGCTTGTTATAGTGGCATTAACTTTTGTACTCAAGCAATTGAATAAGGATGAAAGTTTTTCAACTTTTGTAAAGCTGGTTTCATCTGGTCGAGAAATATAAATACAAGAATGATTAATTGACATTTTTTTTTTTTGTTTTATTTTAAAAATTGTTTCAATGATTTATGGGATGGACGATTAGGTTTTATATAATTTTTTTTTTATAAGCTTAAGGTAATATCAAGAGGTTCATTCATAAACTTAGCCGCTTGAAATGTGTCATTAAAAGTCATTTCTTAGAAAATAAATAAAAAAAAATAAATTTTGTCATATCATCCATCCTATTTTTTTATATAATTTTTAGTCCCGTGTAAAGACTATGGTGAAGTTTCCCTTATTCATTTGAAACACTTGTGGTGGCGTTATAAACCCATGCGCTGCTGCTATTGGTATTACTTCTGTTTCTAAATGTCGAAGTCCCCACTCATCATTGCGCTGCTTAAGTGATTCTTCAAACCTTTTGTCAGATTCTGAATAAAACTGAGTGGCGTTCTTTTTATATGCCCCATAAAGAGCAACCCATTTTGGTGTTTCTGGAGTGGACCCTTTTAAAAGAATCGCTTCTGCAAAGGCAAAAAGTTTTTCAATGATGCGTTTAGGTGAGATATGAATGAGATTGATGGCTAAAACTCCAGTGTACAGTGCTTGGTCAACATTAGAGCGTTGCTCTAAAAAGCTAGCCACATCTATGTCATTATCTAGATTAAAGAGAAATGGCGTGGTGATGTTAATCAGCTGTTGGCTTATAAATTTTTGTACCATTTTCTCTACAAGAACATCCTGTGCCTCGGTTGGTGTCATAATGACATTGGGATATGCTTTAGCAATTGTCAAGGCATGCTCGCCAAAACCTGACGCCACCTCAAAGACTTTCTGGGACCCTGATGAAAGCCAAGGCTTGAGAACCTGTGCAATTTCCTCTTTATTACGAGCAGAAGAGCCTTCAGATGGCCAGCTTTTTTCATCTGGAACGTAATAGCTCATAATGTTAAAGGAAGGATGCATAAAAACACAAAACAAAAAAACAAAAAATTAAGATTGTAAAAGTTGGTTCTAAGCTGGCAAGTTTTTAAAAGTTTATTTCAAACCCCGGAAATAGTGGGGGGGAGTTTATTTGATAAAAAGTTTAGAGTAAGGCTGAATTTTAAGTTGAATCTTTTTTTTTTATTCAAAAGTATTTCATCAATTGTTTCTTTAGCTTGTTTTTCTTTTTTTTTTCTTTTTTTAATTATTAAAAAAATCATTATTATTATTATTATTATTATTATTAGTATTATTACATTTTAATATCCTTCTTTTTTTCTTTTCTCTTCTCTTTTCTTCTCTTCTTATCATCATCTTCTTCTAACTTAGACAGATTTTTCTTCATAATAAGTGTGTAATCTTGTCATCTTGATATTGCTCGACATTGTCAAGATCGTCCCACCATTTGAAAAGGTAGTTTTCGCAAATAAGCTTGAACCAAGGTGTGAAAACCAAAGCTAGAAAAAAAAAATTGCGTTAGAAACAGTAAAAAAAAAAAAAATAAGAAATGATTAAATTCTAATACTCACATTCGTCCTTGAACATTTCTTTAAGCTCGGTAACAGAAACATATCTTGAATCGCCGATTTCATTGATATTGATGTCGAGTGGAACGTTAGCCTTAACAATGAAAATATAATCAACTTCGTGTTCGCCCCAAGGTCCTGTGCTGGGAGAAGCATAGTGTATTCTGGTCAAAAACTTGTACTTTTCGAGAGGAATAGCATCGACAGGAATACCTAGTTCGTGCTCGAGCTTGCGTCGAGCGGCATTCTTAGCTCCAGGCATTGAAAAGGTCAGATCAGAAATTTCATCGAGAGAAGAAGATCCGAGTTCGCTAGGGATAGCAAGAGGGTGGGAGCAGCAGGTATTGGTCCACATGTTTGCAAAAGTGATTTTCTCGTCGGCACGCTTCTGGAGCAGCAGTCGGTTGTTCTCATCGAAAAGAAAGACTGAAAAGGCTCTGTGGAGTAGGCCCCTGTTAATGTTGGTCATGAGATGGCAGGTCTTTTTGCTGCCGGCACCCACAGGGGTATCATTCCAGTCTACAACAATGCAGACCTCCTCCATGAGACGGATCTGTTCGGCATCTTGACCGTCAAAAAGTTGCTTATCATCTGCAGACTCCTTTGATGTAGGGCGTGGATCTAAGTTAGTGGTAGTGATGGGAGCAACATCAGGGAAGGTCTTGAGGATATCTTCAGGCTTAAGGCTTTGGACCAGATCAGAGTAAGCTTCTTGTTGGGTCATTTTTGTCTGTAGCGATTGTATTTATTTATTTTAGTATTTTGTATTAAAAAAAGGGGGGGTGAGATGTAGAGAGTATGGAAAAAATTTAGAAAAAAAAAAAATTTTTATCTTGTCGATGATAACAAATAACAACCACAACACTGGCACAACAATAACAATACTGACAATACTAACAGTATCAACAACAATAATAACAGTTATATTGGTATATATATATATATATATATATATATATATATATATATGACAGCAAAAAGGGGTTTAAATGGGTGTGAGAGAAGACAGGAAAAGGAATCAAAACTTTTGTTGTTGGTGGGTTGGTGAGTGGCTGAAAGAAAAGAAGTTGGAAGCGGCAGGTCGCTGCGCAGCCAATTGGCCTTGAAGATTTCATAGTTAAGGGAACTATTTAACAAGTACATATTTGTTTTTTTAAAAAAAAAAATTAATGTAAAGTAGCCCTTTGTTCAAACACGAAAAGATCACGAAAAGATCACGTATTTATAGCTTATTAGATAGACTTTTTTTTTAGTAAAAAAAATAAAAATAAAAAACTGAATTGTTTGATTTATCTTTAAAATAAAAATAAAAATAAAAAAAATACACACACTCTTTTTACACTCAATTAATAATAATTAGAATATAAATATTCTATATACCAGGGTTAATTGGCTTGCCATTATGTTTGACAGATGGACAGACTAGTTAAGTTTCCAATTTATACATGATTGACACCTTTATTTTTATTATTATTATTATTATTATTATTATTATTATTATTATTATTATTATTATTATTATTATTATAAACACGTGACCTGTGTGCTGGCACAAGTTGTGACATTACATTTATTTTATTTTATTTTATTTTATTTTTTTTTATTTTATTTTATTTTATTTTTTTTTCTCTCTCTCTCTCTACGGAGAGCCTCGTGTGAAAAATTCCTAGTAAGTGGATCCAACATTTTGTCCATAAGAAACACATCAAAAAAAAAACTCTCCTTTCTCCCTTTCCCTTTTTTTTTTTTTTTTTTTAAAAATTATAAACATACCTTTTTTTGTTCTTTTCTAGACGTTTTCTTTTTAAAAAAGAAATCTTTCTTATTCATAGAGCCAAATCCATTTGTCTCTACCTGTTTTCTGTCGTTCTGCCTGGTATGTCCATAAAGTTTTTTTTTTTACCTTTTGTCCAGCACATGAAAAAAAAAAGCCGAATCTCGTTACAGACCTGTCATTTTTTTTTTTTTTTTCGATTTGATCGTTATACAAATTCGTCATACTCTTAACGAAAAATATACCAATCGATTTTCTTTAATCAAAAAACCCCATTCTTATTATAACATTTTATCATCCATCATCTATTATACCAATCCTTTCTCATCTTTCTATTCTTGTCCTTTTTTTTTTTTTAAAAAAAAAAAAAATTATCTTTCCATTTAATTCTTTAAAGGTTTTTCGCTATAATTGTGCCACGTTTTCATTTAGCCATTTTGAACTTTTTTTTTTTCTAATATTAAATCCAAATTAGTACCATGACCACCGCTACCGCTACCGCACCCGTCGCCGAAGTTGCTACTAAGTCCAAGAAGAACTCTGGTCCTAAGAAGCTCACAAAGCCCGATAAGCATGCTTACGATGTTGCCCTGAATGAACTGGAGAAGGAGCACCGAGCAAAAGAAGAAATTCTGGTAAGTCTCTTATATTATATCTTGATCCATTTTAATCCATTTTAATCCATTTTAATCCATTTTAATCCATTTTAAATTTTAACACCATTTTTTTTTACCTTCAGACCAAAGCTAGACAAGCTGTCAATGCTATTGGCGGTGCTAAGGCCCCTAAAAACCCTGAAAAGGATGCCCTCAGAAAAGAGTTTGAGACTCTTAAGCAGAAGCAGGCCGCCATCAAGGCTTCTCGCGGTAAGATCTTTGACGAAATTAGCCTTATCGACACTAAGGTCAAGAAGAAAGTCGCCGATCTCAACGCTCAAAAGGGCAAGATCAACTTCAAGTCTGCCGAAGACATTGACAAGCACGTCCAGCAACTCGAGAAGAATGTCGATGATGGTAACCTCCGTCTTGCCGAGGAAAAGAAGGTTATTAAGGAAATTACCACTTTGAAGAAGCTTAGAAAGAACTTTGAGTCATTCGCTACAGCCCAGGCTTCTATCGATGAGGACAAGGCCAAGATTGCTGCCCTCAAGGCTACTGTCGATGATTCCGAGACCAAGGCCATCAACACACGGTTCGGTGAAATCAAGGCCCAGCTTGATGCTTTCAGAGCTGAGTCCCAAAAGGCTTACGAAAACAGAAATGAGCTTTACGATGTCCGCAATGCTGCTCAAAAGGAGGTCGATGCTGTCAACCAGAAGATCAAGGCTCTGAAGGACAATTACTACGGCAAACTGCGCGCCTTCACCCAGCAAGTTAGACAAGAAATTGCTGAGCGTCACGAGCGCGAGCGCGCCGAAAGAGAAGCCGCTGCCAAGGAAAAGAGACTTCAAATCGCACAGGAGAAGCTCGAGATTGCCAGCGAGCCCGCATTTGCCCAGGAAATCGCAAACATTAAGCTTTTGCTTTTCCACTTCGACCCTACCTTTGTCCCACCTACCCCCAAGAACCAATCTTCTTCTTCTACTGTTGAGCTTGGCCCCTCAAACACTTCTAGAAAGATTGAGCTCCCCATCAACGCTGTTGTCTTAAAGAAAGAAGAGGAGGATTTCTTCACTGGTAACAAGAAGAAGAGCAAGGGCAAGAAGAAGAGAGATGAAACTGCTGCTGCCGCTCCCAAGGATAACAAGGTTGTTCTCGATTTTACCATGGTTGAGCAGCTTTCTTCCTTGAAGGTTCCTGTCCCTGGTTCCAAGGAGGACGTCCCCAAGGCCATTGAGGAGCTCAAGAAGAAGCTTGATTACTTTATGGAGAATGAGGAGCGTGTCACCAAGGAGCGTATTGCAAAGGCTAAGGCTGAGATTGAGAAGATGGAAGCCGAGGCTAAGGCTGAAGCTGAGGCTAAGGCCCCAGAGTCTCCCGCTGAGGCCACCTCTTCTGCTGGTTCTACTGAGTCCTCTTCTGAAGAGATTGAATCCAAGGAAGAGGAGACCAAGGAAGAAGAGTCTAAGGAAGAGTAAGTTACTCAAACCTCGTCTCTTCTTTTTTTAATATCTGATTGAATTGTTTTGGCTCAACAAATAATTGTTGTATTTTTTTGTTTTGAATGGCCCCTACCCTTACTGAAAATTTTTACTATGAAATGACTTATATATATAATAAAAAAAAATAATTGGATGACTATATAAAAAAGAAATAAAAATTAAAAAAAAAAAGATATTTATGAATATTTATCAAATCTATTAATTTTAATTTTTCAGATTGCATAATGCAGATACTCGGTAATACTCTAAGCCATAGTAGAATAGTTCAAAAAAAAAAAAAAAAAAAAAATTGTAAGTAAATAAAAAAAAAATAATTTATATGCAAAAATAAAAAAGTTTAATGCCTCAAGCCGGATTCGAACCGACGATCTCGTCATTACTAGTGACGCGCCTTACCAACTTGGCCATCAAGGCTTGTAAACTCGTTATAGTGTTGATCAGATTAGGAAATATATAGCCCATGAAATGATTTAATAATTATTTAAAAATTATTATTTTGTAGAATAGTAAATAATAGTAACCTAAAATTATAATTTTACAAGTTTTGAGTATATTTGGTAAGCTTAAAATGCAAGTTTGATGAATTTGTAACAATTAGACACATTTTTGTATAAGTCCTTTGCTCAAAGAGGAAAGAAGACAGTTAAAAAGGATATCTCTAGAAACGAACATATAATTTCTCTCAAACAGTCAAAATGTTTATCATAATATTGTATGTTTTGTTTTTTTTCAGTCAAAGTTTAAGAAATAAATTTAGTGTTGATGAAAAAATAGTAAAAATAGTAAAAATAAGTCAGATAATTATCTATACACTTAAAAATTTGGTATTTGTCTTTCGTCCTAATAACTAACTTAGACAACCTTTTGTCTTTTTTTTTTTAGTTGTTTTTAATTAATATAATAATAATTTGATTATTAAATTTATAAACTTAACGATAATTTAAATAAATTTCTTTTAAGGGGGTTTACAATTCAAATTATAACTACACAGGTATTTTATTACACTTCAATTCTATGAACACAAGGAAAAAAAATAATAAAGAAATCAACAAAAATCAAAAAAAATTAACAAAAAATATAAACGTTAATAAACTTAGTAAATTTTATTTTTTTTTATTTCATTTTATTTTGTTGTTTGTTTTATTCAAGAATAATAGAATTATATAACATCAGCACCCGCATTATCCTTTTGTTCTTACTATATATGTTTTCGTTTTCATTATAAACTTTTAGTTTGACTTCAACATTACATCTCTAATAAACTAAAAGTTCTAAAACCAGCTTACCAAGAAAACAAAAAGCTGTTTGTGCCAGTAATTTTATAATAAAAATTTTTTTATACTTTAAACCAATGTTGAAAAAGGCCTTTATATACCTAACAAAATCACAAAAAAATTCATCGGCAATAGTTTAGTGGCTAGAATTTCCGCCTGTCAGCTCTTGAGCAGCACGCGGGGGACCGGGGTTCAATTCCCCGTTGCCGAGCTTTAATTTTTTTTACTTTTATATCTTGAGGTTTGGCATTTTATATGCTTAGTTGGTTGGTGGCCAAAGACTTTTTTTTTTGTTTCGTTGAGACTTTAAATCATCTAGAATTAACTTTTTTTCTGGGGAAAAGTTTAAACCAAAATTTATTTTTCCACAGTTCCCCATATGATTATACCATCAGCATCAAGTATCACATCAAATATAAATGAATTGAATAAAAGAAAAAAAAAAATTAAATTAAATTACATAAATCAAAAATCTGAATTTTCATTTTTCTGATCGATTTCCAAAGCATCTAGCAGTACCTTATTGGTTATATAAGCACCAAGTTTAGTAGCGCCATCATACCAAGTACGAGCCATTTCAATATTATTTTTCAAAATATAATACTCAATAATAGGCTCAAAGTATTTCCCGTGCACAATAGGAGAATAAAGACATGAAAGCTTCAAAACTTCTTTAGCAGCCTCAATGTTATCAGTCTCACAGTATTGGTTAATAAGCAATCCAAAACATTGTAAACGGAGTCCAGCATATCTTGTTGGTAATTTGGAGGGCATATTTGTTTTTGCAGGCGGAGTTCCATTAAGCAGTATACTTTCACCGGAAGCCGTTTTTACAATTGTGGTATTACTTGATGACACTTCTTGGGGTGGCGGTGGATTTTCGCCAAAAGATTCCCTAGTTAAAGCCGAATCAAAGCGTTTAAACGAGGCATTATTAAATACCAAATCTTCGACAATTGCACGCGCAAAATTAACAGCTTCAGGAGTCTGGAACCGTGTAGTCAGTGCACGAACAAAGTTATCAATGACAGATATGTAAACGCTAGGATCGTTATAGTACTGCGATTCTCGAAACTTAATATATAAAAATTGAAGCTGTTGGATGTGTTCCACATTTGAAAGAATAGTTTCATAAAGTAAGCAAAAGGCAACTGAATTAAAATCATACTGAAATGTTGGATTAATAGAGCTTTCAGGTGAAATAGAAGCTTCATGAGGAGGTCGTGGTAGTCCTGGAGGCACTGAAATCTCTTCAAAATAAGAATCAATTCCTAGATTATTTTCTATCAGGTGGTTTAATCCAAAGTATGATTGATAATACTCATAAAAAATAGACATGTGATATTTTTCTTTTATGAGTGACAATATCTCCGTGCATAAAGTCAAGGGTATGTCCCAGCCGTTAGAATGTATTATATTTAAAATTTCAAAGCACCGAGATTCGGACTCTAAAATGGTGGTTGAGGCCTTGCGGAACCCTCTGAAGAGAGATGCATATGTGTCGACGGTTGGCTTGAAACCAGGAAGTTTTGAAAGGTATTCATACATTGCAGCAATATCTTGAATGTTTCCAGAATCAACTAGGGATCGAAGAACTGTCTGTGCCACATCTTGAAGCTTTGAAGGATCTTTCACAATGTAATTGACCAAAACTTTGTCTTTAATAAATGTCGCAAGAGCTTCGTTTTTCATCTTGTTTGCTGTTTTGAGAATCTGAGAATATGTTTGCAGGTTAAAGGCAGGTCGAATAAAACTTTCATTTTCACTACTTTCGCCTTTTTCTTTTTCCTTTTCTTTTTCGACTCGGTGAAGGTAATTATCGGTATTCATTACCAAAGATTTTTCAGCATCTGTGCCATTGATAAGCAACTGATCAATAAGATAATTATAATGCCTTCTATCGAGTCGAAGATTTTTCGAAATAAGAAGAGCATAAAAATCCTTCAAATGATGTTTGGGAACTTCCGGGAAAATCTTTTGAATATTTTGGGAAAAAATCGATAGAATTGGAGGTTCAAGTTCGGTTTGTTCAATAAGATCGTATATCAGATTAATATTCGCCATATCCTGGGGACCTTTAATCAACTGTTGTGGACTGGTAATCGCACCTTGACGCTGATTTTGAGCTCGAGGGACGGGCGTTAGAAATCCAATGAGTGCGTTCAGTCCACAGTTTACGCTTCGCTGATACATTGTGCTTATTTGTCGGGAGTAGCGTAACTTTTCTTGCACTTCACCTCTATTCACATAGTAGAAAAGCGCTGCTCCGGTATATGGTGAATATATTTGTGAAACTCGACACAGGAGTTGCGGAAGAAGAAGTAAACAAAGCGGTGAGTTCATAACTGGTTCCCAAAACTGGGAAAAATCTGACCATGATTGTATTTGAGAGTCACTGGTGGAAGAGCTGTGAAGATAAGAAAGATCAGATTTTTCATCATGGAAAGGTACCAAAGAAGCTAGAATATCTAATGCAGGATTTGGTACAAGAGAAAATTGGATAGATTCTAACGAAAATGTATCCTTTTCTGGGTTTTTGGCTATTTGGTAAAATTGATTAAGTTCTTTTGATGTCTGTGGGGAAGGGAAAGTTCTAGCAATTGTATTAGTCCAGCTTTCTAGAGCTGTATTGAAAAGATCGAGATCAATTTTTGATTTTAATTCAGTGGTATGCATTTTAAGTATGTTGTGCTGATTATTCGAAAGTGTATTGGACGTATTATCTATTCCTTGGATCCGCCGTCGTTCACGAGTATTAAAAATAGTAAAAACATCTTGAATATCAGAAAAGTTTTCGACAGACTCAGGTAAGCCTGTCATTTCTAAAGAATATTTAACATGAGGAAGCCAGCTTTTCAAGTAGTAAAAGTATTCAGGATGAAGCCACACCTTGCATCTAAATGGTAGATCAACATTGTGAAAAATGTGACTTCGTGGGCGCTGTATAATAGTCAGTGTTTCCTTTGAAACAGAATGCCCTATTGATTTTTTTAGCGAAGACTGAGTTGTCGCTGATTTGGTTGTTCTTATATAACTCATCTCATGGCCGTATTATGAAGGACTAATATTTCAAACAAATAATATGGTAGTGGTAAAAACTAGTTTAAAGGAAAGACGAACAAAGTTTTTTTTTTTTTTTTTTTTTTTACTGATGTAACGGGCACATAAAAAATTTTAGCCTATCAGCGTACCCTCACACCAACGCAAAACGAACACTTCTACCAAATTATTTAAATTCACACATATTTATCAACTTTTAGTAACAATACAAATACTCAGACTTCAAAATGGTTATGGACCTTTCAATAGCAGACACTTTAATATTTGGCAATGGATTGAATAACTTATCCAAGGAGAATCTTTCACACCATATCTTCTTGCTTATATCTGCTTACCTTACCTATGGCAATCGTGTACTGTTTTGCGAGGATGCCATAAGCAAAAGAACCCATAAAACTACAATGGATTCTATTAAAGCACTAAATATTTCAGAGTATGCTACTTCACCTCACAAAAATCGTGCTACTACTTTGACTTTGGCCAAACTATGTGCATCATATCCTGAGTACATTGTGATTTTGCGTCAATACAATGATCCATTATATGGACCAGCTGTGTTTAGCCGGGTCCCTAAATCAGAAGCAAAATTAGCGGAACATATACCCCGTATAATATTCCACCCATTTGTTGCGACACTATACCCATACTTTGACAGCGATCCCAAAAAGCAGCTATTAATAAAGCAATATGCTCTTGAATTTTGGCGTATGGTTTATCGTACATATTCAAAACGCTGTATTTCACGTATTTTAAGTCCAAAAGAAACCGTCGAGATGCAGGTCCGTAACTCCAGATATAAAAAAGAATACATAGGACCAGTAACGATGACTTTTAACGAAAACCTTTTTATCAAAATGACACTTATCAAGGATTCGTTGCGTTTGGCAAACGATAAAGCGGATGGCTGTTTTGATTTTAGCCCTTATCAAATTGGGCCCAAACTTCAAAAAATCATTGATAGTGGAGAAGTTTTTATTCCCGTACCTTACAAAAACATTTCTAATATCTTACGGAGAGGAGATGACTATGCTTCACGTAAACTTGACTACAAGGTAAACTTGATGAAGCAATGCAATTAAGTTTTAATTATTTTATTTCTATATATATTTTTTATATTAACTTTTTTTTTTCTTTTTTCTTTCTTTCTTTCTTTCTTTTTATTTTTTATTTTTTTTTTTATTTTTTATTTTTATTTTTATTATTTTTTTTTCTTTCATTCCCCAACTTTTTAATTTCTTTTTCCTTTTTTTTTTTTTTTCTATTTTCCTCTATTATCATTTTCGTTCTTTCTTTCTTTCTTTTTCGTTTTTTTTTCATTTAGTTTTAATCAGATAAAAACATTTTCCAAAAACCTTTAAACTCAAATCAAACAAAAATGTAAATTTTTTCGTTAATCATTAGTCCTATTAGTTGTACTTTAAAACATACCTCAAAGCTTAATGTAGTCGCTATCCTTAAATTCGTTATCGTTAGCGTTAGTTTTTGCAGAGCTATTTTTCCAAAATTCTAAAAATTCACGAGTTTCTTCGTCATCACTTTCATTATCATTGTCGTCACTATTGTCGCTATCATCCTTTTCGGCATTTCTCGAGTGTACTGTCGTTATATTTTCTTCATCATCACTATCTTCAAAAAGACTTTGAGCAAGTGCTAATGAGTTGATCTTTTCAGGCTCTTTTTGTTCTGGTTTAGATGGTTCTTCTTTTTTGTACTCTCGTGTATCACCTTCATTGACATGCATCAGCTTGCAGTTACGAACATTGCATGACCCGGTTTCTGAGAAATCGGGACATTGATATGAGTGTACATAGGGACACTTTTGAGAGCCCAAAGTGCAATACCCAGTATAGGCAAACTCTCTGCACAATTTTCGTGCTTTGTTTTCAGGAGTTCCCGGCGCCAGTTTAGGAGGGTGTGCAAACTTGCATTCTGTTGGCCTTTTATTGGTATTTAATGGAGGGGAATCTTCCTTATGACCTCGTCCACATGAACAACTACATCTGCCGTCAAGATAATATGTGCAAGTGGGTAGGTTGTGGTCAGTTGGATTATGACTTAAAGAACATCGAGAGCCTTTATTACACTTTCCATTTTGCATCAAAAATTGTTTACACAAAGCAAGATGATTCCTGTCGTGTCGAGCGTAAGGACATCGTCCTCCTTTAGTGCATTTTCCAGTCAGGGTAAACTGAGGACAATGTGCCATGACTCTAGGGTTAAGTAAAATGTCTTTATCGTTAACTTTTGCGTGACCTTTATTAGGTATATTATTTACGGTCTTGTTGGTGGTGCCCCCAACACGAACCAGAGATCCAGACTTTGTTTTAATATAAGCTGATGGAGAATTATTGGTACTCTGATTCAAAGATTTTGTACTAGCTGTAGATGAAATGGCGTCAGCCAACTGTTTTTGCTGGACAGGGTTTTTCACTCGAATGAGAGTTCCATTTTTCGAAATGTATTGAGATCCGTTAAGGAGTACTACGTTTTGAGAACCGACAACATTTACAGGTGGGGTTGGTGAGGGTGTTGGAGAAGGAACTGGCAAAGGTGATACTGTATTTGAAAGTGAGGGAGATGGTGTTTGTGATGGTTCTTTCAGTTCTAAAGGTTTTTGCGGTGGCTGTGGAGGATAGTAAGTTTTATTTTGAAAAGTGTGGGGACGACCGGTACTATATCGTGAAGCGTGTTTATGAACCCGATTATTGTAACCTCTAGTGGGGATGGTAGACCGATAATTTGAAGAATAGTAAGGAGCTGAGTAAGAATTTATAGCAGGATATGGCTGAACATAAGGTGTTGTTGTTGTTGTACTACTAATCTTTTTCTCTTTGGCTGCAGCCATATTGCTTTTCACACTGTTGATTTTTCCTGTGAAAGATGTTAAAAATGGAGAAGTAAAAAAAGATATTAGTCTCATACCAGAAAGGGCTGCAATTTTTTGTTTAAGATCTTCATCGTTAAAGCTACTGGAGCTATTAGTGGCGTTGTTATTATCGCTCATGGCAGAAATTTAATAGCTATGATAAAAGTTGAAGACGAAATAGTTGGAGATTAAAAAAAAAAAAAAAAATTTAATGAAAAACCTTTAAAAAAATTAATCAGCAAAAATTGTTCACATGATCACAAGTCATATGACACATATGAAATTTTTTTTTTTTTTTTGATACACATTTTTGTTACAACAAAGCTGGGAAAATGGCATTCCTTGGAACTTTACTTTTCTTGTCGCCAAATAGACCCTCTTTAGCATTTTTTTGATAGTAATGAAGTGTTTGTTCAGCAGAAATAGATAGGTTAGATGTGACCCATAATATTAGTAACAGCCAAGTGAGAGGGTATACTCTGTTTCTGGGGAACATACCCCACAGTGAGACGTAGATCATGATTTCTGCAAAGTAATGTGGACACGCAATTTTTTCATAAATCTTAGAAGCAAACGGCACGTCTGAAGGGGAAGACGGAAGAGAGTACTTGATCAGACGTGATAAATGAACATGGCAGATGAATTGAACGTAGGAAGATACCACAAATAATAACAAAGAGGCGAAAAACTTTATGGGTGTGACTTGGGTCGAAAGCTTTCGGTTATTAACCAGTCCAAGAAAATAAATTGAATTGACAATGATGTAAAATACAATTCCTACTATGAAATGCGGCAATTGAATTGTTGCAGGCTTAGATTCAGAACTGATTTTTTTGAATTGAATATATCGACATTCATATAACCGGCGAAAGTTATGAGCAAAAACACAAGTAAGGGAGATGATCATTTGTGTTCTACCAACCCCAGAGAAGGTCGTTTGCTGAGATATGCAAAACAGAATTATATTGGTTGCTGCTAATGTAGAAGAAAGAATATAGAAATATGTAAAATAACTTTTCGGAACATTCCAAAAGGGTATTTTAGAAGTCAAAGATTCAAAAAAAGATGGGTTTGATGGCGAGGGTTGGATTTTTTGGGTTTTACCATAGAATAATAGACTGTTTAAAGGCTTTAGAAACCTGGCACTGAGTGCCGACCACGTCATTAGGACCAGTGTCATTTGAATACCAAGTTCCGTCAGATTTCTAAAATCTAGCATGGTAAATATTATATATAGCCTGATGGTAAAAATCGTGCTGGGAATGATACTAAATCAATATTGAAAATAGGAAAGAGAAAAAGGAAAAAGGGAAGGAAAAAAAAAAAAAAAAACTGAAAAAATTTGAAAAAAAAATTTAAAAACTACAGAACAAAACGAAAAAAACAAAAAACTACTCTTTGAAAACAGTTTTGATGAGAAAAATACCAATCTTATTAAAAACCCTGCACTCCAATCAATTCTTTAAAAAAAAACAAAATTCATTGTAGAAATCTCTGAATGAATGGGCTACATGTCATCTTCCAAGAACTTGTACTCAAAAGTAAAGTCTTGTTTACGACGGAGAGACCAAACACCTTCAAAATCAAAATAGCGGTATGTTCCTTGCTCGTAATCGTTGTTAATAGCCTTTGGCTCTTCATGCCGTTGAAACCATGTCATAAAGTGCTTGTGGAATCTCCAACTTCGGTTCTTGAGCTCCCGCGCAGCAAGATATTGTTGATAAGTACCCTGCTTGTTGTAGAAGATGAAAAAGAGTGTGTCAACGTCCATTTTGGAAAAAATCAGAGGATCCGAAAAAATCTGCAATGGTTCTTTGGGATAAGCCGGAGATGTTGGGTACGGCGACTGGGGTTGGTAATAATTAGGTTGGGACTCAGCAAAACTGTCAGGTGCGTTCATGTAAGAACTTTGTAACAGCTTAGAAATAGTAGAAATAGGTGGAGGTGCACCAATTCTCTTTTTGGCAGCGTCAAATGAGTTGATAAGATCTTGCAATCCTGGAGGTAAGTTAACATCAGGAGTGTTTGGTATCGGCACTTCAACAGGAACAATGGGCGTGACGATACTGCTAGTCTTATTTTCGGATTTGCTTTTAGATGCTGACAAAGCTGTTGATGAAGTCGAGGTGGATTGTGTCGACTTTTGCTTAGATTTATGCGTTGCCTCCTCGGTAGGTGATGACTGGCTCGACTCTGTGCTTTTTTCGGACGAGCTTTTAGATTGTGTTGGTTGAGTTACTGACACCGTAGAGGCATTTTGCTGAGGTATTGATGGCACCACAGGGGCTTCAATGGGTGAACTTTCTACAGGAGATGACGGTTGAGCTGATGACTGTCGCTGTTGCCCCGATGGTGGTGGTAATGGTGAAAGACCTTGAGGAATAGAGGATCCAGATGCGGCAGCAGAAGCGTACTTGAGTTCGTTTGTCGATCGTGTTGGTGGAGGAGCGGGCTTCATACCACTCAACGCACTTGTAGCATTAGTCGATGCCGTTGGTATGCTGCTGCTTGCACTAGGAAAGGTAGTTTTACGTGTTAAGTCATTTTTATGAGGTTGCTGAGAAGTGGAAACAGAGCCAGCTGACGATGGAACCGATGGAGGATGATTAACAGCTTTAGTAGATCCACTACTTCCAGCATTGTTATGACTATGCGAATTACTATTACTCGTTGTTGATGAGGCTGAGGGGGGTGCAGAAGTAGTTTCCTTGACATGGTCGACAGCCAGGTCTTCTAACGAATGCCCAGGAACTTCGTCTTGCTTTAATTCGGCATCAAAAGCATCTTCATCGTCATCAAGATTAAGTTCGTCATAGATTTCCTCGTCTTCGGCAAAGTCTGGATCCAGATTCGATTCAACATAATAGCGAATATCTTCTTGAATGTTGTTAATAGAATCCGGTGATAAGTTTCCATTTTCAAGTTTCCGCAGTGCCCGTTCCAGACGATCTTGGTGCCATCGATGTCGCTCCAAAGACTGTTCGAGTTGACTAATTCGCTCCAATTTAAGTGAATCTTTCTTGCCACGCTTCATAGAGCTTTGCGTCATCTCTTGCTCTGTTTCCAGACCTTCTATTTGTCGTTCCAACTCTTCTAACATCGATGTTATAAAATTTGCTGATGACACTTTCTCTTTTTCGCGAGGATCCAGTCGCAACGAATTTGTCAGACCTTCTTTACTGTAGGCCTTAGTCTTCATTTCCTTTTCGCAAGCTTTGAAACGTTCCATTTCCTGTATCGAGAGAAGTTGACCCTGTTAGATTTTTCTTTATTTCCTTTTTTTTTAAAAAAATTTTTCTTCTCTAAATTGTCGTTAAAGAATGCTTACCGTTTCAATGAGCTTCCTTTGTTCTGTCAATGAAGACTTATCTTTGATGTCATTGCTACCTATCCATGTTTTAATTTGATCTCTCAGACGTTGTAGCTTTTTAATTTCACGTTTTAAGTCCTATATTTGCTGGTTAGAAAATGTTGAAAGTCGAAGGTATGCAAAAGGGTGAAGCTGATCCGACAGGTTCCGAAAAATTAGGGAGGTACATTGAAAACCAAAGTTGAAAACCCCAAAAAGTTGTTTAAAATGCAAATTCATGCCATGATTTTGAAATTCAAAACAACACTCAACACAAATCAACGCAAATGTAATCAAGGAAAAAAAATATGAAATAAAAACACTAATATAACTTTTTTTTTCTTTAAAAAGATTGGATGAATGACCATAAGCCAAAAAAAAAAAAAAAAAAAAAACTCCCAAGTGCATATATCAAATCTTTAAAAAGTTAATAATTACCTGTTCAAGCTTTTCCTTTTGCGATTGGTTAGAGGACATTTGAACCTTGTCGTAAATAGAGTCAAAGGCTGTAACACCTTCGGCGACTCGCTTGAACACACGGTCCATTTCTCTTTAGATATATGTTAGAGATTGGTGAAAAAAGAGGGGTAATAAAGACATTTCAAACATACTGCTGGAGTTTCCTTTGCGCCATGATTGATTATAGTTTATTGGACAAATAAGGAACGGAGAAGATTCGATAATAACGTGCTTTAAAGATGCTTTGTTGAAGGCTTATTCAAACCGTTGATATGTTGTTGATTAAAAAAAAAGTTAAAAGGGTATTTTTCAAACGAGGCCAAAATGGTTAATGGATATATTCGTGTTTGAGGTGATATTCGATTAATATATAAGTTGTTTGCCTCTGTTTTTTATTTTTTGCCTGTTGATACTGAGGTGAAGTGTATGGCAAAGGATAAAAGGGAGCAAAAAAAAATTTTTTTTCTTTTTTTTGTTTTCTAGAGAGGAGGAGTCTTTGGCAAGTAACCAAATTTGAGTGGATAATTTTTAATTACAAAAACTCACACCACGTAACTCTACTGAAGACTTCAAATCTTCTCTACAATAATTAGAATCATACAAGGTACTACAAAGAATGGAAGGAAGAATCTATAGGGGGGACACCAAGGGTCTCTTTCTAATTGCTAACAGTGAACCTGTTGAGAATATCACCATGTTTGTCAAGATATTCCAGCAACACGTATACGCATGAACAAATATAACAGGGTTAGGGTACCTTGGTGCTTAAAATTAAATCCAAACCTCCATTCTGAAATATTTCGGTCAGACCAGGAGTTACGCATTTTTTTTTTCTTTTGAAAGTGATGGTGATGATGATACGTTCATTAATATTAGTGATTATTACTTGGTATGTATTAAAATGTTTTCCAATTTTTTTGTTTCTTCGTAAATAAGACTTTTCGACATCATGTCAATTCCTCGGACAGATGGACTGATTATAAACTTTTTTATGTGCTCGTCTATCTTCAGTAATAAATCATAAGAGTCATGACTTGCACCGTTTGTTTTTAAAAAACTGTTGGTACTTGAAAAATTGTGTGGCACTTCATTAGGATTTGTTGAAAAATAGTTACTGTAAGTTTCTTCGCTTATCAAGGAAAGAGGAGGTGGTAATGATAAAAATGAATAAATCTTTCGATATGCTTCAATTAGCACCTCGCACAACGTTTGAAAAGTTTCGTACATGTCGGGAGAAAAAGGCATATGATATATAGTTAGATGCGAAAATTCTTTAGTTAATATCTGGCCGTTTGATGTTGGTATCATAGAATTAACGATTTGACTTCCTGCGGTCCCTGAAAGTGTTGGAATCGGACTGCCTATGCTAGTACTACTAGAATTGGCATGAAACGTGCCGGACTCATTAATTGTAAGATTTGACGCGTTCTTAGAAGAACCTAATGATGTTAATGACTCTCTATTGCTTTTGTCGAGTCTATGTCTTCCAAAACCATTACTTGCGGCGGTTTTTAAAGATGAAAAACTCGTAGCTGTTGCAATGACCGAAGAAGGACGCGATCTTAAGCCGAAACTTGACCCAGATAACGATGTGGTTCCTGAAGAAGCTGAAGATGAAGACGATGAGGATGAGATTGAAAGAGAAGCTGAGTGAGATGTAATCGGTAACTGGGATTGGCTACTACCTTGATTGCTATTATTGCTGATTGTACTAGAGAGTGGATGTATGGAAAGATTAGATGTTTCTGAAGATGAAGAAGGACTTTTTAGCATGGTTGTAGCTGATGATCCGTTAAAATTTGAGACATAATTTGGAGACTCGGAGTCTGCCAAGAGATTTGACGAACTGAGATTACGTCCAAGTAGATTGCTTGGGTTGTTTGCACCATTTATATGTTTTGTTCTTGATTTAAATAACCTTCGGCCAACTTGGACAACTGCGCCAGTCATTTTGGCTTTGCTACTTAAAGTATCAGAGGTTGGATTGATGAAAGAATTATATTCTTTCATGAGCATTAAAAAGTTTGTCAGGTACTCTGTCAAGTTTAAAGCTTTTGAAGTGATTAGACCAGGTACTGATCCACCAAGAATAAAATAATGATTTGCACTGGGATTGTTAGCAAAAATAAATAAATAAATATATAGAATCAAACTTGAATCAGACATACTTGAAAAGGTTTTTTGAATCGTCCGTAGGAATCTTGTCAAACTCCTTTTTCGAAAACTGAATTGTGTTTAACCAAAAGATGTTCCCTCGTTGACTATGTTCGAGTTAGATGTTTTTATCATTACAGGTCTCTATACATACACATCTTTAAGATACTGAAGCGAGGCAATGCGCTTGTCGACAATTTCTTGAATATTCTGAGCGTACGAATTACCCATTGCTGAATATTGTAGATTGGGGAATGTTTGCTTGATATTGAACTAGATAGTGTGTGGTTGTTGCTAAGAAAAAATAGATAGATGTATATTTTTTTTTTCTTTGTTTGCTTGTTTGTTTATATTTTTATCTTCCCCTTAACGTCGCGTTAGTTTTAGTTTGTTTATTTATTTTATTTAGGGAAAGTGCTGGTTAGTTTGAACTAAAAAGACGGATTGTCGGTTTAGAGTGAAAAGGGAAGAAGATAAAATATATGCATTTCTAGATGAAATACTTTTTTAGATGGCAGAGAAGAAGGCGGTGAGCTCAAGAAGGAAATGGGAACTTTAAGACGGGGATTATGGTGGTGGAATAGTAACTGCATTATTGGTCATGTGATTAGAACTTTTCTAACTTCCCGCATAATTAAAAGTACGGGCCGGTTGACTCACAATGGATTATTATGTTTACGCAGGAATAAATAAAGAGATGACAAAAGAATCATGATTATGAAAATTGAATTTTTTTTTTAAAAAAAAAATTAGATTATGATCTAATTATGACCAAAAAAAAAAAAAGTGGATAAAAGGGTATTTATCTCCATGAAAATTGGCAATTCTTACCCTAGTAATGGTATTCTAAATATCAAGTTGGTACCTTTATTAAGGTACTGCGTTTAGAAAATAACCTCATCGACAATGACAATTGAAGAAAAATATTGACTACAGTTTACAACAAGATAGGTTTGTTTATAAAAAACGATTGTGGTTATAAACTCTGAGATCAATCAGTGGTTTTTATAAAAGAAAAAAAAAAGAAAAAAAGGATAAAGGTGAACATTAAATAGTTAAGTTGATGTGAAAAATCATAGGTTAAAAAATGAATTAGATAGAAAAAAAAAAAGTTCATCTGATTTTCCTTAATAGAATTAAAGATTATCTATTGTAATAATTGATATTGAAATTGATATCTTTATCATTGTATTTAGAGATTGCATCTCATTTTTGCCAAATAGATTTTAAAGCTAGATAACTATATAAAAAACCAACGTAATCAAAAAAAAAAAAAAAGATATATTTTTTACTTTTAGACTTTTGCTAGTCCATAATTTATAAAAAAACATTGTAAATTCAAATATTTTAGGATATTAATACTCTGGTTTAAACCAAACCAGACCTATTCAATCAGTTGGTTTGATCTATTGTATCACATGACTAGTTATTGATGACCATTCTAGGGAACATGCTTGTTTCATTTTCAAAAACCTACAAAAGTGACAATTAATAAATATTCTTTGTATTTCTAAAAAAAAAAAAAGCATGGGCTTTTTTGTTTCAAAGTCAATTGACCTTTGTCATATCTTGTATAGTTTTGATTACTGTTTTTAGTCAATTTTAAAACAAGTGGACCTTAACAAAATCCTGTGATTTGCCAAGAAGAACATTTATCCCCGTGGTTTGATTTTTTTTTATTACGGATTGTTGGAACTATATATAGTCAGTTTTCATTCCATCTTTACATAAAAACAACGATGTTAACTCATTAAAACTTCAACAAAATGACAAAATAATAATATTATTTTTATTAACCAGCTTTGAACCCGCCTTCTCCAAGCCTTTTTTTTTTTGTTCTGTTTTGGTTGGGTTTGGTTTTTCACCTGAATTGTCACCTAAGGGTTTACGCTTAATTTGCACGTTAAATCTCGGAGTTTGAAGACAAAAGTCTCGGATTGTTGGGTCAAAGTCACTCCACATAGAAAATCCGATCCTGTTGCCGACCTTTTAACGTACCGCTTAATTTATACTTTGTATCTTTTTATGTGCCCATATTTAGAAATATAAAAAATAAAAGACTCTATGCCAAGACTTTGTGATATATATATATATAAAAACCTGAAATGTCTTTACTAATTTTTCTTTTTTTCTTTTTTTCTTTTTCATCTTTTTTTTTTTATCTTCATATAATAACAGATTTCAATAACTAAATAAAAATGATTTTTAACGCTCTCTCTCTTTGCATTATTGCCATCGCAACTACAGTATCTGCACAACATGGACCTGTCTCTTGCGATTCCACATGCTACTGGGCCGGGTATCTCTGGTATCATAATAACGGGTTTGACATTTTGACAAGTTCCGGAAGCGTGAATGAGACAATTAAACACAGTGTTTGCACAACTACATTCACCAATCAAGCCATTTCTTGTGGTAACAGTTCATACTGCGACATTTCAGCCCGTGAGAGCTCTTCATACTTAAAGCAGACTGCAGATGTGTGCGGGTTCAATTTTGACACAAGCGACTTTGGCGACAGCACCGGATTTTGGATAGAAGATGATTACTGCGCCAGTGCTTGTGGATACATTGAAAATCTGTATACAAACTGTACTACCACAGAAGGAAAGATTTTAAATGAGTGTTTGTGTCTGTCATCCACGAACTGGGCCAGTTTGTGTGGATCGGAAGTGTGCAGTTCTGCTCGTCAAAACTACTTGACAGGTATTGAGGCAGCCTATGATTACTGCAATTGGACTTTGGAAGCAGATGCAGTTGTTTCATCGGGGTCTTCAGTTGCAACTTCTGCAGTTTCTTCTACAAGCATAATCGCAACCTCTTCCCAGGTCGTTACTAGCTCTTTAGCTTCTTCTGAAATTACAAGTTCATTGGCCTCTTCTCTCGAATCTTCAAGCATATTAGCTTCTTCTTCTTCTTCAGAAATCCCAAGTACGCAGGAGACTAATTCTGTGGAATTTATAAGCTCAGCGGAAACTTCTTCTACAAAGCCTTCTACTACTACAGCAACTTTGTCTGCTACAACCACATCTGTTGAGTCTAAAGAATCCTCGACAAGTTCAGTCTCCACACAACGACCAACAAACGGCACATCAGTGACTACTGCTGTCCCAACTACCTCACAAACCACAAGCGTTGTTAGCTCAAATGAAGCATCGGTGGCTTTGGTCAAATCCACACCTGCTCTTATTTTGGGGCTAGCTTTGGGATTACTGATGGCTTAGGTTGTAAATTTTATAAATAGTTAGAATGAAAAAAGTGTATTTTCTTAAAAAAAATAAAAATAAAAATAAGGTGAATCATGTGAAAAACTAGATTTTTTCATGGAAAATCAGGGACAAAAAAAAAGAAACCCTAAATGGATATTTAAAATATCAAAGTCTTATTTTTATGCTTAGAAAAAAAAAGAATATTCTTTTTAGGATAAAGATTATACCAAACTTACCCATAAACTCAAACCATTTTTTTATCGTCCACTTTACTTTAACAAGGAAACAATTTATGAAAGATATGAAATAAATCTTTACTCAAGATCTCACAGATACTTCCAACTTTTCATATAGACTTGAAAGTAGACTTGAAAGTAAAGGGGCAAAGAAAGCGAAGTAGGTTAGTTTTGTTTTAGTGATGGCTGTTGGGTTGATGCTTAAAAAGTAGTTAAAAGTGTAACGGTTTTTTTTTTCTTTTAATAGAAAAAAAAAAAAGAGAGATAGATAAATAGATAGAAAAACGCAGGTTGTTATTGTGATTTTGACTTTATTTTATTTTTAAAAATAATTATCAATAAAGTAATTTCTTTTTTTCAGAAGAGTTCTAGGCCATTCAGGTGTGATTGAGAATCATTTTCTAGAATATCTTCCTGTATTTAACTTGAACTTTGAAAGAAAAAGTCATCATGAAAGATCAAGAAAAAAAAAAGTATACAGGTATTAATTAGATGCTGAGTGTTTAAAAATGGCAATTGGTTTAGCGCACAAATTATTCCCAGGAAGGGTGTAAAAACATGGAGGAAGAAGGTTTTAAGAATACATGTACACATTTTTTTTTTATTTTAAATTATTTCATTGAGCATTCGCTAGATATCTCTTCAAATTCCAATAAAAAGTAGCTTTGAATGAATGTTTTGTTTGGAAGATGATGACTATGCCAATATTATTATCATTACTTTTCGATATCTAACGCCTACAATAATCATCACTCTTGTCTGACGTCATATTTACATCAAAGACCATCCATTTAATATTGAAAGCTCAGTGAGCAAAGGATCCCCAATTAAATGTAAAGGTAGGTAGGTAGGTATATTTAGGATTATAACCAAGAGCATAAATAGACATTGAGAAGGATGATAAGTTGTAAATTGTTTTTTATTTTTTTTTTAGAAATGAACAAAAAGATTAAGTGATTACGAAAGTTTAAAGAAGGGAGTGAAATGGTTGAAAATGAGAAAGTTTAAGTGTGGGGTTCCAGTTGTGCGTACGATGAAAGCATCAAAAAGAGTTTTGAGAAGAAAAAAAAAAAACCTACTCCGATTTTACGAGATAAACGGGATTTGAAAAAAAAAATTATCCTTAAGAAGTAATGTTTCTTTTTTGTTTATCCATCTTGTTCAGTTATTTGATCGTATTATTTTTAAATTGTATAAAAAAAAAATAAAAGGTTTATCAGATGGAAATAAAAAAAAACATAAAATAAAATAAAACTTTCTTTGATATAAACGGGCAGGCGATCGCCTGAATTACTCAAACGGGAAACCGGGATTTTTCTGTAGACATTTTTAAAAAAAAATTAAAAAAGTAATTTTTTTTTTTTTTTTTTTTGCTTTTATTTTCTTTTCAAATTTTATTTAGATCTTTAATATTTTTTTTTATATATATAATATATAATATATAAATACTTCCATCTCGCTAATATCTCTTTTTTTTTTTTTTTATAAAACAACTTTTTTGTTTTACTGTTTTTTTCTTTTCTTCTTTATTTATTTATTATTTAATTCTTTTTTAAATAGGACTTTCAACAACAACATCATCAATATGGTTCACAACGCTTTTTCTCCGCATTCCCCAGTAAAGTTATTTGCCACACTAGTCATTGTTGTCGCAACAAGTCTTGTACACGCATCTTCTTCATCTGATTTAACAACGGCTGCTGGCGGTCTTGCATTTGGTCAACAAGTATTTGTTCTGGGTCCACAAACTCAGTCATCATCATCACCATCACAAGTTTCAGATTATAGCCATCATCATTCTAATGTAGAATCCACTCAACAAGGTGCCCTTTTCACAACACCATCATTGACTAAAGAATTCTCTACAAGTTATACAAATACACCTGGTACAATTTTAGCAAACAATAAGATAATAATAATACAAGGCACCGGTTTAAACGATTTAATTTCAGAACCTGGGTCTTTGACTCTGTCAAATACAATCCAACTAGATTTGACAACGCCCGGAAACATTGACTACGGAGCACCACCGCCTGAAATATTAACTTTTGGTCAAACCACAACAACAGACCTTTCGGCAAGTTTGCAAAACGACAACGGACAGAAGGCAAGTCTAGCGGCGACAGCAGTGGCAGTGGCAGCAGCAGCAGCAGCAGCAGCAGCAGAGGCAGAGGCAGCGACGGTAGCGCAGGGTCCGGGGACTGGTGAGAGCAGCTCTAGCCGCACCTTGGTTGAATTTTCTTCTTCTTTTTCTTCTGCTTCTTCTTGGTTGTCAAACCCTTCCTCGTCGTCATTTTCGTCTTTACAATCATTGTCAAATGTAGAACTAACACCGGCCACAGGTCTAAGGTCCGTGGCCCCTGCCACGGCTCCAGCTTTGGAGTCTGGAGGAGCAGGGACCAAGCGGTTTAGTGGGCTTAAGACTACGGGATTAGTAGTTCTTGGAGGAGCCTTGATGGGGATTCTTATTTAAGTATACTTTTAACGACGTGACGATTATTTATTTTTCAAAAAAAATAAAATTTGAAAATAAAATTGAAAATAAAAAATAAAAACCCGCATCTGGGTTATAAACAAACTGCCCAATTGGTTTTTTCTTTTAACTTGTTTAGCATTTATTCTCTCTCATTTCTCTCTCTCATTAAGGTGACATTTATGTATAGGTTAAAAAAAAAATAGTGACATGAATAGGAAGTGTGTGTGGGTTTGTGTGTAATAGGAATTTTTTTTTTTTTTTGCTTGTTAAAATAATTCCCCTCTCATACGCCATTAGTCTATTTATTTGACGTAGTAGGCAAGAGACTCAAGAACCTCGAGCTGGATCTTGGCCTCAGTAGAGACAGCCTCGTCAGAAGAGTTGACGTTCTTCTGGGCCTCAGCAGTGAGGGACTTGACAGCCTCGGAGGAGAAGTCTTCAGGAGCAAAAGCCTCAACGACGTTGACGGCAATCTTGGAGCCCTCAGAGACGGTGGCAAAACCGCCAGAGACAAAGTACTGAGTGGACTTGCCACCAGACTCAATGATCTCGACGAGACCGGGTCTGAGTTGCTGAATGGTGGGAACGTGGTCGGCGAGGATACCCAAGTCACCAGCGGTGGAGGGAATGTTGACTTGGACACTTTATGTAAGCAGAAGGTGTTAGTATTAAAAAAAAACTGAAAAATCAACGATGATTGGTTGGAATTGGAGAGTCAATTGGAATTCAATTGGCGGTAAACATTGAGGAGTTTTAAAAAAAAAAATAGTCGTAGCATAAGAAGATATAAACTAAAAAAAAAAAAATTTTAACAGGAAATACATACACGTCAGTGTTCTCGTAGATGGTCTTAAGGAAAAGCAAGATGTTAGTTATAAGTTGATTGAGAATTTGTTAGAAAATGATTATATTTTTTTTGACATACCTCATGGGGGAGAGCCAAAGAGAGACGAAGCTTGTCGGCAGGAACAGCTTCAGCAAAACCACGTCTGGCGACAAACATGGAAGGGCGGGCCATGGCGGGAAGGGCCTTGCGGGCGACGGAGCGGGCCAAGTACATCATTTTGTTGTTAGAGGGTAGAAATGGAGGAGGGGGGGAGATGGTGATGGAGGATGGGAGGTGGAAATTTGGTGGGAAAAAAAAAAAAAAAAAAAAAAAAAAGAGAGAGGAGGGAAGGTTAGTGGTTGGCTGGTGGTGGTTGTGGTTGTGTGTGTGAGTGTGTGAGGGTTAGGTGGTTGTTACGAGGGAAAATATGTGTGGTGGGCCATTTTGTGTGTGTTGTGTGTTTTGTGTGTGTACACAGTAAGACCACTAAGAAAAAATTTACGACGGCAGATTGTTGTTGGCTGTTTGGCTGGCTGGCTATTTGGCTGGATGGGCTATTAAAGAAGGAGGAGACAACTTTTGGAACCAACACATACAAGCACTAATAATTACATACTTATCATACTTACATATAAACATTTAAATATATGGTAAGGCCGTGCTAGAAGGATTAATTAAAAATAAAACAAAAAAAAAAAAAAATACTGTAGGCATAAAGCAGGAAACGACGGTGATTGGCTTAAAAGTAGAAGGGCTGAAGTTAGGTGGTACGGCGCTTGATTGGCTGTACTAATGTGGTGTTACAAAAAATATCTATAATGTAATATAAAATATAAAAAGTTATATGTCATATGGCATATGTAATATGTTATAGATTATATTAAGTAAGTGCAAAGTTTTATATCATGTGACTTAAATTAATATTATCATTTTTTTTTAAACCTCCAAAAAAAAAAACTATCACATCACCAAAATAAAAAACAAAAAGGCAAAAAGATAGGTTTGGTCTTAATCCCTTACCAATCAGTCAACTAGCAAGCCACCACCACCACCACCACTACCACCATGGTCAAGCGTCGCAAGCTCGAAAGAGTGCCTATCCAAGGTCAGAAACAAGGCTTGCAACAACAGCAACAGCAACAGCAGCAGCAGCAACAACAACAAAAACAACAACAAATTCAAAATCAAAATCAAAATCAAAATCAAAATCAAAATCAAAATCAAAATCAAAATCAAAATCAAAATCAAAATCAAAATCAAAATCAAAATCAAAATCAAAATCAAAATCAAAATCAACAACAAACAGCTACCAAATCGCCATCCCTTAACCAACAGCAGCAACATGTCGGAGGAATTAACGGTCAGAAACTTCGTGAATCGTTCAATGTAAGTCAGTTTTTTTTTCTTTTTTTTTATTACTAGTAGTACTAGAATTATTATTATCATCTATCCACATCTATTCTAATTGGTTTCATTTCTGTCTTACTAACATACCTAAGATGTCTATGGTTCTTGCAGGTGCCATTCTTATGAAACTCACCAGTACGCACCAGGCAAAGGCCTCCCAAAGTGCACCCTACCACGTGCTGCCAGTAGCCATGCAAACCTTCTCAGGTCCGCTCCTGGCATCGGACGATGTTGCGCTGATCCAAGGCCCAGCAGCCACGGGGATATACCCCGCGCAGCCTGTAGTTTTACCTAACCCACCGCTACCGTCTAAGCGCGCACTGGATCATGAAATGATTAAGTTTGCACAAACCTTGGACCAGCTTAATATGGAGGCGCGTGTAGCCAAATGGCACCTGGAACGACAACGCGATACGTTGCTGAAAAGAAGACAACATGAGGCAGCTCTCAAAAAACAACAGCAGCAGCAGCAACAACAGCAACAGCAACAGCAGATTGCAATGTCACCAGCACAGACAGGAAGCCCGCTTGTGGCAAGTCCCTTGGTGGTCAGTCCCGTGGTGGCAGGCTCTATGGTAGCAACCCCTGTAGTGGCAAGCCCCGCGCCGGCCGTGGGGTCTGTATGTAACAACAACAACAGCAACAACAACAACAACAACAACAAAAACAACGGCAGCAGCAGCAACAACAACAACAGCAGCAGCAGCAACAACAACAGCAGCAGCAGCAGCAGCAGCAGCAGCAGCAGCAACAGCAACAACGACGACAGCAGCAGCAGCAACAGCAACAGCAACAGCAACAGCAACAGCAACAGCAACAGCAACAGCAACAGCAACAGCAACAGCAACAGCAACAGCAACAGCAACAGCAACAGCAACAGCAACAGCAACAGCAACAGCAACAGCAACAGCAACAGCAATAGCAACAGCAACAGCAACAGCAACAGCAACAGCAACAGCAACAGCAACAGTAGTAGCAGTAGTAGCAACAACAACACCACCACCACCAATACAGCAGGACTGTCTGGTGCACCGACGCCGGCTGCACCGACTCCAACAGCTGCAACTACAACGGTGGCCACACCGGGACTTAGTACAACCACGAGTCCGGCGGTGCTTGGCATGGGGACACCTGGCGATACTCATGTGAGCAGTCTTGGAGGCTCGCATCAATCGGGGAACCCTGTGCAGGTCGGAGTGCCTGGCGCGGTAGGGTCTCCTGTGAATGTGGGAGGTTCTGCTGGTAATGCAGCTATCCAATTTGGGCAGCAACAACAACAGCAGCAGCAGCAAGTGGTAGGAACACCGGGAAACATATCCGGGACATTTAATGTGAACCAGCAACAGCAACAAAGAGGATCTGTAGCAGTAGGCTCTTCATCATCATCGGTGAGTGCTACGCAGGGAGGCTCTTCCACAAGTCAATTTACAACTGGTGTTGTTAGTCCTGGACAAGTTCGAATCACTGCTCAAGTTTCACAATTGCAGAGTTCTCCAGCACCAACAGCAACTGCTACAGTTACTGCTACGACTCCAGCTACAGCTACAGCTACAGCTACGCCAGTGACAACAGCAGCTACATTGGTGGTAGGTCAGGATCCAGTCTTGAGCGTGGGCCCGGAACCTATTATGAACTTGGGGCCAGACCCAGCCATGGATAATGGTTCAGGCGTTGGCGTTGGTGTTGGCGTTGGTGCGGGTGTGGGCGTTGGTGTAAACGCGGGTGTAAGCGCGGGTGTAAGCACGGGTGTAAGCGCGGGTGTAAGCGCGGGTGCAAACCCGACTATGGGTGATGTGGGTACAGATACAGGTCCGGACGCTGAGGATTTGGATAGTTTGTTTGATGATCCTACGGCTCCACCGCCAGCCCCCATTGCGACAGAACCACCGGCGGGCCCTCTCGGCAGCCGGTCGCAGGCCCAGGCCCAGGCCCAGGCCCAGGCCCAACAACAACAACAACAACAACAGATGGTGGCAGCTGCGGGAGGACTTAACACTAGTGGAATTACTACTACTACTACTACTACTACTACAGGAGGACTTAACACGAGTGGAATTAATACTACAAGAACAGGGTCTGGTGAAGAACTAGTAGTTCTGGATGGAATGAATGGGATGAATGGAATTAATGGAATGAATGGGATTAATGGAATGAATGGATTGGATGGAATGAATGGATTGGGACTTGGTGGGATTGGGGATGTTGGTGGAGGAAATGGAGCCGGAGGGAATGGAGGTGGTGCTTCTGGATCCAATGTTACGTTTGATTCTGTAGACATTGATAAGTGGTTTTCAGATAGCATGTTTTCATAAAAAAAAAAAAAAAAAATTTTAAAAAAAAATTTTTTTTTTCTTTTAATTTAATTCATTTTATTTCATTATTTATTTTTTTATTTTTTTTTTTATATATTTAAATATAAATTTTATATAAAAGTACAAAATACTAAAAGTACAATAAAAAAAAAAAAAAAAAAAGGGAACAACAACAAATCTACTTTACTCCTTACAGGAAGAAGCCTCGCAAACGGTGGGGTCCAAACGAATAACCATGCACGTCACATTATCTGAAGAGTATGCTTCAATGGCGTGACGGACCAAAGTACGAGCAGCTTCCTTTGGGTCCATAATATCACGGGCCAAGTCTACAGCCTGTTGGTCTGTACATACATCCCAAAGCCCGTCGCATGCCACAATGATAAATTCATCTGTAGGGCCCAGTACAGTTCTAGTAGTATAGGGGCTTCCAGAAACCAATGATTTCATATAACGGTCACCAAGAGCACGAGTGACTGCCAGCATTCCATTAACACGGTTAGCAATCATGAGGCCGCCTGCGGCCGTGATACGAGCAGCCTCTACTGCATCGGAACCCTTATGGTCATACGAAAGACGAAACGCACGGCCGCCTCGGCATAGTACAATCCGCGAATCACCGACATTGGCAGTGTAGAGAACACGATTGCGGGAGCTTGGAGATACCGAATGGTTAAAAGATTTGCGTGAAATTACAGACTTATTTGTGGCCACCTTGGAGAGGGGCAGCGAGGTGGCAGTTGCTGCAGTAGCTGCTGTAGCTGTAGTGGCTGTAGTGGCTGTAAGGGGAGTTAGTTGGTCGGGGGTATTTGAGTCGGAAGGATTTTCGGGAGATTGCAAGGGGGTAAGTTCCGATGGTTGTTGATCCGGGATTGTTTGTTCCGGGATTGTTTGTTCCGGTGGTGGTAAATTAGAGTGAGTTTTGGTTTCTTCTTTAGTTTCTTCTTTAGTTTCTGAGAGGTTTGTGTTGGTAGAGTCGTCAGTAATATTTTCTTCAGGGTTTTCTGTAATTTCTGTAATTTCTGTAATTTCTGCAATTTCAGGAGTTTCTGAAGTTTCTGAAGTTTCTGTAGCTTCTTCAGGTTTATCTGGAGTTTCCCAGCGAATAACAGCCATGGCGACTGTAGTTCCTGTAGATGCTGGGACGACTTTTTCCATGCGAGAGTCAGCTTCTAAAAAGGCGGCATTAAATGCTCTTGGGATAGATTGGTGTGGGGGGATATTTGGGTACTGATTTTCTTTAACAGCTAAATGGGATACTAGTGATGAATTTGAAGAAGAAGATTTTGAAGAAGAAGAAGAAAGAGATGCAATGGAGATTGAAGTAGATCTTGGACGAGAAGAGTTTGAAGCAGTAGGAGAAGGGCCTGTTTTAAAGATGGAGGAAGGTGGTTTTAGAGTATTTGGAGATTCTGATTTTTTAAACCATTTTGATTTAGAAGAAGAAGGTTTTTCCTGAGAAGCAGGAGATTTAGAAGGTTTTGATGATGGTTGTTGTTGTTGTTGTTGTTGTTGTGGTGGTGGTGGTGGTGGTGGTGAAGTCAAAAGTTGTTGTGGGTATGGAAGGTATCCTTCATTACGAAGAATCCATAGACGAATAAGATTATGGATATGTTCAGAGCACCATTTAGAAGCTTGAGAGCCAGCATGGCCATCAAAAACTGCAAAGTAACCAGCATCAGGAACGTCACAAAAGTTATAAATGTAAACGTGGGTATCTTCCATAGATTGGCGGTACTTTAAGTTATAATCTTCAGCTACTGCTACTTTAAATGAGCAATCATGGATAGGTTGTTGTTGTTGTTGTTGTTGTTGTTGTGGAGAAGTTGTTTGTAAAGTAGTTGTAGAAGAAGATGATGATGATGATGATGATGGTGATGAAGAAGAAGATGACTGTTCTTTTGTGGTATTTGATTTTACTGGTTGAGATGAAGATGATTGTTTTTGTAAAGATTGTTGTTGAGGTTTTACTAATTTTCTTTTAAAAGATTTAAAGAAAGATGATGATGATGATGAAGATTGAGAAGAAGAAGAAGGATTTGATGATTCTTGTACTGAAGCCATTGTTGCGATGTTAAAATAAAATGAAATATATAATAAAAAATGTATATATAAGAAAAAAAAAAATAGATTTTAAATGGAGAAAGAATTTTTTTTTTTATTATATAAAAAAAAAAAAAAAAAAAAAAAAAAGGGCGGATTATCTGTAGGTTTTATATAAACACATATATATATATATATATATTTAAATATACATACACACACAAAAAGTCTACTACTACTACTACTACTGTTATTGTTAAATATAATAACTCAAAGATATATTTGTTGTTGTTAATAAACTAATCATTTGTCGTCATCATTTATCTACAAAAAAAAAAAAGAAAAAAATTTCTTTAAAATCTCCGGATTTCTAATCGTAAATTGTTTATTTTTCTATCGGTTTTTTTAAATATTTACATTTATATATTTATATATATATTTGGTTTTCGGCTCTTTTTTTTTTTTATTATTTTTTATGTATTTATATATAAAAAATAATAAAAAAAAATAAAAATTCCTAAAGTTCCGTTTATGTATATATAAAATTTATTTTGTTTTTTTTTTTTTGTATTTAAATATAAAATAAAAAAAATTTTTCTTCTTCTTCTTCTTCTTTAAATTATTTAATAAGTAACTTACTTGTTTTGGTTTTCCTTGTTGGTTACAACACCCACACAAATAAATTAAATTAAATTAAATTAAATTAAATTAAATTAAAATAAAATAAAAAAAATTCGATTCCATTCACCCACTAAAACATTTCTTTCTTTCTTTCTTTCTTTCTTTCCTTCCTTTCCTCCATCCATCCATCCATCAAGCCAACTTAAATTTAATTAAAATAAATTAAAATAAATTAAAATAAAAAAAAAATACAAAAATTGAATATATTATTATCTATTATTATCTATATACTTATTTAAAAAAAAATATATATATATATATATTTTTTAATTGTATGTTTTAAAAGTAAAATAATAAAAACGAAAGCCGTTGAAAATAAAAATCCCAAATCTACTATTATTTAATACTATTTAATACTATTTAATACTATTTAATATTATTTAATATTATTTAATATTATTTAATATTATTTAATATTATTCTAAAATATTTCACTTTTTCTTTACTTTAATTTTTGTTTATTTTTTTTTTATGTCCCGTTTCTTTCTTTGTTTCTTTATTTCTCTCTCACTCTTTTTAAAATCTTTTTCGGGTCATCCGGGTCCCTTCGGGTTTCTCCATATATATATATATATATATATATAATAAATTTATTTTGTCTATATTGTATTGTAAATTGTAATAATAATAATAATAATTGTTTCTCTCAGTCATTCCTTTTTCAAAAATTTCTCCTTCTCCCCCCGCGGGTGACCACCTAAATTTATTTCACTACAACCACCACCCCTCCCCCCTTTATATAATTAAAAGGCGGGGTGTTAAAATATATATGTGTATGTTAAGTGTAAATGTTTTCATAATATTCATAATATTCATAAATGTAAAACCTTTTTTTCCCCCTATATTCTCAATTTTGTTTGTTTATATATTTTTTTTAAAAAAAAAAAAAATTTATATTTTTCATCCCCCCCACTACCACCACCACTTGTATAACCATTGCCCGGCATTTCAACGGTCTTTTTTTTTTTTTTTTTGTTAATTCGGACTTGTCCAAAACTCACACCGATTAAAAGTTTTTTTATGTTAAATGTTTTTGATTCATTTACTTGATTAATTAATTAATTTATTAATTGATTCAAATTTTGTCATCGTCTTACGCGCCTAAAAAAAATACTTGACAACCTGATTTTTTTTTTTTTTTTTTTTTTTTTTTACATTTTACCCCCACACACATACACACAAATATAAACTCTTACTAACTAACTAACTAACTAACAAATTATAACTAAATTTATAACTATAACTGAATAACTAACTTAGATTACCCCAGGTTTTTTTTTTTTAATTTATATATAAAAAAAAAAAAAAAACACTCATAACAACACAATGAATGAGGGGGTCTTTTTTTATTATTATTATTATTATTATTATTATTATTATTATTATTATTATAAATGCCATTCTAAAAGACTATAAAAAGACCTGATGATTCCTCGCTTTTTTTATTTATTTATTTTTATTTATTTATATATTTATATATTTATTTATTCATAAATATTCAATCTCTACATTCTTTCTCTTTTTTCTATAAATCTAATTAACATTTTATAATTCATAATATCTACAATTAAACAATCTACAATCTAAAATTCATAATCTACAATTCACAATTCACAATTCACAATTCACAATTCACAATTCACAATTCACAATTCACAATTCACAATTCACAATTCACAATTCACAATTCACAATTCACAATTCACAATTTACAATTCACAAAAAATGCTCTCAATCGCTCGTAAAAGACCCCTAATTGTTGCATCATCATCCTCTCGTCTATTTAAACATTCCTCTCGTCCATTATCTTCCTCTTCTTCATCTTCCTCTTCTTCATCTTCCTCTTCTTCATCTTACACTCTACGTTATGGTTTTATTGGATTAGGAAGAATGGGTCTCCCCATGGCTAAAAACCTTCGCAATAAACTTCCTAACCCAGATTCCCCACTTCATATTTTTGATGTTTCTCAATCTCCTATTAATGATCTTATTGCCTCTGCTCCTAATATTCATAGTCATGATTCTGTTTCAAAAGTTGCTAGAAATTCAGATGTTATTATAACAATGCTTCCTGCTCCACAACATGTTAAATCAGTTTATGCAGAAATTGCAAAAGAATTGGCTAAAAATAAATTAGACCCTCCAAGACAAAAAGTATTTATTGATTCTTCTACAATTGATGTCACTACAAGTATTCAAACAAACTCATTACTTAAATCCCTTCCAACTACTTCATCAACAGGTCATTATTTCTTTGATGCTCCTGTATCTGGTGGTGTTGTTGGTGCTACAAATGCTACCCTTACTTTTATGATTGGTGGTCTTCCTCCTCTTCAACAACAAGAAAAACATGAAAACCAACAACAACAATCAACAACAACAACAACAATAGATGATCCATTGACCCAAATTTATTCTTCTATTGTTAAACCAACTCTTTCAACAATGGGTAAAACTCTTGTCCCATGTGGTGGTCCTGGTCTAGGTCTTGCTGCTAAACTTGCAAATAATTACCTTTTAGCCCTTACCAATATTGCAACTGCTGAAAGTTTCCAACTAGCAAGAGCCCTTGGTTTAGACCTTAATCTTTACTCTCAAATAGTAGCTACTGCTACAGGTAGATCATGGTCTTCAGATGTAAATAACCCAGTCCCTGGAATTCTCCCTAATTCTCCTGCTTCAAGAGATTATACAAATGGCTTTGGACTTACCCTAATGAAAAAGGATCTAGGTCTTGCCCTCCAAGCAGCACGTGACACTAACCTCCCCCTCCTTCTCGGCGATGATGCCTTGCGTGTCTACTCTCAAGTTGAACAAGACCCTTACTGTGCATCCCGCGACATGTCTGTCATTTACAAGTATATCCAAGATCATCAAAAGTAATCTTTTATTTTATATATATATATATATATATATATATATATATATATATATATATATATATAATGTATCAAGTCAATTATAATTAATTATATAATAAATAAATAATCAACTTCTTACAAGTACAACCCCTCAAGATTCTCTTCAATCTTATTCTTAAGAACCCGCTCCCGAGCACTCCGGAAATCTTCCATCGTCACCTTCATTCGGCGCTCTCTTAATGCAAGCAACCCAGCCTCTGTGCAAATGGCCTTAATGTCAGCACCACTCAAGTCATCTTTAGCTGAAACAAGTTCCTCCAAATCCACATCCTGTGCAAGACTCATCTTCGATGTATGAATCTGTAAAATCTTACGCTTTGTAGCAGGATCAGGATTCTCAAACAAAATCTTACGGTCAATTCTACCAGGACGAATTAACGCAGGATCTAAAGATTCAATCTTATTAGTAGCCATAATCACCTTCACATCACCTCGGTCGTCAAACCCGTCCAGCTGGTTCAACAATTCCAACATTGTTCGTTGAATCTCCCTTTCACCACCAGATGTCGACTCATAACGCTTTGTGCCAATCGCATCAATCTCATCAATAAATACAATCGATGGCGCATGCTCCGCTGCAATCTGGAAAATCTGTCGTGTCAGTCGTGGACCATCACCCAAATACTTTTGAATCAACTCAGACCCAACAATTCGCAAAAACGTCGCAGAAGTTTGGTTCGCCACCGCCTTCGCCAAAAGCGTCTTACCAGTACCAGGTGCACCATACAAAATCACACCCTTAGGAGGCTTGATACCCATCTCCTCATACAACTCCGGGTGTGTCAACGGCAGCTCCACAGATTCCTTAATCTCTTGAATCTGTGACTCCAACCCACCAATATCCGCATATGACTCTGTCGGTGCCTTATCCAGCTTCATTACTGAAACCATAGGGTCCGTATCATCCTGCAAAACTCCCACAATTGACACAGACTTGTGGTGTAGCAGCACGCTTGTTCCAGGTTCAAGCAAGTCCTTGTCCACAAACGACCGGATAGACACGTAATACTCAGGACCTGAAGATGTCGAAACAATCGCATGGTCATCATCAATAATCTCCTCCAAAGTGCCAACAGACATGGGTGATCCTCGCATCTCATCCACCTTACCCCGCTCCTCTGCAATCTTGTCGTCTGTGGGCTTGAGGCGCTCTTGGTTTTGTACAAATTCTTCTTCCAAAAGCAAATGGTCCTTAATACGTTCCATCTTCAAAAGTTTAAGCTTGCTGCGAGTTGTTGGGTAAACCGCAGGCAGCTTGGCCGCAGAATCAGGGCCTTTCTTCTTCTTCTTGCGGTGAGTCCTTGTCGACACAGGAGGCTCATACTTGGGCTCTAAAAAGAGGGAGGAGAAGTTAGAAAAGGTTTACTGTTAGTTGTTGTTGTTGCAAGTAACTTACTCTCGTCCTTCTATAAAATTATGTTAGTAAAAGAAAAAATAAATAATAATCAATAATCAATAATCAATAATTAAATTAAACTTACCTTTTTCTTGTTTTGTTTATCTCCAGGGTTCGATGGTCCTTGTCCCTATTTTATATTAGAATTGACCATTACTCTCAAGGTCTCTATCATACCATTGTTAATGTCAAGTTTTTTTTTTTTTGTTTTAGTAAGTTGTGTAGAGGGAAAAAGGTGGTGGTGGTGGTTACATTTTTGTATTTTTTTTTATTTTTTATTAATTTTTTGTTATGTTCAATTATTTGCCACTAAAGTCACGTGTTTAAACTCATCTATTCTAACTCCTCCTCCTATTCCTTTTCATATTCCTTTTCATATTCCTCCTCTACTCTAATTTATTCAGCAAGCAGCTTCTCCAAAATCCGATTCTCGTCCTGCTCGCTAGACCACTTTTTGATTCCAAGCCATCGCAACACATCCACAACTTGTTCCTTCGTAAACCCCATATCCGTAAACTTTGCCACAAGCTGTGGATCAATCCCATATAAGTTCTCTAGCTGTACCGGTGCCGCACTACTTCCCTGGCTTCCAGGTGCAACAGGCGTTCCAGCCGGCTGGGCATAATGTTGAGTCCAGTATCTTAAATTTGTTAGTATAATTCTTTTTTTTTTTTTAAAAAAAAATAATTAAATTTAAAAAAAAAAAAAAGGGAAGATAGCTAGTCATACTCACCTAGCAGTCTCTGCAAATCCTTTGTAATCCTTGCGGTAATGGTTCGCAACTTCGGCGTCTTGTGGGTCGTTTGGTTCTGGCGATTGAAGCAGTGATTGAAGCGAAATTAAACATGATCGAAGCGTTAAAATAGGCGTCCACGTGTCCTTCAAACTGTTTTCATTAAAATCTGCTAATAATACTTTTTTTTTTAAAAAAAATCTTTCTGTTTTACTTACATATCAAGACAAATGGCACCTGTTTGAGATGATACATTAGGATGATACACCTTGGTATCAAACTTCATCTTGGGTGGTTTAAACGGGTCTTTTTTTTAATTTGTTAATTTTTTGTTAATTTTTTTTTTTTTACAATTAACTTGGAATTGTTATCATTGAAAATCTTCTATACTCACATTCAGGCTATTATCACGTTAAAAAAAAAAAAAAAAAATTATTCAAAATTATTTAAAAATTATTAAAAACTTACTGGCAAGTTAATATCAACCTGGAAAACTCCTCCTTCATATGGTGTTCCAGGAGGACCTCGAAATGTTCCCTTGAGATGCGACATGTTGGCTTCATCGATTATTTCAAGCGTCACACCTGAAGATGCATCGGCCTTGATACTTTCAAATTCTTTAAAGATCCGACGTTCGCGCGACATGGTGTTGTTGTGTAATGTTTAAAAAGAAATAAAGTTGGTAGTTGTGCAACATTAAATTAATGAAAAAAAAAAAAAACCACTCAATATCTTAAGTAAAGAAAAGAAAAAAAGAAAGATCGAAATGCCCCTCCTTTTGATTACGTAATTTGAATATATTCAACTTTTAAATTCATAAACATTAATATTTTTTATATATATTTTACTTTAATTTTTTATTTTTATTTTTTTTACTTTTCATCAAAAAAAAACTAAAAAGTTTAGTTCTTCTTGACGTAAAGGTCGACGTACTCGTCAATGTCGAGCTCACCAACATCCTTGCCAGACTTGGCAAGAATGGCCTGGACCTGCTCCTCGGGGAATCTGCCGCGAAGGTGGCGCTCAAACTTGGAGAGGAGAACGGGGGTACCCTCCTCACGACGCTTGCGGTGGCCAATGGGGTAGTTAACCTCGACCTCATCAAGCTCAGTACCGTCCTTAAGGGTAATCTTGATGGCATTGCCAATGTATCTCTTATCAGGAGCGTGGTACTCCTCAGTGAAGCGAGGATCCTCGACAAGAGTCATCTTGGCACGGAGCTCGTCAATGCGGGGGTCAGCGGCAACGGCATCACTGTAGTCGTCAGCAGTAAGACGGCCGTAGATGAGAGGAATAGCAACCATGTACTGGAGAGTGTGGTCACGGTCAGCATAGTTGTAAAGAGGACCAGTCTTGTCAATGATGCGCATAGCAGCCTCCTGGGTGCGGACCTTGATGGAAGCAATGTCATCAGAAGTAAGACCCTTGGACTTGAGGGTCTGGTGGAGGGTCATGGCAGCCTCAGCAGCAGTCTGGGCGTGGAACTCAGCAGGGAAAGAGATCTTGAAGAGAACATTCTCCATGACGTAAGAGCCGTAGGGGCGCTGGAACTTGAAGGGCTGGCCCTTGAAGAGAACATCGTAGAAACCCCAGGTCTTGGCGGTCAAGATGGAGGGCATGCCCTGCTCACCGCGCTTGACGTGAAGAGCAAGGTTAACAGCTCTGGAAACAGCATCACCAGCGGCCCAAGACTTGCGGGACATGGTGTTAGGAGCGTGACGGTAAGTTCTAAGGGATTGACCATCGACAAAGGCCTGGGAAAGGGCATCAATGGTCTGTTGACGGTCGAGACCAAGCATCTTGGAAACGACAGCGGTAGTGGCGACCTTAACAAGGACAACGTGGTCAAGACCGACCTTGTTGAAAGAGTTCTCGAGGGCAATGCAACCTTGAATCTCGTGGGCCTTGATCATACCCTCAAGGACATCCTTGACCTTGAAGACCTTGCCCTCACCGCCAGCCTTGGCGGTACGGGTGAGCCAGTCAGCAACGGCGAGGATACCACCGAGGTTATCGGAGGGGTGGCCCCACTCGGCAGCAAGCCAGCAGTCATTGTAATCGAGCCATCTGATGATGGTACCGATGGAGAAGGCACCACGAACAGGGTCGAGTTGGTAGTCAGTACCGGGGACCTTGGTACCGCTGGGGACAACGGTACCAGGGACGACGGGGCCAATGAGGTTAGCACACTGTTGGTACTTGAGGCCCTCAAGACCGCATCCGAGGGTATCAAGAAGACAGAGACGGGCAGTTTCGTAAGCGACGGGGGAGTCGATCTTGTAGTTGTGGATGTAGTCGGCAATGTCCTGGAGAACCTGATCGGGTTCAGGGCGGACATTGTTTGTGTTGATGGTAGAGTAAGCCATGATTCTAGTTTGGAGGAAGCTTCTTTGGGAGGTAGCGACAGGAGAGCGTCTAGCAAAAGTGCGGGCAGCAGCTGATCTGAGAGAGAGCATGGTTAATAACAATTTTTTTTTTTATTTTCCAAGGATTGGGAGGGGTTTATATAGATTATTTTTTTTTTTTTTAAAAAAAATATAAAGGCAAGTAACCAAGATTAGATTTTTTTTTAAAAAATATATATATATATATATAAAAATAATATAATTTAGTCCTAAAAGAAAAGGAAAGAGATTTAAAAAAAAAATAAAAATAAAAAAATAAAAAGATTAAGAAGATTAAAAAGAAGAAATTTTAAAAAATTAAAAAATATTTAAAAACTTTTGGAATAGAAGCCTCTATTTATATATACGTACTTTTAATCTAAAAAAAAATTCTAAATAGAATATAATATGTGAAAAATATATTTCAAATATATTTTTATAAAAAAATAAATATTTATAAAATAAAATAAAATTGAAATTTAAAGTCCTAATTGGCACGGTGAAACGGATGCTCACAGGCTGGAATTTTTTTTCTTCATAAAGACTGGCTGAATTTAATCTGTGTGTGTAAGTAAGTAAATAAATAAATATAAATATGTCTATATACACCTAAAGTTTAATATATATATTATAGTAATTACTATAATATATATATTATGTGTGTGTATCTACAGCTAAATTTTTCACTTCAATAACTTGTTGTATTATAATTATTATAGTATTAATGGTAGTTTTTTTTTTTTTTTTTTCTACACATCCCGTGGTCACAATGCCTCCCCACCCATCCCCGGACTCTTTATGGGGGGGTCTCCGTGTAGGCTTTGTTTTTTTTTTTATTTTTATTTTAATATAATTATTATAATAATAATGATATTATTCAATCAATTGACCTTAAATTTACTTAAGATATATATATCAAATCAATATAAAACTATAAAATCTTCAAATTTCAAATTTCAAAAGTCTCAATTCCTTTTTTATTCTAAATCTATATAAACCATTCTTACTTTATCCTCCTCGGCATTGAAATGGAATTCTTTTTCTTTTAACATACTAATAAACTAATAAACTAATAAACTAATAAACTAATAAACTAATATATACTAATCTTTCCTTCCTTCCTTCCTTCCCCCCCCCCGCAAATTCGCCTCCTCCCTCACAAGCCTTTTTTTTTTTTTTTTTTAGTCCGTTAACTTTGCCTGACTTTGCCTGAATTTACCTGAATTTACCTACCTAAGCTTGCCACTCTTCGGAGCCCAAAGGCCTCTGCGCCGCTCTATTACCTAGGCCTTTTTTTCTTTTCCACCTTTTCCTAATACTAATATGTAATTACTAACTACTTATGTCACCCCACATTTTCCATGGGCACTCAAATACTTAGCCGTACGTCTCCGATACTCGGCCCTATCTTTTTCCCTTCACTTCCCCGGCCTCCCCACCCTTCCATCGCCGCATTCCCGTGCGTCCCGGGACCGGCTCTCCTCGGACTTGCCATTTCTGGCTTCGATATGCCTGTCATCAATCCTCGGATATAATTGGCCAATTCCTCATCTTGGCTAGCCCTTCTAAAGCCGACCGCCGCTCCAGTCTCCGCTTTTTTTTTTTATTTATTTATATTTATTTTTATTTATTTATTTAATTTTATTTTATTTTATTTCATTTCAATTCTTAATAATTATAATAAAATCTATTTTTTTACCCCGTATTTTGAAAATATACGATACAATATAATAATAATAAATCATTAACTCAATCCATCAATCAATCAATCTTATCTTCATAACTTTTTACCCCCATCATCGCCAATTGATCCCTAAAATACCTTTTTTTTTTTTTATATATAAAAAGAGTTGATTAAATTAGCATTAACCGACTGATTCAAAATGTCACAGTCACATATCATTAAAAACCAAAACTAACTGAAAAATTACAATCTCTTTCTTGCTCACTAAACTACCCTGATCTACCCACCTTGATCTACCATGGTCTACCCTGTTTCTTTTTTTTTTTTTTTTTTTTTTTCTTTTCCTTTCTCTCTTACCTAAATCAACTCATCAATCTCATCAATCGCCTTCTGTAACATCTTCTTCACATCCTTATCCAACAATACTTGCTCTCGTGCAACAATATACTCCTGTTTAGCCTCAGCATACTTCTCAATTGTTCGCAAACACCGTGCCCGACGGTAATGGTTCCTCCAATCTTGCGCATTAAACATCACTAGAATCTCTGCATCAGCAGCTGCATCTGCCCAAAAATTGCGACTCAAATTCACATCACATCTCACACCCAAAATATTCACAACCTGTTGCATCTTTGTCATGGCAGAATCCCATGGAGGTTGTCCTAGTGAAAGTGCAAGAGCTCCATTCAATGATCCAACAATCGCTTCCTTATCCTTAACCCCAACTTTTAAGTCTTTGGCCGCTTGAACACAAATCTTCTCAATCTGTATATGCGCATCCTTATTAGACTTGCCACCCTGCGTAGGTACATCCTGGCTCTTTTGTGAAAACATGGCTTGTGCAAGATGATTTAAAAAGTAAACTTCTCTCGTAAATCCTGCCTTGTCATCAATTGGCCACCCAGAAATTTTCTCAGTGTCAACTGAAACTGTCTTAGTCTTGCTATCGTAGATAATAGGTGAGTTGTAAATCTCGTCGTCGGACATGGTTGCTGGTTTTGATTAATTATATAAGTGTGTGTGCTGGCCTTTAAGGTTGATTTTTTTTGATTTTTTTTTTTTTTTTTTTCGATTTTTCGTTTTTTCGTTTTTTGGAGGTGAGTATATGTAAGGAAAGATTATTGGTAGTAAAGCGAAATTTCCATTAATCTTTTTTTTTTAAGGCTGAAAAAAAAATAAAAAATTTATAATTATCAATTAATCCACAAATGATTACCTCATCATGACATACTACACGTGCGGGGATATGAAATTTTTTTATGAGTGTTAATCATGTAGTCCATGTTATTATTCTGTTTATTTTTGTTTTTTTTTTTTTTTTTAACTCGGTTGACATTTTAAACACTGACCTATTTTTTTTTTTGACCCTTCATCTCTAATCACCTCTACAATCGCCACCACTTTATCATCTATTTTCATTAGACCATGCCTGAAATCCCATCCGCTGAACCTGCTCTGCCTAGTGAGATTCTTCATCTCCTCAGAAGTTCCAAATTTGTAAGTCTTTTTTTTTTTTTTTTTATATTTTATATTCACCTTAATATCCTTTATTAACATTTCTCTCTCTCTCTCTTTCTTCCCCCCCCACACACACAGCTCCATCTTGCCACCTCTTATAATGATATCCCTAACGTTTCTCTCATGAACTATACCTTTATCGAAGATGATGAAGACCCAAACATCCCAGAACCATGTATCATTGTATCTACTGCTCAGTCTACTCAAACCTATAAAAACATTGCCCAAAACCCTAACGTTGCCATTCTGATCCACGACTGGACAACTGCTAAAAACTTCACTTCCCCTCAAGGTGCCCATCTTTCCGCTCTTTCACAACTTGTTCTTCAACTTAACCAAGCTGAACTTTCAAACCACTCAGCTACCCTCAATGGAACTGCTTCTATAGTTTCATCATCATCATCTTCTTCTTCTTCTTCCACCTCTCAACAAGCTAATGGTTTTGCAAACCTTGTCGATATTTTAAAGGAAAAACATCTCAAAAATAACCCAGAGGCTGAATGCTTCATTAAGCCAGATAATATCGCAATCATTAAGATTGTAGTCTCCAAGGCTAAAATATCAGACTCTACAAATAATATCCAGGAGTTTAGTGATCTCCAACCTAGAACTAGCAATTAGATATATATAGTCTCTCTCTCTCTCTCTCTCTCTCTCTCTCTCTCTCTTTCTCCCTTTTTCCTTTCTGTCCTTTAAAAAAAATATAAAATAAAATAATAAAATTTTTATTCATACAAGTCATTATCATCATCATCATCTTCCATATCTTCATCTTGTTTTTCTTCTTCTAAAGGCTCTATCAGTCGCTGTAATTCATCCATAACTCCAGCCATAAACTGTCGTAGCTCATTCAACTCAAGAGTCCCCATGTTATCCATCCGCATGTGCGATTCGTTCAACTCTTTAATACCTGCTCGTGCCTTGGCTTGCCGTACTTCTCTCAAGTCTCGTATCAGTCCTCGTATTATATTTGCTGGTGCTATTAAATCATCTCGAGCCCTGTTCATAAGTTAGACAATTGTACTAAAAAAAAAAAAAAAAAATTTTTTTTTTTTTTTTTTTTCACTTACACATCTAAAAACATTTGGCTAATCTCTAGCCATGCTGGTGGTAGCCGATCGTTAAATTCTAATGGATTTCTCAGCTCTTGATCGTAAATGGCTCTTAGCGATGACTCTTCCAACCAACTCGGCAACACCAAGTTGCACCTTGATTGTTTCTTTAAGATACATGCAAACCACAGTGGCACTTTTGCTCTTTGTAATAATCTTAACGGTGGAGTTTTTAGCTAAAATATTTTTTGTTATTATTATTAGGATATATTAAATATATATATATATATACAATTTCCATTTCCATTTCCATTTCGATACATAAAAATAGAAAAAAAAAAAAAAAAAGACTTACCCCTATTAGTTGGATCGGACCCAATGCTTGTCTTGGAACAATCGTAATCTGAGTATCTTCTGCAAGAAAAAACAGTTCTGAGGGAAGAAATGTTGCTGCCAGTTTTGGAGGAAGTGCCATGGCTCTACTGTTGATCTATTGATTGATTGATTGATTGATTGATTGATTGATTGATTGATTTATCTGTATTGGTGGTGGGTTTGTTTTGTTTGTTTTGTTTGTTGGAAAATAAAAAAATAAAAAAATAAACTGTTTTATTTATATAAAATATACACAAAATACAACATACCACTAAATACAACAACAACAATAATAATAATAATAATAATACAAATAACAAAAAAACCAACTTTCTTTCTTTCCTCCCTTACAAAAAAAAAATAAAATAAAAAAGCCATCCAACGATTGCTCAAACTCAAATTTTTTTTTTATTTTTTTATTTTCTTCATAAACCAAGTAACAAAAAAAAAAAAACATTCTTCAATCTATTTCAAGTTCTTCTTTTCAATTTCTATCTTAACTATTCTTCTACTTTAAACTCCCTTTCAAACAAAAAATAAAATAAAAATAAAATGTCCATTTATACCGCTCGAAGCCTAGTTGCTACTGGCTTTCGGGTGGCTCCAACCCTCCCCCCCGCACTTGTAGCCGCCACACATCGCTCTTTGCACTACTCGGCCCCGGCACACGCACGAACCGACAACAACAACAATACCGCAGATTCTGATGATGATGCTGCTGCTGCTCCGGAACATACCTTCATCAAAAACTCGCACCCGTCTCAAAAGTCCCATGGCCTCCACTCTACTGCAGACGCAAAAGACCTCATTCTCTCCGTCCTCCGCTCTACTGCAACAAAACGTGAGGCCCGCCAGTACATCTCCCGTTATACCCCCCTTATTGGCCGTGACTCTGACGATATCTTAATGCGTAGACAATTTGTCCAGGATCTTCTCAAAGACCAATCATCTTCTCATTCCCCCCTAGAGTATCCAGCAACCCCCTACAAAACCCAACTCTCAAAGCTAAACCAACAAAACTCGCCTGACTCCTTTTCCTCTGTCGATTTCAAACACGTCTTACGCGTCGCCATAATAAAAATCCGTGATATCAAGTCTATTGATCCAGAAACTTTCTTTAAAATCGGCCACACAATTGTCCGCCTAACAAAACTCGGTGTCTCGCCAATTGTCGTCGTCGAAGCTGGTAAAGAACGAAACGATTTCCTTCACCTCGATAATCAACCTTTCCGCCATTATGAACGTGCAATCATGTGGAAAGCTGCTGCTGTTGCAGGTGCAATTGAGTCTGCTTCTTCCAACGGATCTATCCGTGCTCGTCCCATTGAGGGACTCTTTGAATTCAAGGACCCTAACTCTACAATAGAAGACGGTGATATCCCCACAAACTCTCTTTCTATCCACAATTATCCAAACACTGCACCGTCAAACTCATCCTTCCCTGTCACTTCAAATCCATTGAAAACTTATACCCCAGTGGACAATTCAAATGCAAACAGACTAAAGTTCTCTATCCCAAACCTTATTCTCCTGCCTCTGTCACATGGAATTATCCCAGTCGTTGTTCCTCTCGCATACGACCCTGTCACAAGCGAGGAAAAACTCATTGTTGCCGATGATGCCGTCGTATACCTTGTTTCCGAGTTTGCTCGCCATTATAACCATATTGTGTCTGTCGATAAAATCATCTTCATTGAGCCTCTCGGTGGTATCCCCTCCATCGAACGTGATGGCTCTCACGTCTTTGTCAACTTGACTCAAGAACTCGCAGATATCACCGCAGAACTCCACCTAGGCTTTGTCGATCCAACCACTCGTGAAATAAACCTCGCCAATCTGCGTACCATGGATCGTGCACTTGCTTTGCTCCCCAATACTGCTTCTGGCCTTATCACCACCCCTACCGTCGCCTCTCTTTCTTCCAGCCGCAACCCCATCATCTACAACATTTTAACCGACAGACCCATTCTTTCACCGTCACTACCCGTTGTTCGCAAACGTACACCCACAGTAGAAACAACAATTCTCCGCAAGGGCATGCCTGTGATTCTCATGAAGTCTATGACTGGTATTGATCTTGTCAAGGAAAATAAAATCGGATCTATCGACCTTAGTCGTCTATGGGACCTTATCGAAGACTCTTTCGGCCGTAAGCTCGATAAGGAAGCTTACCTCAAACGTATCAATGGCAAGGTCGCTGGTATTATCATTGCCGGAGACTATGAAGGTGCTGCAATCATCACCTGGGAAGAACCCCCTACTACCAAACCTCAAGCTGATGAAAACGAGCCTGTCATCATTTCCGAGCTCGAACGCATTTTCCGTGCTGCTGACGAGGTTGAAAAACCACACCGCGTCGCGTACCTCGACAAATTTGCTGTACGCTCGTCATCTCAAGGTGCGTCTGGTGTTGCCGACGTTGTCTTCAAATCCATGGTCATTACGCTTTTCCCCGACGAGCTGCTGTGGCGTTCACGCAAAGTTAACCCGGTCAACAAGTGGTACTTTGAGCGATCCAAGGGAAGTCTTAGACTCCCCAATGACTCACCCTGGTGTGTTTTCTGGACCGGAGTCGGGACTAGAGAAGCTGAGAGCTTGAGTGATTATATTGATATTTGCAATACAATTCCTTCGTCTTGGAAGATGTAAGATGTCAACTAAAACCAAACACAAATAGAGTATTGTAAAACGATTTAATGAATAGAAAATCCTTTTTTTTTTCATATTAAATAAGTACACCACAAACAAAATTTAAATATATGCATACAATGAGAACTGATAGTAACAATGTCCCTCAACATATGCTCGAACAATATTTAAGAAAAAAAAAAGAGACTTCATGTCAATTTCAAAAAAAAAGAAAACTTATACAAGCCCGCAATCGGGATCGAACCGATAACCTTAGGATCTGCAATCCGACGCGCTACCATTGTGCCATACGGGCCTTACATGGAAAAATATATAGAAATTAGGAAAGTTTCTCTTACAAATAATTTGGTAAAAAAAATACGTAAAACAGGGAGGTTGAATGATTTTAACAACAATATATTATAAGTTTAGTTTTCTTTTTATATTATATTTAAAAATTGAGTCTTGGTAGCTATATTTAAGTCTATTTTTCATCATAGGTTGACAGTATGTGTCGAATCAATCTTAGTTTGCAGTGTTACTTTAGATTAAAATCACTTTTCATCAACAATTTAGTTATCGAGATACTTTGATATGCAAAAGTCTTGATAACTATTAAAAAAAATTGAATTACTTAGTTGTAATTAAACGAAAAATATTCTCTAGATATTCCTACTTTTCCCCCATGAATCAGAGCTTATGGATCACGTAGTCGCTTTATTGGAAAGTACCCTTTATTTCATAAATCTTAAAAAAAAATTTTTTTCTTCAATTTTATATACATTATTCTATATCAACCCATTAAGACGACGAGTCTTGATTTCTCTAAGAGCTCTGGAACCTGAGTAGACTGCAATTGGTGCAACAACCGCCAGCGAGGCCAGGGTTTGGAAAATAGAATCCCCAAGGTAATATTTGTAAAAGAGAAGCTCGGAAGCCAAAATGGAAGCCATAAAAGTGGTATGTGCCAACGGGGCAGCTTTGAGAGCTTGAGGAAGCTGGCCCAAATTAACGCCAGCAAAAAGAGTCCAAGAGTTGATGAGCACCATGATACAACCCAAAATCGCAACAATAGAAGCAAGAGCAATGCTGCGGGAAATGGTATGAGGAGGAGCACGGAAAATGTGATGAATCTCAGGAAGAGCCTCGTTACGAACGGGAAGAGCAACCTCAGATGGCTTAGGAGCTGGAGCCTTGCCCTTTTTGGCGGGCTCTGGCTGCGATGGGATAACAATCAAACGCTCTGTGAGAACAATTCTAGTAGGATCCACTGGGGTATAAATTTTCTTAATGGTAGTTTTGGGTGACTCCTTGTTTTCCTCATCCTCAGAAGTTCCCTTAACAACAACCTCCTCAACGGACTCGGAATCGAATCCACCCACAACAATCTCGGCTTTCAATGGGCCAGCCACAGCCTTGTTTAATAGGACCTCGGGGAGCTTTTTGTGAATTGAAAGTGACAACTTCGCGTCCTTTCCACTAGCACGAGTGGAAATAGGATAAGAAAAGTCCACACCAAGCTTGGGTGAAGAAATGAGAAGAACTGTCTGATGGGCGCGGGTGGCCTTTTCAGCCTTGGAAGTGGCATTCGAAATCAGAGTGTCGAAAGAAACATCAAATGTGCTTCCAGGAGGAATCACGACAGATTCAGCAATTGGAGTAGATGCTTTTGAAGACTTGAATCTAATTGAATGGTTAGAAAGAAGGGGTTTAAATGAAAAAAAAAAAAAAAATACGACAGGATACTTACTGTTTTGAAAAGTCGGTGGTAGGCCCGTTAGACACTGAAACCTTACCGTTTCCAACCACCCAAGACAGTTCAGAGGCGGAAACAGAAGACAAAAAAACAGTTAAGACAGCAAAAAGAGATGCTGAAGATAATTTGCTTGACAATTGCATTTGGGATGTGTGGTGATGAAGACAGCGTATCCTTTAATGGAAGTATACGTAAAGTGAGAAATTTGGGTAGCGTGTGGAGGTTTATAAAAATAAAGGTAGGGTAACATTTAGTTAATGTTTTTATTTTTATTTTATTTTATTTTATTTTTTAGAAAAAAAAATACACACCGTTAACTTTATTTCATTGACTTGACATAACTATAGAAAAAAAAAAAGAACAATATACAATGGCAGCAGAACAGAGAAAACGTCTAGAAAAGTTAATGGGTGCAGATGCCCTTGATCCCCAATCTTCTTCACGGAAACATCATGTCAACTTACATAACCCCCGTATATGTCGAAGCTTTTTAGTGGGGACATGTCCACATGACTTATTTGTGGGCACAAAACAAGATCTTGGGCCTTGTCCCAAACAGCATTTGGAGAATTATAAAATGGAATACCGAGCTCAGATTTTGAAAAAGAAGAAGTTTCCTGAGTTTGATTTAGATTATGAAAGAGATTTAGAACGGTACATTACGGAGTGTAATAGAAGGATCGATACTGCAAACAAACGTTTGGAACGAACGCCAGAGGATATCGCCAAGATGCAGGAAACAACCCAAGACTTGGAAGAGTTAGACAAGAACTTGGCCCTTGCACTAGAAGAAGTTGAGCTTCTTGGTGAAGCAGGTGAGATTGCCAAAGCTGCAGAGGTTCATGAGGTTATGGTAGAGCCACTGCGGCAGAAGCGGGCTCAAAAGGAAAGAGAGCTTAGAATGCTATCCGATCAATCTGGGTTTTCTGGGCACCAAAAGCTCCAGGTTTGCACTTTGTGTGGTGCCTATTTGTCACGGTTGGATAATGACCGGCGCTTGGCAGATCATTTCACGGGTAAGATGCATTTGGGGTACCGGTTAATGCGCCAAGCGTACAAGGAAATTAAGGCCAAAAATGATCTTCGGAGGCGAACAACTGGTGGCGGAAGCAGCAACAGTGGTGCTACTAGCAGTAGTGGTACCAGCAGTATTAGTCGTGGAGGTGGTGGATCGTATAGACCTGGCGACCAGATTGTTGCATGATTTATAGAAAATGAATTGTGATTAATTAATCTAAAAAAGATAAAAAAAAAAGAAAAAAACAAGAGATAAAAAGATGGAGAGATTCATCAGACTTGATTTTTATTTTTTTCCATTAAAACTTAGAACATATGCTCAGACTGACATGTAAATCAATCTTAATACTTGAGAATAAAAGTTCAAAGCTCAAGTAGCCGCACGTGGCGGCGGACATTAGGTGGAGATAGCGGAGGAAAAGGCACCGGGTTTCCGGAAACCACGGTGGCTTGAACTTGCCTTTGTTTAAAAAAATTTTTTTTTTTTAGATTTATCAAGATTGGAAGTTTTCATAAAAATTCTCCTGAAAAATTTTTTTTCAAAATTCTTGAAGAATGAAAATCTGAGTTTAACGGAGAGAATTAAAAGATATAAAAGATATTGAATTAGAGCGGTGAGGGACGTCCCCCAGTAGATGTCAGGCGCAAGCATGGAACTTCTCAAGTTGTATCAACCACTTATAGCTTCTGGAAGCCAAATAAATAAATAAATAATTAATTAATTAATTAAATTATATCACGTGATATAAACATACTGGTATCCGCTTTTTCGGATAAAAATAATAGGCGATAGTCATGTGATTTAAATACCGTTAAGACATGCTGCAGAGACTTAATCAACACAAATTGAAGTCCTTCCCACCAGCCACCCAAAAAAAAAACTAAAAAAACTAAAAAAAATAAAAATAAAAAAAAAACTTCTCCTCCCTTCTAAACTTGTAAATAAATATTACGACATTTCTTCAATACCATTATAAGTTGATATTGTTGGTTTTGGTCTCCTCAATAACCTCTTTCTCACTTTGCCTGTTGTTCCGGGCTGCCCCCCTATTTTTAATTCGTCTTTATTTTTATTTTTATTTTATTTTTTTCGATATTTTTGAGACAAACAAATAAACTGGATACTTTAGAAAGGCCCTTTTTAAGGCTTGCCCATATAAAAGACTCATGTCCTCTCAACAGTTACCAATAATTGACCCTCCTTTGGAGCAGCAAGACATCGACTTTAACGGCCTCATAACATCTGAGGGCCAACTGTCCGACAATGAAGCAGCCATGGATGGGGACCCAAACCGGCCAAAGGCTAAGCGTGGCCGACCACGCCTTCAGAGATCTCTTCAGTCACAGACAGAGGTAAGTTTTTTTTTTTTTTTTTTTTTTTTTTTGATTAACATCTAACTTTTATAACAGAGACGTCGAGCTCAAGTTCGTCATGCACAAAGAACATACCGTTTACGAAAGGAATCAGCTATACAAGATCTTCAGGACCGTGTTGCGCTTTTAGAAACTATTTTGTCAGGCGTGGAGTCGCTATTTCTTAATGTGTACGAAGTAGGCATGGAAATCGCGTTGCGTAGCGAAAACACAAACAACACCAACACTTTGCGAGCGGACTTTAATCATGACCTCATGCAACTTCTTGCTTTTAGTGGCATTCGATTTGGAAACCTTTTGGCTCTTGCTGGACTAGGCCAGAACCATGAGGAGCGTCTTCTCAGCAGCCGCAAAAAGGCCTCAGATCTCGCTTCTAAGCTAGATGGTGACGACACAGCTGGTCTTGAGTCGAACAACATTAATCCTTCTGGCGCTACAGCACCTCACCAGTCATCAACTGAAGGCCTGGAAGCCTTGAGATCTAAAACTGGCTTTTTCAATAGCACCGATGTTACCACCGACGATATTCTTAATGCAATCAACTCCAACTTTTGCTCCGATGAATTCAAATTTAAAAATGTTACTGGCGCTCTTAATGTCCAACCAAAACTTCCACAAAAGACTATCGACAATTCAGTATCTTCATCTTCTTCGTCAACATCTCCACAGGAACTTTCGACATCTCCAAATCCTTTACCAACTCAGTCCAATAAATCTCCTCACCAACAAGTTAAAATCTCACCCTTAGTCGACCCTTCTTCAGGATTTTTATCTGATTTCCCTCCAGATATGATTTCTCAATATGTCAGCCGACGATCAACCGTCAAACCGGAAAAGCAACAGCAACAACAGCAACAACAGATACAGCTACAACATCCTCAGCAGCAGCAACTGCCGCCTCTTCTATCCACATCTGAAGCTAAAATACATAGCAACACAAACCTACAAACACCCATCAATGTTCAACAAAATACTATTGCTGCTGTAGCAGCGACAGATGCTATAAACAACAATCCCCAAGTATTTCAATCTCGATCAAATAGCCCTACTTTAACTATGGATCAGCTGCGGCAACTCGACATTTTTTCATCGAAATCTCTCTCCGACAAAAATCCACAAGTAGACCTTTCTCAAAATTCATTAAGTCGCGAAGAAATTCTCAAATTTTGGAATACTGTGGCAAATCGAAATGGTCGCTCTTTGTCTTCGATACTCACTTCTATGGATGTTTCCTACACAATGCCTACTAGACAACCTGACTTTGATGATAAAAAGAATGTTGATAACACAGGCGCTGAAAATAATAGCAATAGCAATAGCAATAGCAATAGCAATAATCTCAATATGAGTACTAGCACTAGCATCAATAATACTAACAATAACAATAACAACAGCAACAGCAACAGCAACACTAGCAACAATATACCAGCCGAGGCTCTTAACCCTAATTCATTACCATCGGGATCCCCCATGACTGACTTTAATGAAGTTTTCAAAACTATCAACAAATCTCGAGAACGCCAAAACTCGCTTAATGATTTTAACGTTTTCCGCAATATTTCTCTCCAATCGGTAGCGCCACAGGGACCTCCACAAAGTGACGTTGAAATGCTTGATTCTACTTCTAATAGAAATTCGCAGCAACAAGATCAAGAAACGGAACTGGCTCCTAAGTCGCATCCAAGCCCCTCTTTCGACCAAATTTTAGAAGAGCTTCTCTTACAATTTTTCCAATGTTCTTAATCAACCCAATAGCAGCAATGGAGTAAGTGGAAGTGTGCTAGCAGCAGTATCTGCAGTCAATGCGTTAAGTACTCCTAGTACTGAAGGATCTCCAAACTTTCAGCACAGGTCTCGTACACCATCATTAATGGATATTTTCCACCAATATCAACAGAAACACCAAAGTCAAAGCGACAGCCAAAGCTCAACAGGGTTGACTCAGAATAACTTATCAGAGTTGAATTCCCCAGGAGTTCAGCCCCAAATTTCAATCAATCCACCCTTTGAGCAAAACTTTGGCAATAATGTCATTAATAGCATGTTCACCAAACGAAAGATTTCTTCTCCAATCCCTCATTCAATTTCTCCCATGACATTTTACGATTTTCTACCTCAAGAAGCTGGAACTGCTTCAGATATTACTACTAATAATCTACCACCAAGCAAACCATCGAAAGATACTAAACCACCCAAAGAATTTGATTCTGTGCCCATGTCTTCTTCGCCCCCAAAAGCGCTTCCCGGGAACGATTTTTCACTCCCCGTCTATATGACACCGTCAAAAACCGTTCCCGGGATGCAGACTTTCATTTCTCGCGAGGAGCTTCAAGCGGCGGCTCGTGACTACCTTAACAGTGCTCCTTTACCATCTGCTCAACCAGAGCCAGCCATTTATTCAGAATTAAGTGAGCGGATTTTTCGATGCGCTCTACATTGGGTGCTACGCTATTATGCTGATGGGAACTTTACAGTTCTTGAGCGTATTTATTCCAATTCCTTTTCCAAGACTGAACATTTCCAAATTACAAGAGTTCTTTCTGCCCTTCAAGTTGGTGTCAGTGTCAACAATTCCAAATGGGTTGGGAAAATAGAAGACGATGCATTGTTCCCTGGTTACCTAGGCCCTGCAAAAATTCAGGAACGCTTCATGCTTGCCAAGATGCAGCTAGCACAGCGCGGCCTTGACATTGATGAAGATGCATTTGTTCAGGCAATTTCCAAAACCACTTATTGTCTGGGATCCATACCTCGAGTTTCTTCAACTCTACTTGAATCAGCACTCTCGGAGGCGGCCAATGTAGCCCAGTTCAAAAAAGCCATGATGAATGCGGCTGCGGCAATTGATAACAACACCCCACCAATAGGATCAATCCCTACATCGGAAAATCCCCAGACCAGTGTACGCGTGCCAGCACCCAGTATGGTTGGAAGTTTATCTACATCGCCGAACTCAACTTCTACTTCTTTTTCATCGCCTTCAAGTGCTTCAGGCCAAGATATACATCTCAACAGAGGTTCTTGTACTCCAACTAGCGGTTCTTCTGAAGGCGGAGACGGCCCAAAATCTATGTGAAAGTTTTGTTTTTTTTTCTAGTTCTTTCGTTATCTTTCTTTTTTTTTTTTTTTTTTTTTGCAAAACGTCCAAAATTTTAATGAGTAATGACAAGATATAATCCTTTATTGTATATTTTTTTTAATTGTACGAACAAACCTTTCTTTTCTTCCACACCATTTGAGTTTCAATTCTAAATTAGCAAGTAATCAACAACTTTCAATTTCATGTGATTATTTTCCACGTGCTTTTTACCTTTGGCTTAGAATCAAAAGAAGTTTAAAGGATTTATTTCAAGTATTTGCATTAATGCTACAGGAGCAAGTTATTATAAAGACTATCGAAGATAATTTCCAGGATTATGCACGTTTTATAAAAGTCATTATCAAAGAATGAAAAAATAAATATCTACGGCCAATTAAAAATATTTCATGGAATTTATCTTAAATCTAATAATTTACACATAAAACTGTTATCGTCGATAGTTTTGATTATAACCTTGACCACCACTATAGCCCTGACTATAATTCTGGTTCGAGTGTTGTTGTTGTTGTTGTTGCTGCTGCTGTGGATATTGGCCATGGCCATGGCTGTGACCACCATGCGTTGCCGACATTGCCGAAGAAGAATGTTGTTGATGATGACGCTTTTCAGCTTCAACACGTTGGTGTAAAAGCTGCATTGCCTTTTGGTTAGTTTCTAATGTCCCTACAATTGTCACTTTCCGGTCCCCAGACCCTGCAACTCCTTCATCTGCACCGGAATCTTCATCGCCAGGGTACTCATTGATCTTAATTGTGGAACCAGAGGCTTGTCGAATTTCATTAATCTTAACACCTTGTTTTCCAATGATTGCACCAACTAGTTCATTAGGAACATACATGAATTGTGTTACCTGACCAGATGCATTAACAATGGGGGCATCACCTTCAGGGACAGAACTAGTATAGTCGGTCATTGCAGAGTCGACATCTTCGCCTGAAAATGTAGCGGAGACTTCGTTCCCATCCGTTGTTGTAGCAACATCAGATACTAAAGTAATAGGGTCTCGTGGATGATAATAAGGATTAACTGGTTCCCACGGAGCGTTAAGATACTGCTGCTGAAATGTATCAGGATGACCATAAATACCGGCAACAGGAATCGGTGCGTAAGTTGTATGTGGAGGAATCGCTGCACGTCCATTCGCATATTCGTCTTCACTATCACCCAAAACGTCATCATCATCAGCATCATCAATGCGAGTAGTTTTATTTTCAGTCTTTTTCTTTTTGTGAGTCTTTTTAGCATGTCGACGGTGCTTCTTTTTTCTTTCACCTGTCACCTCTTCACCTTCACGGCTTCTTGGCTTACTCTCAATCAAAGTTTGCGTGAGCAATATCCGCACAGACTGCTCCAGTGATTTTGTATTGTGAGCAGATATGCGTAAGGGATAGTCCAAAGACATTGGAAGTGTAACAAGTGCAGGCAATCGCGGAATTTGAAAGTGGGTATCTGTCAGCAGTCCAATTTCCTCCAGCATGTTAAATTGCTTGCTAAATCCATCTTTTGTAAGAGTAGAGTGCATCTTTTGAAGAATAGATGAGATGTGATGATTCGAATTTTGACGCAGTGATCGTGTAGTAAGCTTCTTTTGGTTGATGATATATTCAGGGATAAGAAGTGTGATTTGCAATCCGGTTTCAGCAACGAGGTCTTCAAGCAATATAAGCCTATCTGAGTCATTAATTAACCCTTCAAGCAATGCATTGAAATGTTCAACCACTAGTTCAGAAGCTATTTTTGCTCCACTTTTAACCTTTTCTCCATCAGAAACTGAAACTGGTGCCATGGCTTCCAAAAGGGAGTTATACTCAGAAAGAATAGCCACAGCTCTGGCAAGAGCTCGGCATGTTCCAGAAATAGCAACAATCCGTTCAGGTGTACCTTGAGCTTGAGAACTGACTGAAACTCCTGATAAACGATATGGCTTGGGTTCCACACCATCAACTTCTGGCTCGTCCAAAACGAGAAGCTTAATAACAGGATCAAGAGGGTCGTCTAAGACAGCCCCAAAACTTGCGGTAACAAGAACTCGGAGTGTTAGTTCAATGTTGTGGTCGTCATGAATGTCAGCATCGTCAATTTTAGATTTAAATTTTGAGTGGTGACTTGGAGGTGGAGGTGCCGGTGCAGGTGCCGTTGATGGAGGAGGAGCAGGTCCTAAAGATGGCGGGGGAGGAGGAGGAGCCGGGGTTTCCGTAACTGTGGATGATTCCTCATGAGCAGGAACAGGATCTAAAATTTCAATAATTTCTTCAACTTCTTCAACTTCTTCCACATGTTTTATGGAGCTTTTTCGTGATCCACGTTTCCTTGGAGTAATCGTCTGAGTTTCTGATTTCTTTTTCGAGACCGATGACGTTCGGCGTTTTTTGACTGGAGAACGGATGACTGTTGTTTCAATCTCTTCAACCACTAGTTCGTTGGAGTTCACCTCAGTAGCATTATCAATAGGTTCATTTTCCGCAATTTTCTTAGCTTTGGATGCTACAGCTCTTTTTCTTTTTGGCGGCATTGCGTAGGTATATTATCGTTCACCTCCACTGTGTAGGCGTTTTTTGTAATTTTTTATTTATTTGTTTTCACTTAACTATTTTGGAGATTCACGGAGTGGAGTATTTTTTTTAGAAAAAAAAAAAGTAAAATAATCACATGATTTAAACGTGATTTATGACAGTGCCAGCCTGTCCTATCATTAATTACAACTATAAATTGTCATACAATACTAGCCAGCGCAGTCTTTTTGTTTTTCCACCTCCCTTTCCTTCATTTTTCATCAAAACCTCCCTTTTGGCATCACGAATTCACGGATTTTGTTTATTTCCATCTTTACATTAATAAAAAGGTAATTTTTCAATGCTTCTAGTTTTTTATTTGAATTTTTTTTAAATTTTTTGTACTAAAATAAGTCTTTTAGATGGCGGACCTTGCCCCTTACGCTCTTATTTATGACCCCTCGCCAACCGACCGGCCTTCTGTCCAGGACTTTAAGAACCACCTGGAAAAAGGTTCGGATGATGTCAAGATTGATGCCATGAAGCGTCTTCTTGTCATCATGATTAATGGCGACCCTATGCCTCAATTGCTTATGCACATTATTCGTTTTGTCATGCCTTCTAAGAACAAGCAGCTTAAAAAGCTTCTTCACTTCTATTGGGAGGTTTGCCCAAAACTCAACCCTGACGGTACTCTCAAGCAGGAGATGATTCTTGTCTGCAATGCTATTCGCAATGACCTTCAGCATCCTAACGAGTATATCCGTGGTGCAACTCTTAGATTTCTTTGCAAACTTCACGAGCCTGAACTTTTGGATCCTTTGATTCCCTCCATTCTCTCATGTCTGGAACACCGTCATGCCTATGTTCGCAAGAATGCTATTTTCGCCGTTTACAGCATTGCTATTGAGCCTGCTACCAGTCATCACATTCCCGAACCAGCAGAAACCATCCAGACTTTCCTTGATGCAGAGACTGATGCTACCTGCATTCGCAATGCTTTCATTGCCCTTTCCAATCTTGACCGTGAACGCGCCATTGAATTTGTTCGTTCTAAGGCTTCCAATGCTGCAGCTCTCGATGAGCTTCTTCAGCTTGCTTTCATTGAGTTCATCCGCAGAGATGCTGCTCACAACCCGGATTACGTCCCCCTTTACCTTAAGATTATTTTTGATATTCTTGATTCTTCTTCCAATACTGCAATTTATGAAGCCGCAAATGCTCTTACTAGACTTTCTTCTGATCGCAATGCCATCAAGGGTGCTGCCACCAAACTCATTGAGCTTGCTGTTAAAGAGCCCGACAATAACGTTAAGCTTATTGTTTTTGAACAAGTCAACAAGCTCCACCAAAATAACCCAGGTATCCTCAACGACCTTGCCGTCGACATTCTTGCTGCCTTGTCTTCTCCTGACTTTGAGATTCGCCAAAAGGCTCTCAAGATATCTCTTTCTATGGTTACCAGCCGGAATGTGGATGATGTTATTAAGCTCTTGAAGAAGGAACTCAACAAGACCTTGACTCAGGATTATGAAAAGAATTCTCTTTACAGACAACTTCTCATTCAATCCATTCATACATGTGCTGTGCGTTTTGCCGAAGTTGCCAAGAGTGTTGTTGAAATGCTTCTGGATCTTTTGAATGACGAAGATTCTGCTTCAAGTTCATCTGCGATTGATGTCATCAACTTTGTCAAGGAAGTTGTTGAAATCTTCCCTAATATGCGCGCTGAACTTATTTCCAAACTTATCGTTGCTTTGGAGAATGTTCGTACAGCAAGCGCTTACCGAAGTGCTATTTGGATTGTTGGTGAATACTCGCATGATGAAAGCGAAATTAAGAGTGCTTGGGCCCTTATTCGTAAGAGTCTTGGTGAAGTCCCCATTCTTTCTTCCGAACAAAGACTTCTTGAAGAGGCCGAGCAGTCTTCGGAGTCCACTCAAACTAATGGTGTCTCTGAGGAGCCTCACAAGAGTAGCAAACCGAAGGTGCTTTCTGACGGTACCTATGCTACAGAAACTGTCTTTTCTACAAGCCAAAAGGCACAAGATCAGGTCAAGTCCAATAGACCTCCTCTTAGATCTTTCATTCTTGATGGGTCTTGGTTCCTTGCTTCTGTTTTGGCCTCGACCATTACCAAGCTCACTCTTAGAGCTTTAGATGTTAGTGAAAATGAAGGTTTTAAGAATGCTCTTCGTGCTGAAGCCATGCTTATTTTGATTTCAATCATTCGCGTGGGTGAATCTTCTTTGGTCGCCATCAAGATTGATGAGGATACTACTGACCGTATTTACTCGTGCATTCGGGTTCTTGGTGAGGGCTACGACAACGAGACTATTGACAAGGCCTTCTTGTATGACAGCAGAAAAGCTTTCCAACATATTGTTCAAGAGAAGGAAAAGCAGCGCGCTGAGTCTACTGCCTCTGAACGCGAAAAACATGCTTCGCAGGCTGATGAAACTATTCCTTTCAGACAATTTGCTGCTCTTAATACCGCCTCTGAATCTACTAACAGTGATAGCTTGGATAACGATCTTGTTCTCGCTTCTGGTTCTAACTCAGATGCTTCTGCTGAAAAGGTCACTTCCAAGTTGGCTCGTATTGTTCAGCTTACTGGTTACTCGGATCCTGTTTACGTTGAGGCATACATCAATGTCCACCAATTTGATATTGTTCTGGATATTCTTATCTTTAACCAAACTCTTGAGACACTCCAGAATCTTTCTGTTGAGTTTGCTAGCATTGGTGACATTCGCGTTTCTAGTAAACCATCTTCACAGAATATTGGCCCTCAAAGCTTCCATACCTTGCAGGCTAGTTTCAAGGTTTCATCTGCTGATGCTGGTGTTATTTTTGGCAATGTTATTTATGGTGGTTCCACCGCTGGTGATAACAATATTGTCATTCTTAATGATATTCATGTTGACATTATGGATTACATCAAGCCTGGAAACTACACAGAAACTGAATTTAGATTGCTGTGGAGCGAATTTGAGTGGGAGAACAATGTCAGCATTAGTGTCCCAGGCAATTCTCTTCGTGGTTTCCTCAAGTATCTGTTGACAAATGCCAACTTTGCATGCCTCACTCCTAGCGCTTTGAGCCGCAGCGACAGCTCTGATGAAAATGCCAATGAGGACGATGATGACTGTCAATTCTTGAGTGCCAACTTACATGCTCGCAGCAAGTTTGGCGAGGATGCTCTTGCCAATCTCAGTATTGAAATTAACGAGGCCACAAACCGCATCACAGGCCATGTCCGTATCAGATCTAAGGGTCAAGGTTTGGCTCTGTCACTGGGTGACCGGGTTGCTGACTTGCAGCGACAGCGCATCATTGAATATGCACAAAAGTCGGAGCTGCGATGAATGTTTAGTTTTTGTTTAAGGAAATAATGAGAAATAATTAAGTGAAAAAAAAATTCAATATATACAAATTATGTACAAGATGCTTTTCTACCATCTAGTAGGGAACTTCTCCTTGCCACTGAAGAGGAAACCGTAAGAACTCAGTAAGGTACGGGCTTCAGGGTCAACTTGTGCTGAGGTATGGATAGTAACATCCATACCAAAGGTACGAGGCCAAAGATCCTGGTTACCTTCAATTTCAGGGAACGATCTAACATCAGCAGAAGTTAGGCCAAATGTGATGTTACCATATCTGTCACCTGCAGCATTGGAAATACCTTGGAAGGTCTTTGATCTTGGCAAAACAATTTCGGTCAAAGTAGACAAAAATTGGTTCATGGGTCTACCCTTAATGGTAACTTTAGAGCCGATGAGTATACCTGTTCGCAGCTTCCAGGTGGGAACGTTAGTTTTAGAGTAGACGTGCTCGGCCTTGACACCTGTGATTTGCTGTAGTTGGAGGAGAGCAGGAATAACAGCGTCTGAGTTTTCGCGACCCTCCTTGACAAAGCAGTTCAAAGAAATGGCGGTAATTCGAGGAATAGTGGAAACGTCACGCTTCTTAATGTTAGGAGTTTCGACAACAGTACCACGAGGAGGCTTTACAGTTCTGTTGATGTGGTAAGGAGAAGTACCGTCCCATTCGCGAAACTTTTGACCCTTCTTGTCAACGCCACGATGGAAATATGTGATAAGAAGCATATCGCTGTCAATAGTGTTGGTTTGATAATCTTCAATACGATCAGGGCAGACGGCAGTAGGTCGAAATGCACGCGACTCGATGTCGTTCTTGGGAATGAGAAGCTCCCGGTATCTGTCAGAAACTTGGGCATTGCGGAACTTGACTGTGTGATGAACAGGCTTCTTGATAGACACAGAAGCCTTATAAGAGGCCGCACTAGTGTGGAATGACGACCGGATAGCTTTGGGGCCAAGGCTTGTAGCCATGGTGGTGGCCATAGTGGGTATTCTCAAGGACATTATGGATATTGTGCTGGCAGTAGCGAAGCTTTTGAGATTTTGAAAAAAAATTTTTGGTGGAAGATTTTTTTTTTTGTTTTCTTAAGCTGAAAATTTCGGCCAATCGTGATAGGTGATGAGATGTTCGCAGTTCTCTGCTAAACGCACAAAAATTGGTTTTCACCGCCAATTTTTTTTTTTTTTTTTTGAATTTAATGTACATTTGTTTACTTTAACACAGACAAACAAAAAATCAAATAACAGTTTTAATATGGTTTTTTCTTCTAATAAAAGGAAGACAGACCAACTATCTGGAGAACAGACTTCATTTAGTTTTTCGCCAAATAGTCAATCATATACTAACAGTTTTGGTGGAAGCGATAATGATTCCTTTTGGAGCGGGTGCGAGTCTTTGAATAGTGAAAAAGGTAAGTTTTTGTCTGCAAAGTAGAATATCATTGTCTAATTTAATAGCTTCTGAAGAAAAAAATGAATCAACCGAGCGATTTCAAAAAAATGGTTATTTTCTTGGTAAAAAGACTGAAAATGATATTGAGTCACGACGGTATGCCTTGAACTCTCCACAGGACTCAAGAGCGTCGACACCTGGGAAACTTAAGACACGCACAACATTACTTTCAAATTCATCAACTCCCCAAAACCAAACCCCGACAAGAGCATCTTCAATACAATCTGGGCTTAATGACATTCAAGATTTACTCGGTTCTATTTCAAAAGAGTCTATTGAAGACTATGCTGATACTCTAGCAAGTGATTCTAATTTTATTGTACGCGATCAACAAATAAAGAAACAACAAGAAGCACAAGAGCTCGAAAATATGGATAAAAAACTTAAGGAATTAAGTATTCAAAGAGACGTTCGTGTGCAAGGTTACCTTATCGAAATCGAAAAACAACAATTGGAGCAAGATGTGAAACGTATTGAAGATGAACGATTAAAACGGGAGCATGTTTTGAATAAGGAGCGACAACAACGTGATACCTTAAAAAAGATTTTTACCGAACAACAGGAAGAGCTTGATTTTATGGAGAAAGAGATTTACAGAATCCGTTTAGAAATTTCGCAATATGAAAAACTGAAGAATGAAAACTTTAAACGCAAGACAGAGCTAGCGGAAAAAAAGCTGGAAGAGGAAAGACGATTGGAAGAACTGAAAAAGGAAACCGAGTTAGTAGCTGAGCAACAAAAACAGGAATCCATAAAACGAGAAGAAGAGCAAAAAATTCAACAAGCCAAAGTGGTCGCTCAAGCAAAGAAGCTAGCAGAAGAAAAAGCAAAGAAGTTGGCAGAAGAAAGAGCAAAGAAGGAAGCTGAAGAAAAGGCTAAGAAGGAAGCTGAAGAAATAGCCAAGAAGGAACAACTTGAGAAAAAAAATAAGGTGACCACTAATAGTGATATTGCAAAAGAATATCTGAAATACAAAAACATGATTGAAAAAATCAAGATTGAAATTAATGAGCCTGTTAATAAAAACTCGACATACAAGTTACAATGCCAGCAACTGAAACGACATATTCGCCCCAAACTGGGCCAACTAAATGATTCCAGAGGAAAACTAATTACTATTTATCGAGAAATTTTGGATGCTATTCAGGGTTGCCGGAATGTACCTTTGGTGTTTTCATGGGTTCTTAATTATTACAGTAAAGCTTTGATTGATCAAGCAGAAGCCGAGGTTTCTGCGTCCATTAACCGTGCTTTGCCTTTAGCGATTTTAACAGCCAGTTTACTGGGCCATCTTCCCGAACTCTATGATTACCTTGTTGCTCGATTTGTGAAAAAATGCCCAATGATTATCGGATTTTCCTGCGGTATTGATACAGTGGAAGGAATTACGCGGATGGGTTATCGTCGATCAAGCGATGGAACATTTGAAACACAAGAAAAGGTTGCAGATCGTGTATCTGGAATTGTAGCACTGTGGTCTGCGTTAACAATCGCTCAGCCATTGGACCAAGGGTGCGTGAGTCCAATTTCGGCCGCAGATGGATGGAAGATGCTTGCACGACTAGCCAACACTCCCAAAGATCTTCTTATCAACCTTCATTTCACTGTAGCTTCTACATGGTGGGATGTTGGATCTGAGCAATTGAGAAACCAATATGGGAAACAGGGCATCAAGCTTTTGCAGCTACTTAGTAGGCCATGGCCAGCATCGGTATCGGATAAAAAATACCCAGCAGCATTGAAGCTGATGATACAGGGCGAGGAATGGCAAAAAACAGGTCAGCTCAAGAGTCTCAAGCCATTGAAATAAAAATAATGGGAAAACAAGAATTTTATATTACTTTCTAAGCTTACGTCTAAGAATAAAATAGATGATAGCAGCAATGAGCGTGACACGGAAAGCAAGCCCTGCATAAATGGCTTTTGCAAGGAATGGGAAATAGTTTGCTAAAGCTTTGCCAGTAATGTCTAGCTGGCCTTCATGATACCTGTTAACTGGACCTCTAAGGAACGCATCACGTTTAGTCTTGACATAGTTGTATGAAAAAACGTAAATGAAAAATCTAATATCGGGAGCAGTAAGCGTTGGGAACAAGAAAAACTGGGCGGCTGAATGTGGTTGGAAAAGCTCAAGCAAGTCAACAATAACACCATGAGTCAACCCCCAAAGTTTGTAGGGAAGAACAGCTTTATCTGTTTCATTAGGAACTGACAAAACCATATCACGGGGCTCTGTAAGATCAATGGCACCAAAGTGCATTTCTCCAAAGGCATTTATTCGACTTAAGGTTGATACAAGAGGTTTAGGGAGAAAGGGAGATTTGTGAAGACGTAGGCGGTCACCGAGACCAACTGTCTCAAAAGAAGATGCTCTTTCTGGGAAATATAGCTGATCAACAGGAATCCAAAATGCGCGATCAATCTCAGTCGGCTGAAGAGTTAAAAGAGATTCTTTATAGGAAAGCCGGACAGCATCTGGGGTTAAAACGTACACAAAGGGGCATAGCGTCATAAGAGTGATACGACCCCATGATGTTTTGACAAGTCGCTGATCAAGTGGACCAACCAAACGTCCCAGTTTATTAAGATCGAAGCCGACTTCTTCAAGAGTTTCGCGTACAGCACAAGCCTCGTCAGATTCATCGTCAGGGTCGCGCTTACCTCCGGGAAGTGCAACATGTCCCGACCAGCGGTCCCCTTTGCGAGAAGTTCGTTTAATAAATAAAATTTCTGGATAAGATGAAATAGAGGCGTCAGTTCCTGCATTGATCAGGTCGGTTACCGAGGAGGGGTCACTGTCGAGATCACAAGTTGCCAAGTTGGGGAAACGTAAAATAAGAGCTACAGAAGAGCGGCGCTTTACAATATCATCTTCAACATGGATACCATGGAAATTTGTGGAGATGTTGCGTAGAGCATCTCCAATTTGAGAAATTGATGGTGGAGGTGTTTGTTGAGTCATTGTGATGGATAGGAAGAAAGATAGTTGAAAAGCGGGGCACCAAAAAAATAAAAAAAAATAAAAAAAAAACAACGTGCAAAAACCTTTCGGTAAGTTGGCTTCTTACTAATTCTATCTAACGCAATTCCATACCACCACCACATCATGACTTCACGAACTGACCGTCCTTCAATTGTAGGACCCGAATCCCCACAGCAGCCCTACCCTTTGTTTTCAGATACAGTTGTAGTGGCAGGTTTTGGGCGTGGATCATCTGACTTAGGAATTCCTACAGCAAATATTCCACCTGATTCGTACGAACCTGTGCTTAAGGCAACTACAGGTTATGAAGCTTCAGACACCGGAATCTATTACGGGTATGCGCGAGTGGACGTTGGAAACGCAAAGGCTCTTTCTGCTTGCGAAGAACGAAATAAAGAGTATCTTAAAGATAGAGGTGGATCTAATGGTAGCATAGTCAATCCTCAAGGACGTGACATTGATTTTACTTTTGGAGCCAGTTTGAGTGATAAGGATGCTGGGGTTGTTTACCCAATGGTAATGAGTGTTGGATGGAACCCATTTTATGGGAATTCCAGTAGAAGTGCAGAAATTTACATTATGCACAAGTTTGGTGGTCCATTTTACGGTGCGCGAATTCGGTACGTTGTTTTGGGGTACATAAGACCGGAGCTTGACTACGTGTCTGTTGAAGCTTTGATTGCTGATATTAACACAGACGTGCAAGTTGCTGAACGGTCCTTAGCTAGAAAGGAATATTCCAAGTACAAGGATGATGCGTTCTTTAGATAGGGGGAGGGGAGATATAACGGTATATAGAAAAAAGTTTTCAAAACTCTTTTTTTTTTTTTTTTTAATCGGTCTTTTTAGAGGAACGACCAGAACCTGTGGATAAAGCGCGCTTAGCTAAAAGAACCATCTTGTAGAACCAAAAGACATTAAGGAAATCAAGCGAAAGATTAGCGGCGAGGACGCCAATAGCGACCCAGAGAGGATACTGGCGAGTTGCAACTTCGAGATAAAGCACGTCGTAAGCAACTCGGAAAGCTTGGTAAAATCCCCAAGCAATACGTACAAAGAAGAAGGTGGAAAGTAAAAGCACACCATTAATCTTTTGAACTGTAAAAGAAATTGTGCCTTCAGGGAGATGAGAAGCAAACCAATTGACGTTGAGAAAGGGAGTGGAGAGCTCAAACAATAAAAAGTGTGGGCTATAAAAGAGCAGGAATGGTCGCGTGGACTGTAGAAAGACGAAAAAGGCGGAAACTCCATGCACGAGAAAGCCGACACCAAATACTTTGATGAATTTGACACAAATGAAGATATCCCAAAGAAAGTAGCCAAGGGCCATGGCGGTGATGAAGCCGGCGTAAGGAGTGTATGAATAAACTCTGTTTTCAGCAAGCACCTTATCGCCAAAAAGTGGGTAAGAAAGTGCGACGATTAGAATAGATTGGACATGCGATACAACATGAATGTCAAAGTTGACACGCGTCTTGGGTGTCAGTGTGCGATAAGATGGAAGAAAATATGGCGAGAGGTATCTTGAAGCTATGAATACACCATGATAAAAAGCTGTGGCCAGCACCATTTCCGATGCATGTTTTGCAAAAACCGTGTATCCAAGAGCGTCAGCTACCGGCTTAACAAGAGACTCCAGACCCGGGATAGAAAAGGATGCAAGTGGATCAGCAAACATATCTATGTGAAATTTAAAAAAAAAAAAAAAAAAAAAATGAAAATGAAGTTCTTAAAATTTAGGGAGATTTGGGAAATTTTAAACTGAGGCTTTTGATGAAGATGTGCAAGGAAGGGCTTGCCTTGAAACGGAGGTTTGTTGGGGGGAAGCCATAAAAAAAATAAAATAAAAAAATAAAAAAAGCACACACACACAGACACAAATGTACAAAAATGTATTTAAGGTATTATATATACATATATATATAAAGACACCCCTTAAATACAACAGCTTGTGAACACGCTGGAAATTTGCACGTGCATTTTAGAAAATTTTTCGTCAAAAGTATAAAAGCTCCACCATTCCCACGTATACCTGATATCATCATCACTTTTCCACCCAACAATCTATTCATCTCACTAACTCAATCAATTAACCAATCACCACTACAATGACCTATCCTCTCGTCGCCCTCGGAAACCCCCTCTTGGATATCCAAGTCAATGTTGACAAGGCTTACCTTGACAAGTACGACCTCAAGGAGAACGATGCTATCCTTGTTGAAGACAAGCACATGCCCATCTTTGCTGAGGCTTCGGCCAAGCCTGGTGTCAAGTTCATTGCTGGTGGTGCTGCCCAGAACGCTGCCCGTGGTGCCCAGTACGTTCTTCCTCCTAACTCCGTTGTCTACTTTGGTTCTGTTGGCAAGGATGAGTACTCTGAGCAACTCCTCAAGGCCAATGAGGTTGCTGGCGTCAAGTCTGCTTACCTTGTCCACGATGACATCCCCACCGGCAAGTGCGCTGCTTTAATTAACGGTGAGAACCACCGTTCTCTCGTCACTGACCTTGCTGCTGCCAACCACTACAAGCTTGAGCACCTTAAGGCTCCTGAGAACTGGGCTCTTGTTGAGGGTGCTAAGTACTACTACGTCGGTGGCTTCCACTTGACTGTCTGCCCCCCTGCCATCAATGCTATTGGTGAACATGCTTCCCAGCACACTGACAAGACTTTTGTCATCAATCTTTCTGCTCCTTTCCTCTGCCAATTCTTCCAGGAGCCCATGGACTCTTCAAGCCCCTACTGGGATGTTCTCATTGGTAATGAGAGCGAGGCTGCTGCCTGGGCTGAGGCTCACGGTTTGGCCGACAAGAAGGATGATGTCAAGGCCATTGCTGCTGCCATTGCTGTCCTCCCCAAGGCTAACGCCGAGAAGCCCCGTGTTGTCATCATCACTCAGGGTACTGATCCCACTGTCGTTGCCAAGGCTTCCAAGGCTACTACTGGCTTTGGTGCTGACGCCGATGCCTCCAAGGTTGATATCACCGAGTTCCCTGTCCGCAAGATTGCTGCTAGCGAAATTGTTGACACCAATGGTGCCGGTGATGCTTTTGCTGGTGGTTTCCTCGGTGCTCTTGTTGAGGGCAAGTCCATTGAGGAGGCTGTTGATGTTGGCCAATGGCTTGCTTCTGTTTCCCTTAAGGAAGTTGGCCCCTCTTTCCCCTACAGCCCCAAGGTTTCTTACACCAAGGCCTAAGCTGTCTTTCCTTCTCCTTGACTAGACGATATTTCAACATTCTCGTTACGTTTTCTCTTTTTTTAATGTCTTTTTTTTTACGATGCTCATGACTTTATGTATATAATAATGTATAGACGGATGTTTCAACAATCATCCTTTTTTTTATTTATTTTCAAACCGTTCCATTCATCTCACGCATATAAACTTCTTTTAGACCATCAATATGCCTGCTGCGGTCGTTAAAAAGATATGCTTCTTCTTCTGATAATGCATTTCCATAAACCGCTTCGCCTCTGTGTAATCTTTCATCCACATCACGTTTGCTTCTTTCTCGTTCCTCATCTATCCTGTTTGCTATTCTTGCACGCAGATACCACCCTTCATAGCGGTCTTTTTGGGAAATCCCCTTGTTTGAAGTAGTATCATCCTCTTTCCCCACAGCCCGGATAACTGCCAAAGCATTTTCTAATGCTGCAATATTAGCTTTACTTGAAGAATCGAGCACTCTTTGGCGCTCAACTTTGTACATTGCTTCTGGGTCTTCAGCTCGAGCTGGCGGGGTATATACGTTAAGTCCTGCTGCTATGGCAGTTTCCTGTGCCTTTTTATCAAGAACAGAGTATCTCTTTTCTCTCTGCTTGGCCTTTTCCCGGTACGCTGCGATACTGGCTGAATCTGGACCAAGAACATCGCAATCCTTTGTACGACGAATCCGGCGGATTCGATCAATCATGTAGCCACTAACAGCACCACCAAGTTTGCGACCAGCTTCTTCCTCATCATATTTAAGATAATCCAAAGCTGGGCGACCAAGCCGTACTGCATCATCGTTTGCACAGTAACTTTCTTCAGGAAGATATCTCCAAGACAAGCAATAAGGATCATCCAGACACTTTTGCTGGCACAAATATGGTGAATTCCATGGATGCTTACCACTGTCAATATCTTCGTCATCACCCACAATTTCGTCCTTTTTTTGACGTAAAGCCTCTTCTTCATCGATTGTTTCGCCATTTTGTAATTTTAGCTCTTTATCTGCACGTTCTTGACGTAATTTTTCTAAAGCTTCCAAAAAAGATTGCTTGGAGTATTCTTTAGTACGAGCCATGCTATTCCAACCAGGCATAAATGGCTCAATGTATGGAGCAACAAAGTCGCGATAAATGTCAGCATAAGTGATGTGACGCTTTTGTTCTGGAGAAAGTAATCGCTCATATTCCCACAGAATTTCAACATCCATGGAGCTCAAATGATGGAAACTGACAGCTTTGTTACACCATTCGGACCGTTTTATGGCCAAATCCCAATGAGGGAACTTGGTGAACTTTTGTCCCACACGATTTGATCCTTGGAAAATGCGTGACCCAGCTTCATACTCCTCTCTTTCGCGACGTTCGAGGTTTCTGCGCCACCAACTATCATAAGTATCTCCTTGTTTCCAGAAGTCGTTCCAGTCATCTTGCACTGTTAACAACCCCACATCAAATTTCTTCAGCATAGCAGCTACCATAAAATCGCCGCAACAAACGTCCAGCGTTTGGGCCTCGTACTCTCGAGCAAGTCCTTCATAAGTTCCAAACGTCATGTTCATTGCGGCGCGTGACAAAACCACACCAGACCCTCCATGTGCAAATGGCTGATCCTCAATAACTTGATGGTTACCGATGTAATATGGTTTTGTGTGATCCAACATATTTAAATAATCGAGAAGGTTATCAAGCATAATATACGAATCACCATCCATGAAAACAAACCAACGAACATGCTTTGGAGCGGTTTTCCATGCATGCTCCAACATTGGAAGATTCTTAAACTTGTCAAGATCCCAACCACCCGTCAATGGTGTGTGACCTGGATCAACAATAGCGTGTGTGTTCCGCAACCGTTGAAGTTCTCGATAAAGTTTAAATTGTTCAGACTTGCGTGTGGTCTCCGAAACGTTAGCCAATGTATCAACAACCTCATATCCTGCAAGCGAAGACGATTGATCAGCATAGAGACCAAAATATGGTACTCGGGTAAGTGTAGTGGCTGCGTGAATTGGCAACCGGTTCCACAGTACTGTAGCACCAGTCTTAATCATTAAAAACATGTTTTCAGCACCTTGAGCATAGTCAGAAACTAGAGTTTGTTTAAGAAACTCTGATCTACTTGGGTAGTCATTTAGTGGCCGTTGCTCGGGTCGTAGACTTTCGATCAGTTGGGTGGACTGGCGTTTGTGAGCTGCACCGTAGGCATCGTGTGGTCGCCACGCATCATCCATAACAAAACTGTTACGCTCTGAACCTGGGTGGTAAGCCAATTTTTTGCCCTTTTTCCCGTAAGAAAGTTCTCCTGGAGATGTATATTCAAGTAGTTTTTGCTTGTGATGACGGTCGCGGAGCGAAGGAGGTGGAGGTGGAGGTGGATATGTTTGGTGCCTTCCCCCCCACAAACCATGTGGTCTTTGGTTCCTTCTAAAGCCATTAAATGTAGTTGATGTTTCTGAAGCAGATTTTCTGTGGCTCGGTATCGAAATAACAAGTATAACAAGAGCTGTGAAGAAAAAAATGGCGGAAATGGTTGTAATCATTCGACGGGACAAATACCCAGTGATTCTAAACCGATTTTTTGTTTTCGGCCTGGCTTGAAAGCCATAATAGCCATTGGGTTGCTGAAACATAGCTTTTGGTGATTCGTTTTTATTATTATTTTAAAAATTAAAAATGAATAGAATTGGGGGGAATCCCTAGATGAAGAAATTTGTTGATAAACAGCCGGATTTTGTTAGTAACCGTCGTATTTTTAAAGTAAGTACATATTTTCGGCCTTCATAGATATTCTCTCCCACCCCTTAAATCAACAAATAAGACAGCGTCTTGGATATTGCTTTTTTTTTTTTGCAGTATAAGAACCGCTTATAAAATGATAAATCTCACTCCATTGATATGCTTATATTCTTTGAGTTTATAAAATTGTGGAGAAGATAAAAATCTTCGATGCTCTAACGAAGCATTACGTGGGCTCGTTAAGATGTTCGGAGGGCCCTGAAGACGTAATCCTCAAGACAATAGAAATGATAAATTTCAGCCTTTTTTCAACTTGACGGATTTTATCTACCATATAATTTCAATCTGATTCAACAATTACAGGGGAAAAAAAACTTGAAAGCTGAGTGCTTTCTTTTTAAGAACAAAAAAAAAATTAAGCATAATTTGTTCATTTGTTTTTTTTTTTTTTTTTTTTTTAAAATGTTAGCTTTTTATTCTTAAATTCTTAAATGTTTAAGTAACGTTTACCAACGTTTAAGAACTTAAAATGGCTAATGTGACCAATAAGATCAGAAATTATTGTGAAGAATAAGAATATTCCTTTTTTTTTCTTTTTGAAATCATTAGTAGACCAGGTTTCTTATAATAGGGGTTTTTTATCAGGTTATTGTCCAAGAAATTCCTCTTCTTGTAGAATCTAAACAATTAGCTTTTTGTTAAACAAAATTTTATAAGTTTAATTAACAAACAAGCAAACATCTGGTTGCGGCTTCTTCTTAAAGTAATTTTAAATGTATGATTAAACTGTTAATAGTTTTTAAGCTCGATTTTAATAGGTGTTGCTTTTTATGTCACAATAACTTCAAAACAGACTCCTGTTATAATGAATTAGCTAACCCTAGAATCAAACCCGCAAGCGAGAGCATTTTGTTGTAAATGATTTTGGAGAGCATTGTAAGAAACTTTTTCAATCGTCTAAATATTTCCCCTTGGCTTTATGATTATACAGTGTAATTGTGCAGAGACTTATTTTGTCTAATACATTCTACGTGACAAAGAATTTATTTTCATCTTTTGGCAATCATTTTTTGATAGTCTAAATCATTTCAAAAATATATTGTATATAGTTAATTAACTATTTAATTATAATTAAATTACATTAATGTAAATAGTGTTTATTAGATTATTGTTTCATTTTGGCTGATATGCTTGCTAGATTGATTCTTTTTTGTGGGATAAATTGATAATAACATGTAAACCTAAACCTGTGATATTGACACGATTTAAGCCTCGGGCCAATTTATATTTTTCATTTATATGATGCCAAATTTCAAGAATAAAAAATCAAAAAAACACCTATTTATAAACTAGACTAAATTTAGTCTTGTTCCATATCACATCTAGAAATCTTACCAAAATGTAATTTTTTTTTTTTTGATAATTGTTATTACTACTACGATGGTTCAGAAACTAAAATCAATTTGATCCTTAACTGTAATTTTACGTCAAAATGTTATTCAAATATTTGGCAATTTAATGAATTTGGACTTTAGTAAATTCAATATGTTTATAACCTATTTCCTTACTATATTTAAGACAAATAAATATGTTATAAACATTTTTATCACAATAACGCTCTTTGATTTTTCTTCAATTGACACCTTTGGGATTTTTCGCACTTTTTCCCCTAGTAAAGTGGTGGTTTACTAAACAAATAAATGTGGTAAATTTATTTTTTCCCCCACTATAAAAATTGCTTAATAAACATTTTTTTTTTTTTTTATTTAAAACACACACACCTGGTAAATTTATAAATTTAATATTTTCTGTGGTCAAATAAGTACACACACCTGGTTAAATAAGCATATTTAAATGTTTAATTCACCGTATATAATAAATTTGGAATTTTTGAAATTTTTTTAAAAAAATCCTTAAATTAAAATTATAAATTATATATTTATTTATATATATATAGCTTGGTAGCAATGCCTCAAGCTTGTTCGTCAAGCGAGCATCATTGTTTGTTCATCGGAGTATCAACGCGTCAAACTTGTTTAAGTGAGCATCCATCGTTTTTCTAACGCTTCAAACTTGTTCTTCAAGTGAGCATCATCGTTTATTCTTCTAAGTATCAACGCGTCAACTTGTTTAAGTGGGCATCATCTTTCTTTTTTCTAAGTATCAACGCTTCAAACTTGTTCGTCAAGTGAGCATCATCGTTCTTTCCTCCAAATATCAACGCGTCAAAATCGTTTGTCACCAGCAAGTGAACCATCTTCATAATTGTAAAACTATTTTAAGATTGTTAATATCATGACCTTTTCTGAAAGAAAAAAAAAAAGATTTATAGTACTTTAAACTTCTCAAATTTCCATATCTTAAAAGACGAATTGTATTAGAAAAAAAAAAAAAAAAAAAGGTGATGTGTTAAAAGAAAAAAAAAGGCGAAGAGCAGCTTTTTTTATTTTTTTTTAAAGATTTAATCTAAAGAGAATTCTTATTGGCTAAGCAAAGAAAAGCGCATTTTGGTAAAAATGTACTTTAAGTCTAATCGGCTCTATCGTAATCACGTTATATTAGTAATCATTGTTCTTATGGAAATATCATATCGTTATGTTTGATAAATTGTTTAAATATGTCTATTTCGTTGTAAGAAGCTAGAAATTAAAATATTATTTCATCTATTATTTCCAACTTAACAATCAATTTAATTTTTTATATCTATATATATTCATCATATCAACAATAAATAAAAGATAAAAGATAAAAGATCTACTTTGTAACACACTCCAATCAACATATAAACTTATGGTTACATAATGATTGATTAAGGCTCAACAAAACTTAGTCCTACTGAAGCTATTGACAAAACCAATTGTCCATATTATATATTTTATATATACTTATCTATTTTCTAGTAATAGTGCCACGGAATTTATTTAGTATTTGGACACGGACTTAAAGGAGCAGTCAACTTATGGAAATTAAGATTCTTTACTTGGACCATCTTTGCCAGATGTAAATTAGATCATGTTGTATTTATGAATCATGATTAAAAAACGGTTGTTATTATTAGCCAGCTATCTAAAAACCTATAGGTTTCCTTATAATTATATTTAATGTTTGCTATGTTCAAACGAGTCACATCACAATAAATTAAATAAAAAAGAAATGATAATATTTACATAGTAACAATTTCTTTTTAAAATATATCTTCATATCTCTGAGAATACACTACTTCAATGAATGGCAAAACTTGAACAACCTCGGGCTTCCTTAGTAACTGTATTTTTTCCTGGTCTCGAGACGACATTCTGTAGATCATCTATAGTCTCTTCAGTACCATTTAATTTGAAAAAAAAGAGGTAGGGTAATACTAAGAATCAAACTTTTTTTTTTTTTTTTTTTGTGTGAACTATGATTTGACCTTAAAAACACCAAGTGTTGACGTATTACACCAAAGATTAGTATTTAAATATCTCAATTAAGGCTTTACAGGTTAAACAGTAAACTACTCATATACATGTATATTTTAGGTTTACTAGTACTTGAATTATTTGAAATTATAAAACGATTGTTTGACTGGAGGTAGATAAACTTAAACGACTTAAGCTAATATTGTGGGGAAAAAGAAGAATAAGAAAGGTAGCCATTAGGCGACATACAAATATATAAAATTGTAAAAGGTGGAAAAAAAAAAAGTGACAATTGTGATTTTGAATCAAAATGCAATAATCACAAACCCTTTCAAGCATGTCAAGATTAGTTCCTGTTCATAAGTTCTACTTTATCATTAAATGACCGGATAATAGTAATTCCCCAAAGCCAAAGTATGATTTCCTTAAGGTTCTTAAAATGAATTTTAATTTTTTTTGAGTCCAACAGTTTAATATTTAAAAGTACTGTATTAAAAATAACAAAATAATTTAAATTTTAGGGGCACCAACGTGAGAACCACCATCAAGAGGCAGAACGACACCGTTAACATATGCTGAAGCCTTTGAAGTAAGGAATAATGTAACGCCAATGATATCGGACCGCAGACCAAGTCTCTTAAGAGGATTGGTCTCGGCCATGTGGTCACCAACACCGCCAGAAAGGAAGCCGGCCGTCATTTTCGAGGGGAAGAAGCCAGGAGCCAAAATATTGACGGAGATATGTTGGGGACCCAGATCGACGGCCAGTTGCTTGCCAAGTTGGTGGACACCGGCCTTGGAAGCATTATAAGCAAATCCGTTAGGCATAAGACCAGTAAGACCGGCGACGGAGCCGGTGATAATGACGCGTGCAGGGTCTTCTGGGGTTCCAGCCTTTCTGAGAAGATCAAGGAATGCAACAACGGTGAAAAACACACCGCGAACGTTAAGGTCCATAACCTTGGCGAAAGCAGAGTCTGGGAACTTCTCAATTTCCTCAGCCCATGTGGCACCAGCGTTGGCAATGACGATATCAGCGCGGGGTTCCAAACCCTCTTCCTTGTTGACTTTATCAAAAGCAGCACGCAGGGCGTCGGCACCAGCCTTGGTTGAAACATCTGCAGGGATGGAATAGGCCTTTCCGGGGAGGTTCTTTTCCTTAGCAATAGCATTGAGCTGGCTGACAGCTTTGGCACAGGCATCTACCTTGCGGGACGAAATGTAAACACGAGCAGCGCCACCGAGGAGAAGAGCTTCGGCCATGTCGTAGCCAAGGCCACGGGAAGAGCCTGTGATGACGGCGACCTTTCCAGGAACAGCATAGATATCAATGAGATCCTTGGTAGACATAATTGTGGGTGGTATTGAAAAGGTATAGGTTTAAAATATTGAACTTTGGTATTAGTGAAAAGTGTTTATGTGAAAAATAGAGTGTTGATCCAAAAATTTAAGGTCGAAAAGGCTTCCTTTTATACTTTGTAAGGTGGCTTTTTTTGGGGGGAGGGGGACACTTTTATTTGTGGGGCAGCAAAAAGTAATTGAAATATCCGCCAAAAGATTTTCCCACGTATTTTTTTTTTCTGGCACCTCGGCTAAAAAAACAGGGAAGGTGGGGAGCCTTTCAGGACCAGCAACAACACCTGGTGACGCGTGCCCAGATAAAATTGCCCGCATGTATATAAAAAGACCCGGCCGGCCCCTCGGTCTAAGGACTTGGGATAGAAAAAATTCAACAAGTATCCTCCACTTAACTTACAAATGGCAATTATTTAAAATATTCTACATGTAAAAGAAAAAAGAAAAAAGAAAAATTAAAAGAAAATTCATGAATAATTCAAATTCTATTAAAAAAAATAAAAAAAAAAGTTAAAAAAAATTCAAGCAGAGTTAATCACCCATTAATTAAATCAGACACTGGGACCCGAGTAGCACTCGCCGGTGCACTTGATCCAGGTCCTGTCAATCCTCCAGTATTATTATTATTATTATTATTATTATTATTATTATTATTATTATTATTATTATTGTTGTTGTTGTTCCTTTTTTCTTGATCTTCCTGATCATCTTCTTTCGTCTCTTCATCTTCTTCCTTCATTATAGCATCTCCATCCTCTTCTTCTTCCTCTTCTTCTTCATCATCCTTGCCATTTTTCTTGCGCTTCCCTCCAACTGAAGCTCCAGCAAGCATCGGAAACATGACACCGCCTGTTCCGGTCCCCATAAACTTTCGTGGACCTTGACCTTGTCCTGGTCCGGCATTTTCATTGCTTCCGCGTCGTCGTACCAATGCACTCAAAGACGACGATCCCACGACACCTGCAGGAGGACCACCAGACAAACTAGCAGCAGATGCAAACCGTCGCATAGCACCAGAAGGCCCAGCAAGTGCAGTCGCACTGTGACTTGTGTGTAACAGTGATGTTCGGAAAATTGTGCTTCCATTTGGAGAACCGGGTCCAGATCTTGGGAGCCCAGCAGAAGTAGGACCTGATGGACCCATACCGTTATCTAACTGTGGCTGCATGTGTCGGCCAAGTGATAAAGAACGAATACTTGGCAACTGCACCCCATGACTTTCGCGATCAGTCGATGAAGCCATGGCTCCAGGACCACCCAAAAATCGCCCAGAAGCTCCACCATCTAGTCCAGGTTGCAGTGGAGGTACTTGTGGTACGTGCAATTCATTAGGCCCACCTCCACGAGGATGAAGTCTTGGTGAGTGTGCAGGAGTTGCCAGCGGTGTGTAGTCCGGTGTGGGCGAAGTAGTAGGTGAAAACATGGGTGAGGATGGAGCTGTCGACACTGGTGAGTTTGGTCGCGAGCGTTTGGCACGGTGCTGCAGGTACACGTTACTGCCGTGGTGTTCGTCTCCGTGCAAAGCTGTTAATGGCGTCATGCGGGGAAACCCGTGCAGGTGGTGATGTGCTGCAGAGTGCCCGAGCACATGATGGGACGATGTGGATGAAGATGCTGAAGAGGGACCGCCATTGTGCATTGGATGAATAAGTCCAGAGGGTCCATGTGGGGATGTGTTTGCGCTTTTTTGACCACCAAAATACGATGATAAGCTCGGCGAAGACTTTGTGGAATGCAGAGAAGAAAATGTGGCAGAGGGGGAAGAAGCAGATGAGGATGAGGATGAGGATGAAGATGATGAAGACGACGAAGAAGGAGTAGCTCCAGAGGCCCCAGAACTAACCACTGCGGCAGCAGCTGCACGAGCTTTGGCAGCAGCCTGTTCGCGTTCAAGTTGTTGAGTGGCTGCTGTGGCCAACGCATTCATATCAAAGGGTGAGGAGTACGATGCACGCGTTAAAGTAGAGTGCGGTACTCGCACAAATTGTGGTGCACCACTGGGCAGAGACGGGGGTGCATTCAGGGGTCCACTTAGGGGAGCACTCAGGGGTGGAACGTTTTGATGGTTAAGATTGGAGGACCCCACAGCTAGCGACACAGGTGGAAGGGTTGGTGATGATGGTGATGATGAATAGGGTGAGTTGAGCGTTGTAGAATAGCCACTACGAGGAAGACCAGGATGGCTTGTAGGAATAGGCGGGTTCATACCGGCCATAGAAGTGTATGAAGGTGAAGCCGAGAGTGGAGAAGATCCGTGGGGAGCCAGTGCGCCATTTGGTGAAGAGGCTAAAGATGTTAAAGAGCTGACGCTAGATAGCGCGCTAAGTCGCTCTGTGCCTGAAGGACGAGTACTTGAAGCTCCATAGTGCCCAGGGCTTTGCTGTTGATGCTGAAGTTGTTGTTGTTGATTTTGATTTTGGTTTGGGTTTTGATGCTGTTGTTGCAGTTGCTGCTGGTCAGTTGGAAAAGTGTCTGTGATTTTAGTATATGATCGGGATGTCTGCGCAGAAGCTTGTAGCGAGTGCGGTGGTGGCAAAGTCGGACCCAAGGGCCGAGGTACGGGTTGGTCTATAGAAGTTGTAGTACCTTGGCTACCTGTCAAATGGTCTTGTATGGGTGTATATGATGGGAACGAAGTTTGACCTTGAAAGGGGTACCCCTGTTGCTGTTGTTGTTGTTGCTGAGCTGCTAAAGCATGGGGCATAGGAAGTGTATTTGACGGCAGCAAGTGTTGTTGTTGTAGTTGTTGTTGTTGTTGCTGTTGCTGTTGCAGTTGTTGCTGTTGTTGCAGTTGATGCTGTTCCTCCGAAGCAACCACTCCTGGTTGCACTGATGCTTGACCCGGAACTTGTGTCTCTATCGAATCCTCTGCAGGCTTATTTTTGCGGGGAGCACGCTTTTGTTTCTGAGGTTGCGCTTCATCTTGCAATTGTTGCGGTTGCAGTTGCGGTTGCTGTGGTGGCTGCAGTTGCAGCTGTTGATGTTGCTGTTGCTGTTGCTGTTGCTGTTGCTGTTGCTGTTGTGTGTCTTCACCGGCAAAAGTATACTTCATTACACGGTTGTTTCTGCGCGAGTTTGGATTTGTGTGAATGCGTGAGTGGCGCGTGAGTTCATCGGAGCGCGAAAAACGTTTGGAGCACCCGGGAAAGGTACACGCGTGTGGTTTTTCACCCGTATGAGTACGGATATGCCGGGTTTGATGCTCAAGTCTATGAAAAGCCTTGCCACAAATGGGGCACTTGTAGGGCCGCGGCAGCTCAGGTTTGCTGGAGACTGGGGGCATGGGTTTCATTGAGATAAACAAACAAGAATAAAAGTGAAGTTTTAAATAAGACTGTTTTTTGTAGGTTAGTTGGTGATGACGATAAGATAGGTTTTTAGAAATAAGTAGTTGATAGATGGTATGAGTGAAAGTTAACACCGTAGGGTATAAGATAATATTGACACGATGAGGAAATTTACAACAAGTGGTTCTTGATTGTTTGAGCTCTTTTAGATGGTGTGGTGGTAGAAAGAAAGAGAGAAAAAAAAAGCAGCAAGAAATAAAAGAAAAAAAAATTTTGTGGGTTTGTGCGGGTCCTGGCCAGCCGGAGATGTTACAATTCCTTTTTTTGGGGGGGAATTGCAGTTGTAACAAAATTTTCCCCCGTGGGGAAGTCTTTTTTATATGTAAAGCCAAGCCTACTTCGGAGCCACAAGCCGCCCGCCCAGTTAACTATGCGTGTCTAAATGGGTGCGGTGGCGCGCAAGTCGTGGGGAAATGCACGTGATTATAATTTTTTGTTACATTATAATAAATTGTAATTACAATTTATTCCCCCTGGAATGTAGCGAAACCAAAACAAAGATTATTAAGGAATGACTAATTTTTTTTTTTTTTTTTTTTTTTTTTTTTCAAATACTCCATTCTCTCATCATCATCACTACCACTACCACTACCACCATAACCATTACCTTTAGACCTTATTACCACCAATATCTAACTACAATATAACCCTATAATTAGCCTCATATATGACCACAGACTTTTATTCAATATCTCCTTCATAACCATGGTAATGCGAATCCCGTCTTCCAAAGACTCGTCGCCAACCCCCTCGCCACACCGCCTGTCTGGCGCGCATTGCAGAACATCTCATTCTCCGTCTTCCCGCTCTTCATCTCCCTTTGACAATGTAAAACGTGCATCCCAAGACGCGTCTGCTGGCCAAACAGCTTCTCCCACATCTTCGGTAGATCCAGCCCATATACAAATGATGCTTGCGGCGCGTCACTCCGCAACCTCTCCGTCGCCTACCGTCTCTGGGTTCCGTAAACCACCCCAACACTCTCTCCATCACCATGTCACACACCACCATGACGACCATGACGATAACGAAAATTCGCCTCCAACCTTTTTATCTAATCCTTTCTCTAAAAATCCTCAGTCTTCAACAACAATCCTTCTGCGGTCTAAACCAGATTTTCTTTCGAAACGCCCCACTTCTTCCTCTTCCTCTTCTTCATCATCATCTTCAACTTCTATCAAGTCCTTAAGACGCTCAACAGGCTTGCTAAATCTTGATGATGCGACAAATGCTCCAGCTTTCACTTTGACCTCATCTTCCTCATCTTCTTCATCATCCGTCAAAAGCCCAATCAATAGCTCCCCTTCTGTTTCTTCTATATCTTCGCGTTCTTCTGCCACTTCATTCAATTCTGATTACTCTTCAGAATCTCTTAAATATCCCAAACCGCGCAGTCAAAAGCCTCGTGTCCCAGTCCTTCATAGCGTTCCACAAAAAAGGTCTCTTTCGACGAATACAATAGCAGAAAGTCCAAACTCAAGTCCACCGCATTCTCTTCATTGGAGTGAATACAGTAAAGCACTCAATACATCTTCCACAATCTCAAAAACGCCCTTTTTCAAACAACCATACTTTTCAAAAGAATCTTTAGCTAGTCCATTCCAAGGATTTGCGCAGAACAATCCCAGTTCAGCAACCCTTACAACTGAACCAATTCATGGATTTCCTTCCACAGTTACAAACATCACTACTACCATTCCTCCTACCGGGGCCCCTTATAAAGTTCGCAAAACAAACCCTCAATCATCTGTTCACACTCAACTACATTCAACCCCCAAAATCCCCCATGCTATTCACCCTCTTGCTTTTTCTCATTCTTTTACACCCTCTTATTCTCCAATCCCAGAAAAGAAGATAAAAAATGCTCGACTACATTCTCCAAATGCCAATCTTTCTTCAACAAGTAGTTTTACAAACCTTAGTTCTGTTTTAACGGATGAGCAAAAACCCACTTTTAGAACAAACCCCTCTTTAGATATGGAAATGGCTCCTTTCCCTTCAATTCCAACTACTACAACTACTGAAGACTTTAAATTTGCAAAACCTTTACAGACTGCTTTTTTGAGTACTGGCTTACTTTCAAAACGCAATCGGAGGAGGTCTGGCAAATCTGGTAATGATGGAGCTGAGCCTCATGAGGAAGATATCCCCCGTTATGCGCCTCCAGAAACCCCATGTAAGAAAACTGGAATTACCCCCAAATTTGGCCCTCATTATAGCCCGTTTATGGGTGGCATTTCAAAAATTAGCACTTCATTTGGTACCGCTTCTTCTTCTTCTTCTTCTGAACCTCATAGTCATTCTTCCCCCTTTAACTTTGACTTTAATCCTGATCTTCCCTCAACCCCTACAAAATGCGAAGCTAATGCACCTCAATCGGCACAAAGTACATCTTTTGGCACAACAGACTTTTCATGGTCTCGTTCCACAGAAAGTCCAAATACCAGTTTTGGTAGTAGCATTTTTCAAACCTCGCCATTCAACAAAGCTTCTAAACAAGCATCTACTGCCAGCACAATCACGCCAAGCACATACCTTGTTCGCTCAATAACGCCAACAAGTAAAGAACATGCTGTAACTCCACATACCCCAGACCCTGGGCTACATCGCGACATAATTCCTCCCCCAAGAATCACTATTGAAGGCGAAGAGCCACCTTGTACTCCTGCAAAAGTAACAACACCACTGCGCAACTGGACTGGACCTGCACTGGATGCTGACGGCGATTTAGCAATGGGAGCTGTTTCTGAGGAAAACCAGGTATCACCAATATTGCCCTCACCGATGCCTTCAGATTCCCTATCTTCAGAATTATCGTCGTTTTTGGCTCCACAATCCCATCAATATATTCAAAAACATATGGTTCCTCACCCCCCCATGCGTTTACACGTTCTTCGTGAAACTGAAACAGATCCTGTTTTACGCACACGATTTTCAAGCGTCTCTTTGATTGGACGTGGCCAATTTTCTAATGTTTATGTTGTTGCTGACCAAAAGCCTACTTCACAAGAGTTTGATAACAATTCAACCCGCTATGCAATTAAAAAGACGCGTCATGCATATACAGGTACCAAGGAACGTAATCGGCGTCTCGAAGAAGTGGAGATTTTGAAAAAACTCACTAAACTCAGAAATCAGGAGATCCCTGAAGAAGAAGAAGAAGAAGAAGAAGGACATGAATATATTGTGGCGATGTTGGATAGTTGGGAATTTAATGGACACCTTTATATCATGATGGAATACTGTGAAAATGGTAGTCTTGATGCTTTCCTTGATGAAAATGGAAATATTGAGCGGCTAGACGAATGGCGTGTTTGGAAGATTCTTGTTGAAATTGCGCTTGGGCTTCGTTACATTCATGCTTCCGGGTTTCTTCACTTGGATATCAAACCTGCAAACGTATTCATCACATTTGAGGGCTCTCTCAAGATTGGTGATTTTGGCATGGCCACAAAGTATCCAGTTCCACATGGTGTTGAGCGCGAAGGAGACCGAGAATATATTGCACCAGAAATTTTGAACCGTCAAATGTATGGTACCCCCGCAGACATTTTTTCGCTTGGTATAATGATGGTTGAAATTGCAGCCAACATTGTTCTTCCTGATAATGGTATTCATTGGCAAAAGCTTCGCTCGGGTGACCTCTCCGATGCAGGCAGGCTTTCTTCTGGGAATCTTCTTTACACAAGTGACGATGATATGAACGATGATGATGATGATGATGATGATGACGACGACGACGAGGAAGGAGATGTATTTGCAGCTCATGAAAATGGATTGTTATCTCCAAAATACCCTCCGGCAACCATTCTGCACACATTGGCTGGTCCAAGTTCTGCAGGAATTGGCTCGTCTGCTGGAAACAGCAGTGGGAGCAGTTCAGATAGCGCCACCACTAGCCGGCATAGTAGCTCATCTAGCAATGTGACTAGCCTCACAGGTATGAACAATTGTGGCGATCGGTTACAACCTCTGTCAGCACAGAGATATCCCCGTAGCTCTGGTGAAACAGCAGTTACGCCGTCAGCGTCAGCGTCTGTGTCCCGTAAACGGTGCCGGCACCGAGGGGTCATGGCGATGATGTCTTCTACACCTAGTCACGGGCCGGGTCGTGGTTCTTCATCAGCCTCTCGCAGACCACGCGTGCCTTCATGGGCGCCGCGGTTTATGGTTAATGGTACAGGTGCTCTAGATCTTATGGTGAAGTGGCTTTTGAATCCAGAGCCAGAAAACCGGCCTTCTGCTGCTGCTATTTTAGAAACTGAAGAGCTTCTATATGTTGAGAAACATCGCAAAGCAGGTGCTGTAATTTATGAAGGTGATTATGGACCCCAGCCTTTGAGTGATGGCCTGCATGGTGATGATTTCCTTGGTACAGATGATGATGTGGATGTAAACTGGCGATAAAGAAAGAAGAACGAAAAAAAAAATAGTTGAAATATGGTAACGACTAAAAAAATGGTAATTTTTTTATTTTTATTTTTAATTTTTATGTAAAATATTTTTATTTTCGATTATATACACTGGATATATATTTAAATTTGTTGTTTTTAAAATTTAATTAATCAAATAATTATAGAACTTTAAATTAATGGATATAAATCGATTAATGTGAAAAAAAAATGTGATTAAAGAGAGGACGATTTCGATTTCTTAATTTTGAGAATCCAAAAGTATACTTGTAATATATAAATTTGGTACTTTTTAAACATGGTTGGCGGAGATTTCACCGAGTAGGGTCTCCATAGCTTGAAAAATAGACTTGATTATATTTTTTATGGAGGCACGTCATTTGGATACTGTTTTGAGTCAATTGCATTATGAGTCCGAAAATTCATGGTGAAGTTATTGATTCCTTTAAGACTGTTTGATATTTAATTGGCTTTTTATACCCTTTCCACTATTGCCGTCATCAAAGCAGTAATCACTTTTTTTTATCCTCTCTTTTTCCTTGGTATGTATAGATTTTGTGGTCCTACGTAGTTATTATTTATATCAATCGATAGCTCAAAAACAGTATATAAATTTAATGATAAAAATCTTTAGTTTGAAGAAATCATCAGGCTGTAGTCGTAGTTGATCATGTGATATAATTATTGTGTAATATCTCTATATTACATTTCCGTAGAAAAAATTTCAATCCGTTACTACAATATTACTAATCATTACTTTCCCCAGCTTTTTCTCATTTTCTTCTCTTTTCTTCAACCTGTATAAATTGTACATTTTTTAGGGTAAACCCAAAAAAATTCATGAAAATTATCCCAAAATATATGTATACCATATTGAATCAAATTTTAAAAATAAAAATTGTTACAACGGAATGGACTTTAAACGTTGGCTCCTAATTAACTTAAAAAAGTTAAACTTTGATATGGATTCATATATTGGATTCAAAAGAAGCAGAATTTGCCAAATGTTTCGAGAAACACATCATGATCACGATCATGATGCACTTCATAATTTATTATAATAAATTGATGAGGAAATAAAAATGTTTCACGGGTCAAATAAGTCAGGATTATAATCGGTTTTAGTAAGGATTTAATAAATCTTTGTAATATTTTTGTTGCTGATTATCAAAGAAATCCCAAAATGGTAATTTTATTTGTTCAAACTAGGACGAGGAGGAGATATAGGAAATCGGCTATTTTGTTAGGGGCTTTTCCCATTTCCCTCCCATATATTTTCAACAGTGGACTGATCAGTTACAATAATTTTTTTATTATAAAAGAACGAGCTCTATGAGCTCAATCTGCAGAGTTTTCACAAAAAAAAAAACTGAAAGTTGTAAATTTGATTATAATCAACTTAGTTTTTTAATTATAAAAGTAAATATATTATATATTCACTTTTAAAGTGTTGATGAAAAATATATTAATCGATAGCTGAGACCAAGGGCAATCCAACTCACCATACAAAACCCCCCAAAACCGTGTTTTAAGCTGTATAAAATACGTTTAAATCGAATAAAACTTATATTTGGGAATTGTAAATTTTACTTTCTATAATTTATTCTAATAATTAATTGTTTAACAATCTTTATCATTATTAAACTACAAAATATAATTTTTTCTATAATATAAATTAATTATAATACTACTTAATTAATATTAGCTAATTTCTAATGGCTTCACCTGTATACATGAGAGTGTCATATCAATTCCTTTTAACTACTCAACTATTTTCTTTCTGAAATATTATAGAGTTATAGCAATACAAATTTTAAACTGAACACTAATTAGGATGAAAAGAATTTATTTTTTAATGTTCTTTTTTATTTATTTATTTTTAATTACTATTTATACTGTTTTTATCACGTTCTGCTCAGACTGTAGTCATGGTTGACCAAGTCAGATCTACACCTAAAAGCACTACAATTATATAATTACTTAGTTAGCAGTAGTTAACTAATTTTAACTATGTTAAATCTTAATATTTAATATTGTATTTAATTTTAAAAAGGTATCATTTTTTTCAATATTCCTTTTGTACCGCTTGATATATATAGTTCAACTGTAACGTTTTATTGGCGTCTTAAAAACAAAAGAAAAAAATTAAAATAGTCAGTATATAAAGTGATATTTTTTGATAGCATAATAGAATGGTTTGCCAATGCAAATAAATTATATTTATATATATATATATATATACATATGGGACAAGTTTCGTAATAAGAAGATGGTAATTTAAAAGATAGAAAAGAAAATAAAATGGGGCAAAAGTGATTAGATAATAAGCTAGTTGGGGTAACATATTTTTACAGAATTTCTGAACACTTACAAAAAAAAAATTTATTACTGTATCAGACAGTTTTAACATACTATATTATCTACAAAGATCCCTGATGTTTATTTTAATATTATAAATTGTTGAAAGACCTTCAACGTATTTCTGTTGAATTGCTTGAAATCTTTCATTCACCTTTCCCTGAACCATAACCTCCAAGTTTTGATCACCATAAATTCAGGGCACGAAAAGACTACGTATTTTAGCTCCAAACTATACTAATGGACTATAGTTATCTAATACAGACTTAAGCTTGCTAGTCAAGCTTTTTTTTTATTGTTATTTAAATTAACAACTAATCCTTTGAAAAGATCCGATGAATGGAATCAGCAATATTAGCTTGAGAATTGCCTATAATAACCGAGAGTAAGTAGTAAAGTTTTATTTTTTTGGGTTAAAAGCACTTTTGGCATTAAAATAGCCTTTATTTTGGAAGCATGTTATTATGAGGGCTTTTGAGTCTTGTTTACTGGCGTTCGATGACTTTTATTAAAGAACTTGTGAACCTTTATGGTAGTGGTTGGAAAAATATTTAATTTCCTCCCATAGTCAACATTTCCAAAGTTTTTGATAATTAGCTTACCACACATGATGATTCTGCTATCTACACTTATAAGTAATTACTTACTTGCTATTTTTAATCTATATCCGGAGACTTTCCAGTATGTACGAATAATCCTAGAGTTGATAGTGTAGAATTTGTATGTTGAGAACAAGGAGTAGATTCAAAAAATGTATTTATTTGACTTCTCGGAAGCCCATTTCGGAGATCCGATTTTTTTCTTTTCTTTTTCCTGATAAATCTTACCCAACTTCATTAAGGAACATGTTTCTTAGTCTCTAAAAAAACATAATTGGGTAGTTAATTTTTTTTTTGTAAAACCATGAAAATTAATTATTAATTGCTCGTAAGTAATACGTCATAATCACCAATTATTTTCTTACGGATAACGTTGATAATAATGGTGTCATAAGTTGCACAATTTTTCATTATAATTGTTAAAGCTATAACATTGTTTACGGAGGTTTTTTTTCAAAGCCTATAGATAGAATTGAGTTAATAAGCCACAGCTAGTTTCAAATTTAATGAACAATATAAAAGCATTTGTAAATCTTTTTATTTTATCACATATTTTCTACTACTATTCAACTTATATCGTTTCAATAATAACTCTCCATATTCATTTATTCATTCAATAATTTTATATCTTTTTTTATTTTTTTCCTTTCTTTTCTAATTAAAAAAATGTCTTCTATAACTAATCTTGAATTTATTGTCAGGGATCAAACCAAGTTCCCATCTCAAACAAAAATTGAAGGACCTTCTCCTTTTTGGGATAAATATACCGAAGGTCCTTCTTACATAAAGCCTGAAGACCGTCAGAAGCCTCTTATCTCGTCTGGGAAATTGGATCAAAAGTATTCAACTTTTGAAACTGATCTTTCTCCTCTTTTGGGAACAACTTACACTGATGAGGTTAATCTTACTGATATTCTCAAGGATGATGAATTGTTAAAGGATCTTGCCATTAAAATTTCACAGCGTGGTGTGGTTGTTTTTAAACACCAAAAGGATCTCACTATTACTCAACAAAAGGAGCTAATCCAAAAGCTTGGCCTTCTTTCTGGTAAGCCTAAGGGTAATGGTCTTCATATCCATCCTACTGCACCTAGCGCTGGAATTATTGGAGAAAATGGGCTGGTTGATCCCGAACTTTCTTTTATTTCAAATAGAAGACAAAGACCTTCTAACGATGATAAAACTGCAGCTTGGGGGTGGCACTCTGACATCACTTTTGAGCCTGTACCTGCTGATTATTCTTCACTTCGTATTTTTGAACTTCCTCCTACTGGTGGTGATACTCTTTGGGCCAATGGTTATGCTCTTTATGAAAAGCTTTCGCCTTCATTGAGATCTTATTTTGATACACTTACTGGTACTTATTCTCAACCACGTTTTAAGGAAAATGCTCGAGAAGAATATAATCTTTATTCTGAGCAACGTGGAGCTCCAGAAAACATAGGTGATGATTTGAAGGCAATTCAACCCATTGTTAGAACTAACCCTGTTACTGGATGGAAAACTCTTTTCGCAGTTGGTCATCATTTTACTAAAGTTAATGAAGTTACACCACTTGAATCCCAGGCTTTGAAACAATTTATTTGGGACATTTTAGCTCAATCACACGATATTCAGGTCAGACACAAGTGGGATAAGTATGACATTGCAATTTGGGATAACAGGTCCACTTATCATAGTGCTACCCAAGATCTCTCATCTCTTGGAGATGCATACAGAAGCGGTGTTAGAACTGTTGGTATTGCTGAGCGTCCTTACTTGGACCCTAATAGTATTACCCAAACTGAGGGTCTCAAACAATCAGCTTCTAAATAGGTGTTTGAACCCTCACATTTTTTTTTAATTATTTCAAAATATCCCATTATTATTTAGAATCTACTTTAGCAGTAGTTGTAGAATAGATTCTATGTAACAATAGCAAACCTTTACATTGTCTAGAAAAAGGAATCGATAACCAAACCCCCTCCCCTCTTCCTACTTCAATAATTATAAGTATTAATATTTAATATCATTTTCTAAAATAAAAAAAATAATAATTTCATCATAAAATAATATAAACACTATTTGTAATTCAATTACAAGGCCTTATTTACAATTGATTTCCCACGTTTTAACTCATATCATAAATTAAAAAGAAACTTCTTCATATCATTAGTGATTCGCCAGTATGATAAACCCTTGCATTGGCACAATGGCAAAAAAAAAAAAAAAAAAAACTTACAGCAAGTTTAAGGGCTGAACATCAAGAGTCCTGTATAGCATCTCAATCAAGTGATTGACTGACAGTACTTTGAACCTTACACTTGATAGACTGTTATTGATGTTAACGTTGAAGGGGTAGAAATGCGAGTTGTTAAAGGTATTATTATAGTGAGAAAAAGAAAAAGAAAACATAAAAAGAAGGGGAAAATATATATATATATTATGAAATCAAATAGACTACCAGATTTGGAAATGTAATTCTTTAGAGTTGGTTTCCTTTGGTTTATTTATTTATTTTATTGAAACAAATCTCATTGTCATTTTAACCAGAAAGAATTTTTTTTCGTGACTACAAAATCATTTATTTGGTTAATGGGTTTACTTCTATTCTACTACTACTCTCTCTATTTTTTTAAACTATACTATAAATGGCTTATTACAAAAAAAAAAAAAAAAAAAGAACTCGTTTTTAATATATAAACCCTAGGTCTTTACAATTCTTAGTGTATTAGATTCTTTTAAACACTATTTCCTTTTAATTTTTTTTTTAAAAAAAAAACATTCAAGTTCTATACCTACATTCACAATCAATTCATGTATTTCTATTATTTTAACACATTTCTTTAAAAAAAAACAAAATCTTTTCCTTCTTCTTCTTCTTCAAAAAAAAAAACCTATAACTTAATAACTTTTAAAGACACTTTTTTTTTTCCAATTCCAAAAAACCACACCTTAAACATGAGGCAAACTCGTAATACCATCCCGATCAACAGTTGCTCCTCCATTAACAGTATAGGTAATCTTCCAACGTAGCTTAACTTCAGCTCCTGGCACCACGTTTCCAACATACGTGTGCTGCTGGGCGCCGACCGATGCGAATCGAGGGAGAGTTGTAGATGAAAGTGGGTCCAAGCGGATAGACAGGTCACGTTTAACAGCCAGCAAGAGGTTAACATTTGCAAGGTCTGTAGTCAGAGACTTGTTGCTGAGTGTCAGAATGGCATGCACGGAAGTTGGCGAGTCACGGGTCACTGTACCACTAACAGTGATGGTTCCATCATCAAGAAGAGCAAAGGGAGTCCCAGGGTTTACAGGAGTAATGGTTGTGGGTGTTGCTGAAGCAAAATTCCACTCATCAGCATGGGCAGGAGAAGATGTCGGAGGAGGAGTGCCGCTGCTAAGTAACGATAAGGATCCGATAGCAGGTGAGCCTGGTAACGAAGATTTGGGTGATGAAAGACTCTTGAGGAAATCATAGTTTGGTCCGGAAGACTGTTGTGAAGGGGAGGCAGTAACTTGTGGGGACTGAGTAGAAGGTGAAGAGGGGGAGGCAAGAGAGGCAAGCAAGTCTGCATTTGAGTAACCGTTTGACGGTGCTGGGGCTTGTTTTGGAGGGCTGCTCACGCTGAGACCGTTAAGTTGGGAAAGAAGGTCGAGGTTATTTCCCGGTTTGGGTGAGCCAAGAGGAGTGGATATACTGTTTGTACTTGTTTGTTTATTTTCATCCTCGTCATCGCCAAAATCAATAAGCGAAATGGAAGTTTCAGGGTGGGATGTGGTAATATTGACATTAGCAGGACGTGCAATTTGGACACTTTGTGCAGCGCCAAAATCGGAATCGCGAGCAAGGGAATATTTTTTAAGTAGAGACACCATGTAATCGTTAAGTCCAAGGAGTTTTTGGACGGCTTCTGTATCGTCGTGTTCTTCATCAATAAGAGACTTGATTTTCGGGACAGATGTTTTAAGAGAGGCGACAATGTCAGTAATGACATCATCATTAGAAACGTCAGTGTCTGTACCAAGGTTTGCAAGCATTTCGTCAAGTAGCTCAGCTTTGCGGCGGACCTTGTCAACTTCCTCAGCGACTTTAGCTCGGTAGTTTGTTTTTTGGTCCTGGAACCCGGCCATGACTTTCATGAGACGGTTAGCTTCTTGGAGGTCTGCAGGGGTGCCACGGCGAATAAGTTCTTGAAGTTTTGCTTCCTGAGCATCACGTTCTTCCTGTTCGAGCTCGGATGCAGATTGCAGAGTGTCTGCAGGATTAAGGACGGCGGCTTCTGTGGCGGAGACTTCAGGGAAGATGTAACCTTTACGATTGAGGAGCCGGTGCATATCACGGATATAGCCTAAATCATCCTTGTACTTTGAAGTACAGCAAATTGTTTCCCACCATTCCTGGATGGCCTGTAGGATAAGTGTTTGAACGCGGGTATAAGCAATGGGGGGCTTTTCTGGGAAGCGCTTAACAAGGTCGTTAAGGAATTCCTTACGGGAGATTTGGAGGTGGAATGGGTATCCGCAGTTTTTGACGCAAATGTCGAGAACCTGGTTTTGAGGGTGGTGATTAGCTCGAGAAAAAGAAAGAAAGAACGAAAGAAAAAAAGAAAAAAGGATTGAAAAATGAAATAAGACGTGTTCAACTTACTGAGAGAGCGAGAATGGCGACGTGAGAGTTTTTACTATTGATAAGACGGACAATATTGACTGCAGCAACACGGGGGCTAAAAAGGATGTTAATAAAAAGCCATTAAAAAGCCATTAAAAATCAAGGAAATACAACATACTAAGGACCCTTTTTCTGGTTGATAAGGTCGGAGATTTCGAGGTTGAGACTGAGGTTGGGTTCATGGAGGTTAGGACTGCAAGCGCGTTCTAAATTGAGCAAGTTAGTTATTTTGTATATATATATATATACGTATATATATGGGACACACGTAGGAAGAATGGTTATGAGGAAGGGAGGAAGGGAAGAGGTTGATTGTTTTGATCGGGTCATGAAGACAATTGAAGATTTTTAGAGACCCGATTGACCCGCCAAGATTCTTTCTGAAAAGCAATCAACCAAGTAAAAAAAAATTTTTTTCTTCTTCTTCTTCTTCTTCTTCTTTTTTAACCGAATTGAAAAAAAAATAGTTAAACGACCTCTAAACGAACACCAACCACCAAAATCTTCCAGCAATTTTAATTTAAGAGGACTTTTTATTTATAAATCTGTTTGAGTGGGGGAAAGCAAAATAAGAAAGTAAATTTATATATATATATATATATATAGCTTTTGTCTTCATATTGTATAATAATAAAAACAAAAAAAAAGACTTACCAATAAGAGTGACAAGAGTTGACTCTGTTGGTTGGGACCGATGTTGCCGCGGTTCTACAGCACCTACAGGAGCTGCTTCAAAGTCCGAAGGGAAATGGTCATCGACACGGAAGCGGTCTGTATAAGAGGCCGAGGATGAAGATGGAGCAGAAGATGGAGAGTCTGAGTATCTGGACATGATGATGATGATGATAATGGTGGTGGGGGTGAGGGATGTTTAAAAAAGAAAGAGATAGAGATGGTTAAGTGTATGTGTTAACTTCTTTCAAGGAATTAAATAAATAAGTTAAAAAAGCAGAGTGGTATAAAAAGATATGATAAACGAGTCCCGAGTAACGTTTCACGGCACGCGAATTGGTAATGGGAGAAAAGGAAGTAAGTTTAAGATAGAGAGAGTGTGTGTGTAGTTTTGTGCAGTAGTGTATATGTGTTGTTTAAATGGTGGTGGTGATAAAAAAAAAAAAAATTAATAAAAAATTAATAAAAAAAAATGACAGTAGTAAGTAGTAACTTTTTTTTTTTTTTTTATATATATATCTAAATTTGTTAGTTTTTGTTAGTTAGTAGTTTTAGGCCATTATTGAGAAAATAACATCAACATACAGATTCTTAACAAGACAAGACAAGGCTATTTTTTTATTTTATTTAACAGCCACTGTTCAATGATATCTATATATATTATATATTGCAATAGGTGGCAATTACATAATGTAACAAAATAATGTAACAAAAAAACAAATAATAATAATAAAAGACCCCCCCCGGACTCGGTACATGCTCCGATGGGGAAATATTATATTAAAAAAAAAAAAAATAAAAAAAATAAAGGACATTTCAAACACCCGTCATCAGAGTTCAACAACAACTATTTACAAATTCAAATAAGAGAAAAATAGTAAAAAAAAAAAGAAAACTCCAACTAAATAAATCCATTATTATCATTATTATTATTAATTTATTATTATTATTTTTTTTTTCAATACTAATATACTAATAACAACAATAACAATAAAAAAAAACAATTCACACATATGTGTCCTTTCCTATTCCTATTCCTATTTCTTTTTTCATTTGCAGTTGCATCTCTTATTACTATTCCTATTCCTATTCATATTCTTATTCCATTAATGTAAACTTCCCGTATTGTTTTATCAATAGAAAGTCTCTTAAAATCTCATGCTGCATCCATCATAACTTCATCCTCCTCATCTTCATCCATTTCATCCTCTTCATCTTCATCATCCTCATCTTCACCATATCCAACAGCAGCAGTAGTAGCATTAGCAGTAGTAGCAGTAGCTGGTGCAGGTCGCCCGGCTCGTACACCAGGTCCTGCTGGTCTCGTGCCATTCACGCCATTGCCACTGCTAGGACCATTCAACATGCCACCAATTCCTACTCCAACTCCTCCAAATCCAGTATTGCCATTATGTGTCACACCAATAACTGGCCCAACAACATTTTCAAATTGTTGTTGATGTTGATGTTGGTGTTGGTGTTGCTGGTGTTGTTGCTGAGGTATCGTTCGAGACCCGTCTCCTGTAGGTGGATGAGCTACTGCTGCTGCTGCCGCAGTCACAGCTGCAACTACTGCAGCAGCAGCAGCCTCTGCTGTAGTAGTTGCAACTCCTGCTGTTGCTCTTGCTCCTGGATTTTCGTCTCTAAATTGCCCAGGAACAAATCCTTGTGGAACTCCTCTAAATCCAAATTCCTCCACAAAATCTCCATGATGATGATGATGATTATTATTATTATTATTATTATTGTTATTGTTATTATTGTTGTTAATATTATTATGATTCCTTTGAGCATTAAGTGAGTTAATATACCTCTCGCGAATCATCATTTGCTCGCGCCGTTGAGCTTCCTCTGCACTTATTTCTTCAGCCTCAGGACTTGCATCCAATTGTCGGAAAAGTGCAGCCATATTCTCTGCATCTACAGGGCCTCTGGTCCTTGCAAGTTGCAACATCTCTTCTCGGCCAATGCGTCTCATTACAGAATCAGGTAAAATCAGTCGAATATGACCATTTTCATCTGGTAAAACAATAGTTTGAGCCATTTCATTTTCATGGTCCCCAACAATAGCTCTTTGATGTGGTGGTACTGCTGTTGTTGCTGCTGCTGCTGTTGCTGCTGGAACAGGAATAGCACCAGGAATAGTCTCTTCGCCTTCCTCCACATTAAACCCAATGACACCTCCTAAAATATCTTCCATAGCTGCCATTCCATTTCGTGCCAAAGCATCTGCCGCTGCAGCAGTCAATCTGGTACGTGGCTGTGGTTGTTCTGCAGGCATCATTCCAGGAATCATAATCCCAGGCGTGGCTTGAGCAACCAAACCTCTATTAATAAATGTCTCATACTCAAAGTTTTGTTGCTGTGAAGCAAGTCGGTTGAGATGATCTCGAAGTTGGGTAACACCCTTGCTGCTAAACACACAGAAAATTGCTTGTTGGTGTTGACTAAAGTTTGAAGGTGGCTGACGACAAAATCTAGTCAAGTCATCGCGCAAAAATGCAGGCACGCCGCTCAGCGACAAATGTGTTAGGCGAGGACAAGCATTGACAAGTCTTGTAATAGAGTTGAGAGTAATATTGGAACAGTAAGAGAGGTGCACGCGCTCGAGGGTATTATCAGCACCTGTGCGGTGTGCAAAGGCATGGATGGCCACGTCGGTGATTTGTTGGCACTTGACTAGACCAACTCGGCGCAATTTGGGGAGAGCAGCAAGGTCCTTGACAGCAGCATCGGTAAGCTGGGTACAGCTAGAAGTGTCGATATACTCAATGCGCATGCAATTTTTAACAACTTCGGTGATTCCGCGGTTAGTGATATTTGAGCAGTGTCCAAGATGCAGGTAGTGCAAGTTACGGCCAAGTTTAGCAATAAATTGTAGAGAGCGGTCAGTAACATTGCTACAGCGGGCCAAGACAATATGTCTGAGGCGGGGGGCTATGCCGATAAGCCGCTCAATAAGATCGTCTGTAATCATGGAACAATTTGCAAAGTCAATGATTCGAAGCTTGTCCATTAAAAAGGTTGGATTATCGATATTAAGCACGGCTTGGTCAGAGATGGAAGGGTTCATTGCTAATCTAAATTCGCGGAGTTGTGGGAGCATTGTAAGAGCCATGGTGGCAGTTTCATTTGATATTTCAGAAACGCCAGCCAAGTCGAGTTCGACAAGGGATGGACTAGATTTGATAAGGGGTTGGATGGAAGCATCTGTTAGTTTGTTACAGGAGGTTAGCTTCATGCGTTTTAGACTTTTACAAGACGCCACCAGGGCCTTGATTGAATCGTCAGTAATAAGTTTACAACTGGAGGCGTATAGGCCTTGTAGTCTATGGCAATTTTCAGCCAGTGCAAATATAGTTTTATCTGTAACAAGCTCGAGGTTGCTCATATCTACAGAGAGAAGGTTTTTGCAAGAAGACAAGAGGGGGACGAGGGAAGCGTCTGTGAGCTTTGAGCAGCTAATGAGGGTGAGTCTCTCGAGGTTTTTGCATACTGTAAAAGTTGATAGGACTTGGTCTGTGACATGGTCTGGAACGCTTGTTAGATTAAGGCGTCGAATCATGAGGTGATAAGGGACTGTGAGGGAGGGGTATGAATGGGGACCCAGGACAGTAGTAATCATGTCGAGGGTTTCTGGTTTTAAAATGTTTGGACGGAACCAAAACGAGTCGACCGAAATGGAGAACCAAAACTTGCAGACATAAAGAGTATTGTAACGGTCACGCTTGTCTGGGAGGAATTTAAAGATATGGGAGACAATTTCTGTGGGGAGTTTAGAGATAGGTCTTGATGATGGGTCTAGACGAATGTGTGGGTCCAAGATGGAGGGTCTTTGGTCGAGATCTGAATCCATATCAGAGTCTGAATCAGTATCGATATCACTCATATCGTTTTTGTCTTTTTTATGTCTGCGAGAGTTGCGGTTTGAGTGTCTGTGAGAGGAAGAAGAAGAAGAAGATTTCTTGGCATATGAGTTTGCAGCCGTTGCAGCAGCTGTGGATGTAGCGGTTGTTGTAGTAGCAGCTGTTGTAGCAGCGGCTGCAGGATTTGTCAAGTCAATCATGGATGTTGCAGCGGAGGAAGCTTCAGGAGTGGAATCTTGAGAAGGGTATACCGGGTTGTTTGTTGTGTTTGTGTTTGTGTTTGTGTTTGTGTTTGCGTTTGTTGTTGGTGCTGATGATGTTGTTGTTGTGGTGGTAGTGTTATTTGTTGTTGCTACAGAATTAGTGGTGTTGTTGGTGTTGGTGGCGACAGTAGCTGGTGATCCAGGAATGGTAGAAGGTTGGAGTGTATTATGTGGTATCATCTGATCCTGTAGGCTGGGGATTTGGCCAGCGTAAGGAGCAGAGGACATTTCTGATTAGGATAGTGAGAATAGAAGGGGGCGTTTTGATGATGAAAAAGAAGAAGAAGAAGAATATTGATGAATGAATGAATATGAGAAAAAAAAAAAAAGGAGGGAGGCAAAAATAAAAATAATAAAATAAAAAAATAATAAAATAATAAAATAATAAAAATAAAATAAAATAAAAAAAATTAAAGGTGTGATGATGAAACGAGAAGGTTAAGAAGAAAGAAGAATTTTTTTTATTATTTAAAATTATTAAAATTATTAAAAAAATATTAAAATGAAAAGGCAAGTTTTATAATTATTATTATTATTATGGGTAACTTTAAATAAATTAGATAGTTAAACAACTATGAAAAGAAGAAGAAAAAGAAGAAGCCGTAATTTTAAGTAAATAAGTAATTATTATAAGTAAGACCGGTTTTCCAAATGTAAAATGAGATGATAATAATAATAATAAAATAACAACTCAAAAGAATCCAAAAGCCAAAAAGCCAAACCTGGATGTTTGAGCAATGCAAAAAAAAAAAAAAAAAATTGGTGGTGGTGATGATTAAAAAAAAGTATTTTTTTTTTTTTTTGGGTGGTGAAAAAAAATAAAAATAGTTTATGAACAATAACAAGAAGTATAACAAGAAGTATATCAGGAAGTATATCAAGAAGAAGAAAAAGCTTTAAAGAAATATATAATAATTATAATAATTATAAAAAATAACACTCTTTGGAATCTACAAATAAAATGAACCAACTATCTATATATACAAATGGTTTTTTTTTTTTGAATGATAAAGTTTAAAGTGAAACTTAAAAGTTTGAGATACTTTTTTATAATTAAAAAAAAATATTAAAACTCTTTGACATCTTTTGACACCTGCCTTATTCCCATTTCTTCTTATTCTTCTAAAATAAGCATTTTGTGTAAGTGCTTGCTTCTCTTATTTGTCACCTAGAAACTTCCCAAACTTTTTTTTTTCCATATAAAAATATAATTAGTTTGTTATAGTTATATTTCTAAAAAAAAAAATCATTCTGTGTTTGTTTGTTTTTATTCAAGGGTTATAGAATTATATAACATCAGCATCTGCGCTATCCTTCTTGTCCATACTATATATCTTTTCATTTTCATAATAAACTTTTAATTTTGGCTTCAACATTGCATCTCCAACAGCCCGAAAATAAGTCCTGATGCCAGCTTACGATGAACAGGGGGTTAAAAATAACCAAACCTTCCCAACTTATCTCCACAAAGATCATTCTATAAATGTCACGTGACTAAAGATTTTATATTTACTTACTTTTAAATATTTTAAAATATTTAAATTTTTAAGTTATTCCTTGTGGCCCAATGGCAAGGCGTTCGCCTACGATCACAATGGTTACATAGCGAAAGATTCCAGGTTCGACCCCTGGCAGGGAAGCTGTAACTTTTTTTTTAATCATACTCTTTTTTGAGTAGTTCTTAGAAATAAGTTATCCATGAATTAATAAGAAATGAATCCTTAGGTTATGGAGAAAGAGAGAGAGAGAGAGAGAAAGGGGAACGTATGAAAAATGAAAACATATACACTTTTTTTATATATATTTTTCTTTTTGTTGATCCCTTGTGAAGTATTATAGATTTTTTTTTTAATGAATTAATCGAATCGATCAAGAAAAAAAAAATTCAGGGATTCACCTATATACATAATGCTAAGGAATATTATGCCATCATGATGATGGTTGATTAATTGATTGATATATCTCTTATGGATCAAAAAAAAAAAATTAAAGAACTTGCATAAATTAAAATAGGCCACGATTCATCATCTAGTTTCCCGTAATACAAAAAAAATTAAAATAAAGTGAAACATAATCACGGAAAATAAACTTATTTCTAAATATATATATTTTAATTTTCCACCACAATTTTATAGCAAACAATTTGTACTTAAAAACCTTTAAAATGAAACTAACTTCTTAAATTGTTTGTTTGTTTGTTTTTATTCAAGGGTTATAGAATTATATAACATCAGCATCTGCGCTATCCTTCTTGTCCATACTATATATCTTTTCATTTTAATAATAAACTTTTAATTTTGGTTTCAACATTGCATCTCCGACAGCCCGAAAATAAGTCCTGATGCCAGCTTACAAGGAACAGGGGGTTAAAAATAACCAAACCTTCCCAACTTATCTCCACTTGTCTTCATCAACGCTGTAATTGTATTTCTTAATCCCTCCAAGCAGAGATAAAGCTTACAATCTCTTGTAAGCCAGTTAAACTGTTTAAGAGAGTCGACATGTCCATCTCTGGAGATATCCGTTTCAGTCCTTTTCTTTCCTCTTCAAGCAAAGGACACTCAACTAAAATGTGATTAACTGTTTCCAGCTCTCCACATTTGCAGTTGTAACTATCCTTTTCAATTCCAAACTTTTTAAACCATGCGCCAAAGTTGCCATGGCCTGTGCGAAACTGAGTAATATTACTCAAGATCCTTCGACTATCTTTCTTCATGATTACTCCCGTAACCATTTTAACTTCTTAAAGGGAAATTTTTTTTTTTTGAAATATTAAAATTATCAATATTTATAACTTTATATTATTTAAAGTCACGTGACTGATAGCGTTAGTGGTTTAGCGGTAAAATTCGTCGTTGCCATCGACGAGCCCCCGGTTCGACTCCGGGCTGACGCAATTATAACTATATTCATTATTTTTTTATTTTATTTTTACAATATCAAAAAAAAACTTTTACTTAATTTTAATCAACCTTTTATCCAAATCTTTTTGTTAGATTTTAATACTAAATTTATGTTTAAAAAAAAATGTGACCCCTTCATTACTTTTAATATATATATATATATTTACTCAAAACCAAAATAGGAAGAACAAACGTGTAGAAAATCGCTTGATTGATAACTCTGTATTATTCAAGCGATTCTAAAGGCATAAAAAGAACTATGCAATATATAAAAAAAAAACCATTTCTACCCTCCTAAACAGAAATTCATTGTTAAGTGTGAGCATTATGTTAGAAAAAACGAAAAAAAAACGATAAAAAAAAAGCCTAGTGTTTATATACATAAATGAAAAGAAAAAGAATGTTTCTACAAATCTCGATCGTAGCTGAGAATAATATTATTTTCTTAAATGACTTGATAGAGAAAAAAAAAAAAAAAAGAATAGTATATAAAAGAACACATTGTAGTTTCCTTTAAAGCAAAAAAAAAAAAAAAAAAAAAAGAAGAAGAAGAAGCATTTTTTTTTTTCTTTTCTATATCTCTCTTTTTTTTTCTTCTTCTTCTTTTCCTAATTGTAAAAAAAAAATTCTTTTACTCATGACACAAAAAATCCTTTTGCGAATGACTGTTCTTTTACTGTCAGTTGCTCTCAATATCCCCATTCTTATTTTTGAAAACTTTTATTCACATTCATGGTTTCATAGTAATCCACGATCTGCAACAGTTCACATTTCTGTTCCTGAGTTTTCCAAAGCCCAGTATCTTTCTCTTTTCCCTATTCTTTATCGTGAGCCTTCGACTCTCTGGTGGATTCTTGAAGATGACGAAACTTTTCCCCGAACCAATAATAATAATACACACACATTTGTAACCATTGAAGGGTTTCGATTTTATAACAATTCTTTATTTTCTGCAATTGAGGCTTATGACGTTTGGCCTAAACCTGCATTTAATCTCACTTACAATGCATTTTACATGTCTGACAATTGTTACAAGTCTGTGTTTCCAACTGAAGAAGCTCCAGGTCTTGCAGTACAATTATTGACACGAGACATGCCAAGGCATATTGCGAATTTGATTGATGTGAGTGCTGCAGAGTGTACAGCTGTTACAAGGCGTGCTAGTGGTCGCAGTGGTGTTTGGAGGGTATCTTTAAATCAGAGTGAGGAGGAGACTGGTGGATTGGTATGTGATGAAAGGCAACGGATGGGAGCTTGGGCTCCTTATAAGGAACATTATAATACAGATATGTATGGGGGGATTGTTGGAACAGATTTTGCGACATTTGTGACAAAGATTGGGACCATTTTTGTTTCCTTTGGGTGGTTTATTTGGCGGGTTAAGTTTAGTAAGAGAAGTGGAGATGAGAAACTGGATGGAAATAAAGATAAGAATTTAGGGAATGGTTGCAAGGATATTATTTTATTGGAAAGGGGAAAATTGTTTGATTTGGTATATTTGTTTAGTGCCGTGTGTTGTTTGGTAGTTGATACTCTTGGAGCTGTTGGTCGTACAGTTCCTGTTGTTTGGTATCTTGATGTATCTTGGCCTAGGGAGGTGAGAGTAATTGAAGAGTTATATTCAAGGCTTGGAATATCTGTACAAGTTTTGGGAGGTAGATTAGTAGGAGGAGGAGGTTGGATTTCTGGGGAAAGATTGAGGGTATTTGTTGTATTTGTATATTTGGTATACTTTGGGGTAGATGTGATTGTTTTGGGTATTTGTATGGGATTGGCTTCGTTTAAGAGGTTGATGGGGAGTGATGCTCGTGGGAATAAGGTGAAAGTTTGTCGTGGGGGGGATATTTTAGAAGATTGAAAGTTGAGTTAAAATTTGAAGGATTGAAAGGTATATTTTGATATATATATAATTATAATTAAATAATTATTCAAAGGCTTTTTTTTTTTTTAATAATGATAATGATTGATTAACATTTGAGCCGCACTTTAGAGAGAGACCTCGGTTATTGAGGAGTAAGTAATAAGAATAAAAGGTTTTGGAAGCACACACCCGGCTAAAGGAGGAGAAGGAGGAGGAGGGGAAGAGGTAATAAGCTTGTATCACATGACTTTAATTAACAAAAAAAAATATAAAAAAATAAAATAAAATAAAATAAAATAAAAAGATAATTATCTAAGAAGATGAAGAAAGTTGAGTTTATTTAGAGTAGGAGAGTTTTTTTTAATTTATTTTTCCAATTAAAATTTTGTATATGAGTATATATAAAATTAAAGAATGACCGAGGAAGGATTATTTTAAAAATAGTCTTTTAAATAGTTTTTAGTTTTTTTTAATAAATAAATATATATATATATACTAATAAATAATTTAATTACAAACTTACTAAGTCATGATCATAATAATTCATGAATTATTTTAATTATTTTAATTATTTTAATTAATTTAATTCAATTCAATTTAATTTAATTCAATTTAACGGCAGCAGAGAACCGTATGGGAAGAATCTTTTGAAGTTTCCGGTCATCGCTTTTTTTTGTTAATGGCTGGGGAAGGTTTTTTTTTTAATTTAATTTAATTTTGACCAGTCAGTCAGTCAGTTAATCAGTCAGTTAGTCGGTCGGTCGGTCGGTCGGTTTGTTTGTTTGTTTGTTTAAATATATATATTTAAAAAAAAGAGAGTGGGGTGGGGCTTATACTTAAAAAAAAAAAAAAAAAAAACCCTCTTTTTAACCACAGACATCAAAGAAAACATCCAGCCAAACAGCCGGACGCCCTGCGGGGTAACCAAAAATAAAATAAAATAAAATAATAAACAAATTTCAAAAGTATAATTTTGAAATGGTAAAAAAAAAAAAAATAAAAAAAGATTAAACGTGCTATTACTGAATTTTTTTTTTTTTAATTTAATTAATAAAAAAAAATAAAAAATAAAAAAAAAAAAAACCCGACGGTCTGCAGATGGCCGCTACGATAAATAAATAAAAAATAAACGAGAAAAAATAAATTTTTGAAGTTTGAAAGTTTTTAGTTTTATATATATATATATATATTTATTTAATTTTTTATATAAAAGAATTGATTAATTGATAATTTTAATAATAAAAAAATCAAATATTTTTTTTTTTTCCAGAAACCAACATTTCACCGGAAGGCACCGAGTTCCGGGCGGGGCTTTGTAGGCAAGGCTGATATATATATATATATATATATATATATAAAGAGGGTTAGGGTTTAGTGAGGGGCTTTTATAAATTATTATAATAATTAATAATAATAATAATTAAAATTATTAAAATTGTTTATGGATTGGTTGCTTGTTAATTAATTTTCTAATCCATTCGGGGCACACTCAGACGGGTCTTTGGCTTTGATTTTGTGGACTTAAGATATATATATTATATTATTATATGGTGGTGGTGTGTATGTGTGTGTGTGTACATGTATGTGTGCATGTATGTGTATGGTGATATAAATACTCTTTGCTCTGCCCCTCCTTTTTCTTTCTTCTTACCATTTCCTTTTTTTTTTTTTTTTTTTGTCCTTATCACACCATTATATATATATATATATATAAATATAAATATAAATATATATTTATCTATATATAAATTCATACCATATTCACATAAAAATGTCTGCTCTGAAATCTATCCAATCTGTCAGGTAAGCCTTTATCAATTCTCAATTATTAATTATCAACTCTCAATTTATCAATTTATCAATTCTCAAGTTATCAATTACTAGCTCTCCATTATTATCAATTATTAGCAATTAGCAATTAGCAATTAGCAATTAGCAATTCTCAATTATTATTATCAATCACCAATTCTAACAAATAATTCTTAGAACTTTTGCCACGTCGGCTCGTCGTGCTTCTTACTACGACACGGTCAAAAACCTCAAAATCAACTCAAACACAAAAGTCCTCTTTCAAGGTTTCACAGGCAAACAAGGTACCTTCCACGCCCAACAAGCCTTAGACTATGGTACTAAACTTGTTGGTGGAACAAACCCTAAAAAGGCTGGACAAACCCACCTCGGCTTACCCATCTTTGGGTCCTTAGCCGAAGGTATCAAGGAAACTGGAGCTACTGCTTCCGGTATCTTTGTACCCCCACCAGTCGCTGCAGCTGCCATTATGGAAGGCATTGAGGCTGAAATCCCCCTCGTCGTCTGCATTACAGAAGGTATCCCCCAACACGATATGGTCCGTGTTGTTGATGCCCTTAAAACTCAATCTAAGACTCGCCTGGTCGGCCCCAATTGTCCAGGTATCATTGCTCCTGAACAATGCAAGATTGGAATCATGCCTTCCTTTATCCATAAGCGTGGCCGTATCGGTATTGTTTCGCGTTCAGGTACCCTGACTTATGAAGCTGTTAACCAAACCACCAATGTTGGTCTTGGCCAGTCACTCGTCATTGGTATTGGTGGTGACCCTTTCCCAGGTACAAACTTTATCGATGCTCTTACAGTCTTCCTTGAGGATGAAGAAACCGACGGTATCATTTTGATTGGTGAGATTGGTGGTTCTGCTGAAGAAGATGCTGCTGAGTTTCTTAAGCAGCATAACCTGACACGCGCCAAGCCTAAGCCTGTCACTTCCTTCATTGCTGGTATTTCTGCTCCTCCCGGTCGTCGCATGGGTCACGCTGGTGCCATTATTGCAGGAGGTAAAGGTGGTGCCAATTCCAAGATTGAGGCTCTGGAAGCTGCTGGTGTTGTTGTTGAAAGATCCCCAGCACGTCTTGGTAAGACTCTTTACGAACAATTTGTTAAGAATGATTTATTGTAAAGAAAGAATGAATGAAATACAGAAAGAAGATAGGAAAGGTTTAAATTTTTTTTTTTATTTTAACTGAATGAATGATGATAATAATAATAATAGATTTTTTTTTTTATTTTAATTATTTCAATTATTTTAATTTTTTTATTAAAAATTTTAAACCATATAAGCCATAATAACGAGAAGACGAGAGATAAGCTGGTTGTTTAAAAGGTGGAGAGCCGGCCGGTCTCAGTCCGAGGGTCTTAAATGGGAATTGAGCATTTTTAAATAAATTTTAAATAAATTTAAAAAATCTTCGGAATCAAACCTTTTTTTTTTTTTTATTTATTTATTTTTTTTTTTTTTTGGTTTAATTAAAACCTCATGGACGGACAAAATCTCGGATTTTTATTTTTTGTTTTTTATTTTTTATTTTTAATTTTTAATTTTTAATTTTTTTTTTAGGGAGGAGCGTTTGACAATTAAAAATTAAAAATAAAAAAATTAAGAATGAAATGACAACTGCACAAAAATTCCACGAGTACTTACGACTGGCTACCACCAAGCGATAAAAATGGTCCTTTTTTTGATTTAAATTAAATTTAAATTAAATTTAAATTATTTTTAAATTATTTTTAAAGTTAAATTAAATAAATTAAATAAATTATTATATAATCAACTTTTTTTTTTCTTTTTTTCTTTTCTCACTTATTTTCTTATTATCAATGCCCGTTGCCACTACCGTAAGCCGTTGCCGCTACAGCCTTACTTTCCTCTTCCCACCCCCCCCCCCCAAAAAAAAATAAAAAAAAAAATAACCATTAATGAGTTTACTATTTTATATATACTACTATTATGTACTACCAAAAAAAAAACCCTTCATTTCCATCTTCACCGTAAATGAGCCGACTCAAAAAAAAAAAAAACACTTCATTTAGATTTGTCCCGAGTTCCGCATAACCCGTATCCAAACCCCTCCAGCAACGCTCAAAGTCACTTGTGCATCACTTAGTGCTTTCACTTTTCCTTTTTCAAATCCTTTTTCAAATCCTCTTCCTTCTTCTTCTTCTCTTCCTCCCATCATCTTCTTTTCATCTAACCTAATCTCTTCAAAATACAAAACTACCCGTGCAATAACATACCCAAGTTCTGTCAATGCAAACTGTTGACCTAAACATACCCGAGGCCCTCCATTAAAAGGAATATACTGCCATGGATCTACCCTCTTTTCAAAATTTCTTTTCTTCTTTCTTTCCTTCTCTTCTTTATTATCATCTTCATGCTCATCATCATCATCATCATTATCTTGATTATCATTGCCCTCCCACCGACTAGGCAAAAACTCTTCCCCATAATCCCAAACACTCTCATCAGTATGCATCGCAACCGCACTGTAAAAAACACTACTACCCTTTGGAACAAATACCCTCCCATCCTCATCATCACTTTGCCAATCACCCGCCATCTTCTTGCAATATCCTCCTCGAGGTAATGTAGTGTCACATGTGGCCGTCCTCACATTCACAGGTACAGGTGGATGTAACCGTAAAGTCTCCTTGATAACATACTGCAAGTACTTACACCGTTTAAGTCCTTCAAATGTCATCCCTTCAATTTCTCCTGTCTCTGAATTACAAAACTGGCCCCGTAATATCTTCCGCAACCGTCTTTGAATCGTAATATCTTTGGCCAAATGATAAAATGCCCATGCTAAAGATGAAGCCGTTGTGTCACGACCTGCTAATAACACATTCAACGCCGCATCCCGCAACACGTCAGGGTCCCTTGTATGTTTAGCCAATTCCTCTAAAAAAACATATCTCTTTTTATTCTCCTTCTTCTTATTCTCCCCTTCCACAGTTATATCTTCCTGGTTTGCCCTCTCCAATGCCCGTAAAACAAATCTTTCCGTGTATGTACGACATTCTAAGCACCATCTAGAGAATTCAGGCCATGCAACTGTTACTGCATCACAAAACCCCTGAGCACGTACTCTATGTGCAAGCACTCTCTGGGCTTTAGTAAATGCTTCTCCAAACGATCTTGTTTCTCTTGCATCTTTCTTTCCCTTTCCCTCTAATGCCCCCACACTATCTCCAAATAAAAACTCTGTTGCTGTATCAAGTGTCAACAAAAATAATAATTCCTGGATATCCACAACTCCTCCATCTTTTGTTGCATGTTCAACCTGCCCCAAAAATAATTCAACATGCTTGCCCATCATTCCAACCTGTGACACTTGATCTCTTGCAAACTGTGGTCGTAGCATTCCACGTGCGTGTCGCCACGCTGTCCCATCAACTGTAAATACTCCTGCTCCCAGTAACGGTTCCAATGCTTTTGAACGAGGTCCTAATGCAAAATCTTCAAACTGGGTTGCTAGCATGGCTTTGACATTTTGTGGGTCAATGGTGAAAAATACATATCTTCCAAGAATTTGGCGACGATGAGTTTTACGGCCTTGTGCTTTACAAATACTTGATTTTAAGGCTTCAGGTGTGGTATATGTATAATTGGCATACAATAGTCTTGCAAATGCTGGAATACCTAAAGGGAATGAGTGACGAGTGTAAACATGACCAAGTAGTGGGGCCGTTGATGGTTGTTTGCTGCGGAACTGGTACTGTTGGATAGTGTATATTAAAGATTGTAAGAGTGGGATAATAATTGCAAGGATAAGAAAGATTAAGAGTAAGAGTAGAATCAATTGTAAAAGTGTCATTTTTTTTTTGAAAATATAGATCTATATTTATTTAATGATTAACCCAGATTATATAAATATATATTTGGATTGGAAATAGAAAGATATTTATTTGGAAAGGGAGAGAATAGTATATATATATATATATATATATGTAAATTATAAATTATAAATTTATAGATCAGAGAGACTTTAATTGGTTAAAAGGAATTGCCAAGGAAGAGAATTTTTTTTTTTCGGGGATGATTCTTATAAAGACTCAACTTCTCCTTTTCTCCCCAACAATAATTAATAATAATATTTATTTATTCTACCAAATCAGGCAATCTCGATTGAATCATGAGTCATGAGTCATGAGTCGCCCATCCTTAAACTCATTTGCATTCCCAAAACGGACTTTTTTTTAAAAGAAAAAAAACAATAATAATAATAAACGTAAAATAAAAAAAAAAATTAAAAAAACACCATCTCCAATAAATTATTTTTTTTTTCTCCCTTTACAAAAATTGAGGTTCTTCAGGTGGCTTCTGTCCAAAAAATACCCAATTATAATACATAAACTCTAGCATCCGCGGTGCATTCGTCTCCAAATACTTACCCTCCCACTCACTTTTCCCACTCCCTGCAACCAATCCTCGTGACATTCCACCACTACCACCACCACTACCACTACCATTACCATTACCATTACTAACAGTCCCTGTAGACAACGATAGAGGCGATGGTGAGCGGCCCGGGACTTGTTGCTGAGGTGCTAGTACTGTTTTAGGTGGACCTAAAGCACTTGCACTTAAACTATCGTTTGAATTTGAATTTGAATTTGAATTTAAACCCGTAGAAATTGATTTAGAAGAACTTCTCCCAACAATATTGGATGCTGTTATCCGGTACTTACGACAAGGACCAATCTGCACGGGCTCTGCGTAAGGTTCCACATGGTTTTGTAAGTAAGCCTCATTACACTTGTCACAGTAACAGTTATTCAAGTACCCTTCAAGATTAATTCTATCGCCTTTTTTCCCAAAATAATAATTTTTTTTTTTAGATTCTTTGGTCTGGATACTACTGCTGAGAGGTTTCACAAATGAAAATCCAGAAACACCATCATCGCCGTCATTACCGTCATTACCAGAATCACAGAAACTCTGCCACCACACTTTTTTACTGGGACTAAAAGAAGCTGATGATACTGATACCGTGCCATTTCCAACTCGCCATGGTCGCAGCCCACGATGACGGTGTGGTTGTTGGTGACAGTGCAGCCCATCTATTGGTTGGTCTTCTTCTTCATCTTTATCATCACTGTCTCTACCAGTTCTCTCCCCGTCTGTCTCAAGATAGTACCGATATATAGACTCTGGATAATCTGAGCCTGCTCCATCTGCTACGGCTTCTTCTTGTTGATTAGCCTTTTTATCACCTAGACCCCCGTGTTCTGCAACAACAGGTACCCTGCGCACTTTCATAATACCTCTAATACTACCTTCTGCTTTATTTTGTAATCCCTTCACCATCAGCTCATCCTCTTCTTCCTCTTCTTCCTCAGTTGTTACCCTTCCACCATCCTCGTCTCCAAAGTTTGTTCGAAACACTCGCGCAATATAAAAATGATGTGTCTTTTTCCTAATAACTTCTTTCCGAAACCTCATCGCGCTTCCAGAAACTGTCCCACTACTTCCAACTTCATTCCCCCCACTACTCCACTGTCCAGATCGTCCAAGTGATTTGCTCAACATCCGTGTTACCGCATGCAGTGACGCTGTGTCCCTTCTCACAAGTCCTCGTGGGGAAGAGTGAGAGTAAACTTGTTTTTCCCCACGGCTATTCACACTCGTCAGCAATCCTGCTGAAGACACTGGGTACAAAAATCTAGTCACAGGGAGACTGGACGGCGCGTTTTCGTGGTAGTTTAGTGCATTAACGGCTTCTTCTAATGGTAGATTTGATAGAGAAACAAGTGATGTAATTGACTTGGATGCCGGCCTAAGTTTGTACATTTCTTGTGGTGCTGATGATGTTAGAACTGGAGCTAGCTCGGCTGGCTGCTTAACTTCCTCCCCACTACCCTCAGTCGTCTCACTCAATATGGTCCCATTACCAATTCCCCCAGATAAAAGACTCGTACTATGAGACATCATCATCCCCTTAAGAGTCCATGAAAAGGACCCCCGTGGCCTTGTCAAAGAAGCCATTGCAAACGGAGTTGTTGGCATCTCTCCATTATGCAGCATACTTGATCTCACTTCTGCCACATCTTCTGCTGCTAGGTACTCAAACCATGAGTATTCCACTTGGTCTGAAAACCTGATTCGTTTTCTCTTTTTCTCCTGTTGTACACAGCTTTCGTCGTCTCCAATTTCGGTCACTACTGCTGTCACCCCTCCCTTTTTTTTCTTATAATCACTTTCAACTTGAACTTCATAAACTTCACCTTCATACTGAATCTCTCCACCATTTTTAACTCCCCCATTCCGCTTCTTGGTCACCCCAGGCTTTGTTAATCCAAGAAATGCTCGCGAAAATGATGAGTTGCGCCGCTTGTCTCGGTGCATTGTATCCTCAGATTTTCTCATAGATACTTCTTCCGAGACTTCGTTTTTGAGTGTCGATGGGAGCTGGTTAGCTTTGGGGACTGCAATCATCATCACCTTGTACTCTCTGAGAAATGTAGTCTCACTATCTCTAGTTTTCTTTTGTACCAGTGATGCTGTTTTTATCAATTTATTTTCTTCTTCAACAATCATTTCATTATCTTTATTGCTCAATTCTTTTTCTTTTTCTTTTTTTTCTTCTTCATTATCATAATCATCTTCGTTTTCTTCATCTTCATCTTCATCTTCATCTTCTTCCGAATGATAATCAAACTCATTTGTTTCTACCTCCACTTCCATTTCTTTGGCCTCAATAAGTGCGGCGTTAATCTCCGTCATTTGCCGCATTCCTTGAACCTTGATACGAGCCATTTTTTTCTTTCTTTTTGACAAATTTGAAGCGTTAAAATAAATATCTCTTGCTGTAAACCACGCAGGGATTTTGGAAAAATCAACTAAAGCTCGGTTATTGAAAAATGTACCCTTGTTTAATTGTGCATGGTAGGCTGCTAGAGCCTTGACCCGTTGTGTAGAAGGCCCCACAATTGTATCACCCACTGTACCGTGAACCCTTGGGTAATGTGTTTTAGAGTGCAATCCGATTTTGACTGGTGGGAAATCCACATATTTTGCAGAGTATTGTCTATTGAGGGGTCTATTATGTGAATTGTATTTTGACACAAGTTTTGGGAACGTTGGTTCTGTTAGAGAAAAAGTTTTAAATCCTGGGGAAGAAGATCCCCCTGGAACCATGGTACTTCCATACATTAGAAGGGGGTCTTTAATTAATAACGGAGAAAGTGGATATTGTAATTTATTATTATTATTTTTCTTTTTTTTAGACGTCAAAGTTAAAGAGCAAAAATCAGAGCTAGAGCTTGAGCTAGAAGAAGAGGAAGGTCCTAAGGGAACGAGAGATTGAGAAGGATTTTTTGGTAATTGAGCAGATGAACGAGTCGTCTTATAAGTCTTGCTGGGAGATTTCTTTCCTGTAGCTGAGTGAGACTCCAATTCCAAAAGCATTACTTTTCTAGTCAAGTTGATTTGCTGAAAGATCTGGTCATTTGCAATTTCGCTTGTTAAAATTCTAGGTGAAGAAGAATGGCTGAAAGATTTTTTTGCTAGGTATTTTTTCTCTTTAGAGGAATCTCCAGTGGAATGAAGAGGATATTTTTTTTGAGAGTCATTATTGTCTTGATGATCATTTGTAGTATTTAGTTCTTCTTTACTTCTTTTTTTTTCTAGGACATTTGTTTCTCTTCTTTTTTTCTGTTTTATGCTACTAACTCTTTTCCTAGAAACTTTTTTGTTATCTTCTTCTCTATCGCTGTTCATTTGTAACGGCTGGGGTTTAATATAATGTTTCTGATGATTCATAAATTAAACAGTGGCACAGCCTGTATGTTAGGGATGTGTTTATCAATATATATTAAAAAAAAATTACTGAGACAGAAAGAAGGAAAGAAAGAAAGAAAATAAAAAAAATAAAGCAAGGGAATAAAAGCAATAAAGTAAAAAAAAAAAGAAAAATAATAAAATAAAAATAAAAAAAAGCTATTTCAATATTGAATTTAATATTTGAAAAAAATGAAATCTTGTTATATTAATTGATTCATAAATGGTGGAATATAAATAAAAGGCTGAGTTTGTTTCTGGGAGGGGAGGTTAAAAAAATTCCATTTTTGTTGGTTTTGTTATTTTCAAGTGTACTCCCGACCCCCAAAATAGGAAATTATACTGATTGTACAGTCCGGGATTCGAACTGGGAACTTTTACTTAGAATAGATTAAATAAAATAAAAAATAAATAAAAAAGTACAAGAAATTCTATATTTCCAAGCTATTAAAAAAAAATTCAAGATAATAATCTAATTCAGCTTGTTTCCATTATTCAGAATTCTTTAAATTTCAATTTTTTACATATTATTATTCTAAAATATTTTAAATAAATACCCTTAATTTTTAAAAAATATTGGCTCTCAAACACTTTTGGCGCATTTGTGTCGGTGGTTGTCCGCCAGTTTTTACAAAAAAAAGTAGTAAACCTTCCGTGCTAGACCGCGCGTACCTTCTTACTTAAGACTTGCGATTTATACTATTTAGTAAAAGTTTCAAGTCACAATGAAGGTGGGAAATTCGGTGAATCACTTCTCTCAACAATTATATGTTCCCCTGAGGGTTCTGCACGGCCACGTGGAAACGCGGAGCAGCGTCATCAGAAAGAACGGATTTTGTGGTGTATTTCTTTACACCATAAAATTCATGGGATATTGGCGTTGCGGGAGATTGGGTCCTTAGAGGGGACCTCTTAAGTGCAATGCGCAGTCTACTTCATTAATCATGGAGTAGAACTCGATACCGATCACTAGTGCGGAAGGTTCTCTTTTTTTTTTATTATTTGATTTGTTTATGTTTATGTTTATGTTCAAATATTTCAATGACGAAATGGTTTTAAAAATAAGTCTCAAAAAAAAGGAATCGCGTGCCATTAAACAAGCCCTTTTTTTTGTCTACAACTACTACAACTTCAACTACAACAATCAAAAAAAAAAAAAATAACAGGTTTCAGTGAGGTATGTTTATTTCATCATTATAAGTCGTTAAAAAAAATTGGGGGTAAGGGGGAATGGGTATTTTTCTTTCATTTTTATTCCACCCCTTTCTTCCTACTCTTCTCCAGTTCTATCCATTAAATTGTTGTTGATTCATATTTTCATTCTTCTTTTTCTTCATCTTCTCCTTCTTATTCATAAATTAGATATTCTTGGGCAGAGCAATGACGCTAGGCTTGCGGAACTTGCCATCATTGTAGACGCTCTTTTCAGCATCAAAGCCAGTCACATTCTTTGTGATTTCAGCCTCACGAGCAATCTGGGCGTAGTGTCGTCGAACAGCATCACGATCAGTTTCAGCCTGGAGCAAAGGTTGCAGGTACAGACGAGCCCAAATCTTTTCACGGTACAGCTCATTACGTTCATGAATGCCGGAAATAGCCTGGTAGAAACCAATGGAACAGATTCCAATGACGCCGAGGAAATAAACAATGGGCTTGAAACCACGAGAAGGTAAGTTGCGCTGTGTAACAAGAAGAGAAAAAAAAAAAAAAAAAAAAAAGTTAGTTAAGTGTTGTAGTTAGAAATGTAAACCGTTATATACAAACCTTCCACTGGATTGGCTCGTAGCCACCGACGGGAGGTAAATCTTGGGCCATTTTTTTAATAAGTGTTTATTTAGTAGTGATGTTTAGTATATAAGAAGAGGAGGGGAGTTTTTTTATTTAAAAAAAAAAAAAAAGGGAGTGCTTTGAATATGTGTGGGTTGGTTTATAATAATAATAATAAAAAAAAAAGGGCATTTAGAAAGAGAGAGAGGCGGGCAAAAAAAAAAAAAAAAAAGGCAGGAATTGACAATTTTAACGCGTTGGCGGTGATTGGCTGATAACGTTATTGCCCTTACCCTATAATCATGTGATGTGGTTCGGACCAAGAAATTTTAATTTAATTTAATTATTCAAAAAAATTAAATTAAATTAAATTAAATTAAATTAAATTAAATTAAATTAAATTAAATTAAATTAAATTAAATTAAATTAAATTAAATTAAATAAAAAATATGCTCAGTAAAGTCGAAATACGGCTGAACCCATTAGAATATATAAAAATAAATATATAGAAATAAAAATGAAATTATATTTACGACACACCACCTTCTTTTTTTTTTTTTTTTTTTCCCTTAATAAAAATTATTATTCATAGATAAACAGACAGACGCTCAATCGCATAAACCACCGAGACTGAAACGGTTTCTGATTTCCAGGCACAAAGAAATAGACATTTCTTCTTTAAAAAAAAAATTAAATAAATAAATAAACATTTTTTTTTGTTCAATCAAATATAAAGGAGGTTCTAAGATCTTTTCCTTTTTATTCTTTCTTTCTTTCTTTCTTATCCTTTTTTTTTCTTTATCAAGTTAGTCCCACACACTATGACTCAAACTGTTGCTAAAATCACAACCCCTGCGCAAGTCGAAGAATTTCTTGCGCAATACGATGATTTCCTCTTTGATTGTGACGGTGTTCTCTGGTCAGGAAATCACTTGCTCCCATCTGTAGTTGAAACTCTGGAATTCCTTCGCTCACGTGGTAAACGTTTGATTTTCGTCACCAACAACTCAACCAAGTCTCGCAAAGCTTACACATCCAAATTTGCAAAGTTTGGAATCACTGTATCCAAAGATGAAATCTTTGGCTCAGCATATTCATCAGCAATTTACCTTTCTCAAGTTCTTAAGTTCCCCAAAGACAAGAAGGTTTTGATAGTTGGCGAGGCTGGAATGGAAGAAGAGCTTGCAGAAGTTGGAATCCAAACTGTGGGTGGAACAGATCCTTCGTTACGCAAGGTGGAAGCCTCTGATGAGGACTTGGCCAATTTGGCATATGATCCAACCATTGGTGCTGTTTTGTGTGGTCTTGATTTCCATATTACATATTTAAAGATGGCCAATGCTCTTGTTCAAATTCAAAACCCAAGCACTCTATTTCTTGCCACAAATATTGATTCAACTTTCCCCACCCATGGTAAGTTGCTTCCTGGAGCTGGCACAATTGTGGGAACCTTGGTTACATCGTCGGGCCGCACACCAGTGTCGTTGGGTAAGCCTTCGGGTGCCATGATGGATAGCATTAAGGCCAAGTTTAAGTTTGATGCTGAGCGTGCTTGTATGGTTGGTGACCGGCTTAACACAGACATTGCATTTGGACGGGCCGGTGGACTCGGGACGTTGCTTGTATTGACAGGTGTGACGAAGGAATCTGAACTTGAAGGTGAGCCTCCAGTGGTGCCTGCGTACGTGATTGATAAGCTTGGGTCGTTGTATGAGTACCTTCACTAAAAGTTTAAAGTTTGCATTGAAAGTATTAATGGAAAAGTTTTTTTTTTAATAATAATAATAATAAAGGAATGGATTTATTTATTTTTTTAAAAAAATAAAAGTACAAAAAATTAAAATAAATGTGTTATTATTCTCAATTAGACAAATCAATGTTTCTAAAGGATACTTTTTTTATGCTATAATAATAATAATAAACACAAAGAGACCTTTTCTGATAATTTTTCAGTCCACCTGGATTTCTTAAAGAAGGTTCACACTTATATATATATAAGGTTTAATATAAAAAAAAAAATTTTTTTTCATCCTTCCAAGGAGATAATTGATTTAAAAATAAAAAAAAATTTAAAATAAAATACTTTCTTTCAAAGGAGACTAAAAAAACGCGTATGGAGGAGTTTTTTTTTTACCAACAAAAACAAGTGTGCGCGCGCGCAAAAGAAGTTTTACATGAAAGAGAGAGAGAGAGAGACTCTATGAAAAGTTGATTATATACAGTTTGATTCTCGTTAAAAGTTTTTTTTTTGGTAAATAAATGTGAAATTCTAATAATGTCTCTAATAATAAAAAAAAATGACCTTTTATATATATTTATTTCTATTTTATTTCAAATCATTTGGAAAAAGACCCTTTTTGAAATTCACCTAGATTTTGGCTAGTTGGCTTTAAAAAAAAAAAAAAAATTTCCAAAGAAAACTCCCGCGTTAAGCTCAGAATACAGTGCTGCACCAACATTGCGCGCGATCTTTTATATATATACGCTATTTCTATTAATATTATTTTAAAAAAAACCCCCTTTTAGCTTTTGATATATATATATATTTTTCCCTTTTTCTAAATAAAGACTTTTATATTTTTTAAAAAAAAAATACGACACCTTTTTTTATTTCTTTTTTAATTTTTATTTATTTATTTATATATATATTCCTATAATTTAATGTCCGTACACACACTGTTCAAACCCATAATTAGAATCAGCCGTACAAACCCAACCGCTCCTCCTCCAATGTCTCTGAAAAAATATAGCCAGGACTTATGAATGATTCAGGCGTTTCTTTTTCTTCTTCTTCTTCTTCTCAACAATATGTTTTGAGTATATTTATATCTTATATATATATCCTTTGAAAGGAAGAGGAAAAAAAAAGTATATATATCTCACTGAGTTTCCAATAATATTGTATTATCTCTTTTTTTTCCCCCCCTTCCTCTTAATCTTTTCTATCCATCTTTTCACTCGTTTTTTTTTTTTCCTTCACTCATTCCAAATACACTCGTTATGAAACTCTCAGTTACTCTCTCTTCCATGGCCATGGCCTGGCAATGTCTTATACATCTGGTCAATGCAAGTCCTCTAGTTGCAGAATTCCAAGCATCCTTCCCTACAGATGCTGTAATTTCCCCAGAAACAGATCACCTCGAGCTCCTTCCTCGAGACTACACTGCAGATATTGTTGAGAGTACAAGAGATGCTAAACCAAATTCAAATCTCCAGAACTACATTGTCATTCTAAAAGATAATGCTGGCCAAACACTTTCCCGTAGAAATGCCCATAGAACATGGCTCGATAGTCTTTTAGCAAAACGACAATCCTTAAACGCAAGAGATGCTAAACCAGCACCATTACCTATCGATTTTGACACCACCGCAGATGTCAAATCTTCAAATGCAATTACAGGGTACCATGGAGCTTTTACTCAAGCAGAAATTAAAGCCATTTCCGAGTCGGAAGATGTTGCATTTGTCGAAAAGGAAACCTACGATACCATCCAGCAAGATTTTGTATATGTGCAATATAACTCGTCATGGGGGTTAGGTCGTATCTCACATAAAACTTTTGACTCACCTTCTGGAGCTAATGATGCTACCTATGTTTTTGGCAACAATGGTGGTGCAAATACTACCCTATACATTCTCGACTCTGGAGTACGTGCCGACCATATTGAGTTTACAGGTCGTGTGCGATGGGGGGCAAACTATGTTGACAATGAACAGACTGATGTTCATGGTCATGGAACTCACATTTCTGGTATTGCTGCAGGGTACAATGTAGGAGTATCTAAATTTGCCAATATTGTTGCCGTCAAAGTTATTGATGCTGATCGTCGGGCTGCCATTTCCAACATCATTAAAAGTGTTCAATGGATTATCGATGATGCTGCTGCACATCCTGAAAACCGTGCTGTCATTAACTACTCCGCCGTTGGAGTGATTTCCGATGCCCGAACTTTGGCAATTCAAAAGGCTGTTGATGCAGGCATCATGGTCGTAACTGCAGCTGGAAATTCAGCAGATGATGCTTGCAATTATGGACCAGCAAATATGGCTTCGACCACCGATGGAGTTTTGACTGTAGCAGCACTCAATTATACAAATTCTCCCGCTGACTTTTCCAACCATGGCGGGTGTGTTTCTGTATATTCTCCAGGTGTATCAATTTTATCTGCATCTAGAGATGCAATCAACGCATACAAGTACATGTCTGGAACATCAATGTCTGCTCCATATGTTGCCGGTTTGGCAGCATATTTTTGGTCAATTAACCCTGGGTATTCACTCGGTGATATCAAGAATGCAATTTTGAACTATAATGATGGTCAAATTGTGGATGCCGTTGGTAGCACGGCCAACAAAATTGCATACAACCATCAGTGATGGAGAATGTATTAGAAACTACAAAAAGTTTAGATTTTTATTATTATTATTATTTTGGGGATATAAAATTTGTTTTTTTTTTAAGTATTAATAATTCTGGTGTTATTTTTTTTTTCAATATATTTTTTTTTCTTGTTAATTTTTGTTTTTTTTTTTTTAATTTCTTTCTTTAAATCTCTTCTTCACTCCAAACAATGTCTGAAATCTACTGGAACGATTCCGTCGTACAAAACGCCCCAAACCCAGCATCTTATCTTCTTCTTCGTTGTTTGATTCCATCTTCTAAAGCTCACCTGGTGACCAATGTACTACGAGAAACTCCCAATTTGCGTTCTGAACAAGTTCTAGATGCAGCAGATTTGCAAACTGCTTGGATCTCATCACTTGTGTCTCGGGGGGTCCCCATAGCAGCCACCATTGCAGTAGTACCTCAATGTCCCGAAATTGTTATTTCGCTCTTTAATTTTGATTCTCAAATTCTTTCCAGTGTAAGTTTATTTCTATATCTATATCTATATATAGTATTAAAATTCAAATCCATCTAACTTAAAACATTAAAGACACTTTGTCAAATCGCCCAGCTTGTCAAATGCTCCATCACAATCCTCGCACCTTTAAACCCAAAGTCTCCAGTTTCTACGCTACTTCCAAATTCTACAGAATACTCAATTCCATTCCCCAATTCTCATTCCATTATCCCACCCCATGCATTTCATTTTTTATCTGAATCTCACTCTTTAATACCCACAAAGTTCTTCACTCCATACCCGTCCCGTAGTTGCTGTCAATTACGCAACTTGGCAACTTTTGTTTTAAAAACTACAGGCCCACCAATTTCTTTACTTTTACCGTCTCAAATAAAGTCGAATGTCCAGTCTTTGCCGCAATGTCCCACGTATTCGTCTTCGTTTGTATCTCCGTTTCCATCTCTTACCATTTGTGACGTTTCGTGTGTTATAACAGATCAAACATACCAAGATGATACAGGAGGATGCAGGGCCAACCGCAAGGCTGAGTATAAAAAGGGCAGTTTTCTGTTGTCAACCACCCAACGTGCGGCTCATAAATCCTGTGCCCAACTCAAAACGGCCCACACAACTACAATAGCCAACTGCTTCGACGAAGACGAAGACGAAGACGAAGACGACGTCGAAAACTGTCACAGGGTTATAGATAACAAGGAAAACAACGTAGAGGAGACAAACATTAATTACGTTGCAAACACAACTGGGAATGATGCAGATCAAACGGAATACACTATCTCACGGGCTTCAGTGTTGTACTCAGAAACCCCCGAGGTAGCAGCAGCAGCACAGGAGACCAAAGTTTCAGCGACCAGTTCTCCTGCATTTCCTTTTCTTCTTCTTCTTCTTCTTCTTCTTCTTCTTCTTCTTCTTCTTCTTCTTCTTCTATGCCATTTTGTCTACCTCCCTTACCTGACGGTAGTATCCACCAGTCTAAGCCACGCCATGTTGCCTCGCTTCCTGTATCTTCTCTGCACCCAGGCCGCGCCTCACGCACCGACCATTTTGAGTTTCGATTTGTACCAGACCGTGGGTTACGTACTGTGGCCGCTCGTAGGCGTGTTGAAGAAATGTTAGCGGCAGTAAGTACATCTACAGGCGCACGTGCACGCCTATTTCGTGAAGTAAATACTCGTAAACGCGGTGTTGAAATAAGCGGGGCTCGGGCTGCAGTTGTGGCAGCTATTGGACGCGTGCAAACTGGATATGCAGATGCTTGTCTTGTTGAACGGCAGGGCAACTGTAATGAAGGTCCTTCTGCTAAGGGAGGTTCTCGAAGTAAACGCGGGACTGTTATTTACAAGGAGTAGTAAGTTTGAAAAAAAAAAAACAAATAAATAAAAAAAAAATAAGAAGAAATAAGAAAAGCTTACTCTTGGTAAGTTAAAATGGGTAACACATCCTCCGCCCTTTTCTCCGTTCCGTCTTTCCCACCCCCACCATTTTTTTTTTTTTTTTTCCCTTCCTACAACATACCACCAACAAAAAGTCAAACATTAGCAAGTTTGGCATCTCTCGCGACTTTTGGGGAGGGATATTGGATATATATAGTTTTAATTATTTTTTTTTTTTCAAAGAAAAAAAAATTATATATTTCTCAATAAACCCTATTGTTTTTTTCTTATATATTTTTTTTTATTTTTCAATCAATCAATCAATCAATCAATCAATCAACTGAGTTATAGTTACATATCATTTTCAAATGACACGCTCACGTACTAAAACTGATTTGCTCAAGACTTTAACAGAATCTGAAAAGGCTCTTTTTTTCCTTGACCTTAAAGATCTTGCACTTGAGTTTGCGAAATCAGGTGGAATCGATGCGTTATTTGCATTAGACCGGGTACGTGAATTTAACGCGTTATTGGCACCACATCGTTCAAGGTTCCGATGTCAAGATACTGAAACAATATTACGATATCAACGATCTAAACGCAAAAATAGAGTGAAAACACGGGAACAAAAACGATTAAAAAGAGCTCAAGAAGTCCAAAAAAAAAAAAACGGAGAAGAGCAAAAGAAAAACAAGATGATTATTATTAATAATAATAATAATAAAATAAAAGAAAAACAAGATGAAATGGTGAAGGAACCCACAACCGAGAAGGAAACTTTCAAACTTTAGTGTGGTGAAGCTAAAAAAAAAAAAATTTAATTAATTAATACCCTCCCCTTCCTATACCTTAAAAAACAAAAACAAAAAAAAAAGGATATATCCTCGATATGACTGATGATTCACAATTGTGGCATTAATGAATCACATTATCCAGTTTTTTTTTTTTTTTTTTTTTTTTTTTTTTTTTTGGATGGGCAAAATCTCAATATAACCTAAATAAAGGATATTCTGGGGATGGATGCCATATTAACTTGTGTGCATTTTGGTGGGGGGGAGAGGAGGGTCTCTATTTTTTTTTTAGAAATTTAGAAATTCATGGTTAAGGCTCATTCAGATAAAAAAATCAAAAGTTGGACAAGAGTCAGTCATATCATTCATTATGAATAACTAAAGTCTAGTCTAGTTTTGTTTTTTTAAGACTGGTTATTATTTTTAGTATTAATATTATAATTATTAGGTCTTACAATCAACAAAAACAACAAAGTATATATATATATATATATAGATATCTAAATCTGAATCTAGAACTAAGTAATTGTCAATCATTAATCTATTTTTTTTTCTCAAGAATTAATTTAGAATCCATTTTGTATTTTTTTTTTAATTTTCAATACCAAAATAAAAAAATTAAAAAAAAAAAAAACTTTAATCTCTGGAGGTAGTAGTAGTAGGTCCCTCTCCATTTAAACCTCCCTCTCCCCCCATTGATCCGTTATAAACTCACGGGAAAGGTCCATTACCATTCCGAATTAAGAAAGAATGAATAAATATGACCTTTGTGGTACTTATATATATATATATATAATTTGTCAACAAAATATATTACTATACAATGATACACTCTAGTTTATTTTGATTTAATTAATGGTATTTAAAGAATTTAAAGAATTTAAATTAGACTCTAAGCTGTTCAGTTCATTTACTTTGGTTAGTTTAATATATATTTGTGATACCCATGAAGAATAGTTTTTCCCCACTCTCTCTCGAAAGATCCTAAAAGCCTTTCTTTTTTTTTTCCATTAACCTTTAAAAAAAACTATCATTAAAATATTTTTAATAAATAAATATATATATTCAATCAAATTGTCAGTCAGTTACTGTTGTTGCCGCATCTTTGGCGGGGCTGATGTTGATATTATATATATATATATATATATATATCAAAAATGGCGGGGCTCTTTTTTCACGTGTTAATAAACTTTTAAAATAAATATAAATATAAATTTAAATAAATTAAATTAAATTAAATTAAATTAAAATTAACAATCAATAAAAACCCCCCACTTTGATCATTAAAGATTCCGCAAGGGTAAGGGATTTTTATAGGATTTTTTTTATGGCCTTTTGAAAAGTTTTTATTCTTCTTCTTAATCTTCTTAATCTTCTCCTCACCACTAAAGATGAAATTCCCCCCTCTTTAATCATGATTTCTTTGACTTAGTTAATGGATACAAAAGGCATAGTCTTCTTCTTCTTTTTTTTTCTTTCAATTTCATTTTTTATTTTTAAAGTAAATGTTAAATCACAAGATACCAAATGTTTATTCATTAACAATTTAATTACTTTTTTTTTTGGTCTTCAATAAGACTTTAATACTTTAAATTATTATTATAAAACTACTACTAACAGAAAACTATGGAATATATATATATATATATATATATATATAATTTTTATATGAAGGTTAGGGGAAAGGCTGTGCTGAAAAAAAAAATTTCAAATTAATTATTTTTTTTTTCAATGATATTTTGTATATTTGATTTTCAAGCTGTCTAAAATACTTGTTGCAAAATATATATATAAATATAAATAAATATAAAAAATCCCTCTTGTATCTGTTTATTTTTCTTTTCTTTTCTTTTCTTTAGATTTTTCATCATCTTACATGATATATAATTGTTACAGTTTTTTTTTTTTTTGATAATTTCAAATTTTCAAAATTTCAAAATTTCAAAATAATCCCTCGTCCATTTCAAGTCTCTTTTTTTTTTTTTTTTTTTTTTGACCCCGTTACTCGGTTATATTCAATAAAAATATATTTAGATCATATATATATACTTTTAGATTTGTTAACTGTTATTGTTACTCCACATCTTTTTTTTTTCTTTTGTGAAATGATTTCTGTTCTTTTTTTTTCATCATTTTCCTTAAGGAAAAGCCATAAAGTTGGTTTAACAAAATAAAAATAAAAAAAAAATTTTCCAACTAATCATCATTCTCATGATAGTCCACGTTGGTAATTTTATCAACATTTTAAATCATTTTAACTTAAAAAAGAAAAAAAAAATAAAATAAAATATTAAGAAAAAAGAAAAAAAAAAAAAAAAAAAGAAGTCTTACACTGTTTAAAAAAAAATAAAATAAAATAACCATTGCATGGAAAATAACTCCCCCCTTTCCTCAAAAAAGATTTCCATATATATATAAAAACTTACATTAAACTATAGATAAAAATGTTGTTGCTGTTGCTATTCTTCTAGTTCTTTTTCTTCTTCTTTTGTGTATTTCCACCAACAAAAGAAAAGATTTTTTTTATTTTATTTTTGTCTGTAAAATGCTTTTGATTTGTTCTCTAAATTAATCTTCAAATCCTCCCCATGTGGATCTATTTGAACATTGTCACTGGACCAAAATAAAAATAAAAACTCTTTCGTCACTTGTTTTTTTTTTTTATTTTATTTTATTTTATTTTTTTTGTTTCCCCCCCCCTCTTTTACTCTTTTTTTTTTTATGATGATTTCAATAAAAATGTAAATAAAGAAAAAAAAAAGATATCTATTTCTTTTTCTATCATTCCAAAGTGAAAAAGAACATTATCATCAACATGTAAAATATATATATCTCCGTGGAAATAGTAATTATAATAAAGATTAATAAATTTCTACTATATAAATATATATGGAAAGAATGTGATTATATACTGTGGATTTTGGTATTTATTCTATTAAAAATTGAATAAATATATAAATAATAACTAATTATAATCACTATTAACCTTCTAGAATGTATTTATTTATCTAAATTGGAATAAATGAAAAAAAAAGCCAATTTTTTTTTTATTTCTCCTGAATCCGTTATTTTTACTGATTGCGCATCTTGTCAGACTTGGAAGAACCAATAAAGTAAAATGGAAAGAAAAGAAAAGAAAAGAAAAGGAAAAAAAAAAAATTTTTCTTCTTCTTCTTCTTCTAATTATAATTCTTTTCAGTTTGGAAATTATTGTGATAAAATAAATAAATATACACACATACATACAGATACAAATTTTTTTTTTTCAGTAGTTGCAAGTGGTAGTGGATATTTAATTTATTTATTTAATTACCGTCGGAGAACAAAAAAAAAAAAAAGAAAAAAGATAATTAATCATTAAAAGTACTCTAAAATAACAAAACACCAAAAAATATATATATATATATAAAAAAAAAAAAGAATCATATCAAATAACAATAAATTGTAATAATAATAATAATAATAATAGTAGTAAAAAGTAATCTCTTCACATAATAGCACACTCACCTGAAGCCTTGAGCGATTCATATTGCTCCTCTGCAATCTGATGTTCCATTTCAGTTTGTTTAGCCTTAGACTCTCTAGGGAAGTACAGTTTCAAAAACTGCATATGTTCTTTATCCAAGTTAGAATCATCAGCATCCATCACAACATGTTTCCTACACATTGGACACTTTTCCTCTCCACTGCGTTGTAAATGAATCATGCACTTGATACAAAAAACATGGTTACATCCTAATCTAATAGGCTTATAAGCAACACTCAAACAAATAGGACATAAGAAATCATCAATCTGTGGAGTCACTGGTAATAATTTCTCAGTAATAACAAAACAAATATCCTTGGCAACACTCTGTGATAAAAATGGGTCTTGAGAAATCAAACTTGGGAATGAAACTCTAGAATCAAGAGCCGTTTGTTTATCAAACTTCTTTAGAATCTTATTGATGGCAGTCTTATTAATTGATTGGAACTGAAGTACCCGTAATAATTCAACATTAATGTGCCAAAACTGTCTAAATGCTTGATATGACTCCTTCTTATTAAATTGGTGAATCATAGATGTCGTAGTATTGGTCACCTTAAGCTTAGAAATAATACGTTGTTTAGAAATACCTGGTGCAGTGTAAGTGGCAGGCGTGCTGTGATTGGGCACTTCTGTCTTTACGTTTTTAAGTGATGGCGAGGATGGGTTAAAAAACATATCAAGAGCTGTTTCAATTTTAGCCGTTGAAGCCTTGTCAAGATTAGCCAGGTCTTGAGCCGTGATTCCAGTCACACCATTCTTCTCGAGGTATGCATTGAGAGAAAGGACCAATTGAGCTGTATTGTTAAACCCAAGAATTCGTGCTGCAAAGTGGACCAACTTGCGTCTCGCAGTCTCGATATTATGCTCACCATGATCAGACTCCATTGTAGCGAAAAACACATTGGCCATCATATACTCCTTGAATATCTCACGCCAGGTATACATGTCAGATTTGCGGGCCTTGGGATCTACCAGGTTTGAAATAGAGTCTCTCAAGGTTGCAATTTCTTGAGTCAATGATTCTTCTCGTTTTTCTTTAAATTCATCCAAATTCTTGAGCTCATTTGTTAGCATATGGAAAAATACAGAATCTGATTCTAAATGAATTTCAATCACACGAATGTTAGGCTGAGGATCTTCTTCAGAATCTGAATCTGAATCTGAACCTGAATCTGAATCTGAGTCTGAAGAAACTAAACTCGAGTCTGAAGACGCGGTATGAGGAAGAAGACATTCATGTTCATCTTCAGAAGCATAAAGAGAAACACAATCAAAGTCAGAAATACCGACACGAGGGTTGTAAAACATTTCTTCGGCAATAGAGTCTGTAGTCATTATTGAAGCAGCCGAGGAGGAGTTGAGGTAAGAGGGGATATTGTAACTGGATGATGCATCAGAGCTATCATCACTTTCCACCAAACTAATTCTTGATGAGTTACTTGGTTTTTTGTACAAGTCATCTTCTGATTCGATTCTCATTTTGCGAAGCTGGTCAATAGTGACTGAAGAAAGTGATACATCCACCGGGGTATTAGATTCGGTTTCAATGGCCACCACAATCTTAGGAGTAAAGTCTTTCATAGTGCCGTCAAACTTGTACGAGATAACTGGAGAGCTGGTACGCTGTTGTCTATATTCTGAAGCCAAGCTATCTGCTCGTGATCGACGGCGGTTGTGAGAAGAATGGGAGTTGTTGTTGTTATTACTATTATTATTATTATTATTTGCATTGCTGGAGATTGAAGAAGAGCGTGAGGATCTTGGGACTGATGGAGAGCGAACTTGAGAAGCAATGACCGAGGCCAGTCGGTTATTGATTGGAGGAGTTGATCTTGAGCGTAATGCAAGAGCAGTTGAAGGTTCTGGGCTTGATTCACGTCGTTGGGAAGTGTTATTATTATTATTATTATTATTATTATTATTATTATTATTAGTTGAAGAGTCTTGGTATTGAAGAAGAGCAAGAAGAGTTTCACGCTCTAAACCAATTTCTTTAAGTTCTTCGACAACTTTATTAATACATTTTTTAAGAGCCTTATATTGGATTCCAGATTCTGCCCAATCTTTGGGGATTCCTTCATCCTCTAAGGTTTGCTGATAAACTTTTGCAAATTTCATTATTGCTTTATATATAAAGTGTTAGGGAAGAAAGAAGGGTTGAGAGTAAGTTAAAAAAATGGGCAAGATAATAAAAATAGGAAAGAACATGTAAATAGAAAAAAAAATAGAGATATAGATAAAGTTATAAATGGAAAATGAATTTTATTTAAAAAAATAAAAAAAATAAAAAAAAAAAAGTGGAAATCCGAGAATATTTATATAAAATTTAGAAAAAAAAATATATATATATATTGATTATATATGAGGGGGGAGGGAAAGAGAATAACGGATGGTGAGCGTTTAAAAAAACTAAAAAAAGAAAAGTTTTTTTTTTTATTTTTTTCGAGACAAGAAAATAAAATAAAAAAAAAAATTTCTCCATACATACAAACAAACAAAACAAATAAACAAACCGGGACAGCCCGCCATTTAAAATTTTTTTTTTGTTTGTATACGAAAACAGTTTGATGAACGCCACAACGGTGAGGGGAAAAAAGAATAATAAGAATAATAAGAAGAAGAAGAAGAAAGGGTCACTAACTAAACAGAAAAAAAAAAAATAGAGAGAGAGAGAGAGGAGAAGGACGATTTATTTGGTTGGTTGATTAGTTGGTTAGTTTGCAGTAATTGTTGTAAGCATCAGGCCAGAGTGGAATAAAGAAGAGGAAGCAGCAAATTTATAAGGCAGACAGACAGACAGACAGACAGACAGACAGAGAAACAGACAAGCAATGGTGAGATAACAGAGATTGATGTTAATGATTTTTTTTATATATTAAATTGTATATTTTGATTGAAAAAAAAAGTGGAGAAAAGAATTATAATAATAATAATAATAATAATAATAATGAAAGACTTTAATTGTTATTATTACTATTATATATTATGGTATTAATATTGAAAATAAAAATAAAAAAAAAATTTGAAATTCAAAATTTTATAATAAAAAAAATTATAGTTTATATATATATATCATTTCAATTATATATATTATATTCATGCAATTTTTAAATAATCATTTTTTTTAAAATTTGACTTAAAGATTGTCGATCATCTTCATCTTGACTTGAAGCCAAATTTTTATCTTTTTTTTTTTTTTTTTCTTTCTTTATGTCTATTGATTGATTGACAAAGTTAGTTATATATATATATATAAGTTTATACTTATTTCTTTATTAATTTCTTTATTTATTTCATTAATTGTTTTTTTTTTCTCTTATTAAAACTATTACTTGAAATTATTACTATCAAGTGTAGTTTATTTCTCTTCATCGTCTTCATCTTCTTCTTCAAATTAAGAAAGAGGTCGCGTGCTCATTATCCTAATGTAGGCAAGCGGGGCCAGCAATTAGACAGGCAGACAGGCAGACAGGCAGGCAGCTATTATAAATCCATACATATACATACATACATACATACACGCCACAAAAATAGAAGATGACAGAAAACTTATTTTGTACTTGAAAAAAAAAAAAAAAAAAAAAACGATACTATTCCGGTAAACGGAGCCAAGAGGATGATATATATTTATTATCTATATAATTATATTAAAAAAAAAAAAAAAAATTTAATGACAAGAAAATGATAACGACTACGAAGAAAAAAAAATTATATAAATATTAATTAAATATATATTTTAGGAAAGAGGTCGTGTGATATTAAACAGCTGCTGAATTTCTTGTGGACAATAAATCTTTTAAATAATACTTGTAATACTTGAAACTTTTAAACATTCTCTTATAAATTTAAAATAAATATAAAATAAATATAAAATAAATTTAAAATAAATAACTGAAAAAATAAAAAAGAAGAAGAAGAAGAAGAAGAAGTTTAATCTATCAAATATTATTAAAATGCTCAACAATTATAAAAAAAAAAAAATCCAACAGCAAGCAACCTTACACAAGACAATTTATATATATTTTTCAATGTTACTTTTTATGTAAATATCATCAACATTTTTTTTGGCTTTAACCTTAAATATATATATATATATATAATTACTCGTTTAATTCTTTTCTTGTCTTGGAAATTTTGGATATCTTTGGAAATATATATATATTTTAAAAAAAAAAAAAAAAACAATCGAGGAAAGAAAGCTTTGTATATAAATATATATATACTTTATTTTATTTTTTTTAAAATAGGAGACATTAAAAAAAAACGGTTCTTCCATTGTTTTGGTGAACTGAATTTTTTTTTTTTTTTAGTCTTTCTAAAAGAGGTTTTTGGTGCTGGAAAGATTGAGAAACCTTTCAGTGTCTAATAGCAATCAACAACATAATATAATATAAACAACCCATTTTGATAACACAAGCAAACTTATTACTAATTTATTTTATTACATAATATACACACATACACACACTAAATCAAACTATTATTTCATAATCACATGACTATATACTTTTACTCTAACACATGAACCCTAATTTTAAAGGTAGGGTAATTACCCGGCCTTATAATTAAAAAAATTTTTTTTCTTTACATAATTTTTTTTTTTTTTTTTTCCAGTTGACTATAAATATACAGCAAATTCCCACCCTATACCCTTCTTTTTTTTTTTTTATTTCCTTTCTTCATCACACAAACACTCTTCAAGGTAAGTCTTTAATCCTATAATAACTTCTCTTTCTTTCTCTTTCTCAAAAGATAAAAAAAAAATTACCAGTTTCTCTTTTTATTCAGTTTGCCTTTAAATGATGAGTTTATCATTCTTCTTTCCTTTGTCCTATCGACCATGACGATATGGTGCTAATGAGTGCTTTTGCTGAGCAAAAATCTTTGGATGAGATTCGTCGATTCCATTTTTTTATTGCTTGGCGCTTGAAAAAGCTTTACTTGCCAGTATTTTATTTGCCTGATTTTTAAAAGGTTTTTTTTAAAAACGAATAAAGAGTTTCTTGGTCTTTTGAGAAGTTTCTTAAAAACTATTTTACTAACTTTAAAAAAATAATAGATTTTCGTAGCAAAAATTTCTTGAATAATTTTTTTGCAGTGTATTGTGATCGTTACTACTCTTACTATTAATTTTTTTTAATGGGTACGTTTATATAATCAATATACTTTATATTTTTTTATTTGTTTTACTCCAAGCTTCATTTTTTTTTCCAATCTATTATTTAGATGATGAAAATTCCTATAAACATTCGCAGTTTCCACGGTAGTGCACGTTATGAACCTAATCTAGTGCTTTCGGTGACCGCCAATATCCTTCCTTGGATGTCTGACTTTAAAAAAAGATTGGATTTTTTTTTGATGCTATTGGGGAAAAAATCAAATTTTTATTTTGAGAATCTTTAAACTAACTTTGCAATTTTAGGATTTCCATATAATCTCAATAGAATTTTAATAGAATCTTTTTATTTTTAAATATTTGTATTTTTTTACCTTTAAGGCTTGTAGTTTTATGTCGTTTTTTATTCAGATGTGTTTACATCATTTTGATATTTATAAAAGTTTTGTCAGACGGATTTAAGTAATCTTTTGTGATTTTTGATATAAATCACTTTGAATATATATATATATTTATTTTTATAAATAACTGAAAAAGAAAATTTCTATTTTCCAACTAAATAAAATCAATCATAATGATGATAAAAAATTCTTTAACTCAAAATTCTATTTTTTTTTTTTTTCATCTCAAAAGAGTAAATGCGGCGTTCTTTTTAAAAATCCCAATACTCCATTAATTCATTATCATTAATTAATTTATATTCATTAGAAATACAACTCTTCTTCTAAGCATATCTATTCATTCAAACACTTCAAATAAATGCCTGTCAAAATAAATAATAATAAAAAAATAAAAAAAAAAGGAGAACTTCAATTTTATTCCAAAAAAAAAAGCATGAATCTCGACTTTTCCACTTCCCAGTTCCTAATCTCCATATATATATATATATATCTAGACTATAAAATGATTCCAAATTCTTACTTTTTCATTCTAATGACAAAAATAAAAAAAAAAAACAATAAAAATCCTCCTTCCTCTTCTTTCATCTATTAAAAAATGTCGGCCTATGCAAAAACTTGTCGATACTTCATCAATATTCTTTCCATAATTCTCGTACTTACATACCTTATCTGGACTCCCATCTACATCTTCCACCCAACAACAACAAATGCCATAGCCGCAGTACACGTCCATGTTCCTCCCATGTCTCCTGAAATCTATACTCGTTTCCATAATGCAACATACGCCAGTATAATCATCTACAATAACAAAACTTCACCTCATCTTATCCCAGAATTACACACTTTAAACCTCTCCTCAAACTCAATCCCAGGGTTTGATCTTTACTACAACTTTCGGTTTTTTTCTACTTGTCTTAATACAAACATAAAACCACAACAACGTCCGGAATCTGCTTCAATTATCCAGCTCATCCTCACTGCAGGACTTGATCCACACTCAGCTGAATCTGTCATATCAACTCTCCAACTATCTTACAAATCTTATGACTACTCCCATGATATACTACTCCAATCACTTCATACCGCTCCAGCTGAAGCCCTCCTCATGCCTTTGGTATTATACTTATGTGTTGTCACTGTGTTAGTTGTTCACCAGCTCACGTTCCCATCAACCAGCCAATTTCTTGGCACACAAAATCACAATCACCATCACAATTCAGATACATCTGTCATGGGTTCTCGAGAAATAGGAGTTGAATCACGATCTCATGCATTCCGACGTGTTATACTTGTAGCCCTGGTATGTGCAGCTGCCCTAGCTCCGTTTGTGTATTGGAACTGTATACTAATGTGGCAGCATAGCACACGCGAGGTCATAGCCATCAATGAATTGTTAAGCCCAGAGTGGGGGGTTAAGGCCCGAGTGCTAGGGCTTGGAAATGCACTTCAATATTTTCCTGTGGGGATGGTTGTTGGTACATTTTTGTGTGGAGATGTGATGGTACCGTTAATATTTTGGGTAGAATTTAAAGAAAATTTGGCAAACAAGAAAAGACGGCAAGAGCGAAGACAACGTCAACGACAACGTCAACGAGAAAGACGGAAAGTTGTACAAGAAAGAAAAAAAAAGAAAAAAAAGGAATTGAGTTTATATTCAAGTGATGAAATTGTTTGAATGATTAAAAGAATTTTTTTTTTTTTCAGTCTATTAGTTCCTTCATGTTTCATTGAGAATGGAAGTCTCCATGCGGAGGGTTTTTTAATATTATATTGGTCATGGGGGTTCTTGTATATAAGACGTCATTGCAAACTTTTCCACAATCAAATCATGATTATTTACTTTTTAGCAAAATAGAGTCAATGCAATGAATTTCTTGATGAAGCCATTTAAATTCTAAGGCGATAATTGCTACTGTTGCTGATACTGCTAGTACAATAGAAAAAAAAAAATTAAAAAAACTAATAATAGCTGGATATTGAAAGAATTTTAACAAACCAGTTTGAAATTGTAAATGCCCAGATAGACAGACAAACAGACACTTATATAAACCAACTCGACTAATTAAACCTTGAGACTTAAAACTTAAATAAATCAAGTTACCCGTCTCTAATTGAGGTATTTAATTGGCGCACGGCATGCCAAAAACTTCCCCACCACCAGTTACTTTTTTTTTTTTCACAATTACCGTTTAATATAAACTCTTCTTTTTATTTTTTATTTATTCTTCACAACCCCCCCAAAAAAACAAAACAAAACAAAACGAAAATGCTCTTCTCTGCCCGTCCTGCTGTCTCTTCATCCATTAACGTGTCTAAGAGATTCTTCTCTAGCACCTTTTCCAGAATGATCCCTAACGTCTATTTTGACGTTGCCATCAACAGTATGTCCTATCACTTTAAATTTATTTCATTAATTATTAACCGGATTTCTTTTAGAGCAAAATGCTGGCCGTATCACTTTCAAGCTTTACGAAGATGTCCCCAAGACTTCTGAGAACTTCCGTGCTCTCTGCACTGGTGAGAAGGGCTTTGGTTATGCTGGTTCCGGATTCCACCGTGTTATCCCCAACTTTATGCTTCAGGGTGGTGACTTTACTCGCCACAATGGTACTGGTGGTAAATCCATCTACGGTGAGAAGTTTGCTGATGAGAACTTTATCCACAAGCACAACAAGCCTGGTCTTCTTTCCATGGCCAATGCTGGTCCTAACACCAATGGTTCCCAGTTTTTCATTACTACTGTCAACACTCCTTGGCTCGATGGTCACCACGTTGTTTTCGGCGAGGTTGTTGAGGGTATGGACCTTGTTAAGAAGATTGAGGCCCAAGGTTCTCAGTCTGGTAGAACAAAAGCCCCCATTACCATCACTGCTTCTGGTCAGCTTTAAGTTAGTTGCTTTTTATTTTTTAAATATTGTACATAATAATAATAATAATAATAATAATGATGAATTTAAATAAGGATCTAAAAAAAAATAAAAATAAAAATAAAAATCAAATTCAAAGTATTATTGCTCCGGAATCGCTTATGGCAACCCGAATCTGCTTTGCTTAAAGAAGGGTCAATCATGTGATGATGACGGGGGAAAATTTTCAGCAGTGTGGCACAGGGGATGAGCAAGCCATGCTGATTTTATTTGAGTGTCATCAATATCTTCAATATCTATCTATTATAATATAAATCAGTCAAACTGTCAATCGACAAGTATATCATCATCATCATCAAATATATTATATATGTAGAAACTCATTGATTTATTTATCATAGTAAATAAGGAAAAAAAATAGAATAAAGCAAAACAAATTGAGAATATCAACACATGTATTGTAATAATCGAGGGCGAAATTACTCAAAACTTTTTTAAACTTTTCAATTGTTAATGCCTTAACCGTATTTCCATTTTTAACAAGTTGAATAACTTGAATTGATTCAATGATAAACTCAAATTTATTATTAAAGTTAAAGTCCTTTTTTAAAACTTTGACACTTAACGAAAGATTCATATATATAACGCTCTCGATAATAAACTACAATTCTTAATATACAAGAGAAACCCACTCCCCAAAGTTCATAAAACAAATTTTTTTTTTCTTTTTCTTTTTTTTTTTTTTCATCATTCAATAATTACAAAAAAAAAAATTAAACGTGTTTAAACAGTGCCGGAAGAAGCAATGGTGATGGTAGCCTTGGTTTTACCAGACTGAGAACCCAGGGACTCAATCTTCTTAACAAGGTCCATACCCTCAACAACCTCGCCGAAAACAACGTGGTGACCATCGAGCCAAGGAGTGTTGACAGTAGTAATGAAAAACTGGGAACCATTGGTGTTAGGACCAGCATTGGCCATGGAAAGAAGACCAGGCTTGTTGTGTCTAAGCTGGAAGTTCTCATCAGCAAACTTCTCACCGTAGATGGACTTACCACCGGTACCATTGTGGCGGGTAAAGTCACCACCCTGAAGCATAAAGTTGGGGATAACACGGTGGAATCCGGAACCGGCGTAACCAAAACCGTTCTGGCCAGTGCAGAGCTCACGGAAGTTGCGAGCAGTCTTGGGGACAATGTTGTCGTAGAGCTTGAAGACAATGCGGCCGGCAGGGGCATCTATTAAAAAGAGAGTTAGTAAAGTTATATTCATTTTACAAGGATTTTTTTTTTTTTTTTTGAATTGAAGCAGATTTTTAAACGTACTGTTGATAGCGATATCAAAGAAAACGTTAGCCATTTTTGAAGATTATTGAAGGTAAGATTGTTTTTTTTTTTTGAATAAAAAGAATAAAAAGTTAAAGAGAGAGAAAAAAAAAAAAAAGAAGAAGAAGAAGAAGGGAAAGAAGAAGAAAAGTTTAAAGAAAGGCTTTTGAACGGCTTTATATAAGAGATAGAAAAAAAAAAAAATTTAGGCTTAGCCAGTCATCAATGAATGTGCTAGAACAAAAAAAAAAAAAAAAAAGTTCAAAGAAGGGCTTTTGGATGGTGACAATTTTTTTTTTTTAATTAATTATTTATATATACATAGAATATTAACAAGTTTCAAGTCAATTAAATATATATAGTTTTTTTTTTAAAAAAAAAAAAAATTTTAAACCAAAATATTCTTGAGTATTATATATATATATTTATATTAATATATTCATCATTATATCTCAATTCAAAATTTAAGATAAAAATGATAAATAAATAAATAAATAAAAAAATTCATATTTTGGCAATCAATTTTCCTACAAGCCACTTAAAGCTGTGGCTTTGAAGTTCTTCTTCTTCTTATTATATTTTGCCACCTATGCAGTAAAGATTTTAGTAATTTTTTTTTTAATTTTGAGAGAGAGAGAGAGAGTGTGTGTGTGTGTGTATATGCAATATATACTTTAATGGAAAATTTTTTTTTTCTAATATTAATTCAACTGACAAATATTCTTTTTTATATGATTTTATATGATTCTTAAAATCTGAAGAAGAAAAAAAAAATCCAACCTTTTTCTGTTACTTTTATATATATATATATATATATATATACTATAGTAACCTTTGTAAACTTCAAAAACCTCTTTAGGAGTAAAGGTTTTATGACGTAAGTAAACAATCCATGATATAGATGATTAATAGAAAGAAAGAAAAATCAAAAATTCTACAAGATTTTTTTAAATTAAAAAAAAATTTCCAATCTTCTTTGACTTTTCTTATATATATATATAGTTTCTTTCTTTTAAACAAGAATTCAATAAAAATTTTTTTCTTCTTTTTTCTTTTCTTTGATAATATATAAGGAAGCTTAAATTGTATCAAAGCCCGTCTAAACTATACTATTGCTCAAGTAAACAAGGCCTTTTTCTTTTTTTTTTTTTTTTTTTTTTTTGATGACCAGCAAGAAACAAGCAGCAAGGGTCGACTTTAATGTTTTGATGATGATTATTTATTGTAATACTACAAATGTATACCTATCGAAAATTTATTCATTATATCATCTATAAATATATATATATATATATATAAATTTATTAAGGGTATCAACTTTCAATTAACAAAAAAATAGTTCAATCAACCATTGATTCTTTTTTTCTTTTTTTTTACCCCAGTTCTATTGTAAAAGGGTTTCTTTAAAACGTTGTCTTTTCCCCTTTCCCTTAAGTTGTCCTTCTTCTTTGCTACTGTCCTCTACAATAGACACATTTCCAAAGCTTCTTTTCCTTTTATGATGTTTCTTTTTCAACAAACAAGTCATTTGTCCAGTATTATCACAAACATCATAGACAACATTTTTACTGGCTTCTTTCTGTTTCAAGAAACCGTTCTGTTTTTCTTCGTCCAATTGATTGGAAAAATACAAATCATTAAAGTTTGAAGTTACAAATGATGTAGATTCTCTTTGGAAATGATTGCTGATATCTTCACCAAAAGTTTCATCTTCTTCTCCACTTCCATACAACGTTTCTGAGTAATCAGTTAAACTCATTAAATCATTAGACTCTTTTAAAAGCTCCTATTCATTTGAATGTTAGAATTTATAAAATGATAGCACATACACACACAAAAAAAAATGATTTACTGAATCATAAACTTTGTCCAATAATTTATCATTTGTCAAATAATAAAAAGGTTGGTGAAGATTGACCTGATGATGAGATTCTCTTAATTTGATATACTCCTCTCCATTGACAACCGATTGAAAAATAACACTTGCTAACTCTAACTGTTGAATCAAAACTGACAAACTATCACTTGTAAACACACTCAACAAGCCTATCCTAATCTGATGTAAACTTTCACAGAGTTTCAAAACATAGGAGTAGTTCGATCCAAGAGCATACTGCGGCAAAACCTCTAGAACCTGAAGCATAGAATCAACCCGACATTTAAGATTTCCAATATCATATTCTTGAGTTTTTGAGTTATTCCAAGCATAAAACATGATCTAATTATATTGTTAGAATGAAAATTTCAACTACCTGATAGCATAACAAATAAAAAAAAAAAGGAAATAGACAAGTTGTAAAAAATCAAAACGGAAGAAAGCTCAAAGTTCGTTCCACTTTTTTTTTTTTTGGAATATGCTGATATTCATTATGACTAGACAAACAAAAATAAACTATTCAAAAGCCTGTTATTTTAATACGGTTTTTGAAACTATTGAAGTAAAAGGGCTGTTTTAGAAGATGTGTGATGATAGTCCAAGTAGTTAAAAAAAAAAGTGTAAACTTTTCTGTGTTTAAATATATTCATGTGTAAATTATAAACCGGATAATGCACACACCACTTTATCAACATTGACGCCGGGTAATTGTATTTTTTCAATGATTTTCTCTACAAAATTGATCATTTTTCCTATCTAACCATCATTTTCTCTTTGCTAGTTAGTACTTTAAAGATTCATATTTTCAGAAAATTAAAATATGTTTTATCAAAATTTTGAATTAAACTAGTTGATTGAAATTACCTCTATTAATTAACCTACCATATTTTAAACTTTTACTTTTTCTAAAGTAAATTCCAGAAAAAGATGTCAAATGCGGCTTAAACATCTAAAGTCGCAAATATAATCAGCATGCCAATGCAATATTCAAACTTGAACAATGATTCTTTTCTACCATCATGTTGAAATACTAATTTTTCCTAATCAAAAAAATGATAATAGTTTTTTTTTCTCTTAATTATTGATCTAATATTTCAAAAGCTTTTTGAAATATAAAAATGGACGGATTTCTTCTATCTACTACAACATCTTTACTCTAAAATCCATCATCATCTTTTCAAATTTCTCGTTAACGCAAAAAAAAAAAAGAGAAAATGGCTTTGGTTAAATACAGTGTCAAGTGTAATAAAAACAAAATTGATAATCGAACTATTGTAGCTATAGGATGGATTTCTTCTCTTATTGCTTTGGGTCTTGTCATTATTATCCTTGTTGGTCTTGTTTCCAAAAATGGTCTTTACCAACTCTATTTTATTGACATTGACTACTCATCTGTTACTCCAACTGACGTTATCAATGCTATTATCGCTTCTCCTACTACCACATCAACAGCTGCATATTCAACGTCTACTACTGCAACAACGACTGTAGATACTTCCTCAGTTTCTACCATTCTTCAAACTTACATGGCTACTACGTTTTCTTATCCTAATTTGCGCTCTCATCTTTGGACTTTTTGCTATGGAGTATCTGATTCATCAGCTGCAACTACCACCCTTTATTCCACTTACTCTTCTTCAGATACTTCTCTGACAACCAAGGGAATGACATGGTGTTCAACTCCATCTATCAAGTATGCTCTTACTGGCCCTAATCTTATTGCCGATCTCTTAAAATATGCTGGTGCTTCAGATGATTATGCAACTCTTGTAACTAGTGCTTATAACCAAAGTCCTGCTGTTGAGGGTGTCCGCAAGTACGGTATTATGATACAAGCAACAACAACAGCTTCTCTTATCTGCTATCTTGTTGGAGCTATTGCTCTATTTAGTGCTTTTGGGTTTTCCCTTACTGCTTTCCGAAATATCAAATACGACAAAGCAGCTTTTTGGCTTGGTGTTGGAGCTGCATGTCTTATTACCATTGCAACCTTTCTTATTACGATTACCTCATCCATCTACATTAAGGCTATTAATGATACTTTTGGTTCCACTGTCAACACAACATTAGGCAAAGCTTTAGGAGTAAAAGCCAAATCAACTGTAATAGCTATGGTGGTGGTTTGGATAGCAACTGTTTTCAGTATAACTTTTGCTGGAGCTTGGTATTACATGTGCTTCTTTTTTGACAATATGCGTGGTTGAAGAATTTGAAGATTTAAAATTCTTGTTCAAGTGGGGTTACTCATGTAATAGTTTCTAATAGTCTTAATATAGCTTTTTAAATATAATTCATCTATATATTTTGCTTCATTTATAAAATTTATTTTAGTGAATAATCTTTTAAATTTTTATTACTTAAATAGTCGGCTTTTTTTTTTTTTTTTTTTTTTTGAAACACAGTATGATTCAAGGCTACGAGAAATTTTTATTAAAGATTTTTCCAATACTCCAAAAATTATCACAGTTTATTTAAAAAAGGGTCCTTAAAATTTCAATCTTGTTGAATATATCATCAGTATGCATTTAAATTGCTCGTCTACTTCAAATAAAGATTCAGCTGTGAAACTAAATGAAGAAAAAAATAATGTACTTTTTAACAAACACAGAGAGGTTCACTACAGATATAAAAAGAACTGACTTCCCAGTTTATTTTATTTTAATTTTTTTCTTTTAAAAAAAATCCCTTTGGTCATTCATTTTTTATAATAATCAATTAGCTCTTTTTCTTTTACCACCATTCTTCAGTCATCATGTTTCAAAGTCGAGTCAATTTTTCCGCGGAAACAACAAAAATTGCCTTAGGAGATTTTCCATCTGATGGCGGCCGAACAAACACAAAAATAATAGTATATACTCAAGTCATGCTTGTGATTTGTTCCTTTGTAATGACTCCTGTATTGTTTTTCGCCAATTTCTTAGATCCAAGCTTGAGTACTTTACGCGTTGACTTCCCGCAGTTAAACGCTACCTCTCTTTCAAATATTTTCACAACCGACGACAACAATCTTAACCAGCAACTTAGTTCTCTTTTCGGATCACTCACTGACTACGAACTTCAACAATATAGTGGTGAACGCCTTTACTCATATCTATTCTGTATGGCTCAGGTTGACGTGAATAGAGATGAAATTCTTTATGGCTGCACACCTTCATACGGCTTCAAGGTTGGTTACTTTATTGAACGTCTCGTACCTGAAAACTTCAAGGAGCCAATGCTTGCAGCTTATCAATCCATTTCTACCTTTAATTCCATTCGCTCTTATGGAAATCTACACATGGTTATGCTTTGGCTTGTCAAATTGTGTTTCGGTATCCCTATGTTTCTATCTGTTTACATCCTCTTTCATCAATCATTTTACATTTTCGATAGTAAAAAAGAGGATCGAAAGATATACAAGTATATCATTGCCAATGCAGCTTTTTTAGGAATTGGGTGTATTACTCTTTTCCTTACGGATATAACCATATTGGGTATTATCAACAAGAACTTCACGGACTGGGGATTTTATGCAAGCCTTACCGCTTGGGGGAATCTTATTGTTTGGGGTACTTTTGTTATTGCTTTTCTTGAATTATGGGCCCAGTATAAGATTGTTTATGGGTTTGAAATATATCGAGCTGCTGTAAAGTTCATACGGCAAAAAGGTAAAAATGGTGATTACAATGGTATGGGATATGTTTATATTAATCCAAATGATCTTGAGATTCCAGATGAATTCCTTTCTGAATTGCAAACCAAGAGGGAAGAACAACAAAGGATTAAAAGAGCAAAAAAAGAGGAGAAAAAAGCAGAGGCTTATGCTAGAAGGGAAGAACAGCTTAAAGTATCGATTCAACTTAAGGCCGAAAGGGAAGCTGAAAGACAAGCCATTAAGGAGAGGCAAGAAGAAGAACGACAAATGAAGCTTGAAGAAGAAGGGCGTTTAAAGATTATTGCTTTGGAAAAAAAGAAAGAAAAGAAAGCTGAAAGGGTTTGCATGCGTGAGCTTGCTCAGGCTGAAAAGGAAGCTGAACGGATTCGTTTGCGTGAACTTGCTCAAGCTGCCAAACAAGCTCAAGAAGAGGAACGAATGCAACGTCAACAAGAGTGGATTTTTGCCAAAGAAAGGGCGCGTGCCGAAGCAGTAATGAAAGCAGAAGCAAAAGCCATGGCTCGTGCTGAAAAGAACAAGCCTGTTAGTACTCAGGATGATATGGATAACAACAGCTCTAGCTTCGGTGATATTGATGAGATTCAAGAATATAGAGAATCTGTGGCATATCCACAGTCTGCCCGAACAAAGTTTACTGGATACCCACAGTCATACGAACCCTCCCGTAGAGCGCGTTAAGCGATTTTTTTGCTTTTAAATAATTGGGATGCTTAGTTAGGTTGAAAAAAATACAAGGTTTGAAAAATCTCAAGCCACAATATAATCATGAAATTTCATAATGTTTAATCCATTCAATTTCAAGAGCAAATCTTAAGAACGTAGGCTTTTTTTTTTTTTTTTTAAAAAATCAACTATGAGTGTTTTGTTTGCAACTCTAATGATTCTGGAATAATTAGATGAAACAATGAACCAGAAGAAAAAAAACTACTTTGAGAAATTAACTCCGGAGTTAAATCAAGATATGGGATCCCATATCTTGATTTTCATGTTACACTTTAGTTACACAATCAATTATTTCTACCAACCCGTTTATACCCAATTTCATAATTAAAGCTTGATAATCACTTTCCCATAAAGATTAACAAAAAAAAACAAGATGGTTAAATTTGAAGGATTTACATTTTTGTTAAACTCCGTGCTAAGAATGATAAAATATTAATTAAAGAAACTATATTTCCAACATTTTCAGATATATTTATGATACCCTAGACTAAGTTTTGTCTTGAACTATTGTCGTTTAATGGAGGCTCAAATTAATCCATTTTTTTTTCTTGAAACATTCCTTGATTGAAAAGTATGAGTAACTTCTAGCTAAATCACCAATATTTTAAGAAAGCTATCATGAATATTTTTTTTTTTTTTTCTTTAAAAAGACTACTTAAAATTTTAATCATGTCCAATATCTCATTTGCATGCATACTGATAATCTATTGCAAATAAAATTCTCAACGCTATGACAATGAAACAAATGCAAGAAACGGAAAAACTATGGGCTTTTTAATGAACACTGAGGTTTAGCTTAAATATATAAAAAAGGACCCATTCTCTGATAAGTTTTTCTAGTTTTTGTTTATATGAAATTCTAAACCAGATCTCCATTTTTTTTTCTCACCATTCTTCAATTATCATGCTTCAAGGACATCGAATTTACAACACCAATACAAGAACAAAAGTCTATATGAGCAACTTTCCGTCTGATGGTGGATATATGGATTCACTTTTGCTCATGTATATCCATGCTACGATTTCTGGTGCTTTGATTTTTTTAACAGCAGTAGCATTTTTTGGAATTTTTTTTGGCTCAAGTTTTGGAACCCTTCGTGTCGACTTCCCAGAGTTAAACGCTACTTCTCTTTCAAATATTTTTAAAACAGACGACAACGACCTTAACCAGCAACTCAGCTCTCTTTTTGGATCACTCACTACCTATTTACTTCAACCATATAGTGGTCAACGCATTTACTCCCATTTATTCTGCTTTGCTCAAGTTGACGTGGATAGAGATGACATTTCCTATGGCTGTGCTCCTTTATACGGGTTCAAGGTTGGCTACTTTATTGAACGACTTGTACCTTATAACTTCAAGGAGCCCATGCTTACTGCTTATCATTCTATCTCTCTATTCAATTCTATTCGCCAGTATGGGAATTTTCACATGATCCTTCTCTGGGTCGTCAAGTTTTGTTTGGGTATCCCCATGTTCATCAACGTATACTTGTTCTTTTACGGGGCATATTTTACTTTCGAGGATGAAAAGTCGGATCGTAAGGCATACAAGTATATTATTATAAATGCCATTCTTTTTGGTACTGGTAGTTTCATCCTTCTTCTTTCTGATCTCACCATTATGCTTATCGTCAATAAATATTTCACAGACTTGGGATTTCATGCCAGCCTTTCATTAAATGGAAACCTTTTAATCTGGATGACTTTCTTGATTTCTTTACTTCAGATATATGTGCAATACAAAGTTCTCTATGGTTTCGACAGATTGCGAGCTGCTATGGAAATTGAACGACAAAAAGCTAGAAATGGGGAATATAATGACAGACAATGGATTGTGATAAATGGACTTTCCTATAAATTTCCTCCTAGATACATTTCTGAATTTCGAGCTAGAAGGAAAGAAGAAAGAAATGCTGAAAAAATAAACAAGTCAGAGAAAAAGGCCGAGGCTCAAGCTAGAAAGGAGGAACAACGCGAAGCAGCTAAGCGACTTAAAGCTGAAAGAGAAGCCGAAAAACAAGCAACCAAGGAGCGACAGGACGAAGAGCGAAAGATGAGGCTTGAAGAGGAGGGGAGATTAAAGGCCGTCACTTTAGAACAAAAACAGGAAAGGGAAAGAGAATTGATTCGTTTGCGTGAGTTTGCTCAGGCTGAAAAGGAGGCCGAGAGGATCCGCATGCGTGAACTTGCTGAGGCCTCAAAGCAAGCTAAGGAAGAAGAACGGAAGAAACGAGAACGGGAGCGAGCCTTTGCTAAAGGACAAGCCCATGCAGAAGCAGCAATGATAGCAGAAGCAAAGGCCATTGCGCGTGCTGAAAGGAATAAGCCTGCTTATACTCAGGATGACATAGATAACGACACTTCGAGCTTCTATGCTGTGAATGAGATTCGCAGATACCAAGAGTCTGTAGCATACCCTAAATCTGCCAGAACTAAGTCGACAGGATACCCACAGTCATATGAGCCTTCTCGTAGAGCTCGATAAACTATCCTGTTAGATAGCTTTATTTTTATTTTTATTTTTTCTGAAAATGTATGCTTTTTTAGGTTTTAAAATAAATCATAAAATGAAATACTTAAAAAAATATAGTGACAAGCATTTTATCAATGCCAATAATTGTAAACCATTATTAACAAAAACTAATCTTGATAATTTAAAAATTAAAGGATATTAATAGGAAATTTTAAGAGGCTCTGTGTGATAAGGGGTTTCCAGGTGTGTGAGTGTTTAGTAATAAAATGGTGGAAAAGAGAAATTCAGATGCTTTACCTACCACCACTTTAAGTGGAATTAAATTCCTGGAACCTGAAATGCTGTTTTTTTTTTTAAAAGAACCAAGAAATTATAAACCATTGGATATATCAAAAATAAAAAAGGATTTTCTTACTCGAAAATATTGAAGTCTAAGTTTATATGAGTACGTTTACCACTTTATCCCATCAAAAAACCAGAATTCCTTTTCTTTTTGATTTGCTTATGCTTATCCTGCCACCAAAGCTAACTTTTTTTTTTTCTAAGGAACTTATCAAACGATTGATTAAAAGATTTTTAATACCGACTGAAAGATCAAATATTTTAGTTCTCAATAAAAAAAACAAGTGAATATTTAGATCTCCTTATTTATCAACATGTTAAAATTCACTTTTTGTAACTGTTTTGGTTTTTACTGGTATTGAAACACACAGCGCCTTAACGAAATGAAGCCCCAATACAATGTCAAAAACAAAAAAGCTGTCTACACAAGACCTTGTTCAAAATTTCATCATGGCATTAGTTATCCTAGAAGGCTCTCAATATAAAATTGGGAAGTTTTCTTGAAGTTTTTGAAATAAAAAAACTAATCTCGACTAAAATCCCCGTCATACTCAGATAAAACTTATAGTACTAGATGGCCCATTTTTTCAGTATGCATCGTTTGACCGCCAAAAAATCTACTCCTAAAGGCTCTAAGCTTCACCTTCTTCTTTTCCCACATGATTCAGACAATGGAAAGTGCCGATCTGATGATGTTTGTTTAATTTCTTGTCTTTCACTTTTCCCCGTCGCAATTTTCCTCCCGATTTACATTGTTGGCTATATTTTGTCGTACAATTTTGGTACTTTAGGTGTCTTAATTCCCAACCTTACATCGTTTCAATGGGCAGAAATCTTTGCTGGACCGAATGGAGTCATCACTGAGAAATTAACCAATGCAACTCAAGGCTTGATTGATGTAAGAATGGGGGTTAATGACACCTACTATTTGACCTCCCATTTGTTTCATGCATCTATTGACCCTAACGAGTACGTTTCTACCTCTGCCGTTTATGGATTTGGAATTCCATTTTTTCTTCAGAACTTTGTTGGGGAAGATAGTGCTAAAATTCTGATTGAGGCATACAGATATTCTCCAGTACTTGCATCTTTGCGAGCCTACGAACCTATTGCTGTAGGTTTTTGCGCTACAATAAAAACTTTTTACATTTTGGCAGCTATACTCTTTCTGCATCAAACGTACTACTCAGTTTATTTCCCATTTTCTTCCGCAAACTGGGACCGCCGTTCGCTCATCATCTCAGTTATTTGCAGTGGATGCCTTTTCCTTGGTAACTCGTTTTCTATTGGCATGGATGTACAATTGTCGGTGCTCATCAACAGAAGTCTAGGTGCTTGGGAAGTTAATGCCACCCCGCTTCTACAATACATAATGATTCCATGGATCATGCTTTTTCTTTCTCTCAGCCATACATATCACATGTATTTAATTGTTTTCAAGTTCAACAATTTTCGAACTCGTATCGTTGACTTTAGAGAACGTATCGGAGCTGGTGAGTTCAACCACCTAAATGTTATCAGCGTTTATCCCCAAGGTGATGAACGATTTTTGAATGCCACAGAACGATCAAGAACACCACCTCCTGTTTATTCCCCTACACTTGAAGAAGGTGCCCTCCAAGTTACTTTACCTGAGCACATATCTTCTCAGTGCTTTCATACACCAGTTTCAAGCCTACCTGTTACTCACACAGAGGAATTGCCACCTTCATATTCTTGCCACTCATCCCATCAAATTATATAAACCTCTTTTACACCTAGTTGAACAACCTATTTCATTAATTATATTAGATTGATATTTTAAGTATTGTGAAACATTGAACAAGGATAACTAAATAAAAAAATAGGTAATAATACATGTCGTTAAGTCATAAGCGAAAGAAAGCACATTTTTTTTTGTAAACATTAAGCACAAGAAGCAATAGAGCTGGCAACAAGAGAATCTCTTCTTCTGCCTTCTCTTTCCAAAGGAGGAACATCTCCTGTCGAAGTTTCGACAGGCATAGCACTGACAAGACCTTTGCTCTCAGCAAAGCCACTGGATCTAGTGACTGAAGGATCAGGCTGATGGTATTCGTCGAGAATGGGGTGTATTAAAACTGTTTGTCCTTTGATCGTGAGGATTGTGTTAGTGGGAATAGTAATCCAATCGTTGCGCTCAAATGTGAGAGGTTCGGAAGCGACCATAATAATATTCTGACCCTTGTCACGACGTTCCATGCGATACTGGCCAGGACTGTACTCAAAGAAACGTGTACCAGACGAGAAATGAAGCGAAGCAGCTTCTTCAGTTTTACTAGTAACATAACGTGAAACAACAACACTGTCGCCGTCCGTGATGGCAATGTTAAGTAAACTTGGTTCGTTTGGTGGGACATTAGCTTCTTTTGTCCAATCCTTAATGTATTCAATAGCATTAAGGAGAGCCTGGCGAAGCATTTTAGGATCAAACTTTCCATTTTTGGCTGATGGATCAGCACCTAAAGTCTCAAGGCAGTCAAGGAAAAGAGAAAAAACCCATTCAGAGTCAGTGCCACCTTGGACAATTAAAAAGTACTTTTCGCGAACGTGATCGGCAAGACGCTTCTTAATTCTTTCAAAGCATGAGACGTTACCATTATGCATAAACATGAGAGTATGGTAAACGAATGGATGGCAGTTTGACTCGGAAAGAATGCCTGCAGTAGATGCGCGGACGTGAGCAAAAATTAAATCAGACTTGGTCTTGTCTGCTAAGCGCTCAAGGTTCACATTGTTCCATGCAGGAGTAATGGCGCAGTAAACACATGGACCTCCGTCACTAAGCTCAGGATCGTTGCGGTTGTTAGGATAATATCCGACTCCAAAGCCATCACCATTAATGGGTCTGCGCGTATCCAGTCGAAGTCGAGAGTCATACGACTGGTTTATAATAGAATGGGCTGGCCGTGTTAAAAGGTGAGCCAATAGAATAGGATCAGTGCCTAAAATGTTAGCATAAATTAGCAAATTGAGATAAATTATTTATATTTACCTTTGAAAATAAGAAATCTGCACATTTTTTTGGTGTTTTTTTTTTAAAAAAATACAATAAAATCTTAATGTTCAAAAAAAAAAAAAAAAAAAAAACAAAATCTTTGAAAATCCTTTATTGCTAAGGATTTGAAAGTGGTTTTAAAGGATATTTATATCATGTGATTTTGCATCATTTTATTAAACAAAATTCAAACCCCAGATTTTTGCGATTTTCCGCATACGCCCCTGTAACATTAGATGTAACAAAGAATATTTACTCCTTCATATAGAAGAACGCGTTGCCTCCCACTCCATTATCCAAGATCCAAATTAAAAAAAAAAAGAAGAAAAAAAGAAATCACCAAAATGTCCTTCCTTATAAGACATCAAGTAAAGAATAACAAATAAATATTTAATATATTACAATGTTTCTAATTGATCTATTGGAAAAGTAACTTGATATCATCCATACGTTGTGCCTTACGCTCCTCTTCAGTCATGCCAATGGAACTCGCCAATGCAATTTTGCGCTGTTGAATTCGCAAAATCTTTTCTTCTACTGAATTCTCAGCAATAACTCGATACACATTGACTGTATGCTCTTGTCCCATGCGGTGAATACGATCTATAGCTTGAGCTTCAACAGCATAACTCCACCATGGGTCCATAAGAAACACTTGCTGTGCACACACCAAATTCAAACCCACACCACCAGCTTTAAGCGAAATCAGAAGAATATCATATTGAACGTTTGTATCATTAGATTCGCCCTTAAATCTTGATAAAACTCGTGCTCTTTCAGCTTGTGAAAGAGAGCCATCAAATCGAAGACTCACAAATCCTTCAGCTGCTAAAGCGCGCTCAATAATGTCCAGGTACTCAGTAAATTGAGAAAAAATCACAGTTTTAATAATGTTGGCATTTTTGGAACTCTTTTTCCCACTTTTAGCTGATGAAATAATTCCATGCTCGCAAATTTCATTTTGATTTTGTCTTCTGGTTTCTCGCAACTTGCTCAGTAAAAACTGTATTTTTGCCGACTGGCCATGTGGATTATATGGCTGCAGTCGAATTTTGGGCTTGATTCCATCTTCAACCACCGTATTTTTAGAAAGCCCAGAAGTAATTGGAATTTCTCTTTGAACAGTAAATAGATTTTCTTCTGAAATTGGTGCGCAGCATATAGGGCACTGCGGGTTTCCATGAAGTTTTTTTGATAACTATAGTTTTTTTTTTGGGTCAGTATAAAAAAAAAAAAAAAAAAAAAACTTACCTCAATGTGTTTCAAAAGACAGTCCATACAAGAAATGTGGAAACATTCAGTAACAGCCATGTCATCTTGAAGAATATTTTCAGTCAAACAAATTGGACATTCGATAGGATCTCCTTGCTGTAAAGCACTCAGAACTTCATACTCAAATTTCTCTTCTGTTTCTGAAGAGCTGATAGCACCCTGATCATTTGTCTGTTTAGTCTTATTGAAATCAGCCACAAGCTCTTCAATCTTATTAATGCTCATGATATTTTCCGGGAACTTTTGTTGAGCAAGCAGAGCTTCAGTTACCATCGAGGGATGACAACAGGCTTGACGCAAGCGTAAAATCTGAGCAAGGATGGTGGTATAACTCTTCATAACAGTTCCATTATTAACATTTTTGTCAAACGCGGACTTAGCTGAGGCAAAAATAAGGTCGTATATGCTTCGCTCTTCGTGGGTTAATTTAACTGTAACAATATGAACCTCCTTGGAAGGTAGTTCAACCAAAGGTTTGCCATCTGAACCCTTCATTAGCTTTGTACGTCTTAGAAGAATTGGTTCCATAACGCTTTGCACCACTGTCAATGCACGTTCCAAATCTTTATTCATGAAAGGGACAGTAATGAAAGTTTTCCAGAACGAAAAGTTGTTCCAAGGCTCAGCACCCAAAAACTTAATCAGACTAAACAAATCCTCTAATCTGTTAACAATGGGAGTACCTGTCAAAACCCATCTTCTTTGACTCCGAATGTCATAACATGCCTTGGCTGTTTTTGTTGTGCGATTCTTGATTACGTGACCTTCGTCCAAAACAACACGATAAAATTCAACACCATAAAGACCAAATAGCCCAAGATCCGCATCGTCCTCCCAGTCTTCTGTCCCTATATCGTCCCAAATATGGCCTTGATCATCCCCAGCCTCATGTAGGGTTTTCTTAGTAGAGCTTCCGTCAAGAGTCCTTCCAGAAGCCTTTAGGTTTAGTTGGCGCTTTCGGTATCGTACCAGAGTTGTATGTTCCGAAGCAAGTGTTCCATAACTAGTAACAATGACATTTGGTGCTTCTTTTTCTGCATTTGGGCCACAAAGAAGAGACCGCAGATTAATAGAAGTTGCTGCGCTTCCGTAGTAAACAAGAACACGGGTTGTTCCATTTTTTGAAGATGCTAAAGCTTCGCTTTCCCACTGAGACAACAATGACATTGGTGCAACAATCAATGTTGTATACTTGGCGAAATCACCACGTTTATCACGTTTTTCACGAAGAACTTGGGAACTGGGCAAGTTTTCGTCATACTCTGTTTCTTCAGAATACTTGTTGGTGTGAATAACAGCCATGGTAGAAATTGTCTTTCCAAGACCCATCTCGTCTGCAAGAATTCCGCCTTGAACCATTTTTTTTTGCCGTGGAAACTTGAGAGATAAATCTCCAGCATAGAGATTAACGTAAAAAGTAGGCGGACCTAATGGTTTAGACCCAGCTTCTAAAGAAAGATTAGGATTATCAGGCCAGCTAAACTCTTGCCATAAAGGGTTCATGGGTTCAATTATTGCCCCATCTGCATCTCGCTCCGCGCTGTCACCATGATATTGTTCAGGAGACTCACGACGTAACATCCAGTTTAAACCACGCTTTTGATATGGTCGTAATTTCATGGCAAATGTGTCACCTGGGTCCACTTCTTCTAGCATTCTGTCTTGGGCTTCCGAAGTTCGTCTATAAACTGTATCCAATTGCGCTTGATCAAAGTTAGGCTCTTCTGTGCCTTCCATGTTAGTTTGCTTGTCGATATCTACATCTTCAAGTGCTCTTTGCTTTCCAGCAACAGGTGTAATAACAGCCATCTCAGATGCTTTTTCAAGCTGAGCAAAAAGGTCCTCGTTCGACAACTGGATTGGATTTGCACTAGTGTTTTCTTGTTTAGACCGATGAAGTGGCTTCAAGGAAATTTTGTTGAAAATAGAAACGAGTGCTTTTTGGCGGGTCTTTAAAATGGATTCATCGAGAGATTCTCGAGAGTTATTAAAAAAAGCCTTGTTATTTGGTATCGGTTGTGCCATGCGTTTCCTTGGTGACAACTGGGAAACGGAAAAACCGTTTCCTCCAATTAGTTTTAAAGTAGAGTCAGATTGAGTGAGAAATTGGTTAATTTGCTGCTGGGGATCAGACGGATCATTAATACCGGTAATTTCATGCGAATGAATAATATCTGTTCCACTAAAAGCATGCCGTAGTAAATAGCAGTCAAGTTGAATGAAAAATTGGTCGCCAATTCGGAGTTTAGAATCAGCAAAAATACAAGTTGCTTTAAAGGTACATGTTCCGGTATCTATCAAGATAGAAATAATGCGAGCAAGATCGCCGCTAAACCTGCCAACTTCAAGGCCTTTAGAGTTGGAAATGCGCACAAAAGAACTTGACTTGTTTGCAGAAAAAGAAGAAGAGGCAGAAATAACATTCAGCTTTTCTTGGTATTGAATCAAATTTTTACCGCTTCTTGTAACAAGAATGTCGGCTTGAAGACTGCCAATATATCGTTCTGTCCATGTATAGTCTAAATCGGGAGAGAAGTACTGAGAGGAATGATTTTTGGTGGCGAAAACAGGGCCTTCTGGTGTTTGTAAACGACTTTTAGTTTGATTGTGAAAATTGCTGGATTTACCCACAAGAGGTGTCGACTTAGCTAAAGGTTCTTGAGAAAGTGCTGGGAGTAAATTATCCTCCAGAGTATTCTGAGAAGCTGTACCGAGCTCTTCATTTAAAGAGTTGTTCTGAGATGCTGTGATAGGTTCGTCTTCAGAACTTCTAACCGACAGAGAAGAAGAACAATTTGGTTTTACATTTACTTGTGTTGGTGCTTGTTCTGGTGCTTGTGCTTGTACCGGTGCAGTTGACATAGATTGTTCATCAAAAAGAATATTCACAGCACGATTAACGTTGCCACTAGATCTATCTCGAAGTTCCAAAACTTTTTGGGTAGACAAGGGGCCAACAATAGCTTCGAGTTCATTCCGAAATGCAGGATCTGTTGTGATTGCCTTTATCTGAGCCTGGGTATTGTTAAGGTCTGTTGATGGCGGCTGCGAAGTTGGTGGTATATTTTCAATGGTATCTGAGTGATTGGCAGATTTAAGACTCTCGAGATTGCTTGATTGATTATTGGTTTTATCCTCAGAGCTTGGATACCGGTGGAAAAACTTAACACGCTTGGCTGTTGGAATATTTGGAATATCTAAGCTTGAAAAGCTTTCTAGACTTTCACTGTCTAGAAGATGTTGGAAACTATCATTTCTATCTGTTGTCATTGTTTGTCTAAAATAGTAAGTATAAAAAAAAACGAAAAAAATGAAAAATATTAATAAAAAAATAAAAAAAGATCAAAGGATTGCCTACCACCAACCTGAATGCTTTTTTTTTTGTTTATTTTTTCCCAGAGAACTTTTTTCGCGATTAAGGTTTTCACGTAATACGCGTATGTCATGTGATATAAATTGCTTTGTATCTAAGAGCCACAGGATTTAACTGTATGCTGCTAACCGCGCCTTAAAAAAAAAAAATTTAACCCCTCCACCAATTTTTTATAGTTTCATCTTACTTTTATCACCATTTCCGATTGTCCATCTTACTATTTTTTTTTCTCTTTTATAAAATTAGCACAGATGATAACTCTTTTATTGTAATAATATTTATTTTAATTATTTCTTTAATTCACCATGGCAGTCGACAACTATGTATCTGTCTATCTTCTTAACATACGACAGTTCAATGTCCTCTTCGTTATGGAGTGGATTCTTGGTATTGTCGCCACTTGCTTTATGCTCTTTTTTTGGAACCGTATGATCGGGTCTTTACTCTCACTGTCTATGCGATGGTATTTCTGGCATTATCATAAAGCTTTAGTAAAAGTACAATCTTTTCAAATATCTCTTTTAGGAGGACGTCTTTTTTTCAAAAATTTTACCTACGTTGCATCCAATGAGTCTATCACTATTTTACAAGGCTCCTTCACTTGGCGTTACTGGCTCCATCGGCGAAGGCTTTCGAAATATACAACTCAAACTGTTTTAGACAGTCAACAGGGTGAACCTGAATCAGAAACCATGCTTGACCCAAAAAAGCGCATACCAGCCCGTTTAAAATTAGCTATAGAGGGTGTCGAGTGGTACGTTTATAATAGATCACCAGCATTTGACATCATTGAAGAAAACCTTAGAAAACATACAGCAGAAGGTTCAGGTAAGGGGTGCGAAGGCTCTCATAGACATACCGACTCCTCTTCATCAGATTCTTCGGCCACAACGGGAAACAGTGCCGGCATCGACTCAAACGACTATGCACAAAATTTCAACTCAAAAGAAAAATACCGATGTCCTTCTTCTAAAATAAATCCTAATTTTGGCGAGCAGGATAAGAACATGGAAGACGATCTTTCCAGTCGTGGTAAAATCGGGGCTCTTATATCACACCTTCGCAGCATTAACGATAATGGCCGAGCCTCTTCCGACAAACCTCGCGACTTTCGAGACACTTCAAGCGACTCTTCCGACCTTAGCGAGGAGCCTAAAGCTTCTGATCTTTTCCGAAAGCATCGTGTACCATTTACACATGGTGATACACTTATGTTAAAGCTTTTCCCAATTGATTTGAAAATGACAAAAGGTGCTGTTATTGTTGGTAATAAATCTAACCCTTCTCTTCTTGTTTTCCAGTTTGCTACTGGTAATGGGTTTATTGACGCTGAAAAATCTAAAAGTAAGCTTGACAAGTATAAGATGATTTACCATTGCAACTTTATTAAGCCTATTGTCGAAATGAAGCCAAATATTAGTTTTGAAGAAAATCAACATTACCAACAAGAAATTATGCGAATGACGCAAAAGTTTCAGTTTTCTAAAATTACTGTTTCCATCATGAATATTTTTTCCACAATACGCGATATTTTTAAAAGAATCAAGATACCATTTAATTTATTTTCTGATTCATCTATAACATCGAGCCCAAATAATTCGACTCGCCAAGAACCTGACGCTAATACTCGCCCATGGAAGGGCCTTGATCGGTATAAGATTGACGCTGACTTGGAAATGCGTGACATGCTTCAAAAAGATTCTGTCAGCGGGTTTTATCCAGAATATGCTCGAGTAACCACTATTTTGGATGCATCTGAGGGCTCGCTCACTCTATACTATGATGCTCCTGGAACTGTTCCCCAATATGCTGATTGTATCATCAGTGACTCTTCAGAAGACGAAAATTTCATTTCGGTCGGAAATGGCGACAACTATCCTCCCGAGTGGGGACTTGATCTATACTTTAAAGAGGTGACAATTCATTATGGACCATGGGCCGACAGACAGCGAATTTCTCTTCAACGTATTTTAGTTCCTTTGAACTGTTTTGACTCTAAACCCCAAGCACCATTACACCCTGGCGATACACGCATTTACACTAACTTTAAAGTAAACATCAAACTTGACAAAAACACCATTATTCGTCTTCCCACTCGTGAATACAGCAAAAATGCACAGTTTTATGCAGCGCATGAACAGGAAATCAACAACAACAATGAAAACAACAAAATTCTACGCCCTTTTGGCTGGATTGAAGTCACTGCAAGCGACTTTGCTAATATTGCATATACCTCAGCAATGGTTGCTACAGATGATGGCTGGAAAACCTCACTAAATGTTGCCATCAGTAAATTTGAAGTCCGCACCTGCGTTAATCATGCTTTATTGTACTCAGCAAAAACTCTTGAAGTTGACGCAGATTTATCAACACCTTTAAAGTGGAACGGACTCCAAACTTGGACTTTTATTTGCAACTCTTTTGATGTGGATTGTTACATCATGCGCGAGCATGTTTTCCTTCTTTCAGATTTAATGTCTGACTTTTCTGAGGGGCCCTCTTCTCCTTACGACTTATTTACGCCATTTATTTACAAGTTTCATTGGAATATTCACAATGGCTACAAGATCAATCTCAACATTAATGACTTAAACATCATAAACAATCCCCTTGATTTTTCTGAAAACATTTATGTCATCTTTTCTGGTGACACTTTTGAAACTGATGTCACTGTACCACTTGACCAAGTCTTCCAGAAAAAGAATACAGTTACTTTTGAAATTAAAGTGAGTATTAAAATACAAGAGAAACAGAAAAAAAAAACTAACAATATAGACACCTCGGTTTGATCTAAATGTTTCATCACCTCCATGGAACACGCTCTACTCGTTTTTAAATCTTAATGGCGTTGGCCGGGCCTACGACTTTGATTTGAAAGGTAGCTACACCTATCACGCAAATGTTGAGCCAGGTTATTCTGATACACTCATCTTAGAAACAAGCGCTTCAGATGTTACCCTTTTGCTTTATGGCTTTGTCATTAAGTACATTATGCAAATTCGTGAAAACTATTTTGGCGAGCATACCCATTTCCAGACATTTGAGGAATTTTCGCAAAAGAATATGGAAGCTGAGACTGAAACTGAGTTTACCCATGTTAAGACGGACATTGATTTAGATGTTCTATGTCATGTTTACGTCAATAATGGCAGTATTGTACTTCCAGCTAATATTTACTCTGCGGAGTCCAATATTCTTTTAAATTTTGCATCTTTTGATGTTGACATTCGCTTTACTAATTATTACATGGGTACGTTTTTTTTTACTATTGAATATTGTATTTTACTAACTATTTATAGATCTTCAAGCAAACATCAGCCCTGTTAAAGGCATTCACAACAGCAAATCAAATTTGTCTACAATTCTTGACAGTGCTCGGGACCGTGTTTCTTTTGATCCAATTATTTTTATTGATGGCATCTTTATTCATGGTAACCGTATCTTTGGCTTACCTCCTACCGAGCCGACTTACTTTTGTAAGTGGGATTTTGATCTCGGTGACATTCTTCTCAACGGGCCCTTAGAAATTGTTCAATATCTTGGAAATGTTGGGTCTTCAATTGGATACACTTACTCGGATACTGAAAATAGCTTGTTGATTCCTGAGCCCATTCTTTATGATGTCACATATCTATCTCTTACTGTTGCTTCCTTAAAATGTCGCTTAAACATTAATGACTATATTCTTGAGGCAATCACAAGTCCAATATCTCTCAACTATAATGATTTGAACAACAATAGATATTCTGCTCGCCTCACATTCTCGGTTCCACAGATTCAGTATAAGATATTGAAGAAAAAGGAAATTGAAATTGATCCGACTGGCACTAATACGGCCGATGAGGAAAACTACGAAATTTTAGCATTGATTCGTACCTCCATTCTTATTACTGATTTCATTCAGAAACGTGATTTTTATTTGCGTCACGAACGTCAGCAGCAGCATATTTCCATGCACGATGCACCTTTTGATCGTTGCTCCTTCCTGTTAGATGAGTACCATCGAGCATACCATCAAAAGCCAATGGGCAACATTATTCCAAGCATACCTCTACCTACTGTTCCTCCACCTCTTACTAAAGAAACAGCTCCTTTTATTGATCCAAATTTATCCAGCTCTTTCGGCAACGAAGATGACGAAAATAACTCTTCTGTTTCTTCCAAAAGTAAATATTCGTCAACAGTGAGCAGCAGCGAAGATGAATCTTCTTCTGATGAGGAGTTTGATGACGAAAGTAATATCCGAGACACACCTTGCTCTATCAAGTTCAACATTGGTTCAAACGGACTTACTGGTAACGCATTTATGCCACCTGAGAGTTGGAAAAAGTTTGAGGAAATTTCTAAAGAGTTTAACTGCGCTCTACCCAAATTTGACCTTAATCCTACCTCTTATTACACTAGTGACGAAGGCATTAGGCCAAGTTATGCCGTGGACCCTTCAACAGAATATGACAGTTTAATTATTCAGCTTGGTGATATAACTGGGTTTTTTGTTCCCAATTCTTTTCTTGCTATTAGTGAGCTTTTGTCTGTCAAGGATATTAAAGATCTAGAGTCTACATTAGATTCTATTCAAATTGATGTTTTAAATCGGCTTAATTACATCCGCACAGCACAACCTGAGGTTAAGAATTTCAAGATTGTCGTCACATCTATCAACTTAAAGTATGGCTCTGTTACTGGAACTGATGCCAACTCTTTAATGGCGAAATACAATGGTGAGGTTGATCATTTGGCTGTCACTTGTGAAGCAATCAACATTTCTCTTCGAGTGTCAGAAATGAATGCTCCCCAAGTTGTTGCTGATTATATCACTAAAGGGATGCCAGACTTACCGACAAGTTTGGCGGTCTATGCCAATTGTGGTAAAGTCATGTTAAGTGTCGTACGTGGTAGCAGTATCACTCTTCAAGATAACGCTGATTTGCATGTGCAACATTTTCGGCCAATGTTTTTACAATTAGACAGCCCAGATATGTGGTGGTGTGAGAGTGATAATCAAAACACTGGGTTTTTCCATCTTAAAAGTATTAATATTTCTATTCTTTCAGAAAGCATTCCGTTTCTGTCTTCGTTTATTGAGCAAAACATGAAATCATTACAGTTTCTTGCTTCTGCAACTCAGAAAATACAATCACATACTACCCAGATGCGCAATGCATATGTCATTAGTTTGCTGTCTACGGCTGGTGAAGCCTTTCATATTGAGGACGATCCATCTGTTCTCACCAGACCAGCTCTAATCACACGTTCTACTACTCATGTTCGCACCAATGATAGCTGGAAAATCATGATGCGTCTTCGACATGTTTTGAAAAGTGTGCCTATCAATTGGAGAAACCGCTATGACAAAATCATGCTTTCTGACATTTATAATATTGACACTGAAATAGCACGCCGTGAAGCCACCAAAGTCTTTCGCAAATGGCGTTCTTGGGAACTTACAGGGATGGAGGACAGTTATGTTTTCCGCCATGTCTTTAAAGTGAAAACTCTTCAAGACACTCTGCTTTCGAAGAATGCATCCATCAATATCGACTTAGAAAGTATTTCATTGCGGTTGAACTATCTCGAAGATGAAAACTTTTTGTGTATTGACTACCTAAAGCTTTCCTTTGGATGGAAGGGGAAGAAGCCTCAGGAGATTGGCATGAATGGAAAGATGGGGAGATCAAACAGCAACAACAATGTTGGTAATGCTGCAACTCCTAATAGTAGTCTTCTTGAACTAGAGTGTACATCGAATTGCAGTAGCATTAAACTGCATTTAGACTCTAAAATTTTACAAACTGTTGAGGAAATCGACAAGGCTATTTTGGAGATAAAATCCAAGCTTGCTCAGCCCATCAAAAAGCCTATTCCCAGAATGCTTGCTCCTGAAAAGTCAAGAACCAGTAAGTCTTCGACTTCAACAATGAGCAAGAGCAATGTTCCTCCTCTCAAGCTTAGCATCACCTGTTGTTTTCAAAACATTTCTCTTTTTGTTGATTTTATCCAGGTTGCTTTGAGCTACGACTCGCAAGAGATTTCTTTTAACAGCAACATTAGTAAACTCGCAATTTTAAGCCCTGAGGAGGTTCATTTGGACATGAGTTTTGTTTCGCATATCAAAGCTATTGATGTCAAACTGCGTGAAATTTCCGAAAGCAAAGTACCTGACAAAAATCTTTTCAGTTTTTTGCTTAGGGATTATCGTGGTTCCTTTATCACCACAGGCTTCCTTTTCACTTCTATGAAGTACGCCACAGTTTCCCATGATCAACTTGCTATTGTTATGGAGGCACCAATCGGAGATCTTTCTAATGTTGGCATTCGATTTTTGGATACTGGCTTAGAGCGGTTTAAAACTTGTTTTGATAATATCGAGACCAATCATGCAACGTATAAACCACCCTCACCTAAATTGTTGGATATTGTGAAGACTCATTCGCAATCCGTTGACTTCACACCAGTTTCTTCTAAATCTAAGGAGAAACAACTCTTTGATTTCCCCATGGTCTTGCGTTGTAATGCAAAAGACTCCAGTGTTCGTATTAATGCAACAGACTCTATTTCATTGTATTTAGAGATTGCTGGAGCAACACTTGTTGGAAAGCTTGCTAATGACAAGCAAATTGCATTTGAGGTGTCTGTTACTGATAAACAGTTTGAGCTTTTGGCACGCAACCCTCAGACAAAAGATGTGCGCCCTCTTGTTTCAGTTTATGTTCCTACAATCACCAGTTTGGTTTTGTCGGAAAGTTATCTTGATAAAAACTTTGTTGAAGGTGTTGTCAATGTCAAGAGTATCCAAGCTCGGATGATGTCAGTTTCTTCAATTTTGGTGATGATGAGATCCAATACTATTGAAAATGAAATTGCATCTACTATCAAGTCGTTGAATTCATTGACGGATAAGATTAATAAAATTGCAAATAAGTGCAAGTCAACTGAAGTTGCAAGCCTTGAATCTACTCAGGCACCATCACCTGTGCCAAAACCTGGGTCAGAACCTGGGTCAAAGCTTGAGCCTGCTGAGTCGAAATCGGCAGAAACGCTAGGCTTTTTCAATCTCACTTTGTCTATTATTGAGGTTCAAGTGATTATACCATCTTTTGATTCCTCTCTTGCTCTTAAATTGATTGATATCAATACTACACTATCGTCATTCTATTATGACATGCAATCTCATGAATTTAACATAACGCCATTTTTTGGAGATTTTAATGTTAATGATGCCATTCTTGACTTGCGCAATGACACTTGGGGTGCTTCATCTGTCTCTGAGATTGTTCACTTTCAGCTTTCAATGTCTTACAGCGGTCGTGATCAAGCAACTAAGAAGCAGCGTGTTGATATTTCCAGTAATAAGATACAGATTGTTCTTTGTCAACGACTTTTGGAAAAGCTTGTTAGCATTGTTAATTCTCTTGAAGAAGGGTTCAATGAATTTCATTCTGTCAAGGAATCTTCTCCTTTATTACCTGCTTGTCCAGAATCCTCTCCTACTGTTTCTTTGGATGAATCAGTTAAGGAACAGTTTCGAGCTTTCAAGAAGCTTGGCGAGAAAACCATTTTGCGCATGTCGTTTTCTAACTTTTGCTTTGCGTGGCTTTTTGAAGAGCAGTTCAACATTGGACAGTATCCTATTAGTCCGGAATCCAAGGGCATTTTATTTGGATACAATTCTTTGCAAATTAGCACTTCCAACTTGGCTGGTAAAACCATTTTGAGTGGTGTTTATATTACGCCTACATATGATGAGTTGAACATTTTCAATAACTCGGATAAGTCTCAAAGCATGAACACAGCTTATCTTCCATCCGTGAAGGTTTCATTTTTTGCGGATTTGACTCATCATCAACCGCATATCTCCGTCAATCTTGTTGGAGAATCACTGCGCCTTACTATTCTCCCGTCGTTTGTTGGGCTTGTTGTTTGTTTAGCAAAATGCTTTACAGACACTGCTGAGTCTTGTCAAAAAGATGCATTACCTAAGGAGAATATCAATGAATCTTCATTATATCCGGAATCTAACTCCTACAGTCCTCAAACATCTGCATCTACTGGGAAGTCTAATACTGAAGGTAAGACGGCCAAATTCACACTTCCCTTGTCATTCCGATTTTCGGTTTCTTTTGATGGTGCTACAATTATTCTCTACAAGGATTCGCCAAATATCCATAGACACATTTCTCGCGATTACCATTTTACTCAAGAGATGAGAGATGAAAACAATGCCAAGTCATTGGATAATGATACTGCTCTGTTTTTGCAAACTCCAGCAGTCAAGGCAAAGATTGAATATCTTAAAGGAGAGAATGCAGTTAAGCAAGATGCTTTTAATGCAGAGATTTTGATTAGTTCTTCTATCAATACCATTTATCCAAAGCTAGTGCCTCCAGTGGTGGAGATGTGGAAACTTGTTCAAACAGTGGTGAAATATTCGGCATTACCTTCCAAGAATGAGCAAAAGGACGATTATGACATTGATAGCGTATTATCTATGCCTGATTCTTTCCAAAATATTGACATTGACAGCCATTTCGGTAACATTATTGTGGATGTTAATGTTCGCCTGGAGCGACAGGAAATTATTTTGAGTTGTGAGCCCAAGGCCCGTGTGGCGGCTACTGTTTCTTATGACGAATTTTGCATCAGTCTTAACAGTTTGGAAGACACACTTCGCAAGACTACATATGCGTTATCGGTTCGCTTGCAAAACTTTAACTCATCATTGCAGCACATTTATTCGCGCGAGTGCAGTGGCCAAGTTACTGTTACAAACATTGCCTTTTTTGTTGCCATGTATCATAATTCTGCTGAGCAGCAGTCAGTTATTGTTGCCAGTAAGATTTCTGATGTAATTACAGAAATCAATCTGAAGCAAAGTCAGGATTTGGAATTGTTTCAAGATATCTGGTCACCCAAGGGTATGCTGAGCAAAGTCAATTCTAATGTATCATTGGCTACGTTTGATCAGTTTTCCGAGACGTTTCAGCAACAAATCAATTCATCTATGCTTGATGGTGCTATTATGAGAAAGTACCGACAAGTTACATCTACGGCAGCCATACCTTGGTGCATTGACTTTTCTTTGGTCAATATCCGTGGTACTGTTGAGCTTGGTCAAGCTGTGGGTCAAGTTATATTTACGTTGGACAAGTTGTGGATAGCGTCGCAAAAGTTTTCTAATTGGGAGCAAAATTTATCACTTGGGTTTGACGAAATTAAGATTACATCTCAGGGGAGATTTGGAGGTATTGTTGCGTTACGCAAGATTCAAGTTGGTACGGCGATTATGTGGCAGCGTCATAACGGTACTGTTTATCCCGTGCCTCTTGTGCAGGCCATTATGGGTATTGATTCTCTTGAAGCACGCGCCACATTTGATTATCAATCATTTGCAGTTGCTTCGATCAATGCGTTACACTTGTCTATGTTTAACCAGCGGGACAAGAATTTTGTTCTTAATGACCGACTTGCTGTTGTTGGGAACTGTGAGAGCATCTATTTGTTTGCAACGTCACTTGCTGCGTCCAATGTGCTTGATTTGATATACACTATTGAGAGGATGCGACGAGAGGCTCATGATTCCTACGATGCCATTTTACGTGACTCTGCAAACCAAACCTCTGAAGAGGCTAGCAAGAAGCATGGCAAGAAGCCTACAGCACATCCATTTGACCGGTTACGTACATTTTTGGACGTCAACATTAACACACTGAGTATTTATATTTATCCTGATACATTGATGGATCCTCAAGTATTTACTCTTAAGGTTCAAGGGGCTGAGGCGCGGTATAGTCAAGAGATTGAGATTCATGAGGAGTTTGATAAAACAGCACCGGATGGCCGCAAGTTGTCATTGGCCATCACCAATAAGGAGTTTTTGTCTCATTTAGATATGAAGCTTCATGGGTTACTTGTTGCTCTTTCGACTAGCAAGCGCAATATTCGGACTGAAGAGGAGCTTCTTGAAATGTCGATTGAGGAGTATATTCAAAAATCTAAGGATCCTAAAGGAACCACGATTATTGGGATTCCAGTGTGTGAGATTTCTATGGCTACGTGGCAGGCAGTGGACACCAATGTGATTGAGTATATTTTTAACTCATCATTTGGTGGTCGTGTGGATGTTGGCTGGAATTTAGGGTCTGTGAACTTTATTCGGTCCATGTGGGAGAATCATGTGAGGACATTTAATGCACGCAAGAAGACATATGAGATGCGGTTTGCAGCTGGAGGGGATACTTTGCGAGTTCAGTTTAATCCAGATGACTATGCACGGACCAAGAAGCGCAATGTTAATAATAATAATAACAATAATAATGAGAAGGAGGATGATGATGAGGATGATGATGAGAATTCGCATGTTGGCAAAGGTCTATTTGGGCCTGAGGATGCACGTCGATTAAAGATAATGACGTCTCATAATAATAAGTCTGGGATATTATCTGTTGAATCTAGCCGACAAGAATCTCCTACATCACCTTCTTTTGGGAACGAGTTGACACGGCCATCTACGGCAGCTTCATATGGTGATGAGAGCTTGGCAGAGTCATCGTTGACGAGCTCATCAGTTGATTCTGAGTCTATTTCAGAAGGGACACTTTCTGAGGATGAGGATCATGAAGGAATTAAGGTTGGTAGGAATAGTGGCAGTGCTGGTAGTGGCAGTGTAAGTGGTGGTGGTACTACGGTAGGTGTTAATCGGGCAAGTGGATCTGGGCTGGCGACGGCTGGAACGGCGACAGTTCATGGAGGTAGTGCTCCACCAAGTGCAGGAAGTGGAAGTAGGAAGGGAGGAATAACATCAGCAGTAACTGCAGCAGCAGCAACTGCAGAAACAACTGCGGGAGCATCTTCAATGGGAGCTACAAGTTCTGGGGATGATGGTATGACGATAAACAAGCCGGAAGAAGAGGCAGCTCCACAATACATTTACATTGCGCGGGTTCCTCCAGTGATTGCTCAGCCCCAGTTAAGGGATATGGGTGAAGCAACGCCTCCAGTTGAGTGGATTGGGTTACATCGTAACAAGTTACCTAGTTTTGTTCACCAGGTGATTATGGTACCTTTAGAAAAGACTGTGGAGGAAGTTGATGTTGTTTACCGTAAGGTTTTAGGACGGTCATGATTTTTTTTGTTTTTTTGTTTTTGTTTTTATTTTTATTTTTATTTTTATTTTTTTTTCTATTCATTCAAATTGCATATATTATATATTAATTTTGTTTCTTTTTATTTTATTTTATTTTATTTCGATTCATTTCATTTCATTTCATTCATTATTAAAAAAAAAAAATAAATAAATAAAAGGACATCATAAAAGGGTAGTATATGGATTTCAAGACCGTAGAGCTTTTAGTCTTTCATTAAGACGATCTTCGACCTGTTCTTGATTGTCGAGTTTTGTTGTTTTTGTGGGGACATTTGATTCCAAATCTTGTTGAAGCTCAAGGCCAGCTTCATCAGCAACTTTTTGCATGAGAAGATCGACTTCATCTTGAGGAGTAGTTAATGCAGAAGCATTATTTGTTGCATTTTCATAATATGAAGTTGTTGCATCAAGGTCTTCAAACTGGGATTCAAACTTATCCATGACAAGAGAGATACGTTCAGTATTCATACTTTCAAGAGCTTTATCCATACCACGTACAATACCAGCCATATTACCAGTTACTTGACGCATAGTTACAGCAGTTTGGACTCTAGATGCGACTGAATCAACACGAGAAGCCAGTTGTAGTAGATTAAGACGTTCTGATCGTTTACGGATTGCATTTTGGGCATAAAGTCTTGCAATATCACTATTTCCTTGTTGAATAGCCTTTTTAACTTTACGTTCTTCAGCCTTCATTTCCTTTTCTGTACGCATAGCTTGCCTTGTGAGCTGTTTTGCTGTGAATTTAAGTTGGAACTGGGCTTGTTCTAATCCTGACATTGTGTGTGTGTGTGTGGGTTATTTTTGATTGAAATGAATGTAGAATAAATATATGGGAAGGGGAGGGAAATTTAAGTTGGTGGCGATAAGGAAAGAATTTTTTTTTTTTTTTTTTTTTTTTAGTGGTGGTGGTGATGATAATAATAATATTTTATATTTTTTTTTTTTTTGTAGAGAGTTTTAAAAGAAGTAACAATGATAATAATAATAATAATAAAGTAGAACATTTATAACATTTATTAAAGTAGAACGAAAGAAGCTTTTAAAGAAATGAAAAAAAAAAAAGATAAAAATTAATATTTAATATTTGAATACATTTTGTTGTAAAAAAAAAAACAAATTACATTTTACACTAAAATTAATTTTAAAATCAAACACTATTTGTAGGTTACCTAATGTTGTAACATCAAGAAGTTACTAGCCTTGATGGCCAAGTTGGTAAGGCGCGTCACTAGTAATGACGAGATCGTCGGTTCGAATCCGCCTCGAGGCACTTAACTTTTTTATTTTTTTTCCCTCTATTTATTTAAAATTAAATAGAACTTTTTTTTTTTTTTTTCTAAGTAAATTGATTCTATTATTATTCTTCTTTTTTTTATTGAAATTATTAATTATTATTTTATATATTTTATATATATATTTTTTTTGAAAGTATCCATAAAAACGGGAAGTGCGGCAATGCTTTTTTGTTACAAAATCTGTCAATTTTTTTTTCTTTCTTGTTACTACTATTACTACTAAAGTTATTTTATAGTAACTTTAACTTACTTTTTACTTGCCGCCTTTAAAATTTATTTTTTATTTATTTTATATTTACACACACACAAAAAAAAAACCCCCCTCCTCCTCTTCTTTTTTCCACCTCCTCCACACACACACACACAAACCCCCCTTTTTTTTTTTTTTTTTTTTTTTTCTGCGCTTAAATTTCCACCACCCGCCCGCCGCCTTTTTTTTTTTTTTTCTTTCTTTCTTTTCTTTCTTTCTTCACCACCACCATCACCATCACCATCACCATTTAAAAAACTCTCTCTCTTTCTTTTATAAAAATAAAAAAATAAAAAAAATAAAAATAAAAAAAATAAAAAAAAAAACTCCATTTATATTATTTATATTATTTATATTATTTATATCATCAATATTATCATCAATATTATCATCAATATTATCATCAATATTATCATCAATAAACCTTCCAATCATTTGATTCCTTCATACCAATCTTAACACTTATCTATCTCAAATGTCTACTTGGAAATTAACTAAAAGTATGTCTTCTTTATATAATTGAAAAAAAAAAAATCAAAATCAAAATAATCAAAATAACCAATTATTAATTCATCTATCAATAGAACTTAAAGAGACTCATCTCTCAAAATCTCCATTTTCCCGTAGTAGTAATAATCAACAACAACAACAACAACAACAACAACCTACAAATCCTCCTCCTGCTGCAGCAGCAACAACAACAACAACAGCAGCAGCAGCAGCAGCAGCAGCAACAATCGCAACAGTAACAACAACAGCTGATTCAAATGATTTTGATAATCTTTACTCAGTAGATCAATATAAACCTCATATCTCTCTTCCAGCAATCACTCCACTCCGCAAAAATACAGCCGCCGGTTCCTCTTCTACATTAATATCAGATTCTCATTTAAACCAGCATTCATCCTCTTCAACTTCAACTTCAACTTCAACTTCAAATTCAAATTCAACATCTACAATAAATCCTCCAGCATCTCCATCAAAATCTAAAAAGTCTGGAACCCTTATCTCTTCAACAAATACTTCTAACGGCCTCTCATATTCTTCAAAAGATTCAAATGCTTCCTCAGTCACCCTTTCTTCAATGCATACTACTGCATCCTCCTCTTCTCCAGCATCTTCCCAACAATTATCACAACATCAATCCACTCCACATTCAAATCACCCAACTTCAACTATAAAACCAGGTCTCTTGGTCGTATCTGTGGCCAGCGCATCAGGCCTAACCCTCCCCCCAGGTTACCAGTCAAATGTCCTCATCCAAAACTACCTCTCCCGCATGTCGCCATCCAAGTCTTCTATTCTTCGTACCCCCTTAATCTCCTCATCCATGGCAAAAAGCTCTTCAGCTGATTCTGCTGCTGCTGCTGCTGCTGCTGCTGCTGCTGCTGCTGGGTCTCCTAACCGTCGACGTATGCCCGTATTCCTTGTCATTGAATTTGATAAAAACCAAGTCGTCCTAGAAGCCACTGGCGGGCCTCTAGAAGCTCCTGTTTGGGATACAACTTCCAACTTTGACGTTTCCCGAGTCGAAACAATCTCCTTTCAAATCTATACTCGCATTCCTATCTTTCACTCAGCATCAAACTCAACTTCCTCTCAATCCCCTGGAGCTGGCTCTGACTCTACATCTGTTTCTAACGTTACTGGTTCATCATCTTTGGCTTCCCCACAAGGAATCCACCCACGCAAGTACGAGGAAATCTTTTTGGGAACATGTAAAGTTCAAATTGACCCCTCCTCGGCCCTCGGTAATCGAAACCCAACAGTTTTATTTGATGGATTAATACCCCTTTCTGGTGGTTCTGGTAAACTCAAAGTTTGCATTGAATACAGGCCTAATCGCAATAAACCCCTCACTATCGATGACTTTGATTTGCTCAAGGTGGTCGGAAAGGGATCCTTTGGTAAAGTCATGCAAGTCCGTAAGCGTGACACTCAACAAATCTATGCCCTTAAAACTATCCGTAAAGCTCATATTGTTTCACGGTCCGAGGTTAACCACACTCTAGCCGAGCGTACTGTTCTCGCCCAAATTGATAACCCCTTTATTGTCCCCCTAAAGTTTAGTTTCCAATCACCTGAAAAACTTTACTTTGTTTTGGCATTTATTAATGGTGGCGAACTATTCCATCATCTCCAAAATGAAGGAAAGTTTGATCTTAATCGTTCTCGTTTCTATACTGCCGAACTTCTTTGTGCCCTAGAATGTTTACATGAATACAATGTCATTTACCGTGACTTGAAACCTGAAAATATTTTACTCGACTACACGGGCCACATTGCACTCTGTGACTTTGGTCTTTGTAAACTTAACATGAAGGATCAGGAAAAGACAAACACCTTTTGTGGAACCCCAGAATATCTTGCACCCGAGCTCCTGCTGGGCCAGGGCTATACAAAAGTGGTTGATTGGTGGACCCTTGGTGTTTTATTTTATGAAATGCTTACAGGTCTTCCTCCCTTTTATGATGAGAATACCAATGAAATGTACCGCAAGATTTTACAAGAACCTCTCCGCTTCCCTGACGACATGGATCGTGAGGCTCGTTCGTTACTTACAGGTCTACTGGACCGTAACCCCAACACTCGTCTAGGAGTTCACGGAGCTGCGGAAATTAAGGCTCATCCCTTTTTCGCGCAAATTGATTGGCGCAGACTTATGGCCAAGAAGTACGCTGCACCTTTTAAGCCTGCTGTTGAGTCTGCAACTGATACAAGTAACTTTGACCAAGAGTTTACAAATGAGGTTCCAACAGATAGTGTTGTTAATGAAGGTGATTATTTATCTGAATCAGTTCAAAAGCAATTTGGTGGCTGGACTTATACTAGTGAATCTAAGCTTGCTTCTAGTGGCCGTTGGTAAAAGAAAAACTATATATATATATATAAATGAAAGAAAGAAAAGAACGTTTATAAAAGAAAAAAAAAATGAAATGAAATGAAATGATAAAGGGATATGAAATTTTATATAAATTATATAAGGAGTAGTAGTAGCAGTACCATAAGGATAAAATAAAAATATAAATAAAAAAAAATTGTTACAGAGGAATTTTATTGAATAGAAAGAACAGTTTTTAAATATATAAAAAAAAATAAAATGTTTGATAAAAGTCGCTCATAACACGAGGCCCCTCTCAAAAAAAAAAAAAAATAAAATAAAATAAAATAAAATAAAATAATTTTTTTTTGATTATTTCATTCTATTAAAACGAGAGCCGATAAAAAAAAAAAAAAAAAAAGTTATTTTTATTAATGGTAACAGGACAAAAAAAAAAAAAATTTAAAAATAAAAAAAAAAAAGTCCTTTATATATATATATATATATATATATATATAAATTTATTAATTTTATTAATTATTATAATAATTTCTGTGATTGAATCGGGGGGGAAAGACAAATGAATCATTTTGATTACTAAATTGGGGAATGAAAAAAAAAAAAATAAAAATAAAAATAAAAATAAAAATAAAAATAAAAATAAAAAAGTTTTTAATTTTTTTTAATTATTATTTAATTATTATTCTACTACTACTACTACTACTACTACTACTACTACTACTACCCGCTTTCAAATTTAAGCTATTAGCATAATGATAATAAACAAGTAGTTTAAATTGAAATGTATATAATAGAAGATAATGAAATCAAGCTATAATTTTATTTTACAATAGAAAGAAACAAGAAAAGAGGAGGGGAGTGAGTGAGTGAGAGGGAAAGAATAGACAAAGAAAAATGGTTTTGTTTGTTTGTTTGATGTACTTGTAAACTGTTACAAGAAAGAAAAAAAAAATTAAAAAAAATTAAAAAAAAATACCTTAAATTGTTTGTTTGTCTTCATTCAAGGGATTATAGAATTATATATATAATATCAGCATCTGAACTATCCTTCTTGTCCATACTATATTATATATCTTTTCATTTTCATAATAAACTTTTAATTTTGACTTCAACATTGCATCTCCAACAGCCCGAAAATAAGTCCTGATGCCAGCTTACGAGGAACACAAGGGGGTTAAAAATAACCAAACCTTCCCAACTTGTCTCCACTTATCTCCACTTATCTCCACTTATCTTCATCAACGATGTAATTATATTTCTTAATCCCTCCAAGAAGAGATAAAGCTTACAGTCTCTTGTAAACCAGTTAAACTGTTTAAGAGAGTCGACATGTCCATCTCTGGAGATATCCGTTTTCAATCCTTTTCTTTCTTCTTCAAGCAAAGGACACTCAACCAAAATATGATAAACTGTTTCTAGCTCTCCACATTTTGCAGTTGTAACTATCCTTTTCAATTCCAAACTTTTTAAACCATGCGCCAAAGTTGCCATGGTTTTTTTTTTTTTTTTTTTCGCCAAATTCTTTTCAATTTTTCAATTTTTTTTCAATGATTTCATGTTCAAGCGCTTAACGTACCTAGCATTTGTCACATTTTCAAAATCTTCAGTGGTCTCTTGGCCCAGTTGGTTAAGGCATCGTGCTAATAAACAAGCAACTTCCTTGTGATACGCGAGGATCGGCGGTTCGATCCCGCCAGAGACCATTATCTTTTTATTCTTCATATTTCATATAAGCTTACTTTGAACTTTTTTTTTTTTTTTTTTGAAATGCTTGGGTATTATGTGTGAAAATCAAGTGAAATTTGTTGGGATACGTTTAAGTGTATTGAGAATTGAATAAAAAAAAATTTTTTTTTTTTTCATTTTTAAACTAAGAAAACCCCTACCCTATTATCAATATTTTTTTAGAAAACATACAATAGCCATTTAGTTTTCATAACTTTTAATTATACAAATGAGTTTTAAGATTTACTAAGAAACAAAAAAAAAGTTACTGCCTTAGAGACCAGATCCAAAGATAATATCCAAAACACAACAACACCTTGCTATTTTACTCTAATCGAGAAATAATAAGACTAAAAAATTAATAAAGGAATTCTCAATATTAAATCCTTCTGGTATATACTTTTTGTTTGTTTGTTTGTTTGTTTTAAATCAATTATCAATCTCTAGAATTAGAATTCTAAAGATTTTTTAATTGAATTGTTAATCTAAAAATTCAGTGTGATATGAAAAATATGGTTCTTGTTTAGACTGTGTATTCAAGGAGCAATATTTAGTCCAATCATTTTAGTTGGAAAAAAAAAAAAATAAAACTTTAAATAAACTTAACCAAAAGACATATATACCCGACTTGTTTTCTCTCTCTATAGTCAATTTATATAAAAGGAAAACAATTTCACCCACCATCTTCTTTTTTTTTTTTTTCTTCTTTTTTTTTTTTTTTTTTTTCTCTCTTACATTTTAAGATTCACTACTACTACTAGTAATACTACAAGTAATATGGTTTTAATCTAAAGCTATAGGTGTTTCTTTTCTCCCCTCCCATTTCTTTAATGGTATCATGGCTACATGTCATATACCATTTGCTGCTTGTGATAAAATCTTTATCCTTGTCTAGCTATATGTGTTGCCAAACACAATATACAGGTTTTTTTTTTTAAATAACGAGTGAATCATTCGTTCTTTTTAGTAGGCCTGGTAATTCAAGTTTTTTTTTTTTTTTTTTTTTTTTTGTTTCTTTAGAAAAAAAAATTCTTAAAGAGCTTGAATCAAAATAATCTCATTTATACTTAAATATGAGTATAATGAATTTTAGTTACTATTCAATTCTTTTTTTGTTTTTTAGTAAAAATTCTTAAAGAAATTGAATCAAAAAATCTCATTTATACTTAAATATAAGTATAATGACTTAAGTGAATATTCAATTTTTGATTTTAAAAGTTGATTTCACTAGGGATCTTTATATCACTAAAATCATCAGTTATATTATCTCTTTTTTTTTTTTTTTTTTTTTTTTTTTAATAAGATTGAATTTCACCTTTTATTTTTTTGTTTTAAATTAATAAATTTAAATCAATTAATAATGAAATTCAATTTTTTTTTAAAAAAAACTCAATTTGGTTCAATTATTTTTAATATATGTAAATATCCTTTTTCACAACAAGAAGCCTGCGTAGCCCAATGGTTAAGGCGTTAGACTTCTAATCTGAAGATTGTGGGTTCGAGTCCCACCGTGGGTGCTAATATTTTTGGTTTTACAATTTTATTTTCTTTTTTTTTCAACTTTGGAAACAAATGCGTTGATGATGGGTGGACGGTTTCTGTAAATCGCGCGTATTGATTCAAAGATCAGTAATTTTGGGGGGTTTACTTTTAATAATTAAATGAAGAAAAAGAAAAAAAAATAATTACATAAGCTAAACTTTAAAATTTTTTATTTTTCTTAAATTGATCAAACAAGCCTCGGAAAATAATAATATTACCAATGATTAACTAAGCATTTAGTAATACTTTTTAATAATTAATTAAATCTTTACCACTATCATCACGAAATAATTAGTCTTCTTCTTCTTCTTCTTCTTCTTCTTTAACCATTGTTCACTCAACAAGTTCATTTGTTAAAACTAAGTTATAATTTACAAAAGCTTATAGAATTTAAAGACTTTATCTTGATTTTTTATTTATATTAATTTCAAGGCTTTTAATTTACTTTAAATACCAAAAATCTACAAGAGTTGTATAAACAAGAAGGTTACACTTATTGGTTATACTATTCTTTTTTTTTTTTTTAAAAAAAAAATGAAAGGTATAGTTTAACATTATAATGAAATTGAAATAATTACAAACTTTTACAAGCATTTTACAATAAATATATATATATATATTTATCACTTGTTTTTTTTTTTTTTTTTTTTTTGGATTTCAGTTTTTCAGAATTTGAAAAAAAAAAATTTACCTTGATTTGACCAAAATTTCAGTGCTATAATAATTAAGCATCTATGACATTATTTCTATCCCCAGTTATATTTAATTTCCAGAACAATGTTAAACTGAGGCCAAAAAAATTCAAAAATAAAATACTATTTTACCCTTCTTCTTTTCATTTTCCACCTCTTTCTTTTTTACTATCTCTTCACTATAATACCTTAGATACTCACTACTTACACAAAATACCTTACCAAAACGGACCTTTCTACAACTTCAACTTCAATTTTAATTTCAACATCAATATATTAAGTGCAAACTATAATGCTAATCTGTTACATGACTTCCGAATCGAGAAACTTTAGACGTGCAGCCCCAGACTCTGCTCTGAGTTTATTTGCTCTTGTAGTAATGTGAGATTTGTCATGGTGTCGATTGGCTAGTGATATAACGAAGCTTGCATTCAGGAATAAGCTGCTATTGATATTGTGAAAGACTGATAATTCTCTATCTATTGCCACTAGTTTTTCTTTTGTTACAGAGCCAGGAGGAGAGTTCGGCTAAACCCTGACTCTGCCTATGACTTTGTTGAGGGACTTTCTCTAAGAAACCATGATAACTATTGATGTTAAGATTTGAATACCCACGATTTGTTGCTCACTTAGGAGTTTCAGAGATTAAATAATACCTATTATGCACAGCTCTTGAAATTGGGCTGTCAAGTTCTAACAACGATATTTCTTGTCGACAATTTTGTCATTTTTATCACACCATTTTCTTCTTTTGTCTTTCTTTCAAAAAATTGAGACCTAGATTAGTTGATTTAAGGCTTAAAAGCACCAAAAATATCAGTATTAAAATAGTTTTTATATTGATTTATTGGGCATAGTGTGGTTTTTTTACAAGATGTTTAAGTTATTTCTAGTGAAATGGCTATATCAACAACTGCAAAGCAAATAATTGCAAACATTTATTTTAAATTAAATATTTATATAATTTAAAAATAAATCTAGACTTTAAAACAAATGTATTTATTGGCAATTGGTTCACTAAGTCCTGTCTATGCTAAGACGTATATCACGGGACTTGACATAGTAGAATGGTGAAGCCGTTTGGATATCAGCCGCCTGATGGGATAATAGCCGTGCCATAGTAAAAACATGGGCACTCTATACTTGCTCCTGCTATTTTTTTTTTTTTTTCTTTCTTTCTAGCAAACAATTTACAACAGTAATTAGAACAGGCACCCAAGCCCCCCGTTATAAATTGAATCAAGAAATAAAATTTTTAAAGAATTTTTAAAATAAGGGGTTTAGAGCTTAGAAAAGTTTTGGAAAATGTTCCTGGCATCTCTGCGAGTCTAAAAAACAATAAAAAAGGGGAGGTTAGATTTTGGCCCAAAATGAGAAATTCTCCAAGGCTATAGCCTTGGTCAATTTGTCAAAAATTGTCCCGGATAGCTTCCGATGATTTATCGGGAAAAACTTAATGTCTCGGATAACTTCGAAACATTGATCAACGTTATTAGCGAAGCAAGAGGAATCGATGGATATCCTTATTTACATTACCCGATGTCAGATAAAGGGGTTTTTGTAAATGGGGGTCATTTACCACAGAAATAGAAAGGTAAATAAATTATATTACCAATTTACAACAGAAGTTAAAACAGGGGAGAAGAGGTATACAATTGGGTTGAGTGTATTAGAAATGACAGAGTACTAGTGGCATTTAAAGCCCTCCCTCTCCTATTAAAACATTACAATATCTCATTTTTTTCGAATACAAATATATATTAAAATTCACTCAATTTGTAGCCATCAATACAAAAATTAACCTGGATAAAAAAAAACTTCTAAATAAATCTATGTTGACGACACAATCGGCCTTCAAAGTTGGTCTAATCTGTCAGGAAAGAATCTGATCATCCCAAGATTATTGTAATTCACGTGATCATTCATATGACCATAACATGTTTAAATATTTATCTAAACCCAAGCTACCACGTTTCATGAGCTTAGCCATCATGAAATCCAACAGATATAACACTCAATAAACATCTAAATATACAAAAGCAAACCAGAGTAGCAACAGAAAAGGTTGTGTTTTACTGATTGCGTAAAAAGTCTGGGTCTTCGGTCTTGTCATGATAACCAATTAACCCGAAAGCAATGGAGGTACCTAGGCAATAATGGCGTTGTTACAAAGTCCATTAACAGTAAGCTCATTTCTTCCAGAAGCTATAGTAAGGGTTAAAAAGTTAAATAAAGCCAGGGTTGTCGAGTATGGTTTTTTGGATTGTATAATTACTGTCAATATATTTGGAGACAACGAATAAGCCATAACAGTGACTGAGGCTTTAGAGGACTGGTTTGTTATGAAAGTCTGCTGTGATTATAGAGTTTAATAAAAGTCGTTTCGAAAAACATTTGAAAAAAAAAAAAAATGTGATTGTTGTCGATTCACTTAAAGGCAATAGAGAAATCACTTCTATAACTGTATTTTCATAAGTTTCAGTAATGAGTATGGAGTTAGTCTGCACTTGTAACAATCAAGAAAGATATAAGCTCAAACAGATTTAACCAATCTTGGCTCATAATAATCTAACATGAAAAATAAAAGCCATATTATAATTGAGACTTTAAAAAAAGAAGAAGAGAAACCCATTATTGAACTTTTAAAAATAATTAAGTATCGAATAGAAATAGGACTCTGACAAAAACCAAAATGTTAGGAAGTAAAGAAAACAAAAGGAAAGAAAGTTTAACCAAATAGATTATGGCATATTATTATAAAGATGTTGATAGTTTATGTTTAATTAATGTACACTTCCGACCAACTCGGTGCATTTCAAAGCAAATACAATTGATTTCAAGACTAGCAGATAGCAATACCATGGTGCAGTCTATGGCAGAAAAAAAAAAACTGTTATCCAAGTGGTAGCTAACTGTTCTAAGAAGCCTTCAAACCCAACATTTCAGCTAGTAAAGCTTAGTCCTGTTTAGAAGAAAACCATAACGCGTTAATTTTGTATTGTATCTCTTGCATATTAAAAAATGGTTGTTGCATTGACAGTTCCATCAACCAAAGTTGAATTCTGCTGGCTCATAGTGGATAAAGAACAGTAGTATGATAATAATATATACAATTGCTAATATACACTAATATAGTTTTATAAAAAAAAAGGATTCGAAATGGAGAATGATAGTTTATTTAAAGAGTAATCGTTAGTTGAAAAAAAATTCATAACTGTTTAAAACACAATCATGGTGATTAGAAGTCTAACATACAAGCCAGAATGAGGTTCAATTAACTTAACCCTTACCCATTTTGAAAGGTTCTTACTTTTTTTGTTTTGCTTATTAAACTATTTTAAATGATTACATTGCAATTAGTAATTTAAATATTTATTTAAATTTAAAAACACTTGAATAATTATTTCTCCAACACATCGGAAGCGCGGATAACTACTTTTTGACCCGAAACTTTGTTGGTTCGCAGTAAATCAAGACCTTCTTCCACGGAGTTAAGGAAACTGTCTTTGATTAAAAGCAGCTCAGGATGGTACAACTCATGCTGCAAAAACTGGAGTGAAATCTTTTTGTTAACAAAATCTTCAAAATCGCGACGGACGGCAGATTGTCTGGGAGTAATCTGCACAGTAGCGTCAATCTCTTCATTGATAATATCATAACCAGAGGTGGAGCCAAACTTAACATTCTTGTTGGCATCAGTCTTGATATCGTCGGCTTTCAAAAACAGTAAATTGTCAATATGAGAATTGTTGGCAAGTATATCATACACAGATTGGAAAGTTTCCTTGTTGGAAACAGTATCAAGTCCGTAGATGATATCTGAGTGTTCCTTGCGGATAATGTCAACAACATTTTCGGTTTTATAGTCATAGGTAAAGTCTGCACCACGTTCTTTAAGACTTGCATGATGTTTAGATCTGGCAACAGTAATAACAGTAAGACCAAAGATTTTTTTAGCCAATTGAATAGCTACAAAGCCTGTAGAAGTTGCACCACCCCAAATAAGAATCTTTTTTTCTTTGTAAGATTCTGGACTAAGACTAGCCAACCCAAGAGAATTGTTAAGAGCAATACCAGATGTAAATAATGAAAGTGTGGTTGCCGCTGCACCTTCGTAAGATTGTACAACACCAGCAGGAATCACATCATTATGATCTGCTGCAATTTGAAGCCCACCTTTATTATAATTGATAGTGGTATAGTCATAAAGAAGAGTATACCCTGCAAACGCGCCAACGTCTTTGGGATAATATGATCCACGCAAAATCCCAGAAACTGAGTCACCAACTTTAAATCGGTCTGCAGCTTCTGGGCTTACTTTAATGACGGTGCCGGAAACGTCACAGCCAACCGTGGCACCTTTTGGACCATGTTTAAAAACGGCAGATTTCCAATCGGCTGGATTGAGAGCAAATGCTTCTGATTTAATCAAAATTTTATTAGGAGGAACCTGGTAAGTGTCAAGATTAATTTCTGCAGGTTCAACTTCAACAAGTTTTTTATGTTCTGTGTTTCCAGAAAGAACAATTTTTTCAAATCTAACAATAGTCATTATGAAACAAGAAAAAAAAGAAGAAGAAGAAGAAGAAGAAGAAGAAGAAGAAGAAGAAGAAGAAGAAGAAGAAGAAGAAGAAGAAGAAGAAGAAGAAGAAGAAGGAGAAGATGGATTAAATAAAAAGTTTAGAAGACAGAAGTTTTATAAAAAAAAATGTTAATTGAAGGCAATTGAAAGTAATAAAAAGTGAATTGTATAAAAGAAAGAAAAAAATAACTCAATTTAAGGAATATCATCTTGTATTTATACTTGGGTTATATTGGAAATCACGATATTTTGCACAACAAAGCCCATTGTTGCACTAAAACGTAGTTGAAGGTTTCTAATACCTTCCCCACACCCCATACTAAAGTAGTGACATCTCTGTTTTATTTTAAAAATTCCTAGTTAATTAGAAAAAAAGAAATATCTAAATAATAATTTATTTATTTATTTATTTATTTATTTATTTATTTATTAAAGAGTATCTGAATGATCAGCAGTCTTATTAATTTTTTTTGTAAAAAAAAAAGATATCTATCTTTAGCTAGACAAAAGCTCCTTTTTCATGAGTTCACATTATTTTCTTTAATATATATTCAACGTCTGTCACAATATTATTTCTGGTTAGCTTTGATATTCACTACTAAAATATTAAAAAAGGTCAGTAAAAACAATGCACTGTAGCTCTAAAAGTTTTATGGGAAACGATGTCATGTCTGACTTTTTCAAGAATATATAGTAGCTTGAATGGCCAATTTGATAATTCAAAAAAAAAAAAAAAAAAAAAAAAACTTTACAAAAAACTGCAAAACGACACTTTAAAAATTTAATAGATTTACTCAATGGAATAAATAAATGAAATAAATAAAAATGAGTGAAGTTATACTCTCAATTCTTTTTAATCTTAATGATATGGTTAACTATAACTTACATTTATGAGGACTACATATTGTACTCATCTAAAGTTTATAGTATCGTAGATGACTTTTTTTTATTTAAAAAAAAATCTATACTTGACAACATTAATTTCTTTAAATATATTACTGATTAGATTATAGAAGCCCTGAAAAATAATTTAGTTTAGTTAAAGTTCCGTTCTCTATGTGTTTTTTTTTTGTATATATTGTCAAAAGTATGTGATAAGATTTTGGTGGTAACTTGCATTTTTTTCTTTTTTTTTTTTTTTTTTTTTTTTTGGAGAGAAGGGGTTTGAGAGCCGCACTATATCGCGTGTTCCTGAATTGATTGTGGCGAGTGACAAAAAAAAAGGAATATTATGACCATCAAAAAAGATATCGATATATATATATATATGAAGTTTTAGTAGTTTATTATTTTCTTTATTTTTAATTAATTTTACAAAAACTATATTAATGAAAAAAAAAAGATCAATAAAGATCTTCGTCTTCTTCTTCTGTTAAAACTTGTTCCTCCATCTTTTTTAATCCAGGAAGTCTTAAGCCTCCCATGGTTGAGAATCCTCCTTTATTTAATGAATCAAGTTTTTTAGGATTTATCATTGGACTTGTAAATTGCATGCTACAATCGTAATATGATTTCATCGTAGAGTTAAATCTGTTGTTGTTTTTAGGTTCGTTTTCCTCGTCCTCCTCTTCAGAGTCATACATGTAGTCATCTTCTGATTCTGAAGAATCTTTAGCGTCATCTGAGATCAACTCGGGAGCATGGCCCAAATCAGAGCATTGGCTGGTAGTAGTATCTTGTTTTAACAAATAATTTTGAATAGAAACTGTGGAAGGTGTGGATAATGAAATCTCTGAATCAAATTCATGGGCTTTTATGTTTTCTGGACTTGGAGTGATAACGGTTTCTGTGAAAGACCCAGTGGGTTGTTTCTGAGTGTTTTCTATAGTTGAAGAATTCATTTTGTATTTTAATTTTAAATGTTTAGCTAATTTGTGTATTTGTATATTTGTGTATAATAAAAGCTGTTTGTAAGTTTGATTTATTTATTATAGAATGTAATGATGATGATTAAAGAAAAGATGTTGGATTTAAAAGGGATCCAGGTTTTATTTATACTTCCTGTCTTTTTTTTTTTTCTTTTTGGCAAGTCCATAAAAAAATAACGGTAGCATTATAATGGTATAATTCAGAAACCGAATCCTGGAGGAGTGTGGGTGGGGGGGGTTTAAAATAAATAAATAAATAAAAAAAAAAAAGAAGAAGACATAAATTCAAGAATATTAATTTTATGTAGCGATTAAGCCGTAAATAAAAATAAAAAAATACAATTTTTATGCTTACGAAGATTATTTAATTATAATAATTATAATGGGCAAAAAAAAAAACGTATAAGCCGCACCGGAATTCCCTAACCCCAAATGTGACAAATTGTGGCATTTTTTAGATACTTCATCATTTGACTAAAAAACAAGGTATGGGATCATTTAAGAAAGAAAAGAACATTATAAATATATATATATATATATATTTATTATATTTGTTATTATTTTTTAATTCATATATACAAAATATAATTGAAAAAAAACATTAATAGAGATCTTCGTTGTCTTCATTTAGATATAAATCTTCATTCATCTTTAAACCAGGAAGTCTTAAACCTCCCATGGTTGAAAATCCACCTTGATTTAATACGGGATTTGTTTTTCTTGATTTAATTGTCTCAAAGATCATTGGATTTATGAATTGCATTGGACAACCATGGTAACCTTGTACGGTTATGTCAAACCTGTTATCATTTTCTTCATTTTCTTCTTCTTCTTCTTCTTCAAAATCGTACATATATTCATCTACTGATTTATATTCAGAGATATCTTTAATACCATCTGATATCAAATATGGAACAGAATCTTTTTCAAGGTATGATTTTGTAGGTTGATTTACAGGAGAAGGTTTAATGATCGTTTCTGAGGGCATTTTCTGTGTAATCATAAAAGTGATAGTAGTAGGGTTACTAATATTATCTGAAGATGTAAAAGTAGGGTTTTCAGTGAAAGACCCAATGGATTGTTCTTGAACAATTTTGGAAGATATTGTGATATTATCAGTGCTTGAAGAGTTCATGGTAGATGTTTAAGTAAGATTTATTTGAATTGAAAATTTAAATTAAGATCTGAAACAGTTTGTAAGTTATTGGTCTGTTGATAGAAAAGTAGATTTAAAAAGAATTCAAGTCTTATTTATATACTATACTATAGAATTTTTTTCTTTTGTGTATATATCTTTAGAAATTAAGTGCATTGTATTTAACTGATTGATATCATGCTGTTAAAACATGAATTTAGGAAATTTAGTTAGTTTAACTGGGGCTTAGAATATATAGTTACACTACTTTAATGCGATATTTGGAGTGGTATGCAAATCATAGAATAACCAACCATATTGTTAGTTTGATATTAATAAACTTGATGCTCCTGTAAGCCGCATCAATTTAAGATTTTCGAAGCAGTCAAAAATTGTGCTGAGTTTATTATTTGGGTAGATACACTGTAGTCACTTGACAAGAGAAATTGAAAAGAAATGAATACTTTTTTTTCTTTTTCTTTTTTTTAATTTTGAATTTTGAATTTTGAATTTTGAATTTTGAATTTTGAATTTTGAATTGTTCAGTTTGAAATATATAGTAAAGCCAGAACTATCAATATTACTCCACAGGCAATTATTTAAGCATTAGGGGATGGTCTTTTCCAAAGCCTCGAGAATGTCAACAAAGAACTACACTAGTTGCGCTTATCTCCACGGATCGTTGCCATTGTATGTATATAAATGATAGAAAAAGCATATATTGAGACCCCGCATTTTATTTTATTTCACTTTATTTTATTTTAAATGTTTTTATTATATCAGGTTATCTTTTCTTTCCATCTTTCATCCTCTATCCCCCGCTAATAGCCGAATGTCCAGTTGGTTAGTTTTTATGCTCATCTCACCCAACCAGCCAAACAGCCAACTAAACAGCCAGCTAATTTGCTTTGCAAAGCAACTCCACCCGCCCACCGCTTAACCGCCGAAACACGTGACTTACATTTTAAAAATCCTACCGCTGAAGCTCCGGACCCAAAGCTCGGCAGTCCCTAATATACGCAAAAGTCCCGGATATACGCACTCATATGCCGTTTGCCTACTTCCTCCCAACCGCCGATAGATTTGCTTGGAAAAGACTTATTTGTGATTGGCTGGAGTAATAATTTTATAGAATAATATAATTATATATATGTCTTGGGGCCATTTTAGAAATTTTTTTTTTTTTTTCATTCACTAGCAAAAAAAAAAAAAAAAAGTAAAAATAATAATTATTGAGTCTTCATCATCATCATCATCATCAACATTATATCTTTAAAATCTTCCTTCCTCCCCTCTCCCCGCTTGCCGCCGCCACTCCATACTAATTGATTGATTGATTGTAGACTGTTTGTACATTTGCTTGTATCTGAAATATCTGAAATATTTTAATTTAAATTATTTAAAAAAAAAAAAAAAAAGAACTCCCCCAGGTGGGCTTTGGGGCTCTACATATAAAGTCTCCAGTACTCAACAGTCGTAGCAACAGTTCCCCATCCTTATCCTTCCCCCCCTCCCATATTTGTATTTAAATATATATAGCCATATACAGGATCTTCCCAATTTCGGCGGACCGGGTCTTTCTTTGTAAATAAAGTACCAAAAAAAAAAATAAAAAATAAATAAAAAGGGCCGATCATAGTATCATCATTGTCGATTAAAAACTGGAGGAAAATTATCTTTGACCGAGGTTTATCCGCTAAAAAAAATAATAGGAATTTTATTTATATTTTTTTTTTTTTTTTTGTAGACAAAAATGAAGACCTAAATATCTTTAATCCCATACACTCCCCACACATACACATACATACACACCACCATTGCTGGTAGACCAAAAGTTATAAAAAGACCGACTGTCCCCCGCCTTTTTTTCTTTTTTTTTTATATATATATATATAATTGAAATCTTTCTGAAAAAAAAATTTTTTTTTTCTGTATTTTAATAATAAACTGGTTGAATCCTTTTTTTTTTTTTTTTTTTTTTCCTTCTTCCCCCTTTAAACATCCAGTAAGATTTAAAAACCTTTCCTTTTTTAAATACTTATTTTGGTTGAATATTCAACTTGGAAAGCCCAGTTTATTATCAAACCCTCCATATAATATATATATCTCAAGTGATTGGGCTTCTTCTTCTTCTTCTTTTTCTATAATCACGACAACTTCTAAATGATCCGAACAACTCCTACCACTTCTGCTGCTTCGCCAGCTCTTCGTACCCTCAGAAAGGCTCTTCTGCGGCCTACTATGACTCTCTCGGTACCATCCACCCGTGCTGCTTCTACCCTCAGATCTAACAACAACTCCAATTCCAGATCCACTCGCAAACAATTAACATCCACTAGACAACAATCCATCTTTTCCAGACCTTCCACTGCATCCACTTCTTCTCTGACCCATAGAACTTTTGCCTCAATCGCTGATGCTACCCCAGAGCAACAGGCCGAGGCCGATCCCCTACTCACCGAGCCCCGCGAGGCTGATGAGGTCGACGTTGCCATTGTCGGTGGTGGTCCTGCCGGTCTTGCGGCCGCCATTCGTCTCAAACAACTCGACAATGAACACGGATCCGGTGAACTTCGCGTGGTTGTCCTCGAAAAGGCCCCTGAAATGGGTGCTCATACACTCTCCGGTGCCGTTCTAGAACCCCGTGCTCTCGACGAGCTCTTTGGCCCTGAATGGCGCGATGAACCCCCAGAAGCAATCACCTTGGTCAAAAATGAAACCATGCGTTACCTCACTAAATCCGCTGCCATTCCTATCCCGGAACCCCCACAAATGCACAATGCCGGCAAAAACTACATTGTTTCTCTTAACCTTGTCGTCAAGTGGCTTGCTGAAAAGGCCGAGGAACTCGGTGTCGAAATCTACCCAGGCTTCTCGGTCTCTGAACTCGTCTACGATGAAGAAACTGGCGCCGTCAAGGGCATTGCAACAAACGATATGGGTGTCTCCAAGAACTTTGAACCCAAGGATAACTTCCAACGTGGCATGGAATTCCACGCAAAGGCTACCCTTTTGGCTGAAGGCTGCCACGGTTCTCTCACCAAGCAGGTCATTAAGAACTTCAACCTTCGCAAGGAATCAGACCCCCAAACCTATGGTATCGGCATCAAGGAGGTCTGGGAAGTCCCCGAGGAAGTCTGGGATGAAGGTTTTGTTGCCCACACCATGGGTCACCCCCTTTCCTATAATACCTACGGTGGTGGCTTCATGTACCACTTTGGTGAGCGCCTAGTATCTGTTGGTCTTGTTGTTGGTCTCGACTATGCCAACCCTTACATCAGCCCTTACCAAGAGTTTCAAAACCTCAAGAGACACCCGTTCTACAAGCGTGTTTTGGAAAAGGGTAAGTGTGTCTCTTATGGTGCCCGTGCTCTCAACGAAGGCGGTCTCCAATCTATTCCTAAGCTTTCTTTCCCCGGTGGTGCCCTCATTGGCTGCACTGCTGGCTTCCTTAACGTCCCTAAAATTAAGGGTACCCATACTGCCATGAAGTCTGGTATGCTGGCCGCTGAAGCTGCCTTTGCTGAGCTTCAAAAGGCTGCTGCCGAAACTGAGGAAGCTGCTGAAGAAGAAGAATCCGCTGAGGAAACTTCTGAAGAAGCTGCTGAAGAAGAAGAAGAAGATGGTGCTTCTGCTCCTTGGAAGCCTCTTTCTTTGGAATCCTACGAACAATCCCTCAAGGACTCTTGGGTCTACAAGGAGCTTTACGAGGTCCGCAATGTTCGTCCATCTTTCAACACTCGTCTTGGTCTTTTTGCCGGTGTTGCATGGTCCGGTCTCGACACCCTGTTGTTTAAGGGCCGTGTTCCCTTCACTTTCCACAACAAGGTCACCGATGCTGCCCACACTCAAGATGCTTCCAAGTTCAAGCCCATTGATTACCCCAAACCCGATGGTGTTGTTACCTTTGATCTTTTGACTTCCGTCTCTCGTACCGGTACTAATCACGACGACGACGAACCGTGCCATCTGCGTGTCCCCGAGCAGGATCTTGATCGTCACGCCAAGGCCGCCTGGCCCAAGTATAAGGGTGTTGAGCAACGGTTCTGCCCTGCTGGTGTCTATGAATACATCCCTGATGAGACTAAGGAACTCGGCGTCCGATTCCAAATTAACTCCCAAAACTGTATCCACTGCAAGACCTGCGACATCAAGGTCCCAACACAGGATATCAACTGGACTGTTCCAGAAGGTGGTGATGGCCCCAAGTACTACATGACTTAAGCGGGGGGAACAAACGGTTTCTGAATTTTTTTTTTTGTGTGTATAGAATATGATGACAATAATAGCAATAATAATGAACCTGTAAAGAATAATTTATTTTTTTTTCACTAATATCTCACTAATATTTCACTAATATTTTACTGATGTTTCACTGATGTTTCACTGATGTTTTTATTGTTTTTATTGATAAAGTTCCCTAAATAATACATGTAAGCCATTTTTTATATCTCATTTTTATAAATCATTTTTTATTTATCCAAAAAAAAAAAAAAAAAAAATTGTTCATATTCATGTTCATGCGGCCCATATAATCAAATCTTGACGGCTCGAGCCTAATTTCCCTGGAATGGATGCTGAAGAAGAGCCCTCCAAATCCCCTGCACTGCTCCTACTTGCTCCATCAATATCACTGCCACCTTCGCCGCCACACATTCTTAGCTCCATTGCCATTTGGATATCCTCATCACTGCGCATTGTCACAAAATCATCATCCTCATCCTTATACTTGATCCTCAGAGGGTTTGGCATCTGACTCGCACACAAGCGCACCTTGCGCTCTACGCGCTCCAATAACTCAGCATATGTCACAGCCGCCGGCATAATCAGCAAAAACGTATCATCCAAATAGTGCAGCTTCACCGTAATCTTCTGAGGCTTAGTCGGGCTCTGTGCAAACCCATTAACTCCATTAGCGTGGCCATTGTTGCTGCCGTTCAAGTTGCTCGACCCATTGCTGCCACTCCCAGAGTTGCTCGTTGAGTCCGGACTCACCGTCACTGTTGCCGTTGCTGTCGCTGAGCCCTTGTTTTGGGACCCAGTGAATTGAAGACCTCCCCCCACCAACGGTGCTGTTGCCGAAAGAGAAGGTAAAAACATCGTGCTGGTACTGCTGCTGCTGGCGGTACTCAAGGTGCTCGATGAGCTGGCCATACTTGCAATGCTGCTGATACTGTTTTTGTGGTTGGATGGCCCGTTTAAAGGGGACGACTGATCAATGTTGCTGCTGCTGCTGCTGTTGCTGCTGTTTCCGCTGCCGCCTCCGCTGCTACCGTTACCACCCATCATAAGCCCCACAGATGAAACTGATCCTGCCCGCGTCCGCGAGTTTCCTGACAATCCCAGCTCAATCGCTGTTCCCATGCTTAACCGCTCGCCTGTAGGCCCAAAAGGGCTTGGCATTGTGCCGACACTTGTTCGGTCTACTCCTCCTCGTAACATATAGTCATTAGTATTATCGTGGACAGAATTTCGAAGACATGCCGCTGCCGATGGGCCTGCTCCTCCAGAAGAATAAGCCGCTGACATACCACCGTCAATTGATAAATGGCCATTATTACCAGTAGTGCCGTTACCACGACCATTCATTGGTGGACCTGTCTTAACAATTCGCGGTGATAGTGATGGTGTGAGCATTGCTTCCGGACTGTCAAGAACCGATGGCAAGTCTTTGGGGGTGCCATTACCCGCATTTGCTGTATTACCACCACCGAGTTGACTGGGTGGAATGCTGCACGCACGGGTACGCATATTTTGGAAATGGTGAGCAGGGTGCAGAGCCGAAAGCGAAGCGGTGGAATCCTGCCGTACCGCTTGTCGTAAGTTGCCTTCAGACGAAACATGAGTGTTTGCCAGGTCATCGGCGAGGTGCTGCACACTATGGCTACTGCTTCGGTTAGTATTAAGGGCAGTGTTTTGCTGAGCCTGATCAATAGGGTAAGACAATGTATTTAAACCTTGATGAAGAGCTGCCAAAGTGTCTTCATCGTATTGTCTGTGGTTATTATTGTTGTTGTTGTTGTTGTTGTTGCTGCTGCTGCTGCTGCCCTGGTTGTTTGTAATGTACATGTCGTCGTCATCATCATCATCATAAGAAGTCCCGTTAACCTCTGAATGACCAAAGGATTGAGAAAAGGAGTTTTGACGGCTTTGAGCATTGAAGATCTGCTGTTGCTGGTGAAGCAGGTGTTGTTGCTGAATTTGTTTTTGCTGTTGTTGCTGCTGGTATTGCTGGAGAGTACTCGTGGGTAAATAACCATTGCTGGGAAGCATAAGAGCACCGTAACCCTGTGTGTGCAAAAGAGTTTGTTGATGAGGCGGGGCAACAGGAATGAGGTCCGCAGCATTAATCTCGTCATTATAGTGATCCACAAGAGACTCAATGGTACTGCGCCACAACTCAAGCTGTTCATCATGCTTGAAGCGAATGTCGAAAAAGCCCGTGTCTGTCGCATCGTCACGGCCCCAAGCAATGTGGAGAAGGTAGCCGTTGGAAACAAAGGCGGAAACATTTGTAATGTATGCAATATAGATGCGACCTTTGAGAATAAGAACAGATGAGCGCTTGATCTTGTTTTTCTTTGTGCTGAGAGCCATGGACTTTTTAGAAGGAGAGGCTTCCTTGCAGCAAAGAATAATATTTTCAAAGAGATAAAGGTGATATTCGCGTTCAGTACCAGCCTTGAGAACAGGGAAAACGCCATCATGGATTAGGTTTCCAAAGTCGTCCACGTTATGACCCTTCCAGTCAACCAATCTTTCGGAAAGATCACGAACCACTTCCTTATTTTCAACACGACGTTTGGTTTCATTTACACTAGCAGTCACTCTGCGGATAGCGTCAAGAGCATCGACTTGTTCCTGATAATTGGGATAATCCTTGGGAGTGTATTTGACGAGTTGTTCGAGAAGCAAGGGATACTTGCAAATGCGCTGAATAGGTTTGATAAGGAAGGAGGGAAGCTCATAATGGGGGTCGAGAATATCTTTAAGAGGCTGCAGTTTTGCTGATTCGCTTGCAGCAATGTCACAAGCCTTTTTGTAGTGGAGTGCAAACCCCTCATAAACCTCAAAGCCTTCTTGAAAGTTTAAAAAGACGGAGCCAAATCGCTGTTCTTCTGGGGGGAGATGAGCATGGTACTCAATGCCAATGAGAAATCTGCGTTGGAAGTCAATAAGAACATTAAGGCTTGGGAAAAGATTATGAATAGTGTCAGCAGAGAGTACTCCGAGGTCCTGTAGTTTACACTGGTACTCATGGAGGAGTTCCAAATCCTGAACAAATTTGCGCTCAGTCATGAGGATTTCCTCCACGACCTTGTCGCGTCTATCACGAGGTGGTCTGAGGGAGGAAATTGAGGATTTTTTGTTTTTAGCCGGAGTGATGAGGTTACGAGACTCTAAAGTATCCAAAACGAGTTTAACCGTACGAATAACCTAAAAGGGGAAGGGGGGAGATGGGAGAAAAGCGTTAGTTTAATTTTTTTTTCTTGTTTTGCTGTTATTTTGCCAAAAACGACTAGTGTGGAGCTAAGTGGTGGTGGTGGCGGCATCAAGGCGGTAAAGGGAGGAAGAGGGGGGGAGGGTGAAAAGGCCCATTTTTTATTCACATGAAACTTACTTTGAGAAGGTCGGTTGTATTGTCTGAGAAGACGTTTGAGATTGTAAAGATATCATCATCGGAATAATCGAGTTCGGATTTGCAGCCCTGGAGAAAGTCGTAAACAGAGCGCTTGCAACGCTTGACATCGCTTGTAATTGCAACTTCGAGGGGTTCTTTTGGTTGGAGAGCATTAAAGAGGGCGCATAAGGAAGAGCCGAGACGAAAAAACTGCCAGAGATGAGTGACGGGATCGATTTTCATGCCAACAGGGATGACAGCAGAGGAGGAGAGAGAGAGCGAAGAGTTTGTGTGCTGGATGGTTGTTGAAGAAGATGCAGAGGCTGAAGAAGATTGTTGTGGTACTGCTGTTGATATGCTTGAATTGGTGGATACAGTTGCTAGAGGCAGGTCAGCTGCTGAGTTTCTATCTGGTGTAGAAGATTGATTCTGTTGTTGTTGTTGTTGTTGTTGTTGTTGTTGTTGTAGTTGTTTTTGTTGAAGTTGAAGTTGAAGTTGAATAAGATGTTGTGGAGGCAAATTGCCTATACACATTTCAAGAAACGGCGGAATTCCCGGGACATCTTCGAGTCTATCCTTAACTTGTGCTGCAATTTGAAAGAGAGAAGAGGACTCGGAGGCCTTTTTGTTTCCGGGGACGTTGGCCGGGACCGGAGCAGTTGGGGTCTGAATTGTGACTGAGTGTGAAGAGGAAAAGGGGTTTGATATGGATAACGACAGGGACGGGCCTGGCGATGGTGTAAGAGATGGGGATGGGGCCTGTGAAGATGGCGAGGAAGAAGGTGTAGAAGAAGAAGAGAAAGAAAAGGAGGAAGATGATGATGGAGATGAAGAGGAAGAGGAAGAATCTGTTGAGAAAAGGTGGTGGCCGAAATGGAAAAGGTTGGCTGCAGATACGCTATTGCTTCTTGAGCGAGCAGAAGAGCTGTGAGACCGGAGGTGGCCTAGAGTATGAGAATGAGTATGAAAGAGAGATGAAGAGGTGCTTTGGTGGTGGCTGTTGTTGTTGTTGTTGTTGTTGCTGTTATTGTTATTATTATTATTATTGTTGTTGTATTGGGGGGTTGAGGAGACTGGAGTGACTGTGGTGGAGTTACTAAGGCTGTTGTTGTTGCTGTTGTTACTAGATCTGCTAGGGCTACTACTGTTGGAGATACTTTGCTTGAGACCCGAATAGATCATTCTTAAAAGAAAGAATGAGAATCAGAGAATGTCAGAGAAGTATAATTGTTTTCAGAGATAAGAAATTGGCTGATATATGTGTGATATATATATATATAAATTTTAATGTATATATATTGTTAAGAAAAAGTCCTATTTGGTGATTTGAAGGAATAGAAAAAGGGTGGTTTGTTTTTGAGTGGGGGAAAATTATGTTATAGTCTAATATTAAAAAAAAAAAAAAAAAAAAAAAAAAGGGTGCGATTAGGAAATCAACAGGGTTTGATTTTTTTTTTTTTTCAAAGTGGTGGCAGTGACAAAAACTAAAAAAAATAAATTAAATTAAATTAAATTAAATTAAATTTAATTAATAAAAAATAAAATAAAATAGTTTTATGGGTTAGGTTTTTTATTAATCTCTATTTGTCATTATTATATAATTCACGTGCTTATTATTAGTTCCAAAATCTTGTGCTTGCTATTTTGCCTCTTGGTGTGTTTATGTGTCTTGCTTTATATATATATATAAAAAAAAAAAAAAAAAAGCGCCTTTATATATTTTGGTGTTTTTGCACACCGCCCGTATTTTTTTTTTAACCTTCCACCACCACCCCCCTTTATATAAACCATCAACTAACATCACCATCATTACCAAAACCAAACAATGGCAACCCGCGAAATCATAAAACGCAAAATCGTCATTGTCGGCGATGGAGCGTGCGGAAAAACATCGTTACTTTGCGTATTTACATTAGGAGAATTCCCCAAAGTATGAATCTATAACACATCTTGTTGATAATGATAATGATAATGATAATGATAATGATAATGATGTTGATGATGATGATGATAATGATAATGATAATGATGTTGATGATGATGATGATGATAATTGCATAACAATAACAACAATTGACCAATGGTCCTAAACCAGTGCAGCCAAATAACAAAAACTTTTGAATTTGAATTAATTTATTATTATCATTATACTTGTTTATTATTTCTATTATTGTTAACCATTTCAATTCTTTTTTTTTTGTTTTATTTTAGGAATATGTAAGTCCCTCCATCTCAGAAATCAACATTCAAAAACACAATCCTCCAGCCTTTCGTCATTCTTTTCTAACATTCTAAATCGTCTTTTTTCCCCTCTCTCTTATTAGCATCCAACTGTCTTTGAAAACTATGTAACAGACTGTCGTGTTGAAGGCAAATCAGTCCAGCTGACTTTATGGGATACAGCGTATGTATCAACATCCTTTATTTATTTATTTTTATTTAAAACTATAATTACATCCTTCTTTTTGTTTTTTTATTTATTTTTAAAAATTGTCTAAAAAGTCTAATCTTTCTCATCTTTATTTACTAATATATATATATATATATATATCCAGCGGTCAGGAAGAATACGAAGTATGCAAAGAAATCATATCTAAGATTAACAAAACATTGATTAACCATTCAAACCCTCTTTCTCTCTCTCTCTCTCTCCCTCTCCAATCTTCCTTCATTTAGAGATTACGCCCATTATCATATTCAAAAGCTCATGCCATCTTAATAGGATTTGCTGTTGATAGTCCTGACAGTTTAGAAAATGCAAAAACAAAGGTAAGCTTTTTTCATTAAAAAAAAAAAAACTTTGTTTGCTTCTTGTGATACATACGCAATTGTTTCTTCACTCCTTTTTATACACCAACTAATTTCCATTTTTTTTCTTCATATAGTGGATAGAAGAGGTCAATGAATTATGCCCTGGAGTGCCGGTACTACTCGTTGGCCTTAAAAAGGATCTCCGCACAAACCCTGTGGCGGTTGAAGAGGTCCGTAAACGTTCGTCATACTTTGTGTCCCCTGAAGAGGCTCAGCAAGTTGCAAAAGAAATAGGGGCACGCAGATATCTCGAGTGCTCAGCGCTTACCGGTGAAGGTGTTGATGATATCTTTGAGGTTGCTACCCGTGCATCTCTGCTTGTTAACACTGTCCCGCCTCATTCATCTTGCTGCATTATTCTATAAAGAAGAAACAAGGAAGTGAATACAACAACAAGAAAAAACATATAAACTTGGTGATTATGACCAGACTAATGACGACGATGATGATTCCCTTTTTAAAAAACTAAAAGAATTCCCATTTTTAATGACGTTATGATCATGATGAAGACGAAGAAGAAACAGAATGATTTCAAAATAAAAGTAATTTAAACCAACATTCCATCTAGCAAAAAAAAAAAACCATGGCAGATTCTTAATCTTTAATTCTAATTTTTTTTTTTTTCAAAAAACAAATATCAGCCAAAATTTGCAAAAACACATACAACACATTCCAGAATTGTCATTCCCTACCTTATTCCACTCCTTTTATATCTATATCAATTCCATCAGAGAGAAGAAAATACGAAAAAAAAAATAATATTATTGCTATTTAAAACTTTCTTGATAAACAGAACCCATCCAACTTGTTCCCTCGCTCCTTTTAACTATTCTTATCAACAATTAATCAACCAACATACAATAACCAACTACTGTTCATTCTTTTTCTTTTTTTTTTTAATTTGTGCTTTTCCATTTTTCTCTGTTTTGCTTTTTTTAATTCCAATTTTAATTTCCATGCTCGTTTATTTCTCGCACACATAAATTTTCATTTTCATTTTCATTTTTTTTTTCATTTTTTCGATCTATAAATAAAAAAAAAGGAATACACATAAAATTGATATATAAATGTGTATGTGTTTTTTTTTGTTCTTGATCCGCTCTTTTTAGTTCATCTATAACATCTGCCATTCTTTAGATACATCACATTTGCACTCTTTTTTTTTCTCATTCCTCTTGTCAACTTCTATATATATATTTATAATATAAATTAATTAATTAATCTCATTCATACAATTGTTTTCCAGTCTTTTTGAAGCAAATGCTTATTAACTATATTAGTTAGTATATTGGACCCTAAAAAAAGGCTCAATTGGAATAGATACCCATTCCTAAATATATTTTTTTAAAAAAAAAGGCATAGTATACAACGTTCCTATGGCCCCTAAAATTTTTCCGCGCCCTTTTTTTTTCTCTCCCCTTCTTTATCCATTCAATAAACAATATACTTCAATGTGCCCTGACAACTAAAAAGAAAAAGTCAATAAAGGCAACTGTTTGGGTTTTTTGCTATATATATCTCACTAAAAATATTATATATATATTTTTAAATCAAAAGACGTGGAGACATGAAGTTAATAATAGCAGCTGCATAGTTACGTTTTTCCCTTTTTAAGGAGTTACGAAGGTACTGGCTGGCTGCATAACCAGATTGCACAGCCCAAAAACACGCATACAACATAAAAGTACTTTTACAAGAATAAAAAAAAAAAACTTTAAAAAACGACAGCTTGAGTTGAAAATAAATGGAATCTTGAAAAAGTCTCAACCTTTTCATAAGTACTCAGAGATTGTGTGCTTTTTATCTTCACAATTTTATAAATAAATGATATAAAAAAAATTCTATAATTATTTTTTTTTCGTTTTTTACAAGTACAACTATAAAAACTATGGACAAAAATAAACTGTAGAAAACTCCATTAATTACCAATTCTAGCTACAGTGAATTATTAGGGGAAACTTCAATCACAAATCCTCAAATTGGGGCCTCAAATACCTCACTCATTCCTTCAGCCATACTATTTTATCTACTTTCCTTATAAACATCTCCATTAATTCTCACCATCACTACTCTCCTTTTCATCATCATCATCCTCATCATCCTCATCGCCCATCTGTTCATCCGAATCAGATCCCCTTTCTTCCACAACAGTAGCTTCCTTCTTAGTCACTGTATTGTATCTTCTACTCGGCGTCCACTCCTGATCGTCTTCATCATTATCAGTCATCCCATCCAATTCAACATCTCCATCCTCATCAGCCCCTACCATCCCTAAATCTTCTTCTTCTTCTTCTTCTTCTTCTTCAACATCGCCTTCATCATAAAAACTCAAATCAACATCCCCATCCTCATCCTCTTCAATCTTGCTATTGCCTCCTTGCTTTTCCCTCTCCAGCTGCTGCTCAGAACTTTCCTGTAGTTTAAGCGACGTAGACTCTTTATTAATAAGCCCATGCAATCTGCTATTACTACGACCCTCCAAAGATGACCCTCGAGAGTGCATATCGTGTCTGTGGTTTCGTTCCCGACTCTGCTCGCGACCAAACCCATGAGCCCACTTGTTTTCCTTTCTATTTTTCACTAATCGATTAGGAACTTCATTCATAAACTCTTCCTCTATCTCCTTTTCCCTTTCTTCGTGGTCCTCAGGATAGTACTCATTTAGTTCAGCATACATGAGTGAGGCAAAGTGTTTCGCAGCCGCATTGGCAGCAGCTTGTGGTCCATTCTTTTCAGACAATTCAGGAAGCTCTAAAAACCCATTTCCAGAACGGCCTGGTCCCCCACGAATCAACGGTTTGGAAAATGCAGCCTCAGGACTCTCAAGCAGAGAGGGTACTTCGGAACCACTAGCTGGAATGTGTGCCATCTTGTGATGGCCTGTTTGTAAACCACCAACTGCCCCAATAACTGTTGCATCTCGTAGCGGAATCCCTGAACCCCCGCATTCGCTTACAAGCCGCTCCACAGCACCAACTTGATCAAGCCGCGATCGCAGCTTAGAAAGTTGCTCATCTAACTCCAATTCACGTCCAGTCTCAGCTTCCACTGCAGAATTATGACGAAACGTAAGCCAATATGACTCTTCTGGCTTATCATCTACAGTCATATCATTGTCCTTATCATCCTTGTCATCCTTATCATCTTTCGTACATTTAACAGCTTCCTCATCAATTATCGCATTTAATGTACGCGACATGACCAGATCATAGACAAACTCTCGTGTCAACTCTTTCTTTTGTGTACTAAAGTATCCCACTATAGGTAAAACAAGTTCGATATCAGCAACTGAAGACGACTTCTTACCGCTGTTTCCAATGTTGCTGTTGCTCCGTTCAACCTTACTCTTTAAGAATTCAGATACATAGTCTTCAAAAGTTTGGCCGTGACTGACAGACTCAGTAGGAGTGGCCGTTCCACCCACAATCATTGTCGATTGATTAACTCTTGAGTGTGTTGGAGAATCTATGTGGCCTGGTGTAGCCGTGCCTGGAATATCTGCTATATTTTTTGTTGTGGTTCCTGATGCAAATGCTGCGTCAATGGGTGATGCAAAAAATTTATAATCTTTTTTCTTATACACAACCGGATCAAAAACATTAGCTAAATAATCGCGGCTTGCATCAGCGTTGATAAGTGTGGATTCGCTTACTGATAGATAATACTCAGGAAGATTTAAAAAGTAAAGCTCACGGTGTTTGTTGACAAGTGTATGGATTTCATCCGCCAACTGGTATTTTTCGATCTTGGGCATTTGGACCAGAACCTCCCACAAAAAAGGTAAAGCAGGAGTACCCATTCTCTTGTTGAATTGACCGCCAACTATAGCCTCTACGGGGGCTGCAGTTTCACCGTAAAGATATGTAAAAAGGTTTCTTCCTTGAAGCTTGCCCACCGCATTAAGATACTGATCCACAGAAATGTGTGAGCTGTGAAGTTCAATGGAGTTGGGGTTATTTTCAAATTCGGAGCTTTTATTACGTTTAACCTCGCCTGAAATATTTTTCAAATTACTCGCAACAAGTAACGTCAATGCAAAGTGCACAAAAACAAGTTCACTGTGCATCCAGGGACACGCTGCAAGAGCAATAGTAACATGCTCTAGTGCCTCAATATAATTCTTTTGTTCAAACAGAAGTTTGCTGGCATGAAAGTAATAAATGAAAAGTGTGGCATAGTTTGTGCCAAACTGCGGGTCTGGGCGAAAATGCAAATGGAACAAACGTCCAGAATCAGGTTGATTTGCAGTTTTGGGGAGATATGGAGCTACAATTGCATGGTGAGAAAGTTCACTCGCAAGTTTCATAAATGATGAATGCAAAGGTGTAAGTCTAGATTCGTGATACTGAACACTGATTGTAGAATCCTTGGATTTTTTAGCGTGTGCCTCAAGACGATCAGTACCGTTACGCAAAAGGTGGAGAAGCGCCGTTTGATATTGAGAACTTTTAATACCTAAAAGAACCTGTCGGGAAAATTCTCGGACTATTAAAGTTAGAATAAAAAAAAAAAAAAAAAATCAACTTACAAACATGGCCCACTTTTTTGGCTTCGTCGGGATCAAAATTAGTAAGGAACTGTGATACTAGCTCAAGTTTTGTTATCTCAGGCACTTTGTCAATGGCGAGTAACAGGGTCCTAAACCGTTAGAAATATTTCAATTGAATTAAGGGAAACTAACTTACAGTTCATAAAGCCATGGAATTGTAGCTGTATTAATAGCATCTGAGTACTCTGTCAGAACACCAGCAAGCTCAGTAGAGGGCCTATAGATCCAAGTAGTAAGTGATGTGTTATTAGGCGACTTGGTACTTGATGAACTGCTGCTACTGCCACTCGTTCCAGAACTACTTAAAGCTCGTTTGGTGTGCACAAAGCCGTAATAATTGTCTGCATGAAGAATAAGTCCGGTAAAGGAGGTCAGTGAAACGGTCCGGGTAGGAGCCACGTACGCGCGAAACTTGCGCATCATTTCCGCTTGTGACCCCGATAGCTCGGCAGTTTTTGGCAAGCTCTCGGACGACTCAGGCACCGAAAGTTGCTTTGTTTTTTTCGATGAAGAATTGCTTGTCATTGGACGGTGCTGTTGTTGTTGTTGTTGTTGTTGTTGTTGTTGTTGTTATTATTATCGATATTGTTGACAATTGTTGATAATAATTGATTGTTGGTGGTGATAAAAGATTGGTGGCGGCAATTAAAAGTAAAACCCTGGCCCCCAAAAAAGAAAGCCCTAACCCTGTATTGTGGGGTCTTGTTTGTAGTTTTCTGAGTCATCAGCCAGAATTTTTCAAAATTTTTCCTTCCTTTTCAACCCACAAGTTTCCGAGCCCAGAAAAATCTTTCTTCTCCAGATTTTATTTTAAATTCTTCGCTTCAAACCAGATATCTAAAGACCCCTCTCTTTAAATACCAAAGTCACACTTTTTTTTTTTTCACATAGAATACCAAATGTCTAGCGAAGCTGAAACCATTGCTAAGACTGCCCGCAGGGCCTCTAACATCATCAAGACCCTTTCAAATGAACAACGCAGTACTGCCCTGAAAAGCATCTACGACACTCTTCGCGACCATAAGACCCAAATTCTTGAGGCCAATGAGAAGGATCTCGCCGAGGCCCGTGCTGCCAACTTCCCTAGCTCTCTTATCAAGCGTCTGGACCTGACGGTTGGTGACAAGTACGACTCGATGCTGCAAGGTGTGCTAGACGTTGCTGCTCTCGACGACCCCGTGGGCAAAATTACACTTGCCACTAAACTTGATGAGGGCCTTGATCTCTATCGTGTCACAGTCCCCGTTGGTGTTCTGCTTGTAATTTTTGAAGCTCGCCCTGAAGTCATTGCCAATATTTCTGCTCTCGCTCTCAAGTCTGGCAACGCGGCAATTCTCAAGGGCGGAAAGGAGTCCACACACACCTTCAAGGCCATGGCTGCATGCGTTACCAAGGCTCTCGAGGCCACCGGAACTGTTCCTGCTCACACAATTCAGCTTATCACTACTCGTGAGGAAGTTGGCTCGCTGCTTAGCCAAGATATGTACATTGACCTTGTCATTCCGCGCGGTTCCAACGCCCTGGTGCGTCACATCAAGGAAAACACAAAGATCCCCGTGCTTGGTCATGCCGATGGTATTTGCTCCATTTACGTCGCCAAAGATGCCGATGCTCAAATGGCTGCTCGCATTGTTGTTGATGCGAAGACAAACTACCCTGCCGGGTGCAATGCCGTCGAGACCTTGTTGCTTGATGAGTCTATTCTTTCCACAAAAACTTTCCCCACAATCATTGAAGCTCTGCTTAAGGCTGGTGTTACTCTTAAAGTAACTCCTGAAATTGAGCTGTGGCTTACCAAAAACGACATTACCATTCCGGAATCTGTCAAGGTTGTTCCAGCCACCGAACAAGACTTTTACACCGAATTCCTCGACCACATCATTGCAATTAAGGCTGTCCCCTCTCTCGCCGACGCTATTGAGCACATCAACGAGCACGGCTCCCATCACACAGACTGTATCATCACAAAGGATGAAGCTGAGGCAAACACCTTTCTCAAGGGTGTTGACTCAGCCGGTGTTTACTGGAACGCCTCCACCCGCTTTGCTGATGGGTTCCGCTACGGTTTCGGTACCGAAGTCGGCATTTCTACTAACAAAATCCATGCACGCGGTCCCGTGGGTCTCGAAGGCCTTGTGGGTTACCATTACCAGCTCAAGGGTCATGGCCAAATTGCTGCCGACTACGCTGGCGCTGGCGGTAACAAGCAGTTCCTTCACACACCTATTGACCATTAGATAAACTATTTATTTTTTTTATTCATATATTAAAAGGGAAACTACTACAAAATGTACATTATTTGTGAAGATGAATTGTGTTTTGAGGATGCAGTGATTTCATCTCACCGTAACGGCCACGGGCCTTTGTGGTATCGTAAGCTTCGATAATCTTTGACTGGCCCTCGTCGGCTTGCGAGAAGGCGAAACCGCGCTGCTTGCGCATACGCTGGACTTGGCGCACCTTGCGGATTGCCTTTTGGAATTGCTCCATGCGCGGCCTGTAGTCCTGTATATTGTACTTTTGAATCTCTTGCACGTAATGATATGAACTGGGTCTATACATGCGTCGGTAGTATTTCCACGAAAAGTCGCGAATGAGACACATGACAGGTAACACAAGCAGCATTGCCCAAAAGACTGCTGAAGAGTACAGATGTGAAAGCACACCGCGGTACTCCTTCGACACATTGACCAATGGTGCAATGGTCGCATATGCCGGGAAAAAGCCCAACCAAAGCAGGAAAGATCCTGGAATGGCAATGATTGTAAACTTGTTCCACATATTCATAATTAATGCAGCTTTAAGAAGTGCCGTCAAAACACATGTGGTGTAAAGAGCAGTACCCCAAGTCCAGTGGTCAGCAATTAAACCGTCAGGCAAAACATTGCCGTATCTAAATGCGGCTGTTGAGCAAAAGTAAAGCAGCAGTGAATGATAAAAGCCATTGATAATCCACTGCCAAAAGTGCTTGACGTTAAAGAAGGCACCACTCTGACCCAACTTGTACAACTGTGGATAACGATCTAAAAGACGGGCCGAAATATACTGATCAAATACACCAATGACGAAAGGAGGCATGACAGTGAAAAAGACATTGTAGAAGGTAATTGTCCAGGATTCATAAATAGACTGCCCAGAAAAGCCGTTTTGAAAAACATACCAAAATTGGGTCATATAAAGCGCAATGTTTTTGTAGAAAGAATAGAGAATAGCCTTACTCAGACGGTGGTAACTCCAAGAACCATGCACCAATAACAGCTTGCGCAGAAACCGGAATTGACCAATTGACACATCAGCACTTCGTGCTGCTTGCATACCCTCGAGACCACTGATACCAACACCGACATGGGCAGCTTGAATCATACTAACATCATTGGCACCATCACCAATGGCCAACAAAAGGGCCTTCTTGTGTCGCTTGACAAGCTTGACAACCAGTGCCTTTTGAAGAGGCGACACACGGCAGCATACCACAGCTTTACACTGTACGGCAAGGTCCAAAAAGTCTAGTTCTAATCGAGGATCCAATGCATATTCAAGAGATTTACCATCAATAATAAGCGCAAGAACTTCAGACTCAGCACCGCCCGTTGCAATTTGTTGAAGATATTCACGGATACTACTCTGAGTATCTTCAAAGGAAGATTTGTTTATTGTGAGTAGAGACATGTCTTCACTTAAAAGCTTGCAACTCATACCAATGTTGATGGCAGTTTCCTGTCTATCACCAGTCAAAACCCAAATCTTAATGCCAGCACTTTGCAAAGTATGAATAGTTTCAGGAACACCCTCCTGGAGCTTATCTTCAATAGCAGTTGCACCGAGAAGGTACATTTCACGCTCAATGAGCTCTGCAGCCTTGTCAAGTTCCTCACTTCTGTTGGTAAGGGTGGTTGCGGCCTTGTCAAACACTTGAGACCAGGGGCCATATTCTTCGTCAGGAACAAGTCTGGTAGCCAGGCACAGAGTACGCAAACCTTCAACAGCAAAATCTTCTAAATGTGTGGTGGTTTCATTTAAAAACTCACTCTCGGCTGCCAAGCGTTCCATAATGACCGTATCGGCACCCTTGCAGTAAAGTCTAATTTTCCCATCAGGACATCGAAAAATTGCAGACATACGCTTACGGGTAGAGTTGAATTCCAAAATGTTGAGCAACTGGTATACGTATTCTTGGCCTTCAATGTCAATGGTGATTGATTTCGGACGACGGACAATAAACTTGTAGCCAAGTTTGGCAGCACCTTCGACAAGAGCACCTTCATCGGGAGATGCAGCCTGGTACTTGATTTTACCGTTTGGTTTTACTTCTGGAATAACAGTATGGCAAGCAGCCAAAAGAGTGAAAAATTCGCGAATGTAAACTTGAGTTTCGTGGGAGTCCATGCGCTGACGAAGAACATCGAAATCATTGTATCCAACCTCAACGCCATCAACAACAGTAGCCTTTTTGTCTTCTGGAATTTCATCAGCGTAGCAGTGGCCGGCGATAGTACAACTTCTAAACTCCATAATGTTTCGAGTCAAAGTACCAGTTTTATCCGAAAAAATATACTCAATCTGGCCAAGCTCCTCAACAAGAGAAGAGGTACGGCAAATGGCAGGGGTATCAGTTTCCTTATAGTACATGTCCAAATCAGAACTAATAAGATAAGCTTGATAAAATTTGACAATTTCAACCGTGACGAAAAGAGAGATAGGCACCAGATTAGAAAATAAAACCCAATAAGTCAAAATATCGGAAAAAAAAGTCTTGACACCATTAGTACCAACTAGATGAAGATATCCGAGATTGTCGTAGTTAACCTTATCCTTAATGACTTGGCCCAAACTGGAAATGATGGCAAGGACAATGAGAATGGTAAACAGAAAAATAATTTGCAAATTAAGCATGTGCTCGACAGCTGTGCGCTTAATAGGAGCAGCAGTGGCATTACGCATAAGCTTGGTTTCGTGGCCGGTAAAAACAACAAGACCGTGGATCCATTGAGTGTTACGGAGAGTAGCGCCACGGAGAAGTAATTGATCGGGAGAAAGAGGGATTTCACGAACAGAATTGCCATCGTCCAGGTTGAGAGTAGCTTCGTATGTGTATAAACTGCTGTTTGGTTGTTCGGAAAGAAGTTTGCCGGAAATTCTGCTGAGGTCTCCAGGAGAAACAATTTCAGATGTATCTGGAAGAGCTTGTTTGATTTTCAAGTTGGTTTCACCATCAAGATTAGCCGTCTCAATATAACAGAGACCTTCGGGTTCAGATGAAGAAAGCAGCACCAAGTCTGCAGGGAAGGGTTCTTCGGAATTGACACGGATAATGTCACCCACAGCTACTCTGATCCAGCGTTTCTTTTCAAAGACTCCTCCATTAAGAACCTCGACAATTGAATTATTCAGTTCCTTGTCAGCATTGCCACGCTTAATATCTTCAACAGACTCCTTTATAGCAGAGACAAGAAGAACAATTGCCAGGGTACCAATTGTGGTGTATCTATTTGTTGGCGAGACGTTGGGGACCTGCTGGATACACGATGTGAAAAGGAAAAAAAGATTGGCATACTTTGAAAACTGTTCAAAAAGAAACTTTGGTAAGAAGGTAGCTGCATTGTACTTGGTGGTACTGATGTGGTTGTCTTTATATCCATGACCAGAGTTGGCTTGAGTATTGTTGAGGTAAATGACACGAGGGCCCAACGATTTTGGGTCGACTTCTTTGCGTCTGAGGAGCTTGTTCCAAATGCGACGAATATCAAAGTCACCAGTGTTCTCCTTGTCATCATTCATATTGCTGGCACGGGCTCCGCTGCCAATGTCGTCGTGATGAGTAGTAGCAGTATTGCCTTGGTCTGTAAGAGGAAGGTCCATTTCGGTATATGCGGAGCCAATACCAAGGCGCGTCTTCATTGAATTGTACATGCCGGAAATGCCTGTTTTACGGGTGTTGCCATAGTGTGTGAATCCTTGAGAAGTAATAGGCTGGGGATTTCCACCACGAAGGTAGTCTTGGTCGTCAAGGTTATTGTAAGAAGAAGCAATTCCTGTGTTTCTATTATTTGTGTTGGAGCCTTCCAAGAATACGTCATTGGAAGGTGTTTGCTCTATAGGGTCATCAAATGGAGTTGCAAATGCGTTTGTGGAGGAGTAGGGCCCAAAGTTATCAATGGGGTCGTATGGTCGCTGAGTATTGTCATTTTCATAGGTGCTGTCCATGGGGCGTAGGTTTGTGAGCGGGATACTTTCGTGATGCGCTGGTTGGCGCGCATTTGATTGTGGATATGGTGGATCATTTAAGGAAAGCAGGTCGTCATCGTGAACATTTGACTGTTGTTGCTGCTGCGATTGTTGCTGTGATTGTTGCGGTGGGGTATCTGCAAAAGGATCTGAAGGGCCCGGAAGATCTATGAGGTTGTTGTTATCGTTGTTGTTATTGTTGGACATTTTCTAATATGGTTAGCAAGGGGTATGTTTTTAATAATGAAACTTTGGAACAGTTATACATACGGCCAGCAAGAATTGAAAGATTTATTAAATGAAAGAAAAAGAAGAAAAAAAAACCAGTGGAAGCATTCCTGACAAATCGTACAAAAAGGGGCTGGAAATAGCAGCTTTTGTTGAAGGGCCTGGTGGTGGTGGTGGTGATGATGATTTTAGCGATGTGACGATAGCTGTATCAAAAGGCTGTGGCAGATTCTGTGTAAAGGAGGACCCAAAAATAAAGGACAACGTGGTGGTGGCACAGCCTCAGCCTTTTAGCGGCTTGGAAAAATATCAACGAAGCAGCTGGGCTAACCGCAAGGGAATTTTTTTAGGGGGGAACAGGGTGGAGCAAATATAAAAAGAATGTATTAAAGTTATGGGAGCTAATTATAACTTGTATATGTTTATGCAAGTAGAATATGAGGCAAGAACAGTTTCAGAAGAAGAACTCCAAAATTTGATATGATTTAGACAACTGTTTTTTTTTTTTTTTTTTTTTTTTTTTTTTTTTTTTTCAAAAATTCATTTAAATTCATTTAAATTCATTTTGAAATTCATTTTGAAATTCATTTTGAAATTTATATAAATTTATATACAATTCTATAAAATCATTTAAATTATTTGAATTGAGTTTGTTATTTCAAAAAATTTGATCCTTTGAGGAGTCTTTTCTGTACTATTGTGCTCCGCGGGTCTTGCCCAAGAGGGTCCTTCCTAGTTTATTTTTGAATAATCAACCACGTGAATAGTTTTAGGGCTTTATGTAAATTATTTAATTAGGGTTGTGACCGCTACACTTTTTTGAATTCTGAAAAATACGCAATGCATTTAATTTCTTAGGTAATATTATAATTTTTTTTTTAAAAATTTAAATTTTCTAATTTCTTTTTTGTGCATCTTTTAAAGTTGTTACAAATAACAGATGGCTTTTCTTGCATGTGTAATATTGAGTTTTGTGGGTTGTAACAGTACCATAGTAAAAATAAAAATGCAAAAAAAATAAAGGGTGAAGTTTGTAATAACATATTATGTAACAAGGGTTGGGGTTTAAAAATTTCTTTCTTCACCCACCCACCCTCGCAATGCTGGCTGGCGAAAAGTTTTCCCCCTCCTTTGAGCGCCGGGCTGTTCCCCTTTTTTTCCTTTTTCCCCTTCCTTGTCCACGATACCACGAGTTTCGCAGATATACACATAAAATATATCCAAGATGTAAGCACTATCAGCATCAAAATCACCATTAGCAGCAGTGTTAAACAAGCAATACTACTCGATAGAGACGAATGGTTTTTTTTTTTTTTTAACGACGATAGGAATTAATTGAGATGAAGATTTATTGATTTGATTTGCGACTAAAAGAATATATGAAAATTATATTTCATTTGAATGAAAATTTTTTCTTCTAATCAACTTATACCTTGAACGTTAGACAAACCGGTCTCTACTTTTCCATGTTTAACACTCTCCTGCTTTTGTTTTTTTAGTAACATTATCTAACATATCTTTACAGGACTAAGCGCACCAAGAAAGTCGGCATCACCGGAAAGTACGGTGTTCGTTACGGTTCCTCGCTTCGTCGCCAGTGCAAGAAGCTCGAGATCCAGCAACACGCTCGTTACTCCTGCCCCTTCTGCGGCAAGACTGCCATCAAGCGCAGAGCTACTGGTATCTGGAACTGCGCTGGCTGCAACAAGACTATTGCCGGCGGTGCTTACAACTTGGCCACTGCTGCTGCCACCACTGCCAGAACCACTCTCAAGCGTCTGAGAGATCTTGCTGAGGCTTAAGAAAATTGCAAAAAAATCTGTCGTCTTTTTTTTCCTTGTAATGCCTGTGTATAACTCATGAATCTCAAAAAAAAAAAAAAAAAAAAAACTGCTAGCAAATAACTAAGCTTTGTGTCTTGTTATTTTGCATTTAAACCTGCATATATCTTAATTCCGTAGACGTGCAGCTCTAGCATTCTGCAATTTGGCTCAACTCCTAAAACCCTTTTTATTAGCCTTTTATTTATTTATTTATTTATTTTATTATATTTGTGGGACCCAGACTAAAAAAAAAACTCACAAACATACCATCTCTTTCCATTATTTTATTCCATCCTTTTTGATAATTAAAAAAAAATACTTCTATTCCAAGAATTGCTAATCAAATGACGACGCCTGTTACGACGCCTGGGACGATCATTTGTAGCATTTGTCTGGACCTGTTGGCATCGGCCCAAAGCTCTCCAGCTCTTTCAGATCCTACTACTAGACTCACAACAGTAAACACAACCCACGACATACAAAAGGAGATTGCCTATCTTTCAGGGTGCTGCCATAACTATCATGACCGGTGCATTAGTATATGGGCAAACACCAGTAACAGTGAGTATTAGTTGAAACAACTCATTCAAAAAAAAATCAAAATCTAACTTCATTTAGCCTGCCCCACTTGTCGTGCTAGGTTTGGTGAAATCACAGTGCGAAACGGCTTGGATGGTGACATTGTGCGCACTTATCCTGTAGCTGACAAACGCGCACCGTCTGTCTACTATCCGGAGTCCCGCGACGAAATCTCAGCAGCCCTCCGTGCAACCGATAGCAGAATCTTTAGCGGACTTTTTGGTCTTCATGTTGGCGGTGCGCATCCTTACGTCACTCTACACAGACTGCAGGCCCAACTTCAAAATCATGAAACCGAGCGTCTGGCAATTGCTAGAGGTCAAACCAACTCAGTGACTCCAAGTGCAACGGAATCTAGTCTTCAAAATCATCGTATGACCTCTTCTTTTCAGACTCACTGTCAAATATGTGGTACATCAGAACAGGCGACCGTTATTACAACTTGTCCTGGCTGCCAGTACAGTTTTCATCCCGAGTGCTTGCAAGAGGGTCTAGAAGAGACTGGTGGGACTCCTCGGGCTACCGAAGACTGGTTCATGTGTCCATCGTGCAACATTACTACATTTATCCGTAACCATAGCGCTGGCGGCGTTGTTACCTTGGACGAGATTGTGTTTGCTCGTGGACCTGTTACTGCTACCAATAGTACTGCTACGACAGCGCGGACTCGAGCTTTACGGCCTACTTCTCGGCCAGCAACATCATCAACTACTCAGTTAAGCCTAACTGATTATTATGACACTAATGACGACCTCGATTATGACTTTTCTGACATTTTTGAAGACCTGATTGACTTTGAGGAGTATGATGATGACGAAAATGATAGCCAGGATCTATTTATGCAGACATCGCACCATACTGGAGCGGTGCGTGGCGGGACTCTCCGCCTCACATCTTCCTTTATGCCCACGCGTGGTTCTTGGGCATCCAATAGACCTCTTCGAGAAAGGCCTGTGGCAGGCAGAAGAAGAAACGGTTCCACATTGAATACCAATCGGTCTGAACCAGAACCTGCTGTACTACTTCGTCAACCAACTCATACACCAACGCCACCAGTTGAAGTTCCGCAGCTACCAGAGGAAGAGGTGCTTTCGTGGCGTCTTTTCGAACAAGCTCGAGCCGCTTCGGAGCAAAACACGTCATCGTCATCATCATCGTCATCGTCATCCCCGTCTTTGCTGCCACAGTTGCCTAGCACTAGCACCACCTCTCAGGTTAGTACGTTTCCGACGCCAGGTGTCGGCGCCGGTGATGGTGCTGGCGCAGGGCCCGGCGCCACAGATGTTAATAATAATACTAACACTGCTGTTGCAGATGGCTCTTCCACCGCTTCCTCTTCTGGACGAGATATCCACGGACGAAGAGGCCGAACTGGAGGCCGAGCTGGAAGCTCTTCAAACAACTCGACTGTTTCAGAACGGGCTGTGGGAGTTGGAGGAGAACGAGAACAACAATCAGGAGTCGGAAGGGTTTCTGGATGCTCACATGGACCCACGAGCGTTACAGTTCAGAGTACGCCGCCGTCTGGAGCGTCTGGAACGCGCACAGCAGCGCGCCACACGCAAACGTCTTCTAGTCAAGATCCAAGGGTGGGCAATTCTGGTGCTTCTTCTGGCTCGAGCAGTGACACTCGTAATCGAGTGTGTAAGAAACTAAAACGACCTGGAAGACGGCGGTCAGGCCAGGAAGCCGGGTCTTCTGAACATGCAAGTAGTGAGTCACGTGGTGGTTCAGAGCCTGACCCGCCGTCTACAGCATCAACAGAGTCGAGTAGTAGTAGTGCAGAACCAACGCAGATTCAAATGCTTTTAAACAGTATTCGACAACCTACAACACCATCTGTTATCTTTGCTTCTAACAGTGTGGGTCTTTCGTCTTCTGTCTCAATGACCAATCTTACGACTACTGGGCACTATAGCCGTAGTCCCAGTCCTCCTGCAGCTGCCATTTCTGGGTCGCTGTCTTCGCCTACTACCACGCTGACAAGAGCTATCAAAATAACACCGCCATCCTCTCCACCTTCTCAACAATCAAACGATCTAGTTCTTCGGGACATATCCCCACTTCCACCTTCACTGCCACTCCATTCTTTATCGCGATCATCGTCTTTTAGACCCCAAAGCTCTACTACGGAAGATGTTGAAATGAACGACGACAACCAAGCGGTACCCGTAAACGACGCGTGCGGCTCATCAGCATCAACAAAGACATGCCAACAGCCGCACAGTCACTTTAGCGCTGGAGGAAGCAGTAGCAATAGTAACAACAATAACAGCAGAGGTAACCAACAGAAACATCGCCATCATCATCACGGACAAAGACACAAGCGGGGTGCACCGCCATTAAGTGCAAGAGATAAGACTAGACTACAGGAACTAGTACGAGATGTGTTGCGGCCACTATATCGTGCTGGCAAAGTGACGAAGACAGAATACACTGAGATTAACAAGCGGGTGAGCCGAGCTATGTACCGACGGGTGTTTAGCGACAAGGTAGTAAGTACGCGACACCAGGGGACGCACTCTGAGGACTATGAAAAGATGGAAGTTTTACGAGGTGAAGACGAGGGGGATGATGAAAGTGAAGAAGAAGTGGAAGGGGCTGGAGAGATAGAGAGACAGGGGCAAGGACAAAATGAAAGGCTGCTGGACAAGACGCGGACCAAAACAGCGACAGTTTACGTGCTCAAGTATACGCAAAGAGAGCTTGCACGATGGAAAGAATTGGCTGGCGAGTACGTTGAGCGCGAATGCACAAGACGACGAGAGCCTGGATCAACATCTGCTACTACAAGTGCTACAAGTGGGGCAGTTGCTGTGGCAGGTCCGTCTTCGTTAGGCCTAAGACAACCTCACCGATCGTATGCCTCTGAGTAACTTAGAGTTATGATTATATAGAAGATGAAGAAAAAGGGGGCTACAGTCTATTTGAAGAAATATTCTGTTGTAAATATGGCTGGCCCATATACATTCCATCTTTCTGTGCCATATTTTAATGAAATAATTTTATTTTTTTTATTTTTTTTATTTTTTTTATTTTTTTGGGTACATAGTAGTGTGAAGGTTAGATTCTCAGATTTCTTGACGCAAGAAATCAAAACAAATAATTTGTTTACTGAAATATAATAATGGAAATATGGTAAACAAAAAAAGTATTGGATAGAATTTAGAATATTATTTAGACAAATCTACTCTAGGAAAGGTGCAAGATCATTCTTAAGCGAAGATGGCGACCTTAGGATAAATATACAGTAAATACAGCCAAGATCAGGCAATTAACAAAGAGTATTATTGCATTATTACATCATAGCAGCTCCATTCTTTTGTGTGAAATAAAGGAATCGACAAATATGCTATTCAAATTTATTTATTTTTTTTTTTTTTGCAAATCACATTTTCTGGCTGATTTGTTGTCAAGATGCTGAAGGAGAACCTTGAAGTATTAGACTTTAACTACACTATTAAAGAAGAAGAATATTTTGTACCAAGAAACCTAACAAAGAAACTACTTTATGTAGCCAATGTACTAGGAGCCTTAATAGAGGAAATAAAACCACACCAAAAAATTCTTGAAAAGGAGGCACACACAAATGCTGCATGTTTGTCTGGGGTTTTGTGTCAAAGGATATCTAGCCAGGGAGACTTTTCATTCATTAAAGAATTTATATTGTTTTACATATGCATGAATATCATCGATCAATGCCTCACACGAAATTAAATAAGACAAAATAGCATCTAAAGCAATATACCATTTTCGGAATAAACAAGAAATAGCTCTTATTTTTTATTTTATTTTTTTCCTTTTACCGTAGAAGATTTACAAAATTAAGAAATTCAATAAATATAAATATAAATATAAAGTTAAAATTAAAATTTAATTTCCGTTCTAAAAATGGCATTACAAAATAGTAATATTAGATGTCCCACACATCTTTTCACACAAACATAAACACCGTGAAATTGGTCAATATATGGCAACCCAATTTCTCTCAATACAACGTGTGTGCTGGAAAACATCTCATTCACTGATCTTTTTGTCTTTCCTCCTTCACTTAGTAAACAAAATAAGAAACAAAATAATTACAACTACCGTATATAGTAATAAATATTTACACACAAAAAATGCAAAAATAAAACTGCCTCGAGCCGGATTTGAACCGACGATCTCGTCATTACTAGTGACGCGCCTTACCAACTTGGCCATCGAGGCTTGTAAAAGTTTAAGGGTCAGGTGACTAAGATGCGCCAGGATCTTTTTTTGAGAAAAACAAGCTCAAACAGAGATCAAATTAGTATCATTTTATTATATGTTAGTCAATTGAATCTTTGAAATAAAATTGATTTTTATTTTAAATGTTTAAGGTGAAAAAATCTTAGAAGATGCATACAAAATGCGGGGACACACTAAAGAATGAATCAAAAATATTTCCTATTTGGGAAATTGTCATCACTAAAAAAAAAATCCTAAGTACACAATACTATCCATAGCCATACAGCATTTTTTATTTCTTCTTTCTTTACTTTTTTCAACTTGAACCATCACTTTATTTATTTCATTTAAATAAAAAAAAACTGGCTTGTAAAATCATTAAATACCTATTTTCTTATTGCTTTATTATTTTGAAACAATTATATCAATTTTAAATTTTTTTTTAAAAACATCTAGATTAAAATCTAAATAGCTCCATTTCATCTTATTGCTTGCCACCACAACAGGTTCTTAGTGACAAGTGTTGCTGCAATATCTTTCAATTGAATCAAAAATACGAAATGAACCATTCCTATTCTCTTCTAAGCCCGGAGGGCTTTTGTCTGAGGAAAAGCGCGGCATCAGGAACATACCGTTCAAGTGAAAACGTGGGACTGGAAAATACCATAAATACCCCAGTTTTTTTCAAAACTCACCACCAACTCTCGGAAGAATCTACATCAAATTCAATTACCAGCGAAAGTCGTCCAGGCGCAAGATCTTCTCTTGAAACTCCTGGCTCCTCAGTGGTTATGTTACCACCAGATACCACTTCTTCCACGCAACCCGGAACGGCAATTACAACTGCGACACAGCTACCAGGAGCCAAATTTCATTCAGCAATTTCATTGCACACAAACGAGACTAATTCTTTTGGAGGTGGATCACGACCATCCCTTTCTGCTGCTCGCGGGAGCATGGTCACCCCACCGGCGGTTATTGGGATTAGCGACCATCACCGTGGGCCGTCGATATTGCGACAAAAGTCGCGGTCAATTACAGGTTATGGAAGCGGAGTTTCGTTTAGATCAAGCGCTAAAGCAGGGAACCAGGAAATGTTTCGAAGTGGAGGAAGTATTGGCCGCAACAGTAGCGTTGGAAGTAGAACACGAGCACAGTTGATGATGACTGGGGGGAGCCGAAGAGGCAGCGTATACAGTGGTATGAGCGGGTCTACAAGAAAAAGAAAATTTGCTAGAGAAGAAGGTGCTGATGATGAGGTAGACGCTATAATTGGGCCTGAAGGGAAAGTAATTATGGATTTCTGGAATGCTTCATCAATGCTGATTGAGGAAGCCAATAAACACAATGAAGGGGGTAACAGGAATAACGAAAAACAAAAGCCCCACAGTACCACTGTGCATCTTCAACAGGTACAACAACCGAGTGCAGCTCAACGGATTTTGATGGGCCATGTGGGGAAAAAAAAGTCGAACAGTGACAAGAGTAGTAGGGCAAGTAAACAAAGCCGACAAAGCAAAAGAAGTAACAGCAGCAACAATAAGAATGAGGCTGTTACTAGCGGTCCGCGGAAGAGACTTTCAATTGCAGCAGCTGCCGCTGTTTTTCGGCGGATCGGGGGCCGGGTGCGAACGGCAACGCGATCGTTTCGTAAAAGACGGTGGCATGGACACAGCGGAGGTAACAATCAAAATGAGTTGGTAAAATTGATTGACAATACTGTTTCAGGAAATGTGAGCAGAGGGCCATTGTTGGTGCGAGTTGCGACTGAAAAGTCGCTCAAATCGCTGAAGGATATGGAAGAGGAATACCGAATGCTTATTGCCTTTGCCGAGGAAGGAATTGAGGGTGTTGAGAATTTGCGTCAGCAGCAGCAGCAGCAGCAGCAAGAGGTGTCAAGTATTTCTGCAAGTGTTGAACAGACTGATTTGAAAACAAGTCAAACTGTAGAGAAACAAAGTGCTTCAGCTCCGGCGTTTAATAGTCCACAACTAGACCAAGGCACAATTCGCACCAGGTACCCGACTCCACCACCCAACCGACGGAGCTCGGAGGAGACACCATTTTCTCCATGGAACTTAAGCAGATTACGATCTCAAGATAAAGCCATGCAATCCTCACGCCGTCATAGAGACAACATTTTTAGTCTTTTGTTGTCGGATGAAAACAACTACTTGAACAACTCATATGGCCAACCGATTTCAAAAGAAGAGGAAACTGATGGGTCTGCTAGCACAGGGTTTACTGGAGTCACTGCATTGACTGGACCATTGAATACTGGTGGCTATGAAGGGGAGGTTACGAGTGGACAGCCACGAGCCATGTTGACCAAGCGGCATAGTATCCATGATTTTCCCTCGAGAAATGGAACACGGCAAAGTATAAGACCGTCATCTTGTTTGGAAAAAAACAAGGAGGAAGAAACAAAAAAAGAAGAGGTGACCAAGCCTAGCGGTTCCTTTAAAAAGTCTACTAAAGATCATTTTTTTCTAGCTGATACTGTTCCAGAATCCAAAAAGAAAAAGATGTTGAAAGCTACAGAGAATAATAATTGTGACAATGAAGTAGAAGGCAGTGAAGTTTTTTCTACTACAGACGGTACGAATGGGTCAATTCCTCGAGGGCAACTTAAAGAGACTCAAGAATGGAACGAATGGATTCACAAGCACGGGTTGGACAGGGGTGATCGGCCTACGATTGTTGATGATGTGGATGCAATGAATGCTGCCATGACTGCACAGCGACTTTCAAGTTTTCATGTGGGAAGTTTTGACAGTGATGAGGAGATCAAAAAGAGCATGGAGAGTTTGACAAGAACAATTGCTGCTGATGAAGAAAGAGAGAAAGACAAGGAGAGAAGACAGCAGCGTGATAAACTGGTTTCCATGGGTGTCATTTACGATGGGTATAAGAGTGAGGAAGAAGAAAAGACGGAAGAATCTTTAAGCTTGAAACAAGAGAACAATGAAAAAAGGGAAGAAGCTGGTGAAGTTTCAGAGCTGCCTCAAACCACACCCAAACCAAACTCCAGTCAATCAGAGACATTGATTGCACCACCCAATTCTGCAGAGACTCCCCGAACCGTAAATTCAAATGGTCTTACGCGGCACCGGTCGAGCTCCATTTTGCGAGCTAACACAAGTGCGAATGCCGTAAGTAGTCGTGTGCCTCGGCGACGAGACGAGATTGAAAGTTTCTGGGTGAGCAAACCGCGGCTTCCGTTTGGATGGACAGTTGAGCGGAACATTAAATACCCAAACAGTATAAACTGGCATGAGATTTATTTCCGGTGGTGTTCAAGGTGTAAGGCAAGCGAGCGGGTTGGACAAAATGTATTTTTTAAGGAGATTGTACAGAAATCGCGCGACCTGTATTGTCCTGAGCTGGAGGAATTGGAGATGGGAGATTATGGGGTTGCATCCATGTACTACACGGCGGATGATATCCCACGAACGCTTTGGGGTGACCAGGTGTTATCAGAGCAGTTTGATTTAGCCAAGTGGGTAGTGGACGAGGAAATTGAGCGGCGCGAGTTCCGTCGGGTCAAGCGGGTTGTGATTGCACGCAATATTTTGACGGGTCGCTGGGGGGTTCAGAAACGGTACAAGGGAGTTCCTGAGCCGCACGAAATTAGGGTGCAAGAAGATGGGACTAAAAGGGTAAGGTTTTCTCACCAGTATGAGTTTTCTGGGGCCACACGGACTGCAGAGGTTGGAAATGCCGAGTTGGCAGACAAGTTGCCAACGCCAGTGGCTATTCAAGGATATTATGGAGGAGTTGCATTGCCGAGCGGGTTCCCGCGAACGAATTTAGCATGGGCCACGTATTTGTGCAAGAAAAAAACTCGGCTGACGCGACGGCTAGCGATTTTGCGGATGAACAAGAAGCTGGACAAGTACCGGTTGCGGATACTTGAGCAGCAGTTAGTATTTGAGCAGCCACAGTTGCGGAAACGGCGGGGGAGTTCATCATCACAAGGATCGCTTGGCGGGACCTGTGGGGCAGTTGGCATTGAGCTAGGACGCAAGTTGAATGAAGCACGGCGGTTGGCGTTTGGGTTTGATCTTGAGGGAATTGAAGTAGGATCTGAGGAGGAAAAGAGGTGGATGGAGGAGTATGAAAGGGTTCGGATTCTAAATAAACGAAGTGTGCGCAAGTTTAGTGATGAATATGAGGGGTTCTTGAGGCGGATGATTGAGCACGAACGGCACGAGCGGATACTGATAGAAGAAGCTAGTGCTGTCCGAGAGAGATCTCTGAAGGCTAGTTTGCGATTGCACGAAGGTTTAGGTGCGGATTATGATGATGATGATAATAATAATAATTATAATAATGACGACATTGGATTTAACTCTGTTAAACGTGTTTGGAAGAAACATTTTGATGTTGGTTTCAGACAAGAACAGGGTGAGCTTGCACGGGTTGAGTTGCATAGTAATGGGATGAGTCGTAACAATAGTCGGGCTACGGAGCGGTCGTTATCATTTTTAGGGTACTCTGGGTCGAGTCGCAACATGCGAAGTGCTGAGCAACAGTTTATAGCGATGAGCGCGAAGATCCCGTCGGAGCTTTTGTCTCCACGGCGGCGACCGTCGAGTGCACGAAGATTGGTGAATTTTGTGAGTGGTAGTAATGGTCACTATCAGCAGAATGAGAGTAATGTGAGGAGCATGCTTTTGAATGAAGAAAAAGAAGGAGAAGAAAAAGAAGAAGAAGAAGAAGAAGACAAAGACAAAGAAAAAGACGGAAAAGAAGGGGAAGAAGATGGTGGTACCAATGTTGGAGGAGCACTCAATGGAACAAGAACCAATTCCAAGGGGTTGGGATGTGGTGGGGCCTGCATAGGTGAAGAAGGTGGTGGAGTTACTGACATTGGTACAGCAGCAGCAGGAGCAGCAGCAGCAGCAGCAGCAGCTACTACTACTACTACTACGACTACGGAATCAGGAGTGACGATAAGAACGCCGGCGGCGGCTGTTAGTGCTTCCAGCAGAAGAAGTGGTGGAGTTGATAAACCCGGAATCATCAAGAATAGGGGATCTGCTCGGTTGGATAGTAGCGGGACTATTTGTACGAGTGGCAGTAATGGGAGTCTTACAGGGATTCTTAAGCGACCTGGGAGTTGCAGTGTAAGGTCGATGATAATTGAAGGATCTTCAACAGTAGCAAAACGGTCTGGAGGGTCAGTGATTGGGGTTATTACGGATAACGAAGGTTGGGTTTATGGAAGCCCCGTGGGGAGAATAGAATGAGTGATTTATAAAATGAAAAAAAAAAAAAAGTAGTGTAGCCCAAAGTAGCAATTAACAAAAGATTTAAACTTGTAACTTGAAACTTGAAACTTGAAACTTGGGAATGAATAAACAAGGTATATTTGAATTTTGTCTACGTGTGAAAAAAAAAAAAATCTTTGTATGCAGTTGTTGCCATATATTGCCATATTTAACAATCGATGGTAAACACCCGTCCGGCCGGGATATTTGTCTACAAAAGTAAGCTTCCCTCAGGTCCATTGGATCAACAAATATGTTACTTGATTGACTGGTTTTTCGTTAAAAAGATTTGCTATGATCTGATCAAACTTCATGCCCGGCTCGGGGTTGGTCAAGATGGCTGCACATAGAGTATCTAGTTTTGGGAGTATGCAGAACCAAGAGAGGTTTTAAAGAAGAATATTCTTGAATTAATTACTGGACATGATATATATATATATATATATATATAATTTTATTACAAGTACGGATTAATTAAAAAAAAATTAAATAAATAAATAAAAAATCAAATGACTTGACCTATTGTGGGGAGAAGCAGCCAATTTATGAAGAAATAAAGAGAGAGAGAGAGAGAGAAAGGCAACATAACGCAGCAATGAGCAGCAGTGAGCAGCAGAAGCAGCAGCAAGCAGCCATTTAGCCATTTAGCCAAAAAAAGAATTGGCGTATATATATATATATATATATAGAGGGCTAGGTTCAGAAAGAAAGGCCCATTTTAGGATATAAAAATGGATTTTTGCAATATTTATATTTTTTATTTTATTTTATTTATTTTTTTATCAACAAAAGAATCAATCCCGTTTATTCTCTCTCTCCAGCGGTTTGGCTGGAGATAACGGTTTAGCTGGCCAATCAAGCTGCTCACACTGGCCAATGCAGCCTTTCCGATAGTAAATGGTTATTAATATTAATATTTATTAGTATATTTATTAGTATATTTGTATACAAATAAAATTATACATATATATATATTTATATGATTAATTAATATTGTAAGTATGGAAGGTGTAACTATGGGGACTTTTTAATGAAATGAACAACAAACCAAAGCAACCAGCATAATTCATTTATTACCAAAAGACTTTTTCTAAAGAGATCTTATTGATTTAATAGCTATATATATATATATATATATATATATATTTATTTTATTTATAAAATATTTAGATATAAATACTTTTATATATTAAATCCAATTTCAAAACCTTTTTGAAAATCACCACTACCCTTAAATTTTTTTTCTTAAGAAGATAAAATTGATAAGTCACGTGCATATCTTGCATATAAGCAATGTGTAAGCAATTACGTCACCATTTATTATTTTTAATTTAATTTTTTTTAATTTTTTTTAATTTTTAAATTTTTTTTTGTGCTTATTGCTTATTGCTGACTGCTGCCTTTCTGCCTTGTTAAAATTCTCATCATCAAATGGCCACCACCAAAATTTTTTTCTTAGTTGAAAAAAAAAAAAAAGCCCTGTTGCTAATTTTTTAATCACCACAATAATTATTAAAAAAAAAAAATTATATATAAATATCAACACCCGCTCTATATATTTTTTTTATTTTTATTTTAATAATACTCCTTTTTTTTTTTTTTAAAAAAAAATACACCGTTTAAATCATTTTAAAATCACCAGTTTTCCTTAAAAAAAAGAATTTTTTTTTCTCAATTTCTTCTCCCTTAAATCTATTCAACTTTTGTATGTCTGCCTGTCTTTCTTGCCTGTGACCTGCTGCTGGCAACTACCCGCGCCACTTTCAAACCCCACTCCACTTGTGTGTCTTTGTTGACATTGTTTTTCTTTTCAAAGAAAAACTGATTATTTTAATCCTTTCTTATAATCTGTATCGCCTACATATACTGAATATCATCAAGTATGGTCTCTGCAACCGTTTCACCTGCTTCTCAACAGCAGCAGCAGCAGCAGCAGCAGCAACAACAACAAGCAGAAGATGCCCCTCAGACCTCTTCAGATATACCACCCCACTTATCTTCCAAAATATATCCTCCAACAAGTACTCTAAGCAAATTGGCATCCTCGCTTAAACAACAAAGCGCTGTCATTCTTGGGTCCATGCCTCCTTCTCCAAGTACTCCAACAACACCAAGTACTACTGCTGCTGCTAATGCCGTTCCAAATCCATCGACCTCCTCGGCAACTGGCTCTTCTACGTCCACAATTACTAATGTGGCCATAAATATTACTACTACCGCCGCCGCCACCACTACTACCACTGCCACAGCACCAACCATTCACCTTCCTACTACTACCTCTTTACAAACACCACAACACCAACTACTCCACCAGACTCGCAACTCTTCAATCATCTCCTTTTCCTCAATCAATGAAGTTAGACAACCTTCAATTATTTCAAAACCCCCATCAGAATACTCCCAAACAGCAGCAATTCCAATCGTGACTAGTCAACAATCTGTCTCTTCTGATATCTTTGACTCTGCTCCAACTTCGGCGGCTTCTTCTTACGACGAAAATATTCTCTACATGACTCCATCTCCCACTATTAAACCCCCCTCAGTTGCAATCTCGGGACCTGCTATTAATAACGGAAATAATAATATTTCATCCTCTCTTAATATTTCAAAGTCTAATCTTAATTCAAAAACTGCACCACTATCTGCCAATGGCAACAACAACAGTAACTCTCCCAGCAGATCAAATAGCATAATTAGCTCATCTTCCGTTCTCCCGCATATAATAACTTCAAATCTCAACAAAAATAATAATAATAATAGCTGTGCTATCCTTTCCCCATCTTCTTCAAGCGTTAATCTCTCTACTCTTGACTCCCCCGGATCTAGTACTAACCTGAATCGCTTGACTTCCCCCACATCTCACATTATTGAACAAGATGATGCTTCTTTTGCTGCTCGCAGAAAATCATCCGTTTCATTCACTGAGCCCAAAGCCCATGCTGAACGCGTTCGTTCTATGAACCAGCTTCATCAAAATATTGCCCAACATCTCCATCATCATCATCATCACCACCTCCTGCATAAACCAGGCTCAAAAGTTTCTTTGGTCTCAAATCCAAATAGCGCTAGAAACTCTGTTGTGTTGTCTTCTTCCCCTGTGAGTGGGTCTGAAAATGGCTCCACTCCTGCGTCACAACCAACAACAACAACAACAACAACAACAACACCGGCCAGCACGGCTGCTACTGCTGCTCTTCCTAATACTGCTACTACTGGTGTTACTGCTGCTAGCACACAAACTTCACCGGTTACCCCAACTATTACCGCGCCTAGTACCTCTTCCACTGCTGCTGCTTACTTATCCCCCTCAAAATCCAGCCCAACTACTGGTGCCGTTTCTGATCAACCTTCTATTGTTGCTGCTGCTGCTGCCACCTCCCCCACCACCACTACCACCACCACAACTGCACCATCATCAAAATCGGTATCCGTATCGGCCAATCGTCCTTTGTCTCTTCCTCCTCAGCCTTCCCCTTCTTCTTACGCTGCTTCTGTCGCAAGTTTCCGTAATAATTCAGCCTTCAATAAACAAAAACCCTTACCGGAGCAAGCACCCGACCCCTTGGCTAAATTCCATATTAAGCACTCCGAAACAACAACAAGCCCAATCTCGGCTTCGGTTTCACCAGCTTCCACATCTCCGAACCTGGACCCTATTGGAAATCACCCTTTAGACGACCAACAACATGCACCCTTTAAACCAGTTAACAAGCTTCTCAGCAATATATCAGACTCGTCTTACTGGGAAACAGCTCTCCGACGCGGAAGCCGCATTGCCATGGTTGTCCCCCCGCCTATCTCGTCCTCAAATAACTCCACAACCAGCTTGGCGCGCGCCCACTCTCCCAGCATTTCTGGTCCCGTGCCGCAAGCAAAACCCTTACCACAGACACAACCACAATCTCCCCTTCACTCGCATAACAACGACTCTACTGATATCCCCACCGCTACTTCCTCCACTGCTACATCTCCCATGACTCCGTCTTCTAATTCTACTCTGCCAGGCACCGTTTCAAGTCCTGCACTGCCTAAACAATCCCATTCACATGCTGTGCCTCATGCTGGCGATGACGAAGATGTGGAAAACCATAGAATCCACATTCTTATTGCTGTTACTGGCTCAGTGGCCACTATAAAAATCCCACTTATCATTTCCAAACTTCGCCAGATTTACGGCAAGTACGCCGTGGTTCAGCTTATAGTCACAAGCTCCGCTCAACATTTTGTTAACACAGTTAAACTTCCCCAAGGTATCAAGGTCTGGCATGATAGCGACGAGTGGTCTTCCAGAAGAGGCGCCGGTACAGAGCTCTCTGCTCAGTTACACGTACAGCTCCGACGCTGGGCAGATATTCTGCTGATTGCTCCACTGTCTGCAAATACCCTTGCAAAAATGGCCAACGGTATTTGTGACAATTTGATCACGTCGGTATTTCGTGCTTGGAACCCCAAAACCCCTGTGGTTGTTGCACCCGCCATGAATACGCACATGTACACAAACCCCATGACGAAAAAACACTTGGAGATTCTTCGCCATGATTATCCTTATGTGCACGTCCTGACCCCTGTTGAAAAGGTACTTGTGTGTGGCGATATTGGCATGGGTGGTATGCGTGAGTGGACCGATGTTGTTGATCACTTGGTGCGCCACCTGGGCGGGCCTCCAACTGGAGAAGATGAAGATGAAGATAAGGATGAAGACGAAAACGAAGAGGAAGAAAAGCGTAGGCGCAGTAGTAAGCAAAAGAAGAGACAATCAGTGGATGCAACAAAGACAAACGGTGAAGCTACAAATAACGGCTACCGTGATAGCCTTATCAGCATTAAGTCTAACGGCGGCAGCGGGTCTAACGGGGTTGGACTTGCTGGTGGGTTAGAAAAGTATCCCGGAGCTTCTTCTACAGCTGTTGCTGAGGAGGAAAATGATGATGACGACGATAGCGATAGTGATAGCGATAGTGATAACTACAGTAGTGACGACGACGACGACGACGACGACGACGACGATGAAGATAATGACGATGATACTGCAAATCAGACTGGAGATGATAAGATTCATGTACACCATCATCATCATCATCACCATCACCATCATCACGGCATTGAACTCCCTGGTAAGGGTGACTCGGCCTACTTGGACGTTCCCACAAGCAATCCTCGAATCAAACCTCAGCTCAACCGTTCCAATACCTCTGAGTTATAAATGACCCACAGAGGATTTGCTAAGCTCATGTGGGCAAGATAAAAAAAACTTTATTATGATTTATGCAAAGACATTTTCCCAGACCCAAGATGCTTATCTTTCTTTATAATTTTTTTTTTGTAAAGATTTATTATTTTTGTGTCTCTATCTATTCTTATCTACACAAGGCATAGTAAAAGTTTCTTTCACATTGCATTCTGTACAAAATTTTATTCAAAGGACTTCTCTTTTTTTTTTTTTTACCTGTATATTATATATTTTTATTTACACTTTGAACAAAAATAAATTCAAACTTTGATAACTAGAACAACAGTGGAACAGATCTGTTTATTACCTTTAAGTTTTTTTTTTTGAGATCCGGTGATGTTAAATAGGGGGGGGGTTCCCAATAAATAATCCTGGGTATATATACATTTTACAAAAACAACAATATTGTTTGATTAATCAAATTTATATTTGAATGAAAAAAAAAAAAAAATTATTTTTTGCCAAGATCTAAACGATTTTGTCTGACCGTTTTTTTTTCTCTCCACAATTATTCAAAAAAAAGGATATAAAAATTTCGTTTTTTAAAAAAAAAACGTGCAACCCTGCATTAATCTTGGTTAAAAAAAATGCAGTAATACCCACTTTTCTGGTTGCATTCAATTAATTCTAAGTTTTTTCAAAAAAAAAAAAAAAAAAAAAAAAAAACTTTATTTTATATATTTATATTCTCGGTAAACCAAATTTATTTGAAAATAAAAAAGAATAATTGGTTTTTAGAAGTTTCATTTTTTTAAATATTAAACACTGTGTAAGAGATTAACAGAAAGAAAAGATTTTCAAAAAAAAAAATGTCTATTTGATTAATTATAAAGAAGACCATTAGGACAAAAAAAAATCTTTAATGAATTTCCAAATAAAGAAAGAAAAAGAAGGTCTTGAATGAACTTTTTTTTTTTAGGAAATAAATTTAAAAACAAAGTTATGCATAAAAATTGTAATTTTGTTTTCGTTAATTCGCATTATGATAACCAGTTGCACTTTTCAGTGGTATGCGTGAAAAAAAATAGTTTCTAATTAGATTCTAATCTTTTTTGGGAAGATAAATATTGATTACAACAATCTATTAAATAAAATTTAAAGAAAAAAAATAAATACATTTTGTTTAACTAATTATTAAGTGAGGTTTGTTAATTATATTTATTTTTGATGATATAAAGAAACTGGGGTTATTTTCAAGAGTTTATTTAAATTCCAATCTGCTCATTATATTGCCACATTTATTTTAACTTATTTTTAAATAACTTGTTAATCTCTAATTGATAATATTTATATTTTTTTTACAATTTATTTGCAACACAAAATTCCAGTCAAATTATAATTTGACCAAACTTGTTATAATTATAACAAGTTTTATTTTGCTTTCGAAGATTTTTTTCTTCTTCCTATTATTAATGAAATAGAAATGTAGTAGACTATGAGGACTGATTTGCTACTGAATTGTCCTAGACTAGATATCTTTGATACAATTGAAAAAAAATATAACCATTTAAAATTAATATATATTGAATAAACATTTAGTGGAGTTGAGTTAAAACTTGTAAAATTTGGTATGAATGCACATACAGTTTAATTTTTATTTTTGATGGAAAGTTGATCTACACTGCTTTTAATGTCATTTTTAAAAAGCTGCACTATGATATTAACTGCAGTAACCGATTTTAGAACAGTTGAGCCACAAACAAAATAAAAAGTTATTTCATATTTACTTCAAAATAGCAATAACTTTAAAACACAAAACAAATTTCCAATAGAAATTGACATTCTCTTTTTTTTTTTATTTTTTTTTTTTTGCGTAAATAAATTATGACGTTTTATTTCAATTTAAAGTATTTTATCTTAGAATGTTCAGCACCCATACGAGTGTGATCATTCTAAAGATCGAGACTCTTTGAAAATTTATGAGAACCATAACCAGAAGAAAAAAACAACAACAAATAGACGAATTAAGAATAGCTTTGGGATAAGTTGAGGCTACTTTTGAATGAAAGCAAAAAAAAAAAAGATAAAAAAAGAGGAAAACAAAATAGTTTAAGTCATTCTATGTAGTATTAAATTGACGTTTCTTTTTTTTGTTTTTTTTTATCATAAGACCAGAAATACCTGCAAATTCACGCAAGTTGAGTTCGGATTTTTCTTAAATAGGTACCAGCAAACATTTAGTGTAGCTGATAAAAAAAATAGTGTATAAAAAGAGCTTCATTCAATTTTTCAAAGCTTTTGAAACTAGATGTATATGAAAAAAAAAAAGAATGGCATTTGGTACAATTGCAGCTGAGTATGATAGTTTGATCAAAATATTTTTTTTTTGGCCCAAACTAATATATCAAATATATCAAATAAACATCAGCAAAAACACTGTAGCATAGACTGATGGCATTTATATATTTATAAAAAATCTACAGTTTTCACAAAATATTATATCCATTAATTTGAAAATTAGAAATATTTTAAATTTCATTTTTTTTTCATATTCATATCTATAACATTGATTGTGGCTCACCTCTATTCAGACAGCAATATGGACTTTCAAAGTAAATATTCAACTATGTTTTCTATGAGGACATAAAGCAGCTATTAGTGGCTGAAGAAAACAAGAAATATCCAAAAATAGTGTAATCTCACAATAAAAAAATACAAGACTGAATCGGGGGCATTTGTTAAGAGTAAACAACCAAAAAAAATAAAAATGCTACCAATGAAATTAAATCACAACATTTTTATCAGCTGCATTCAAGCAAGTCGTGATAATATGTTTCCATCTAAATAGTATTTGGTTAAGATGTTTAAAGAACAAAAGAAATTCACGGCTACATATATAAATAAAAAAAAATCCCCATTTTTTTGTCATTATTTTTTTAATTTTTTTTCATTGTTCCTCCTTAAGCTTTTTTTTCTTCAACAAAATGTTGTACGTCTATGGACAATTGCCCCTTCAAACACTTCTCATTGTGATGGATGCCACCTTTTGGCTCCTCACATACTTTCTCATTGAGTTTCTTTCAATCATAAGTAACCCTTGCACACAAGTAGCTTCCATAATCACATCACTTGGAGGGTTTTGGAAGTTTTTTTACTCCGAGGGCTTACGCGCGCGCATGCGCAAAACAAAACTTAATGAATATGAAATTAATCCAACATCACCTGAATCTCCAACACAAGAAAAAACTGTGAACAAAAGTGATTTTGATATTGAGCTCGGAGCCGATGATTTCAAAGTGACCACAACAGAAGAAGGAAACAACAACAATGAAGATAAAAATAACAATAACCATATCAATATTACTAATATCAATAATAACAACAACACTAATAACTTCAACGACAGATTGTTTGAGTTTGAACACGCCAAAAAAACATTTCACTACCCAACGTTGTTGTTGTTTTTTGCTTGTATCATTTGCACTACATATGGGTCCAAGGTGTTAAATTTGATTCTCTCACAAAATGTGGCTCCTTCAGCAGAAAGCTTGTATTTACCCGTAAAAGATGCTGCCAAAAAGGAACTAAACTTGACTACAGATACTTCAACATTGATTCCAGATGATTTTGACATCAACAGCCGCTGGTCTAGTGATACAATTTTATACAATATTAATGTGGACTATCATGAAGTGGATGAATTTGAAAACAAAATGGAAAGAGTTCAATTTAATGACACAGGATTTGCAGATTCATTTCTCCTTATGGGTGGTCTTTTATTTTCGTTTGAAGTAGAACCTGGATCTCATTTATCTTGTGGCTCAAGTGATAAGTGGACTGAAACAGTCATGAAAAAAGGATCAGAAGTCAACCAGCTTAATCTTCCAGCAGTCCCCCTTTTCCCACAAGCATGGTGTTTGAATAGTACAGTCAATGACAGCTCATTGAACATTGACTTTTTGGATTTAAAGCTTGATTCGGATCGCATGAGTTCACCAGGGGACAATGTCACACTTTTTGGTGTTGACAGGAAAAACAAGCAGATCTACGCAAACACAATTGTGTATGAGTCTTCCAATTTCTCCCAAAGCTATTTATATGATGTTCTCGATACATATAACGATATCCCCATTGATTATCTTTCTAGTTTGTTTGATCATCTTGGCTGTGATATATCGTTGGACAACTATAACGTCATGTTCAACTCAGATAACAACCAAACCAGCTATGATGTCACATCAAATATCACCGATGGATTAGCAACTTTTATAAACACATGGTTCAGCACCGATGTCAGTTTCACACTTGGATTTACTCTCAAAGACAACTCAACTATTCACTCTGTTAATGGTACATTATATAACCGAGTTATCATGGCATATTTTGCACACGATAAACAGTTGACGGTGACACAGGCATTTTATCGTGGCCGTCTACTCCGTTATGACATTCATGATACAAATGATGACAATTTCATAAGTCAATGGAACAGTTCAATGTCGGATCCAATATATTACGCTGATGTTCAAATTTTGCCACTTGCTGTTAATATCAAAGTCAGTCCGTTTGTATTTGGGGTGATTGATAAAGTTTTTGGGCTCAACACTGTTGGATATTCTAGTGTTGGGTTTTATTTTGCGGGAAGACTTCGGTACAATGTGACATCGATTGTTTGTTCTATTCTTGCAGTTTTTGGTCTTTCCATGTTTTTGTTTATTCTTTGCAAAATCATTTTGTATAAGTTTCCTCAGGGTATTCCGTCGTATTATAGTCTTTTACATCAGTATCATGAGAGACAAACAAAAGTTCAACGGCCATATGATGCCGAAGTAGAACGCAGATCGTTATTTTCAATCATTGATAAAGCATATGAAGGAGTTGGTTATGATGTTGATTTGCAGCGAAATAGGCTGGGTGTTCTTGATGAGGCTACGTTGAAAGCTGGTGTGAAACGTGAAGGAATTATAAGAAGGCGCTTGTTTTAGGTATATACAAAGAATTTATTGACATTTAATAAAAAGAAGATTTATTCAATAACCAAAATTTCCATTTTTGATAAAAGTTAAAACACGCCTAATATTATAAACAACCCAAGGATCTTCTACCTTTTATCCAACTTTTTTGACGATTTTTAAATAAAATCTTTGAGCCACTACTTAAGGCTGGAACATGATCAGTAGAAAAAACACTTCGATCGCGTTGTAGGTAAAACAATATGGAAGAATTGTGTAAACTTGTGACAGCCGGCTAATATTGTTTGATAGCTTCGTTTTCAGACAAGCTCTCTGATTAGGATGTTATAATTATAACATAAAAGTTATGGATTTGGAAAACCGATATTAATTTGATCACAAGGTAAAGGGTATAGAAATCCTTAAACATTAAAACATCCAAATATTGTTTAAGCACTTCCTCAAACCATTCTTTGATTTTTCAAAATCTTGATTAAGACCCCGGTTGTAGAATAAAGCAATTGTTAAACATAAAAGGATTTGAAACAACTTGTAGTTACGGCATGTCATGTTAACGGTGTTATTAAAATGACTAGAAACCTCAATCACTTCAAAGATGATTTCACCAAAAAAGAAACATGACGGTGGACAACAATATCTTATTTGGTTTATGGGTCTTAAAAATCAATCCGGTCCATAGTCAATAGTTAAAAATTGTTTCAAAATTTGGTGAAACCATTAATCTTAAAAATGTTGAAGTCTGATTTGTAGTATGGGTTATAGGTTTAAAAGTTGATGTGACTTTAGACTTTTTCTCAAAAGTGGGAAAGATTTAAATTCTTCTTCTAGACAAAAAAAATAAAACAGAGTTAAATATTTATTTAATTATAAAGTAAAAATAATAAAAAGAGAAATAACACCGTTCCTTATTTGGTGACACTCTTCATTTTCGATTTTTGAAAGGAATGCTTAGCATTCGCTAAGCGTTCTTGAGTACTAAAGAAAACAAAGACTACTGCATTCACGCAAGTAGAGCGTGGGTTTAAGCGTTTTGAGTGGATACTACATATCGGGTACAGAATGCCATTGCAACAGTCATTTCTAAAGATGTTTATAAAAAATACTTTTATTTTGAAAGATGGATTCTGTGATAAGATAAGATAATTAAGAGTGGTGTTTGTCTGGGACCTTATTTAATGGAACCAAAAGGTTTTTACAATACCTAATCAGACTTAAAGACAAATTGGAGTTTAATTGAAGGCTTATAATTAGTTTAATTTTGGAGATCCTGTCAATGACGTTATTTGTCACCCACAAACATCGCAGCAAACACAGCTGCTAAATTGTTTTACGAGGGAGGAGGTTCTAAAAGGAAAACATAAAGCAGCCTTTAGCAGCTGAGAAAATTATATTTTATAAATAGTTGAAAAAGAAATGTCAAAATATCCCAAGAATTACAATAACAACAATAGCAACAACAACAACAGCCACAGTTTCAACAAGAAGAAGTTTTAACAAGAAGGGAAAAAAAAGAGGTTGAAGATAGTTAGTATAAATGAAAAATTTATAATTATATAGTTAACGAAACAAATAACATAATGAGTATATATTTTTTTTAAATATTGAGCATAGTAAGAGGATTGTGATACCGCATAGGGTCTAAACAGGACCAATTTAAATTGGCGATAATATTACCACATCAAAAAAGAATCATTTCGAGACGATACTTAATATAAAAAAAATCCCTGAAAAAATATATAAACTGTGTGAATCCCCTCTCCCCCTTTTTTTTTTTCTTTTTTTTTCTTTTTTGTTATACATTTTTCTATTCACTTGATAGTTAAATTGATACATATTCCCATGCTCTTTTCTTAATATAATGTTGTATGTCTATGGACAATTGCCCCTTCAAACACTTCTCATTGTGATGGATGCCACCTTCTGGCTCCTCACATACTTTCTCATTGAGTTTCTTTCAATCATAAGTAACCCTTGCACACAAGTAGCTTCCATAATCACATCACTTGGAGGGTTTTGGAGGTTATTTTATTCTGAGTGCTTACGTTCACGCATGAGAAAAACAAAAAGCAACGAATACGAATTAGATCCTTTATCTTCTGCAACTGCGGAATCCCCAAAACAAGAATATTTGTCAAAGATTCCATTTGACTCCGAACCTGGAACAAGTAATTTGACAATAACAACAGCAGAGGAAACAAATAATAACGGGACATCAAACAATCGCGATAGTGATGACAATGAGGACGATGAATTTTACGACTTCCATTTAAATCACAAAAAGTTCCACTACCCAACATTGGTGATTTTTTTTGCTTGTATCATTTGCACTACATATGGGTCCAAGGTGTTAAATTTGATTCTCTCACAAAATGTGGCTCCTTCAGCAGAAAGCTTGTATTTACCCGTAAAAGATGCTGCCAAAAAGGAACTCAACTTGACCACAGATACTTCAACATTGATCCCAGATGATTTCGACCTCAACAGCCGCTGGTCTAGTGATACAATTTTATACAATATTAATGTGGACTACCATGAAGTGGATGAATTTGAAAACAAAATGGAAAGAGTTCAATTCAATGATACAGGATTTGCAAATTCATTTTTCCTTATGGGTGGTCTTTTATTTTCGTTTGAAGTAGAGCCTGGATCTCATTTGACTTGTGGCTCAAGTGATAAGTGGACTGAAACAGTCATGAAAAAAGGATCAGAAGTCAACCAGCTTAATCTTCCAGCAGTCCCCCTTTTCCCACAAGCATGGTGCTTGAATAGTACAGTCAATGACAGCTCTTTAGACATTAGTTTTCTGGACTCGAAGTTGAATTCAGATCACATGAGTTCACCAGGCGACAATGTCACACTTTTTGGTGTTGACAGGAAAAATAAGCACATCTACGCAAACACAATTGTGTATGAGTCTTCCAATTTCTCCCAAACACAGTTGTACGATGTTCTCGATACATATAACGATATCCCCATTGATTATCTTTCTAGTTTGTTTGATCATCTTGGCTGTGATATATCGTTGGACAACTATAACGTCATGTTCAACTCAGATAACAACCAAACCAGCTATGATGTCACATCAAATATCACCGATGGGTTGGCAACTTTTATAAACACATGGTTCAGCACCGATGTCAGTTTCACACTTGGATTCAGTCTCAAAGACAACTCAACAATTGACTCTGTTAATGGTACATTATATAACCGAGTTATCATGGCATATTATGCAAACGATGACCAGTTGACGGTGACACAGGCATTTTATCGTGGCCGTCTACTCCGTTATGACATTCATGATACAAATGATGACAATTTCATAAGTCAATGGAACAGTTCAATGTCGGATCCAACATATTACGCTGATGTTCAAATTTTGCCACTTGCTGTTAATATCAAAGTCAGTCCGTTTGTATTTGGGGTGATTGATAAAGTTTTTGGGCTCAACACTGTTGGATATTCTAGTGTTGGGTTTTATTTTGCGGGAAGACTTCGGTACAATGTGACATCGATTGTTTGTTCTATTCTTGCAGTTTTTGGTCTTTCCATGTTTTTGTTTATTCTTTGCAAAATCATTTTGTATAAGTTTCCTCAGGGTATTCCGTCGTACTATGGTCTTTTACATCAGTATCATGAGAGACAAACAAAAGTTCAACGGCCATATGATGCTGAAGTAGAACGCAGATCGTTATTTTCAATCATTGATAAAGCATATGAAGGAGTTGGTTATGATGTTGATTTGCAGCGAAATAGATTGGGTGTACTTGACGAAATCACTTTTAGAAAAGGCGTAAACCATAACGGTATAGTAAAACGGCGACTCTTATGAGTTGGTAATGTGATAATACAATAAAAATATAAATTCTTTTGTTTTGTTTATAATTCATTCCATTTGGCGGGTGTAATCTGTTTAGTTAACCAAATATTAACATTTCAGCTGAATGTCTTGGAAGACCATTATTGTGCAGAGGAAAAATTTTTAATGGGTTGTTGACTTTTTTTTTTTTAACAAAAACCTGTGACTTACCCACAACAACCCCGCATAAGCCACACAAAACAAAACGGTTCGGGCCACTTAAGGTTAACTTTAACTGATAACCGAAACCAATGTTGGCGATTCTTTTTTTTTAATTGTTAATGAAGAAGAAGAATAATCTATTTTAATCTTTTTCCGTTTTTTTTTTTCTATTTCAACTTCTTCATTGCGTTTTTTTATTGTTCATTCTCTAAAGACTTTTTCTATAATCTGAAAAATTTCCAAAACACAAAGACCTCTCCACATTCTTTATGCATCACAAAATTCCCTTTGCACTTTAAAATGACCGCTAATTCTAGTAAATCGCTTTTTGGAGCATTTGGCGATGATCTGCCGGCTTTACAAGACATTTTTAAGACTTTATATAATCTTGCGCGATCCCAGATGCCCTACGACATGCTTTCACTAGCCGACCAAGATGCACTGGCTTATATGTTTCTAGAACGTCATTCAGCCAACCTGTATCCTAGAGTCATTCTCTGTCAAGAATACACTTTACAAACAAACTTTGTTGACTTTGATCCCGAATCCCTTCCTCCGAGTTACAGTGACAAGCAGCTTGCCATTATTCATGTTAAAAAATATGGGGTATGCATGAAGCGGATTGTCGGAAACTCAGCGTTCCTATTACCAACCTATAATCGCAACATGTTTTATATGCAAGCATCTTATTTTCTACAGTGTGTCAATGAATGGATCAACGATACTGATCCTGACAGTGGGTTCTACGACAACTCGAGGTATACAACAAAACATATTGCACGCCTGAAAGCAGAGTATGGAATCGACGTGTATGACTTGGCGGCTCAGCTGGCTCATCATTCTGTACTTTCTGTAATTAATAACTTTATTGCTCTTAATATCAAACTCCGTCGTGATATGGTGCGTCTATGCTCGATTCCAAGGTTTCTGGACGGCCGAACAGAACGCAAATTTGAAACTGACTTGAATGCAGCAATAGACGAATACCAGCGCGTATATAGTACCACTATTATCGGAAATATGACCAAGACTCTGGGACCCGATGGATGGTTTAAAAGGATCACGGTGACTCCAGTGAGTATTGTTTTGGCTTTAAGCGCAGGCTACGCCTGTTACCGGTATTATATTAAGCGTGGTTAAAAAATGGTAGAGTGATAATGAAAGGGAACCATAAAAAGAGAAACTTTCATTTTGAAACAGCTATTTAGAGATTCAGACATTTCAAACACATCATAGAACTAAGGCCAAAACAAAACATATATGAAGACTGTTGTTTGGTACGGCGTCGCTACCAAACAGTTTATATGAGTGCCCTGAAAAATTTTTACAATAGAAGACAGTGAGAAATATTAATCAGGTGACTTTGACACTTTGCAGTTCAATCGAGCATACAATCAACGTTCTGTTTAATTCGGTAAACAATGACAATTTTTAACCTCATGCACAACAAATTCATCTTAATAGAAATGATGGCTTATCTACACATGTAATACTTTAGAATGAGAAAAAGTACTAAGTCGGAGTTTCCTGTAAATAAAGACTTATATTTTGGTAGATGCAAATATTTATGAAGCAAATCTTAAAGGAAACAATAGAGATAATGAGAGATATATTTGAATTTTATAAAAAAAATTGGAAGTTTCTTAAAATCTTTAATTGAAGTTGTTTTTAGGGGAATTTTTTCAATTAGACTTAGTAAAAAAAATACTGTTTTAATATGTTTTTAAGATTGGCATTAAAAGTCTGTTTTTAATTTAGTATTTAATAGACTTGTTTTTTTTATGTGAAAAACTGTTGAATATAAATCTTCTTTATTTCTTTTAAAAGAAATACAACCAAATTTGGTTCTATATTACAAGTGGTGATTTTACTCCACAAATTAAAATTGATAATATATACTTCACTTTTTATCAAAAGTTTGGCATTTAAAAACTGGTTTGACTGAGATCAGATGCATAATTGAGATTCTATACTACATTTTTAATAATAAAGATATAAATTATATAATTTACATCAAATTAGAATGACAAAATCATATGAAATATATTTTTTTTTTGTTTGTGAACTAATTCATTTCTTTACTCTACATTTTAGAGTTTTGTTTTGTGAGTGAACATGAATAAGAAGAGGTCAAGAAAAAAAAATAACGCGGCTTTTCATTCCAGTTAGTTAATCACATTGATTTCTTTTTAAAAAAGTACCAATTTTTTTCTCTTTTATCAAAATTTAAATAAAATATCAACAAATAAGATCACTTTTTTTTTTCAATTTATTGAATTTCTGTTGTAGATTTCTTTGATAAAATTTCTTGATTGTTGGGGTCGAGACAATCATTGAGAATCGTGGGGGTGGTGATTTGTTACATTTTAATTACAACAAAAACGCGTCTCGATGACTAACATTTCTGTCTTTTTTTTTTTTTTTTTTTTTGTTTCCTCTCTCACTCATTGCCTCCTTATAATACTCCAAACAACTCTGTTGGGGGATTCCCAATAAATAAATAAATTGTTTTAAAGCTGATATGTAATCTGCTATCTTTTGCAGGTGTTTCCATTGAAACTATTTTCATCACTTGCTTTAAATCTTTAGTCAACAATGCCAGTTTTTGTAGAGAAATATCCACATGATTTATACGAATGTGTTGGATGCCATATTAAAGGCATTCATCCACGAGATACTAGCAGCCATGTATTCCCTGACTTACCGACTACAGCAGCCATGGGGACACTTCGAAAACATGCTGAAAACATTGATTCAATTAAAGAAATTGTCAAATTGCTAAACTCAAATTTGGAATCTCAAAAAATAGAAAGTTTTGGGCTCGAAGAAATGGACGATCTCCCTGAACTGCTGCTAAAAGAACACGACAACTTCTTTTATGAAATTGCCGTGCGTGCTAAAAGAGGCATGTCATTCCAGCATTCGCGTCAACTTCAGCTTGAGGATATGAAAGAAAGTACCACAAATGCAGAAATTGCTTTTCACCTTGTTTCATACAAGTTTGAATTTTTGGGCCAAGTCACTGAAGAATCACCTATTTTTCATATTACTAATTCAAAAAAAGATTTTTTTGCCAAAATTGTTTCTTCCCTTACTTTGGCCACTGCTCTTCCAGAAAACCTTGACAATTTATCACCCAGCAGCATGACCAGCGCTCAAAATCTTTTCGATGAGTACGGTCTTTTAGTTCCCGACTTGGCAAGGTGCATTCTTCAGCTTCCGTTTATGATTTCTGCAGAAGCAATGGTTAAACTTGAAGCTGATGTTATTGATAAATCATTAAACCTTTTATTAACTGCGGATAATTTGAAGTTCAAACCAAAGATAACCCCAAAACGTCACAAGGATATCCATAAACAAGTACTTAAAGCTGAAGAATTTTACGACGACCCATGGTCATCTGACTTTGTTATTGCAAAAAAGGTTAGAAGAAAGGCATATTTTGGGATTACATTTACTTTATCTTTGTTTATTTTGTCTGTTTTATATTTAAGAAAAAAATTCCCTGGCTTAAAGGTTTAACAAAAACTGATCAAAAAATTACATGTAATAACAATGCATTAACAAAACATAAAAAGTGTTCCTTTTTTACCTTTCATTGTTTATTAACTCGTTGTGATTTTTTGAAATATTTTACTTGAATTGTTGACTTTTATTCGAGATCTAATTGAAGCTATGTTTTGCAAATTTAAACGATTATAATTTGCATAAATTTATGAAGAATCCAACTTTAGATAATTGTAATAATATTCATACTTATAATTAATATTGATTTTATTTTAATATTTTCAAAGTGCAGAATTTAACAAACAATCAATCTTGTCTGAAAACATGTACAATGACCTTGTGCAGAGTGACAATTTTAAAACAACATATATTACAAAGAATTACATAATCAAACATTTATGATTGACGACAATGTTTCCACTTTTTAATTAATCCAACTGTGAAACTACAATCATCTTCAAATTGTAGTTATTATTTCTAAAAATATTGAAGTCATTCTTTTATTTTTAAATCGCAAATTTAATATTACTATAAAAAAAATTAAATGCTTTGCAACTCTTACTGAATAATTCTTCGTTTAACTATACCATTTTTGCTAGTCCCTGTTCTAATGGTAGCCTCATCTAGAACTCCAATTCGATTTCTTTGCATGTTTCTGTCATATCCGACACCTTCATAAGCGTTGTCAATGATCTTAAAAATAGATTCGCGTTCAACTTTAGGATCATATGGTCGACTATTATTGAAATGATTCTGATAATATTCATGCAATAGACCATAGTATGTTGGAATACCTTGAGGACATTTATAGAGAATAAGTTTTGTTAAGAAAAACAAGATCAAAGATGCTAAAGAAACAGAAATAATTGCAATAATAATAGAAGTTGCATTATATCTAACTCTTCCTGGGTAATAGAACCCCAATTGATCGTAACCTTTGACTGTTATATCCAAACCTTCACTTAGCACACTATACACAAATGTAGATACTTTGATGTTTGAGGCAACTGGTACAAAATGAATGCCCCATTGTTCAATAAGTTTTGAATTTATTTTTGATGCTCGTGATTTATTGTCGTTATAATCAAATTCAAAAATAAATTTCTTGGTATAATAGAAAGATTGAGTAACAGTTAAAGTGTCCAAATCTCTATAATACCCAAGTACTACCTTATTATGCATTACCCCAAATGAAGATAGGTTTCCTTCAAGCTGTTTCCCCAAGGTGAATGTCAAAACAAAACTAACATTTTGGGAGTAATAGAGTTCACCAAATGCTACTAAATATTCAGTGACATTATTTCCAACATAACGACTTGTTTTATTATTATCAGTGTTGAAAACAGCGTTTTGATTAGTAGAAGATAAGTTAAGATCAAATGAATTAAAGGTGCTTTCTAAGAAGTATAAAGGGTCATTAGCAAATTCTTCTTCCGTTGAAAGATAGTAATAGCGATATTTGAAACCATAATAGTAAATACTTCTGGCATAAATTTCTTGGGTTTGGTTGTTCACTCCAAACAATGTAAAATTGTCTCCAGGATTACTCACTAAATAGGGTTCTAACATATCAGAAGGAGCAACTACTGCATTAGTGTCATTATCATTAGGCTGGTTACTGATACATAAAACTTGAGGTAAAATAGGAACGGCGGGTATACTCATTAGAAGGGTATTGGCACCGTTAGCACCTATAATAATATTGCTCCATTTATCGGTCAAACCGCAGCTTAAAAAATTCCCTGATAAAGGATCAGAATAATTGAAAAGAATTGTACCAGCCATATAATTTGAATTTCCGTAGCCAACTTCATCGTCTTCTAGAATAATCTGGTCCTTCTCCCATTCATCTACTAAGCTATAATTTCCATCAGGGTTATAAAAAACTGTATCTGGATCCCAGTGGTTAGTGATGTTGGAATTAGAAGAAAAATATAATGAAGTATTTGATTTGTCACCAGGATGAATTCTCAATGCATCTTTAAGAGGTGCAAAAGTGGGCTCGTAAGTAGGATAAATATCCCTGGAGAAGATTAGATTTAAAATTTTTGAACCATAACTTGCAGCTAATATAAACACAAAAAATATTAACAAAACTGAAAAATGAAAATTTCTTTTAGGAAAAGGTTGAATTAAACAATCGTTGACAGTTGTATTTTTGTCGTTGGAGTGCTCATTATAATTGTTGACACTATTCATTTCAAGTCTGTCATTCCTTTGTGGTGAGTAATTGGTTGAGTCAAATTCAGAAATTCCAGTTGAATATGAATTGCTTTTGGTTTTACGAATTTGTGCACGTCTTGTTTCCATGCTAAACATTTGAAAACCTCCACTGATACTTGTTAGGATTGAAGCTATTTGTGTTTCAGGATTGCTGATGATTGAAAGTAGTTCAACTAAAAAGAAAGTGAAAATCCAAAAAACTACATCCATAACAATAAGGACAACCTGTAGTTGTAATTGTCCATAGACATAAAAGATTTTCATAGTTGAGAAAAAAAAAAGAGGCAATGTGAAAAATCAAAAATATAAAAACTTTTTCTCGTAGTAAGGGAACCAAAAAATGTTTAAAAATTTCCAATGAATTATAAGGATTTTTTTTTCTATAAAAAATTAAAAGTAAAAATATTTTTTCTTTAAATATATATATATATTTATATATATTTGATAAAATATTAAAGAAAATATTTGGATGTATTCTATCATATCTACAGTTAATTATTTGCGGCTAAACAGTATTTTAGTCAAAAGAACTACACGCCACATTAAAAAAAAAAAAAAATAGCAGTGCTTTAAAAGATAAAAGTGATCTCGAGAATTATTATTTTTTAGCGATTTAATTTTTTTTAACAATGAATAAGCCCACAATATTATTTGACCATATATATATGTATTGTTTAATAAATTTATTTATTTCAATTCCTTCTATTTTTTTCTTTAATTTACATTTCATTCAGTTTTTTTTTTTTTTTTTTTTTTTTTTAAAAAAAAATGACAAAAAATTAATATTTATTTAATGATTTGATCTAATATAATAACTAACTATTAATGGCTAAAATATTTCTAGTTTTGAAAAATGAATTGGCTTTTTTCTTTATTTATTTGTTTATTATTTTTTTTATTTTTTTTATTTTTGTTTCTCACTTGTCCACTATATATAATTAATTAATTAGTTATAACTAAAGTTTAGTTTAAATGTATTCATTCATATATATATATATATATATATATATTATTGTATAGTAGTGTGAAGTACAGTGCTTTAAACTCTTTTAATCATTTTTACTTAAATTTTTTTTTTTTTTTGCAATTCTATTTCAATTGATTTTATTTCTAAATTTAAATATGAAAAAAAAATTTTATTTAAATTATTTAAATTATTTAAGTGTAAAAATTTAGTTTAATTTCAACTAAAGTCGTAAATAAAGATGATCAATAAAGCTGATCAATAAAGAATAGGGGGTGGGAAAAAAAAATGGGTTGATACGATGATAGGCAAGTCATATAATTTAGCTACACAACCGTAATATGAAATTCTACTAAATCTAGAACGTTGACCATATTTATAAAATAAATAAATTATTTGAAATAAAAAAAAAAAATAGCCTGATCAGGTATTACTTCATGAAGTAATCTTGTAAACTTTTAAACTCTACAAAAAAAAATTCATAGATGAAATACTATTAATTATTACACACTTATTAAAAAATACAAAAGAAAAAATATAGAATTCAATAATAATATTAAGGCTTATCGCTTAAATAAAATTAAAATGAAATATTCGGGGAGCTAAATATATATGTCATTTAGATAACCCTATATTTAACTTTCACAGAAATATCTTCAATGGGTTATCATTAAAACATCTTTATTGATACCTCAAAAATGAAAATATAAATATAATCCATTTTCCTAGTCTTTTTTTAAAAAAAAAATTACTTTCTTTCTTTTTTTCTTTTTTTTTTTATTCTTCAGTCATTTCTTGCTACAACTTTGTCACTTATCTTCAATATTTTTATACATTTAATAGAAAATAGAGATGCATATACTATACTACAGTTTTTCATAAGATTAATTTTCATTGATAAACACCATCACTTGTACAATATATGATACAACATGTAGAGCATCTGTCTTTACATGTAACAAATAAAAGTTTTCAGTTAAATATTTTCCTTCATTTGGTTTTCATTTTCAATTTAAATCTCTATTTCGGTATCTGTCTCGGGCTATTTAACTTCAAACTGCATTTTTTCCCTAATTATTGATTTGATTTTGAACTATGTCAACCATTTAGGTGAGTTAATAATTTACTACCATATTTACTTATTATTAAAGCATCTAACAATGAACTGTTAGTAAACAATATTGAAGTTGATGTCTACCTTTCTTCCTTAAGAACAAATAAACGAGACTTGAAATTCAATTTTCAATGATATGGTTTGGTTAACCCTAACAAGTTCATAACTACAACACTGCAGTGAACACTTACTCCTTTTGCTGTAACCTTGTGGCGACGTCAATGAAATCACTTCCTGACTCATATTGTCCCAACAGATGCTTGTCAAAGCCATTACATTGAGATGTTATTAGCAATGGGTATAATCTGGTATCTAGTGGAGTGCCGTCAATTTGGAAAAGACTAGGGCTCTACTGAAGTACTGACAGTTTTAAGAGTAGTTGGGGCTCTACTGAAGTGCTTTCGGATTTGAAAATAATCGAGGCTCTACTGAAGTTATGTCCGTGAATGTTTATTTGAAAATTTGGAAGTCTGTTTTGCGTTAAGGTAATCTGAAAAATTTAAAGTTTTCCCAAACAAAAATCTTTATTTTGTCAAAGTTAAGTTATAACTTTATAATTTAAAATGAGATGGATGGGATAACTTTCTATCTAAATATATATTTAGAACCATATATAATTGCAAGTTTGTGTTCGCAGCTGAAAGATTGTGATTTTTAAAGATTTATCATATGAATTTTTTAAACAAATAAAACATAATTGACTCAATATTACCTAAAGCCCAACAGATTATTAGGAAATGGATTCAAATTATCGGTTATGTATGTTTCTTACTTAATCGTTACAATTCCATTTCTGTGTTTGGGTTTATAATTTTATTCGTAAATATTATAGTGATATCAGGATTCCATATGAGCAAAACCAAATATTACATATGCACAATATTGTAAACATTAATAAGTTTGCAAAAGTGTTAGGTGGAGAATTGCTGGGCGGGGTTAAGGTATTTATTTGTTGTGATTTAGATAGCTCTTGGCTTAATCGCCTGAATCCCTCAAGGGTTAGGTTAAATAAAACGGGTTAGGGTTGATTTTTTAATTCACCATATAAAAGGCAAAAGTTTTAAAATTCCGCAAGGGCTAGGGTACATTAATAGTTACCCTAACCACTGGGGAATTTACATATTTTTTAAAATTGTATATAATATATCGCTTTTTTTTTATTTTCATACTGATATTAAAAAAAACAAAAGATCCCACAAGGGCTAGGGCGGTATTATTACACAATTTAATATATTATAAATTCTATAATTCCACTAGGGTTAGGTTAAATATATTTATTTGTTGTGATTTAAATAGCTCTTGGCTTAATCGCCAGAATCCCTCAAGGGTTAGGTTAAGTAAACGGGTTAGGGTATATTTTTAGATTCACAATATAAATTGCAAAAAATGAACATTCCTCAAGGGCTAGGGTTTGTGCTTATGTCATCTAAATGATTTTATAATTTTAAAAATTCCATAAGGGTTAGGTTTCATAATTTTGGTTAGAGTACTTGTTGTAATTTTGAAAAATTTTAGAGTGAACTCCAGAATTTCACTAAAGTGAAGGTATGATATTTATGTAAGGCTATCAGTTTAAAAAAATATAAGAATACCGTAAGGGTAAGGGCTAATAAATCCGGTTAGGGTTTATGTATAGCTTCACCATATAAATGGCAAAGTTTTAAACATTCCACAAGGGCTAGGGTATAACAATTATGTAAGGCCACGAGTTTAAAAAATATGAGAATTCCATAAGGGTAAGGGCAATATAATTGGGTAAGGGTTTAATGATAGATTTACCATAGAATTTGCAAAAAAATAATGATTCCGCTAGGGCTAGGGTAAATAAGATATAGCCCCAACCCTTGTGGAATTTACGGATTTTATAACATTGCATATAATATATTGCTTTTTTATATTTTCTTACTAATGTTAAAAAATCAAAAATTCCACAAGGGTTAGGTGAAATACACTTGGGTTAAGAGATTTTTTGTGATTTGGACAAATTTTGGTATAAACCCAAGAATTCCAAAAGGGCTAGGGTATTTATTATGTAAGGCTATCCAGGTTTTAATATATGATAATTCCACAAGGGTAAGGGCCAGATAATTGGGTAAGGGTTTAAGATTTGATTCACCATATAAATAACAAAAAATAAAGGATTCCGTTAGGGCTAGGGTAATTTAACATTAACCCTAACCCTAACGTAATTTACGTATTTTTTAAAATGGGGTAAAATATCGCTTTTTTATATTTTTTTTTACAAATTCTAAAAAAATCAAAGATTCCACAAGGGCTAGGGCTTTATATATATATGATCAATCACATATCAAAAATTGTATAATTGCCCAGGGATTAGGTCAAGAAATTTTGGGTTAGGGCATTTTCTGTGATTCAGACAAATTTTGAGGTGAAACGCCAAACTACTAAAGGGCTAAGGTATAATGATTATGTAAAGCTATCATTTTAAATAATTTGAGAATTCCATAAAGGTAAGGGTTTTTAACAAGGGTTAGGGGATTTTAGTAGATTCACAATATAAATTGCAAAAAAATGAACATTCCGCAAGGGCTAGGGTAAATGCTTATGTCAGCTAATTGATTTATAAATTTTTATAATTCCACAAGGGTTAGGTGTTAATAATTGGGTTAGGGTATATGTTTAGATTCACCATATATTTTGGCAAAAAATAAAGATTCCACTAGGGCTGGGGTATTTGTTATTTTTACCCTAACCCTTATGGAATTTTTAATATTCTCAAAATTGCATAAAATTTATTGCTTTTTGTCATGGAGTGCCTCTGGGCCCCGTGACATGAGTGGTTAGGGTTAGGTATGCCAAGTGGCAACATAACCAGTGATGAAGTGTCATCACTACAACCACTACCACCACCATCAGCATAGCAGGATAAGACTACGATCAAGAGGAACTGAGTCTATCTTAAGATCAAAGGTACGAGAGATTGAACTAAGCTGATGAAACCTGGGACTAATCATATGTAGACTATTAACCTTAATCAATAACTATAACTTATAACTCTAATTACAACCAAGTTACTTCGAGAACACGACACTTTTTTAATATTCTTTTACTACATTTGATAAAATCATAAAATCCACAAGGGCTAGGGGTATATTTTACATAATCAAATGTATTTTATATATTTTATAATTCCGCAAGGGTTAGGTTAATAAAATTTTAGTTAGGGCATTTTGAATGATTCAGATTAACTTTGGTGTAAACTCCAAAATTCCTTAAGGGCTAGGGTTACACATTTATGTAAGCTAAAATAATTTGAATTTTTTAAAAATTCCATAAGGGCTAGGGTTTTGTAGTTAATCAACAGTTTGTTAAAAGTGTGATTAACTTTAGAGGGACCTTTTAAATTTTCGCAAGAGTGAGAAGAATAAACAATTAACTGAAGCCTTTTTGAGCACTACATAGCAGTTACTTTCATTATCCATTTTTTTTTTTTTTTTTAGAATCTTAAAAAATAATTGAATTCAAGTCATTATTTTCTTAAATGCTTTCAATCAATAAATAAATTTTGTCGCCAACGTAAAATAAATTAATTGATACACATTTTGAGCGCTTACTACACTTTTGGGCAAATTAATTGGGTATAAAACCCACTACAGGCCAGGAGGTTGGCACAACCCCAATAATAAAGAGGAAGTCACAGTTGAATGCTAATTTAATTCAGTAGAATGATTTCTATTCAATATAGTAGAATAATTTTTTAGTGAAGATTTGGCCAGTTAATTTTTACAGCACCTCACTAGAGCTTGGACTATTTTCAAAACCAACAGCACTTCAGTAGAGCCCTGATTATTTTCAAATCCGACAGCACTTCAGTAGAGCCCCAACTATTCTCAAAAGCGTCAGTGTTTCAGTAGGGACCCAGCTACTCTTAAAACTGTCAATACTTCAGTAGAGCCCTAGTGTTTTCCAAACTGACAGCACTCCACCAGATGCCAGATTATACCCATTGCCAATAACATCTCAATGTCCAATTGACCTTTCTTAAACGATGAGAGTTATGTGTAGCTGAAAACCACTTCGACATTAATCAACATTTGTTCAACTCATTAGTATTAATAGACAGAATACACCAAAGGAACAACTGAAAAAGGAGCTTGTGATTTCATCGACGTCGACACAAGGTTACAGCAAAAGGAGTAAGTGTTTATTGCAATATTGTAGTTATAAACTTGTCAGGGTTAGCCAAACCATATCATGAAAAGTTAGGCTCCAAGTCATGTTTGTTTGTTGGTGAGAAATAAAGGAAGGTTAAGTGGAAGACATTAACTATTTATTGTTAGACACAGGGGGAATGATACATCATCATAAAACTTACCAAAGTCACTGAAATTGTTAAATATAAAATCATGAAAAAGATTAAAGTAAAGGGATCTCAAAAGCCGTCAAGAAACAGATAGATTCTAGACTTGAAATTCAAATACTTTTGTAAACAATGAAAAGGGAATGGCTTTAATAAACTCATATTTTAATGTTAAGACTGATCATATGTTTGTCACAATCAACCTTAACTTGTAAAAATAATTTATGTTAATGGACAAGATAAAGTATGTTGGAGATAACATTTTTAGTGTATTTTTGTAGCTTAATTAGAGGAGAAACTGTTGAGAGGGGCAAAAGCCATGGAGAAAATTAGCTGGTAAAAAAAATAAGTGAATGGTAAGAAGAAAGAAAAAAATTTAAAAAGTTTGGGGGAAAGCCTTCTATTTATACTTTAGTTTTTGAGGCTTTTGCAAAGACGCTATGTCGGTAATGACTCATTGGAGATCTCAATATGATCTGGTATCTCATTCACTTGAAAACATCATGGTAAAGCCAAACGACAGAACTTTGGCTGGTCTGCTTGATTATCTTATTATATTAGACTGATTTCGGCAATATTAAAGATTAATTTTAGTAATTAAAAGCAAAAGAAACCAAAAAATAATCGATTAATATTAATTTGCATTTAACTTGAACTCTTTGTTACGTGAAGTATCTGATTAGTTTTTTAACTAAGGCTTGATTTTTAATAGAAAAAATAAAATTAAATTAAAACAAATCCTCTAAAATTGTGAAAAGAGAAACACTTTAAATAATTTTTTATCTATACTCAAATATTTGTTTTTTTTGAACTTAGTCTATTTGGTTGTTATTTCTTGTTTTATGGCACAGCCTTGTGCATTTGTTTTCAATTTATCTTTACTGATCTTCTCAGTCATCAATCTATTTCTCATTCTCATATATTTAAAAAATAACTCAATATTATATTCAAATACTTAGATTTATATCAAGGATTTGTTTTCCTATTCATAAATGTAACTTGGTACTTGGCATGAGATGAGATGAAATGAAATGAAACAAAATGAAATCTGTACCCCGGCACACTCCTCCAGGAAAAGGAAGATAAGTAGCAAGAAAACAATTCCAGTTTCTTTCTCAGTCAAACTAAGGTAGTTTCCATAGCATCTATTACATCTGCCGTTTAAAAATTAACTAAAAATTGTATGTTTGTTTGTTTTTATTCAAGGAAAATAAGCAAACAACCTCATTAACAGATATCTTAAAAGTCTTTCTGCGCACTCATATAGCTATATTTTGTACTTTTTTCAAGCCTGGATGGCCAAGTTGGTAAGGCGCGTCACTAGTAATGACGAGATCGTCGGTTCAAATCCGGCTCTAGGCATTAAATTTTTGCAATTTTTATATCATAATTATAATATTTGACTTCAAATTATTTTTTTATCTTTATTGATTTGAGATTTGTTGTGTGATAGTGTGTTTAATTTATGGTAGTTTTAGTTGTGGGTCAGTTTTGGTGCTAATATTTTTTATTACCTGTGCCAACGTGTGAAGCTTATTTTGGTTTTTTTTTTTGTTTGTTTATTGTTATACTGGGCGTAATTCCAATTCTTTATCAGAACCAACAACTTAAAAAAAAAGTAAAACAAATAAAAAAAACATCAGGTAGCCATCACCATGTTGATCACCGAATCATATACAGACATTAAAACGTCCTATGGGACTACTATGCGGGTATTCATTTACCACCCCAAGATTCCTCAGTACCCCCAAGCCAAGTTCCCTGGCGTTATTGTGTTTTCAGAGATTTATCAAGGTAAGAAAGTTTATCAGACATGATTCCGAGAAACGCCATCATTAACATATTCCTCTTTCTAGTAACTGGTATGAAAATAATATCTCAATTGAATTGATTTATTTATTTAACAGTTTAGGACCTGTTGAGAGATTTGCAAAGCTGATTGCAGGCCATGGATACATTGTTGCAGCTCCCTCTGTTTATCACAATTACGAGTGTAAGCGATTATCTCAAATATTTTTTTATATCTAAACTAACTTTCCAATTTTAAAGCCTTCGAGCCATTTGCATACGACGGTCCCGGCACTGATTTGGGCAACAAGTACAAAGCCACTAAACCCCTTGAATCTTATGACGAAGACTGCAAATTGGCCACTGACTACCTGGTATCGTTGCCTACATGCACAGGCAAGATTGGTGCCACGGGCATGTGTTTGGGCGGTCACATTGCTTTGCGTGCCGCTTTTGACCCCCGTGTGAAGTCTGCCGTGACCTTCTTTGGTACAGACATTCACTCAAACACTCTTGGAAACACCTCTGACGAATCTCTGCACTCGCTGGCCCGTATTAAAAATGGCGATCTCGGAGGATCCTCAGATACAGAGCTTGTGACCATTTTCGGTACATTGGATCCTCATGTTCCCCCGGAGGGCCGCGATAAAATTCGGGCAACATTGCGCGAAGCTGGTGCATTTTTTTCTTTTGTAGAGATCGCTGGAGCGCAGCACGCATTTGTTCGCGACGAATTTTCCAAAGGTAGATATGACCCTGCTGTCACGGGACTAGGCCTAGACATGCTTTATGAACTGTTCCACCGAACATTAACATTAGATCTTGGAGACGTGGACCCGGCTCCGGTCAAGATTGACAATGTGTGCTGAAGGTGATGACCAATATGTTATGTAATTTGTTTATACTTAAGTGTACTGTTGCGTGCTGAGAAATACTCTTTGGAAATTTTTCACACAGGAAAAAAAAAATTTTGCTGAACCACCACGACCTTCTCAAACGCATCGCATTTGGAAAAAACCCATCACCCAAGCAAGCACCATTTTGCACCGGCCCCTATAAAGCTTTTCGGAAAGCCCTTAATCATCAAACAAATATGCGCCCTCTTAAGATGTAAGTGGGATGGAGAGAAAAAAAAAAAGGAATCTTTTATGATGGAGATTTTGACTTACTGACCTTAAATCTATATAGCCAAGGACACACAAGACCTTTGACTCAGGTAAGTTGGATCATTTCGAGATTGTTAATAAAACAGCATGCTAACATTAAAATAGGTCAAGTACAATTCTGACGGCGATTTGCTGCTCACTGTTGCCAGAGATAAAGTGTATGTTAAGAGATATTTATGTACATTTAATACTTTCTAACCTCCTTATTCATAGGGCCAACATTTGGTATTCACACAATGGCGAGCGTTTAGGCACTTTGGACGGCCACGAAGGTTCCATCATGTCGATTGATGTTGATGTTCAGACTTACCTAGTTGCTACCGGATCCGGTGACGGTACCGCGCGGCTGTGGGACATCAAGACGGGCACGCAGCTGTTTACGTGGAACACATTGGCATCCACGCGTTACGTTGCTTTTTCGCCCAAGGGTGACCGCCTGCTGCTAGTGACAGACGAAAACTTTGGCTGCAAAAGTAAGCTTCAGATTTTCAACCTGAACCGTGAGACCCCAACCAAGCAGTCCGAGGAGCCTGTGCTGGTGATTGAGAACCAGGACGGACCCAAGGCCAAGTACATGGTTGCTGCATGGACAAGTGAGGGCGAGAACTTGCTTGTGGGACTCAACAATGGTGAAGTCAAGAAGTTTAGTCTTAGTGGTGAGAAGAAGGGTGAGGCTGTCAAGTCAATCAAGGCCCATGACGAGGCTGTTTCTGATTTGCAAACATCTCTGGACCGCTCGTACTTTATCACTTCGTCGCGTGACAAGCTGGCCAAGCTGTTTGACTCGGAATCTCTCGAGAACATCCACAGCTACGAGGGCCAGGCGCCACTCAACTCTGCGTGCATCACAACTGTCAAGGATTTTGTTATTGTTGGTGGTGGTCAAGACGCGTCTGCTGTCACTACAACTGCTGACCAGGAAGGTGACTTCAAGTCGAAAATCTTCCACAAGATCTTTGAGGACCATTTGGGCGACGTTAAGGGTCATTTCGGTCCTATTAACACTCTTGCTGCTGATCCCAAGGGTAGATCTTTTACTTCTGGAGGAGAAGATGGTTTCATTCGTCTGCACCACTTTGATCCCTCATACTTTGAGTTTTACTACGATATCGAGCGCAGAAACAAGGAGGAGCTTGCTGCTGCAAATTAAATAAAAGTCGACGATGAAAAATAATGAAGTAATAAAAAAAAAAAAAATTTAAAAATTTAAAACTTTAAAAAAGAAGAAAAGAAGAAAAGAGGAAAAGATTTATTCAGATTATTTATTCTTACTCTTCGGAATTGTCAAGAAGACTATATTGTTGAAGTAGCTGGCCCTCGCCACCTTTGGCGTGGTCAATAGCGTATTGGTAAAAGTAACCCTCGCTTGTGACTGCAAAAAGTCTCGTAGAAGCCGCGTTAAAGGCCACCACAGACTTGAGTCCTGCAGCTCCAGGAAGCTTGACAAATGCAAAGTCACGCTGAGGTTCCCACATTTCGGTGACTGCCGAGGGGAGGTATGTGCCAACAGCCCCAGCCACCTGGCGGCCCAGTGTACGCGATCCGCGGCGAAGCATGGATGCCATAGATGATGTGGCTGCTTGGCCATTGCCTGTGCTATTAGGGGTAGCAGCTCCGGGGCTGGGTGACGATCGGCCGCCCAAATGCCATTTGCGCGAGTCTGTAGCCGAGTCGAGTCCTAGCGAGTTAACTGATTCCTCGCGATTGGTTAATTGTGGTAAAATGGCAGCAGCGGCAGCAGCTTGGCTGTCAATAGACATTGACGACGCCGAGTCGCTGTCTGCTTGTAGAGAGCCTGCAGTTTGTTGGTCTTCATGGTGGTGGTGTTCTTCTTGCGGTGGCGACCCATGAGAGTCGGAGTGGTTATTTTCGTGAGAATTGGAGTCATTATTTTCAGAATGCTGGGTATCTTGAGTTTGATGGTTTTGTTCTGAATGAACAGAAGAAATGCTTGGAGAAGTTGGAGAAGTTGGTGAAGCAGCCGAGGGCGCATTTTTATGTTCCGGACGGGCAACTGCCGGAACGGAGACTGGTTGGACGTTACCTGGCCGAGCGAGTCTAAAGATATGGACCGTTTCGGTAGCCGAGGAGACTGCTAGAAGAGATGAAGCAGCGTTAAAGTTGATTGAAAAGATGCGGGAGGGGTAGGTTCCTCTACGGAATTGGTAGAGTTTTGTTGCGCTTGGGATTGAAAAAACGCGTACAATGGTACCCTTGTCCGAAGCAGTGGCAAGCAAATTCCCGTCAGCATTAAATGACAGGGCAGCAAGCGGGCTTTTGTGGGCTTCAATGACGTTGACAGGCTGTAAAGTAAGGGTATCAAAGACAACAACGTCACCAGTACGGTTGGGAGAGGTAAGATTGTTTGCAGCGGGAACATGAGGCGGGAAGGCAAATGGGGAGGATGATTGTGGTGCTGGAGATGGGTAGGCGAGATAGCAGTTATCTGAAGAAGGCGAAAGTGCGCAGATGGCTATAAAAAAAAAAAAGGGAGTTAGAGTGGTTAAAATAATAGAGAAATAAAAAAAATATATATTACCCTGTGGATTTGGCGAGGTTTCAATGGTGTAGAGAAGCTGCATGTTACTGATATCATAAATGTAAATTTGTTCTTCAAGCAGGACGATAAGTCGCTTACGGTTGAGTTTAACTCTAAGGACAGCAGTTGGGAATGTAAGTTCACAAATGTTAAGTTTTCTCTGGAACAGACGTTAGATTGAAGGTGGATGCAAATTTTTTAAGAAGATGAGTTGTTATCAGTGACGATAACAATAACATACCTTTGTGTTTACAATTTTAAGTCTGCGAGGCGATAGGTGTGGTTGGTCGCCAACACCAACGACTGCTACAAGAGAAGTGCAAAAGAGCATTTCAACAATGCCTATTCCTCCGTCAACTGAATATCTGAGTTAGAAGAGAAAGAAGAAAAAGAAAAAAAAGCTTAAAGACTTACCTTTGGCAAAACACTTGCCAAACGGGTCACAGTTAAAGAGATTATAACCATTTTTTGTACCAACCGAGATACAAGAAAAATCTTGGTTAAAATTGACAAAGTTTATTGCGTCATGGAAATGACGAGTGGAGCTCCGCTGGAGATAAGCGGCAGCCATAGTGAAAGGTCAAGAAGTTATAAATTGATTAATTAATTGTTGCAATTAGAAAAAAAAAGTGGTGATTGTTAAGTACAAAAGAGTGGAGGTTTGTGTAGATTAAATCTCCCCCTAACCCTGGAAACCACAGTTTTAATTTAATTTATTTTATTTTATTTTATTTTAATTAAATTAAATTAAATTAAAATAAATTAAAATAAATTAAAATTAAAATAAATTATATATAGACTTTGATTTCACAGTCTTTTTGTCCAAGTACTAAAAAAGGTTTGATGATATCAGAAATAGAGCATTCATTCATATTATTTACAATCTTTTATTTTTTTTTGTTTTTATATATATAAAATTATTCATCAAGTCGTTAAAAGAAAATCAAAATGGAAACAAAAGGAGCTTCTCACAGACGCTTGGAAGCATCCTCGCGCGACATGATGCGGGCGCGAGCGTAGGCCAGTTGCCAGGCAAGAGGAGTACGGGGGGTTTGTTCCTCAGAACGAATGATGGAGCCAATGGACATGAAGAGACCGAAAGTGGCGGCAGAGCCCATCATGTACTGGCCAATGCTGCGGACAATACCGTTAGGGCCGGCGCCATGTTGGAACACAGCCACGGTTCCTGAAGAATGATGTGAGTATTAATTAATGTAGAAATTCTTTTTTAAAGAAACTTACCAAAAAGAAGACCAATGCAGCCACCAACAGCAGTCTATAATTAAAGAGTTAGAAATATCATTTATTTAGAATAGACGGGGATTATATGTGTACATACACCCATAAAGAGACCCATCTTGAACTTTTCCCAAGTAGAGGGTTGCTGGGCTTGCATTCCAGGAAATTGAGCGACAGGAGGCATTGTTGAAATATTATATTAAACGTAAAGTAGTTTTTTTTTTAAAAAATTTTGTTTTAATTATATACAAACGAGAAATTTCTTTTCAAAAAAAAAAAAAAGGGTTCAATTTGTTTTTTTTTTTTTTTAATTATTAAATATTAAAGTCTGGAGAGATTTTTTTTTTATGGTTGATAATTGGTGGTGGTGGTGGGGAAGTCGGTTTTTTGGGCGATGGTGGTGGTGGATTTTTTTTTTTCAGTGACAGCCGTCAAAAAAAAAAAAAAAAATTTTTTTGCTCAGCAAATCAAGTAGTCACGTGTATGGGTTAGGGCTTTGTATTCAAATTGAGGGGTGTTTTGAATTTAAAAAAAATTGATGATTTGAGGAAAAGCCGTGGGAGAAATAAATAAAAACAAAAAAAATGAGAAAATGAAAATGAAAATGAAAATGAAAATAGAAATAGAAATAGAAATAAAAATGATGGTGATGGTGATGGTGATGGTGATGGTAATGGCGATGGTGGTGGTGGAAATAAAACTTTATGAAAAGTTGTCAAAGCCTTCTTTCCCTTGCTAGGAATATTTGTCTTGATCAAATGACTTAATCAAAAAAGTCGTCATCGTCATCATCCTCATGCAAACGGCGTTCGTATACAATCTTAGTTCGGTTATTTTGGCTTTCTTGTTTAGAAATCTGTTCCAATAATTGCACAAGGTCTTGTTCCGTCACCTTCTTTTGAATCTGTCCGTTGCGTGCCAATCGTAGAATTAAATCCTCAACACTATTTTATTTAAAAAAAAAAAAAAAAAAAAAGAGTTAGATATATAAAGGTTAATAACAATCATAATAATAATAATAATAATATTTTAATTATACTCACTTTCGGGCACGTTCACTGCGCACTATTCGGATACGTGCCAACCTTTCACGAGCCTCTTGGGTAAGCACCTGTGCAAGCTATTCTTGTAGTTAGTAAAAAGTGTAAATAAAAAAAAAAACTTCTTCAAGAAATTATAAATGGAAAAAAAAAAAAAAAAAAAACTAACCTGAGAAGCGCGCATATCATCTTCACGTGAAGTATCGCTACTGCCAGATCCTCCAGCACCAATGCCTCCTATTCCAGAGCTTCCACGGGCACCGGCTCCACCATTGTTTTTCTGGAGTTCAGCTAGACGAGCTTGTCTGATTGCCTGTAATTCAGCGTCATCCATTTTTATTAGTTTTTATTATTAATATTATTAAGATATTTCTTTGATTTCTTTTATTATTTTTTTATTTTTGTTAAAAACTTTTGATAAAAGTTTCGATAATTTTTTTTTTTTTTTGGGGGGTGGAGAGGGATTGAAATTTTGGTGGTAGTGGTGGTAGTGGTGGTGGCGGTGGTGGTGGTGATGGTGGGGCGAGTAGCACTAAAAAAAAAGTTAATTTAATTTAATTAATTAATTAATTAATTAAAATATGATATTTAAAGAAATAATAGAGTGTAAATGGGTTAGGGTTAAAAGATTAAATGATTAAATGATTAAATGAACGGCTTGTCGCACCGTTGATTTTCACTAATCACTTTATCATCATTATAATAATTATAATAATCTACTTAAAACTATGCCAAGTTAAAATTAAATTAATCAGATTTTTTTCTTTCACTTTAAAGTCATCTGCTAAATAACCATGCTTTAGAAAAAAAAAAAAAACTTGGATTTATTGATGTGTGCAGTTTATATATAAATATATAAATAAATATAAAACTGTAACCATTTGGTTTCGATATTTTCTTATCATTAATATAATATAAATAAATATCCTTTTAATTTTCTTTTTTTAAATTCATCGTATGACCTTAAAAGAGGAAAAAAAGAAAAAAAAAATGAGAGGCTTAGTTAGTTTGCTTAATTTCGATAAAATGCAAACAACTTTTTGGTATTTCCTAGAAATAATAATAATGTCACTGTGATCTGACATAACAGGTCACTATATAAAAACATGGAGATTTTCTCCTTTTTTATAAAAAAAAAAACAATTTAAATATATAAGAATTTCTTCTTAAATTTTTAACCATTTCATTAAAACAATTCAAACTGTTAATGTCTTTAGATACAAACAGACCCCTCATGTCCTCTTCATTCGAACAAGACCAGTTCCACTCATATTCAAACTCAAACGAGTATGATATTGATCAACAAAATACCTTGGCACATGGCCCCTTATCGTCTCCTACACCTTCCACCCCACCTCTAGTCAAAAGCCAGCCGCTCCCAGCAGTCATCAAACCAATTGTCGAAAAAGATCTTTCACACTCCTATGCCATGGAACTGCGTGTCCCAGAAATGGGATGTTACGGGTCTTTTATGCACGCAGTTGGCGAAATTGTTGGGCAAATGGGGCTAGTGCCGTGCTGTTTCTGTTGTCCCAATCCCTTTTCAAAAGTTGATCAAGGTACCGTTGGACTTATTACAAGATTCGGTCAGTTTTACAAGGCTGCAGACCCAGGTTTAGTCAAAGTCAACCCAATATCAGAAAAAATGACCAAAGTTGATGTCAGAATTCAAGTCATTGAAATCTCTTCTCAGTCTTGCATGACTCGTGATAATGTCAACATTGAATTGTCTTCTGTAATTTACTACCACATTGTGTCTCCACATAGAGCAATCTACTCTGTCAGCGATGTCTATCACGCCCTCATTGAACGCACAAAAACCACTTTACGACTCGTTGTTGGTTCCCGTACTCTTCAGGAAATTATTGAGCGCCGTGAAGAGGTGGCTTCTTCTATTCAAGAAATCATTGACGAAGTGGCTGACACATGGGGTGTACATGTGGAAAGCATTCTTATCAAAGATATTGTCATGTCTCAGGAACTAACTGAGACATTAGCCCAAGCTGCAAAAAGTCGCAGACTTGGTGAATCGAAAATCATTTCGGCAAAGGCTGAAGTTGAAAGTGCTAAGCTGATGCGTAAGGCTGCAGATATTCTCGAGTCACGCGCAGCAATGCAGATCCGATATTTAGATGCTATGCAAAACATGGCCAAGCAAAGCTCGTCTAAGGTCATTTTCATGCCATCGGCACGTAGTATTGAAAACATGGCGAGCGAAGCTTCGGTAAGCTCAGAGAAAAATTCTGATCCAAAGGGCAAGAAAAAGGGCAAGATGATGGAAAAGGTGACGGAAAAAGATGAGACTGAAGATTTTATTCAAGGTTTAGTGGCGACCGAAATTTAAATTAGGAAGTTTTTTTTTAATATGGTTTTATATGGTTTTATATGGTTTAATGGGATTTAATAATTAAATGATTAAATGAAAACCGCGGACTTGTGTAGGAATTGATGGATTGAATAATAGATGGGGTTCAATGGTAAGGCTGTAAAACTGGGAATTTTCACAAGCCGTTACAATTGTCGGTAAACAAACCAACAAAATTTTGTTGATTGCATTTAAATGCAATTTGTTTTAAAAAAAATATAGTATATATATATATATATATTAAATGTTAAAAAAAAATTCAAAAGACTGAACGTTAAGTGGATTGCCAAAAAAAAAAAAATTATCGCAACGATGGGTTGGGACTTCCACATAAAAGTGAAATTGTTTAATCTATATAGGTCAATAATAAGTAAAGTCTATATCGTCCCTTTAATTACTGAACACCAGATATATATATATATATTAAATGAACCAAAGTTTTAAGAATGACTTGTGCACCGGAACAATCTCGGAGACATTCTAGAAAGATACTATCTTGGGTAAATCTTCTTTTATTAATATGTACTTGAAAAAAAAAAAAGAGAGATCTGGTAATTGAATAATGTCATTTTAAAAATATAATATTAGGGAAAGTGAGATGAAATGTGTGTGGGTAAGTGAAGAAATGAAATGTTTAAATTAGACAGGTAAACCCGAATTCTTTATAAACACTTTTAGTTTTTCTTAGGTAACGGGTAACGGGTATGCTAATTAGGGAGCCGGAACGGTACAGTTAACAGGTAAGAACGGTGGACGGAAATTCCGGAGTTAAAAAAAACATAAGAAGGTACCGTTCACTAAAGACGGTAAAGGTGTTTTTAAGTTCATTGAGTATCAAAAAAAAAAATAAATAAAATAAAAAATAAAGAAAATACAACAGACCTGGATAAGTGTAGTTTGTTGAAATATTCAGATAAGCATTGTAGCCAAAACTTGCAACAGTCCATTTATTTTTTTTTTTCAATTCATTATAATGAATTGTAAACCAAAGTGATTTAATGGTAATTACCATTAAATCACTTTGGTTTACCCAAGTACTTTTTTTTATTTTTTTTGTCTCGGAGAAAAGTTGTAGAAGGCAAAGTGGGCAACCAATGTAAGGCGATGATGATGTTCAATAATTATTAAAAAATAATAATAATAATGCGGGACTTTTTCATCAATCTGAAATAAAGGGGGAAAAAAGATAATAAGACTTTGTTGTTGATTTAAATATTCAGATTGTCAAAATAATAAAAAAAAGATGGATTTACAACAAACAGACCATTGAGTAGGTATCAGAGATGTATAAGACACTATTGAAGAAGAAAGAGATATATACTTAAATGCAATTGTTGACTTATCAAAACAGTATTTGTAGCTAAAGCAATCCTGTTTAAAGTGATTGAATGTAAATAAGTTATATATTTCTAATTAAAGAAAGAAGATATAGTTTTAATTGAAGAATTCCAGATACTGGGAAGTATGGGGTAAGTTAGATAAGGGTATTAAAGTAGTTGATATACCATAGTATCACTGATTTTAAATAAAAGTAAATAAATCAAAAAAAAAGAGTTGATTATCCATAATCAAAATTGTTGAAACCTCTTTCTTTTTTAAAAAAAAAAAAAAGATCTCTTAAATGTTGTTGAATCAGAATCAAAACCAAAATCAAATCTTCTAAGGGTTTTCTTGAATGTTTTAAAAATTCAGTGTTATAATATTTCAATATTTAAAACCTTTTCAATAAAACAACATTTAATGTCAAAAAAAAAAAAAAAAAATAGAAATGAACACAATCCATAATGATATAAATATATATATCTTTAAATACTCAACCTTGATGGTAAAATCCAACTTGAGGACTACCCACAAGCACCGGAGTTTATTTTTGTTTGACTCGGCACGTTTTTATAGCGCGATATTTTGTGTGCGGTTGTTAGTCAGCCTTGTTTACTTTTAAAACCCTCTCAATCAATCAATAAACTAAAAAAAAAATAAAAAAATAAAAATAAAAATAAAAAAAAATCTTTCCTTTTCCTTTTCCTTCCTTCCTTCCTTCTGTCTTTCTTTCTTTCTTTCTTTCTTGTCATCACAAGATCACCCTCCTAATATCTCCCCTCTAAAATATGAGACTCAAACCCTCTGATTTTGTCTTCCTTACGGCTGTCTGTTGTTACTGTGTGCTCTCACCTTATACAAAGGTCGAGGAGTCTTTCAACATCCAGGCCATCCATGATATTTACTTTTATGGTCTTTCAAAGATCCAGTCCTATGACCACCTTGATTTCCCAGGTGTCGTCCCTCGCTCCTTCATAGGCGCTCTTTTCATTTCTTATGTCACCAAGATTCTTGCTAAGATTGCACCACCTGATGACAAGTTTTTCGTCCAGATCATGGCCCGAGGTATTCTTGGTGCCTTTAACGCCCTCTCCGTGGTTGCCCTCAAGCAAACCGCTAGTTGGGCCTTTTCTCTGCCCTACGAAGAAGAGCAAGAAGATGAATCCAAGGAAAAAATCCCCCCTAAGGATTCTACCTATAAGACCTCCATCTATTGGTTTTGGTTGATGATGTGCGTCCAGTTCCATCTGCCTTACTACATGTCCCGCACTCTCCCTAATTTCTTGGCTTTCCCCCTCTTTAACATTGCCATGACTTATGTTTTTGAGGTCAAGGATGGCATTGCTCTTGGGATTCTTGCCTTTACCGCCATTACACTTCGTGCCGAAGTCGGACTTTTCGCTGTTCTTCTTGCTCTAGTCCTACTTGGCACTCGCAGAGTCTCAATTTTGACTGTTGTCAAGTCTCTTACCATTGGTCTTGGAATCGGTGCGCTTCTTTCTGTTGGAGTTGACTCGTACTTTTGGCAAAGACCCATCATGCTCCCAGAAGTCCAAGGATTCATCTTCAATATCGTCAATGGCCAAGCCGTCAACTGGGGCGTTGAGCCATACTCGTACTACTGGGGAGACGTTGTTCCAAGAATCGTCAACTTTGGTGGACCAATTGTCTGGGCCTTTATCTTGGCTGGCTTTATTAGAGATCACTCACCATTTCACTCTCTCAGAGTCCTCGGCGTCACCAGCTTGTTGTATATTGCGGCATATTCCTTCCAGCCTCATAAGGAATGGCGGTTTATTGTTTATACGATCCCACTTCTCACTCTTTTGGCCGGCAATGGTATCGCCATTATGACCCAGCGTATAGGCAAGCACATTGGTCCCTTGCCCCAGATTGGATTTGCACTATTCATCATTGCAGTGGCTTTGATGAGTGCTGCCATTTCCGCTACAAAGCTTTTTGCTTCCATGTACAATTATGAGGGTGGCAATGCCTTGGCCCGCTTCCATGAGCTCATCCCCATTGGACCTAATCCCAATCCCAGTGAGCCTCTGGTGGTCCACTTTGACGTACCTGTGGCTATGAGCGGTGCCACACGCTTTGGCCAGCTCTATGACGATGCTTCTGGAGTTAGCCCCAAGTATGGTCCATGGTACATTTATGACAAGACAGAGAACCAAGAGCTTCTCGATGACATCACTGACTCCTTTGATTACCTCATTGTTGAGACACCGCCAGACCATGTGGATAAGGTCTTCCCTCCTGCGGATATGTACCGCTGGAAGCTTCTTGACACAATCCCCAAGTACTTTACCGTCAACAAGCCGGCTCTGTTGGCGCTTTTTCAGGATATGGCTGCTGATCCTGTCAAGTATCTGGGAACGCTGCCTGAGATTATCTCGCTATTTCTTGGGGTGGTCGAGGACAGAGATTTTTCCAAAGAAGCATCAGCTTTTCTTTCAAAATATGTGGTTCTACTGGACTCTGTATGGATCTACAAGCGAGTCTCGGTAACAGATCCCACCGAAAGTCCCTCGGACTACCCGTGGAGTGCCATAAACGATACCGAAGGTGCCAAACCCACCGTTTCGGCGTAGTTACTTTTTTTTTTTATATATATATAACCTTTTTTTGTACATTACCTGGTAACTTGTGTATATATATATATATATATTTTTATATACACGTAGCCATAAAAAAATAAAAAAATTAAAAAAAAAAATACCTTCATAGCCTCTCTACTATCCCCTTACCCTCCCATATAAATAAAATAAAATAAAATAAAAAGCCTCCCTCCCTTTGCCCAACAAACTCTTTAAAAAGACCCTTCCTTTTTTTTTTCAGTAAACTCCCTCTATTCATCATCATCAACAACAACAACAACATATAATGGTCCTCTCAACACCAGCAGTGCCCGAACTCTTAGAAACAGAGGTCGGCGAATCTGTCAATGCGCGTACAGCCGCATTGCAAACTTTTAAAGAACTTGGACCTCCAGACCTTGTCCATCTTTCAAAAACAACCCAAAAGGCCGGCGCCAAAGTCTCAGGAACTTACCACTATGTGACCGGTGTTGATGCCTCGTCCTCCTCCGCCGTCGCTGCATACTTTAACGGTCTTACATTCTCGCTCGGAGAAGAACAGGTCTGGTTCGGTCGTCATGCTGGATGGAAAATCCATACCGGTATCTACTGTGCTTACAATGCCTTTTCGCGCGTGGACGTTCGCGTGCTGGTCAAAATCCCAGGTGGTGTTGAGGCTTATGTCGTAGACTCTCAAGGCGACAAACACCCAGCTTCTGAAGACCAATGGACAGAAACATACCTCTCTGCAATGATCCGCGCCTTGTTATTCACTGATGACGAGGCTTATTCGTTTATTTCTTACTGGTGCCGCCTGAACCCATTTGATGGTGTCCCGCCCAAGGTTGCTGCCAGATTCATTGATGCTTTCGAGTCACTCTTTTTCAAGGGCCCCACTCTCGGCTGCGTTGCCGAAGTTCAGGCCCCTACACTGACTAACAATTACCTTGTAGACAGTCTTTACAAGTTTGTCAAAATCACTGGTCTTTACGAGCCTGCTTTGAAGGCCCTTGAACGTTTGGCCAAAATAGATTCGGATGTACAGGCCGTTTTAGCCCGCACTCAAATACTTGCCAACGAAGAAGTCCGTGCAGTTGAAACTTTGCATTTTGGTATCCGTGTATCCCCCCGTGACTATAACCTGCTGCAACTCCAGGCTGAGTACTGTCTCAAAAAGGGTCGTCTTGATTGGGCTCTTGACTGCTCTGTGCGTGCAGTCAATGCTGCTCCCTCAGAGTTTTTGCCCTGGGCACAGCTGGTTCAAATCTATACCAAAATGGGCGATTACGAGCAAGCTCTCTTGACGCTCAATTCGTGTCCCATGTCAACTGCCCGTGAACAAGATCTGCCTAAGATGCCACCCCCAGCTAAGGCTCATTTCCCCCTCCCCACTGATGGTGTTTTGGAAGAAATTTGGAACACCACCGAGTCTGATGAGCAAAATGCTGCCGATCCAGGACTGCTGAAACTCCCTGCTCCTACTCTTCGCTCAACATTCGCAAAGGCCTACGAACTACTCACAGGCATTGCATCCAAGATTGGCTGGGATGCTCTACTCAAGTACCGCTCCAATGTGTTTATCATGGAGGAAGAGTATCGTAAGGATAGAAAAATCAAGCACGAACGTCGCGTATCAAACGCTTCTAAACTGACAAATGGTGAGGCTCCTCCCCCACAAGCCCCAGCAGCTTCTTCAGACAAACTTTCACCAGATGGGTCTGAAAAGAACGAGACTAAGGAAGAAGAAGATGATGATGATGAAGCCAACAAGATGAAGAGCAAGAGACTGTGTGAACGTTGGCTTGATAATCTCTTTATGGTGCTCTACGAGGACCTCCGAGTATACACCGTTTGGCGGGCCGAGTACGTGCACTACAAGAGCCAGCAACTGGCGTATCGCAAAACTGCACTGGAATGGGAGTTGTTGGGTATGGTTGCACTGCGGTTGAGACACCATGCCGAAGCTGCTGATGCATTCCAACAATCGCTTGCAGTCAAGTTTTCACATAGAGTACTGTGGAAGCTACTTGATTATTATGAGACTTTGGACAGCGGCATCACAGGGCCCACTACCAATGCAGCTACATCTAATTTGCCCCATCACCAGTCTGTAGCACAATTCCGTGAGGCCTATCTTGACACAATTGTGAGATTGACTGCGTGGAACCACCGATGGTACATTGACTTTTCCCCACGATTGGTTGTTGCACTACGCAGAGCCATTGCAGATGACGGTGCGATCCGCGTGTCGAGTATTGTTGAGGCCAACTACAAGCCACAAGGAGTTGAGGATCTCATTGAGAGAGATGTAAAGATTCTGCGGTTATATGGGGCTTTGGGAACAGATGCTTAAGAGGATTGATATAGAGATATTCAAGTTGAATTTAAGTTGAATATTTGTATATGGTAGAAGACGCTTTTTTTGTTTTATCGATATTGTCGTTATTATTGGTGTTGTTGTTGTTGTTAGGTATTACGTAAAGAAAAATTTTATTGACCAATTTTTTTTTTTTTTTTCACTCACAAAAAAAAAAAAAAAAAAAAAAGCCGCCTCCTTGAGACTTTTTTTTTATTTACCAAATTTTGATTGATTGATTGATTGATTGATTGATGGATTAAAAATCGATATATATATATATACATTCTGAAACAATGACGGTAAAACGACCTTTGAAGGAACTGCTTGCCATGGATCCAGACTCCATCATGGATGAAGACAAGGAAGCTCCCATTGCAGACGACACTACGACTGGCGGGCCATCCTTTGCAAGCCCTGGAGCAGCGGCAGCAGCCGCTGGGTTATGTATTGAATGTGGTGATCAGCCTGCACAAGAAGAGTGTACTCAATGCCAGGAATCTTTCTGTGACGTGTGTTTCGGGTACTTACATCGGACAGGTAAACGACGAACGCATACGACGCGACGGTTAGGTGTTGAAATAAAGGAAAAGCCCGAGGAAAAGCCAGTTGAAGAGAAAGAAGAGGAGGAAGATGATGATGAAAATGATGATGATGAAGAAAATGATGATAATGATGAAGAAAATGAAGACGAAAAATTGGCCAAAGCTCATCGCGAAAATCAAAACGCACCAACAGGAGGTCCATCTAAAGACTCTGTGGAACGTGTTCTCGAACGGATCCGACACCATGCGGCATATGTGCCGATGCGACTAACACTAGAAGAACGTAAGCTGCTACGATTACTTGAAGCTGCACTCAATGTTTCTGAGTATACAGATCGGGTAGATGTGTTATCATATACATCTGCAGCGAAACGGATTGTGGTACAATTGCGAGAGATGTGTGCTATTTTAGCAGGGCTTGTTGTTGCAACAGATATGGCGACAGGTCGAGAAATGTTTGAAACACAAGATTTTGCAGCCAGTGCTGAATGGTTTCAAGCCGTTTTTGAAGTTGGAAGAAGATACAAGATTATGAATCCGGAGAAAATGAGAGATTCATTTGGTAAGCTTATGTATATGATTATGGATTCAAGATTACCTGAAGTCCGTGCAGCCCTCGAGTTTGATTTCTATAAACCAATTCAAACAGTTTACGGATTTCTTAAAGCCAAGTCTGGAGATGAAGATGGGGAAGGTGTTTTACGAATCTTTAACGACCCATTATTAGTTCAAGCAACCATGGAGATTATTCCTGATAACAAGTCTCGGGCAATTGTTCAACGAGATATTAAGCGCAAAGAATCTGCCATCAAACTTTTATCCAAGAAATACGCATCCAACTCTTTATTCCGTAAATCTGGAAAGGGCTCTGGTGTGACACCAGATGAGATTTGTCAATGTCTTTATTCACTTGGTGACTACCATGCATATTTACGAGCCAACAGACATCCAGTTGAAGAGATGATTCGAATGTTGACTGCCCATTTTTCTGCTGATCTTCCAACTTCTGGTGATGAACTTTCTTCGCTTAGTATTTATGCAGGCCGTGGTGGTTCCCGACTTTCTCACTCTCATACAAAACAATTTCTTTATGTTCAACAATCTCTTGCTCTTTGGTCTTATATTATGCAAGACATGTTTTGGCTCTGGACTTTGGCCGATGATGATCTTACAAGTACAAGTGCTAGATATACACTTGCAGATACTGGCCAAGGACTTAATCGTGTCAAGGCTTGTCCACGTGTAGGCCGTGCTATGCATAGTATTATTGCTAAAACTCAGTCTCGTACCGGTGCTTGGATCGGTTCTTCAGTTGTACATTTGGGAGATCGTGCAGTCCCTAATGCTCTGTTTTTCCTCGACAAGTATCTTCAAGTCCCTCGCATTTTGACACCTGTTTATTTGGCCATCAAACACATTGAGTCGCCAAGTGTTAGTGCAGACCCACATTTGCGTGCATGGATTGATGCACAGTTTGGATCAATTGAACAGCTTAAGCGTACCATTCTCTGTGACTTTTTCAAGCACGGATTTGATGGGTCTGGTGCAGATAACTTTTACGATGCTGGTTCTTGTATTGATGGCCGTTTGACATCTGCATGGAGTTGGGCAAATAGCATTGCCAAAAAGCCATACTACAAGATCTTTTTAGTTACAGGATTTTCTGGTTTTAATGGATCAGATGGATTCTAAACACGTAAATGTATTTAAAAAAAAAAATTATAAATTATAAAATTATACAAATTTCGTTAGTAAAAATACAAGAGCTCTGCACCACAAGGCGCAAATCATCAGGGCTCAGTATAATGTACAAGACCAGTAACAGCGTTTGACATCATCACAGTCATCAACATCATAACAATCGTTATTCATAACAGGTCGTTAAGGTCTAGTGAGTCATTTGTTCAAGTTGAGATAAAATGGAAATCTCATTCATAAGTCATATCAGAGAGAGGAGATGGGAAAAGGTAGCAAGAATCATGATGGCCTTTATTATTTTCTTTTTTAATAAAATTTAATAAAATTAAAATAAAAGACCGCCACCAAACTCCTCAACTCTATCCAGTCATTAAAAACATTCCAGTGGGAAGAAAGATAACCCTTGGGTAGGCTGCTCTAAAAAAAAATCATCAAGCCAACCAATCCATATTCCCACAGAGGCTAGAAAAAAGAATCCAACCTCAGATCGTTTCTTCATAAAACAAAAAAAAATAGTTTAAAAAGGGTTTTGGCGGAGCAAAGTCACGCGGATAACAACGTCAAATGCAATTAAGCACGAAGACAACCAACTAGGAACAAAATCACTAGAGGCATTCGAAGTCTTAACCCAAAGGAGAGGGTAAAGAGCTACGAGGTAAAAGGTAAGATGACCTTGGGAGGTCCAGGAGAAACATCTGGTCAATTCAAGTTTCATACCTAACAAGAATAACTGCATACTGGTCGCCACGCAAGGCAAATCAAAAAATGCCTCCTTAATATGTCACGGAGCAAAAGTCTCAATCTTGTATTGTAAAGGCCGCAAAAGCATGGGTTATAAGTAATGTAATTGGTGAACCAGACCTAAGAGCTCTCGCCTATTATTGAGCAAGAGCGCAGGGTGTTTAAAAGTGGTAATCGATTATATCGGCATAATGCGGGCTCCCTCTTAAAGAGGCCAATATGTTTATACGAACACTGCCAAACATATATTAAATGGAGACTGATTCCGAGGCAAAAATCCAGTGGTATCTTGAGGTTCAATTTGAGGGGCCAAGGTGTTATGCAAAGGCCCCCAAGGAGAAAAAAAAAAAAAAAAAAAAAAAAAAAAAGAAGAAATAAAATATGTGGGAGGAGTCGTCTATTTATACTTTTTTTTTTTTTTCTTTTTGTTTAGACTGACACAGTGGCAAAAGAAAATAACAAAGTAGAAAAGAAAATTTTTCTCAATACGGCCGGGTAATCAATCGTCAGGTGACCTTTTAAGCACCTCAACAATTAACATTTCTAACCTTATATAAGCCTCTTTTTCTTTTAAATAAATAAATTAATAAATTATAATAAAAAATAATAAAAAATAAATGCACAAAAAACATTCATTTATTGACAAAATATTTTAAACTTTAAAAAATACTAAATTATTATTGGCAATATTTTAAAATAAAAGAAAAAATTTAAAATTTTTTATATAATTACTGCATTTTGGACTTGAGCTGCATATTTTCGCTCTTAAGTTCCAAGTTTTCCTGCTCCAAACGAGCATTGAGTGCAACCAGCTCGGCAACCTTGGCCTCCAGCTGCGTCATGCGCTCCAATTTACGAGCCCGCGATCGTCGGGCAGCCTCAGTGTTGCGTGCACGCTTGACAGCAACAGTATCTGCGGATTCAGGCACAACAGGGCCCAACGGATTGGCACGGGGCTTACGGTTGTAAATGGTGATACCCAGCTCATCTCTCTTATAATCAATAGAGTTGGTTCCGCTGCGCTTGCGCTTAAGAGGGTTAGCAGAACCAGACTCATCAGGAGAGGCAGCATTAGGAGAACAAGTAGTAGAAGAAGAAGCCGATGATGATGATGATGATGATGATGATGATGGAGAAGGCTTATCTTCAACTTGTTGGGATGTAGTAGGAGCGGGTGAAGTTGTAGTAGAAGTGGTGCTAGTAGTAGCAGACATAATGGTACCACAAACATCCAAAGGCATAGAAAATGGAATAAGATGAGGAGAAAGAGGCTCCGACTTGATCTTAACTTCTTGAATAACAGGGAATGAAACAGCTGAGGATTTAGCCTTAGCTTCAGGCTGATCATTGACGGTAGTGAAAAGAGATTCCCATTTGGAAGCATCTTCAACATCGTCAAAGAGAGGAGACCCGCAAAGACCAAAGTCATCGACAGTGGCAGCCTCCATAGGCTTAGAAATGAGAGTTGAATCAGGAGTCAAGAGAGCGGCAATAGAATCAAGAGGAGCCGCAGATGAAGGCACGACAGGGGCAGGGGCAAAACAAGGCTTAGAATCAAGGCCTAGTTCCTGCTCCATTGGAGTCAGAAGCAAATCCCAATTGGTTTGGTCCTGAATCTCCGAGGAAAATTCACTTAAAAAATCAAAAGACATGTTGATAATGATTGTTTTTTTTTTAGATTGTATAGTTTCTAACTTTTTATTTTTTTTTTTGAGATAGAGTAGTGAGTTTTTTTAATGTTTTTTGTTTGTTTCCAAAGTAAAAGATAATAAAAATTTAAGACTTTCAAATATAGAGAGTAAGTAGCTCAAGGGCTGTTGTAGTAAATAATCAGTAATCAGGTTGTAATTGTGGTAATTGCTGTTGCTGCAAACAGGGCTGTGTGGGCGACATTGTGAACGACATATTGACGATTAATCAACTAAGTTGACGAGATTTTATTTTTTTTATTTTAATATTCCTTTAATAATTATTTTAACTTGACGATAGTTGTTAAAAAACGACTTTTTATAGTTTTGTTTCGTTTTTTTAATCCTTTACAATTTTTCTTTTTTTTCTTGACAGAGAGAGAGATGCTCTAAAGTGATTTAAAAGGCGGACATTTTGATGGCTTTATGTGTATCTAATATCTGCTATGTATGGTATAAATTTAAGTTGTAAAAGGGAAAGTTAAAGAAAAAAAAGGGAAAAGAAAGAAAGAAAAAAAAAAATTTTTTTTTTTGAGGGAATTCAAAAGGTTTTTATAGTTCTAAGTAACGATAACTATTATTTGTGTGACTCTTTTTTTTTTTTTTTTTTGGGGGTTCAAACACTATTAAAAAAAAAAAAAAATTTTTCTTTTTCTTTTTCTTTTTCTTTTTTATGTGGTGGTGGTGGTAAGTTTGCTGAGTTTGAAAACGGAGGGGTTTCCTGAAACAGACAAGTGCAGTAAGTAGTAATAAATAAACAACTGAAAATAGCTGAAAATAGCTGAAAATAGCAGTTAAGAAGAGGAGTGGTAATCAATTTAATTTAATTTAATTCAATTTAATTTAATTTAATTGTTTGTGTGTGTAGATTTATATCGGCAGTAGGGTAACTCTTTTCTTTTTTTTTATTAATTTATTTATTTAAATTCTCTCTCCACACAACCAATTTCCTATATAAATATATTTATTTATATATTAAATGACTCATTCAGATTTTACCGTTTTATATCTATTAAATTAGCATCCAAGACATTATATAATTTAATAATAATAATAATAATAATAATAATAATAATAATAATAATAATAATTAAAAATAAATCATTTATTTATCTCATAATTTAAAGATTTATATATATTAAATAAATATATATTAAAATGATATTCAACAATGTTTTTTTTTTATTTAATTACTCTCCGATATCGCTTTTGAAAAAAAAAAAAATTATTTAATAGAATCGACTTTGAGAGCAAAAAAAAAAAAAAAAAAAAAAAAAGGCCGCAACCGCTGCGAAATAGCAAATTTTTCTTCTTCTTCTTCTTTATTTTAATTTATAACTTGATGGGTTACAATCTATAATGTAGTGGTGGAAGTTATGTGGCGCAAAAAAAAAAATAAAATAAATAATTAATTAATTAATTATTTATAAATAAACCGTTTTATAAACCATTGAATTATTAAATTCTTGATTGATTTAATTTTTATTTTATTTTATTTATTTAAAACAAAACATTTCAAATTTTTTTTTTTTTTTAATTTTTTTAATCTTACTAAACAAAGGATCTGTTTCAAACTTTCAAAAGTCCATCTTTAAGCCATTACCAACAACTCATAATAATAAAAATATATAAATAAATAAAATGCATGGCGGTTTTTTTTTTTTTTTTTTTTTTTTTCAAATTTTTTTTCAAATTTTCTTTCAAAATATTTCCGCCACATTTTTGTTTTGTTTTTTTGTTTTTTAATATTACCTAATCTTGATATTTTATGTAATCTTATATTTATTAGATAATCTTGTTATCTTCTGCGCTTAAAATAGTAAACCATCCATTTTCTCCATTTCTCATGTTAACTCAGAAAAATAACAAAAAAATAAAAAAAAAATAAAAAAAAGACCGCAAAGGTCCTCTTTCTGACAATAATATATATATACTCGGAACTATTTACCCGATAAATTCTAAACTGTAAACCTTCCCCCCCCCCCCCCTTTTCCTTTTAACAAAATATACATCAAATCATTTTCATTGCTTCAAAACAGTACACACACCAACATGTAACGTCAATTTTGTTTCTACAAACTGATTCACCATTTTTTTTTTTTTTACCATTAGTAATTTACCTCCCAAAAAAAAAAAAATAAACATACCATCAATAAAATTAAAGTTAATTTTTAATAACATGTAGCATACCATACAGTAACAAAATTTAGTTTTAATCATTCCATTAGCATATGAAAAAAAAAAAAAAATAATTGCTCCTTGAGAAAGATCATACATCATACATCATGAATAAAATTTTAATAAATATCATTCTAGAAATACTCTTTTTTTTTTTTTTTTATCTATCTTTCTTTCATATTTTTTTTATTATCTGCTTAGATGTACAAATTAAAAATTTCAAAAATCGATTCTAAATCTACTTATGCTAAACTACAATGGCCATTAACCCTCAAAATTTATCCTTCATCATCTGTTAATGATAACACCAATTTAAGATTTAAAAACTTTCTTAACCAAGTTAAAACTTGGGAAGAAAGTCAATCAGTTAAGGACAGTTCAAATTCACATATTTTTACTACACATACATGTCTTATAAACTTGATGCTTATATATTATGACCTGTTTGAACGAAATCAACAACGGAAATCCCAAAATATTAAAAATTATGATTTTGATCTTGTTTTTTATGATAATCAGATATTTCTTTCAACAACAACTACAAACAATGAAGAAGAACAACAAGGAGGGAAACAAAGGGGATTTCAACAGAATGACTACCATGAAAATAAACCAAGAAAATATATTGGAATATTTCATGGAGGAATTAATAATATAAATATAACCTATGAAAGTACTATAGATCCACCAGTTACAAAACCTTTAGGGCATTCTTCTTCTTCTTCTTCTTCTTCTTCTTCTTATTCCTCTTATTATCAAATTTCAAACTAAAATTTTCATTTCCAACCTGAAGCAATACAAAAAATAAATCTTCCCTTTAAATATCATCCAAGATCTTTTGATAGAAGCCTTTTCATTACTTGGTATTCTTGTGCACTTACCAAGGTTGCTACTTTAAAAGTGATTTCCCAATATAATTCAAAAATTTCTCAAGAATATATACCTATTACCAATATCCCCGAATGTGTCAAACAGGGGAATTTATTACCTAAAGACTTTTTGCTACCAAATTTTTTTTTGGGATTTCCCTCGTGGACAGTGGAGGAAATGCTGGAGTGGTATTTTAGAGTTACCAATTGGATGGTCGAGACTATACAACAACACTCGGATCCTGCAAATAGGACTGAAGTATGGACCATGAAATACTGTGTTTCTAATCCAGAGTATTTAACTCTTAAGAAATTGGATGTTTCTTTACCTTCTGAGTTTGTTGACTGGAGAGAATCTTTGAATAGATAATAATTAATATACTGAATTTTATAAAAAAAAAAAAAAAAATAAAATAAAATCTCATATCTAAGGGGGAGGGGTCATTACTACATGATTATTGCTAAGCATCTGAGTTAGAGGTCTCCACGAGAAAGGTACCACCATGCTTTATGCGCCGTTCGGTCCCTCTCATCGCTAACATAGCTTATTTCTAAAATCCTATAATTCTAAGGATTCCACTAGGGTTAGGGCCAAAAATTTCTGCATTGGGGAGCATAGGGTGCGTTTAGTGTACGGCTATAGACGCATGTATCAGCAGGGTACGAAAAACTTAAATCTTTTGTTTTTTTTTGTTAATATTTTTTGTATGCCAAAAAAAAGAAAAGGAAAATAAAAATAAAATTTTTAAAAGAAATGTAACATTTATATTTATTTATATATACAATTAATTAATATAAATTTGGTCTCAGCCAAGATCTTCTCAAGCTATTTTGGAAAGACTTTGAGTTTAATAATAATAAGAATAAGATGAAACAAAGGTGCAAATACTGGGAAATTTCATAACAATGGGCAATTTAATTATTTTTTATTTTTTTCGTGTTTTTTTTTTCGTTTTATTTTATTTTATTTTATTTTAGAGAAGGGAAAAAACAACAAATAACAAACATAAAGTCTCCAAGAATTTGGGAACCTTAAGGATTCAGCTGCGGTTAGGGATTCTTTCAATACCTAAATGAGATTTTATAATAATGAGTAATAAATATGAAAAAAAATAAAATAAAAATAAAGCTTTTAAATTAGGTATTTTATATATAATGATAATATTATAATATTAATAAATGATAAACCTATTGGAGTTAACAAAAAAAAAAAAAAAAAAACTAAGGAATTAAGTGTTTGAAATGTAACCATTAACGGAAACTTATAAATAAATAAAATATTTTTCATAAAAAAAAAATAAAAATTACAATAATAAATGAAGGAATTTTCTTTATTTTTCTTCTTTTTCTAGTGAAACAATGTTTTTTTTTTTTTTTTTTTTTTTCTCTCTCTCAATAATCACAAACTTTAAACCTTAATTTATTTCTCTTTATTTTAAACAACATATAGGTATATTATATTAGAAAAAAATAAAAATAAAAAAGTCAATTCAAAAGTATATATTAACAATATATATATATATATATATATATATATATATGCCTTTTAAAAAAAAATTATAAAGAAAAAACAAAAAATACTCGGCAACGGGGAATTGAACCCCGGTCCCCCGCGTGCTGCTAATTGAAAAGCTGACAGGCGGAAATTCTAGCCACTAAACTATTGCCGATAAATCAATTAGTTGAATAAAAAATTTAAAATGAGTGTATATATAATTATGGAAACATTTGTATTAAAAACCCATTTATTAAATTTAGGGGGAAAGGGCTGGATGGTGTAAAGGGTAACACGTTCGCTCGAAAGCGGAAGATACTGGGTTCGATTCCCAGAATACCCCCTTTTCCTGAGGATGTGTACGGGAGTATACACCTAGACTGAAAAACCATAGGCTACCCTGGTTACAGGAATGCCGACTCTTCCGTACAGTCTAAATAGCCTGCAGGTGATTGCGGGCCGTATCTCTGACGGAAGAGATTAAGAAATACATGGGCGTCCGTGAAGATAAGTGGAAATGGGTTGGGAAGGTTTTGGGACCGACAGACTGGTTCTCCCTGTTCCTCGTAAGCTGGCATCAGGGCCCATCTTCCGGGCTACCGGAGACGCACAGAACAGAAACCACCCGTACTAAAAAGGTACAAATGAAAACCGGCAAGTCACATAGTCAGACAATAAAAAGGATAGCGCAGATGCTGATGTTATATAGTTCTATAACCCTTGAATAAAAACAAACAAACAAACAATTTAATGTTTTTAACCCTTGAATAAAAACAAACAAACAAACAAACATTTAATGTTTTTCGTTGATGAAGACAAGTGGAGACAAGTTGGGAAGGTTTGGTTATTGTTAACCCCCCGTTCATTGTAAGCTGGCATCAGGACTTATTTTTGGGCTGTTGGAGATGCAATGTTGAAGCCAAAATTAAAAGTTTATTATCAAAATGAAATGATATATAGTATGGACAAGAAGGATAGCGCAGATGCTGATGTTATATAATTCTATAACCCTTGAATAAAAACAAACAAACATTTAATTTTCTTGAATAAAAACAAATAACATTTAATGTTTATTTTTATTTTTTTTTTTTTTTTTTGATTTTAAGTTTATAAAAATAATAATGATAATACTTGAATTAAAAAAAAAAAAAATTTATATACTGTGTTGTTCAGCTTTGATACTCTTAAACTTTCTTAAAACGTTTCTTTTCCTCATCTCCCAAAAAAATACAAATACAACTACAAATACAAAGAAAAAAAAAAAGAAAACTTTCCATCATCACTTCAAAAATTACTTTTTTTTTTTTTTTTTTCACCCCATATTTATAAATAATAAAACTTATTAAACTGTTTTTTTTTTTTTATAAATCTTACTGTTCTTTACTTTGTTTTTCTTTCAATAAACTTTTGAACTTATTCCATACTCATGATAATACCCATCACTACCACCACCACCACCACCACCACTCTTTTTATCTCCACCATTAAACAAAGAATTTAACCGCGATGAACTTTTCTCTGAACGCAACTTCTTTAACCCCTTGCTTAACAATGCCCCCGTAGACCGTCCTTGTACCAAAGTCTGTCGCCGAGTATCATCATCTGCAGTTGGTGGTCTGCGTGGCAATGATATCTGTGGCGGTGGTGGTGGTGGATGTGGAGCTGACCTACTTGGTGAAGAGTACTCGCCATTCCCATACACAGAGTCTCTTGCATCATACTCAAACCCAATTGTTTTATCAGTACTATAATACGGTGACCGTAACGATTGCGATTCTGGAGCATATATTTCTGCATTATGCGAGCTCGATGTGAGACACCCGGCAACTCCTTGCAACAAGTTCTGGATACTGCGGCGCCGCATAAGACCAGGAGAAGCACCCCCTGAGACTTTGGTTGGAGGTGATGCCTGGGGTTGGAGTCTTGGTGTTGGTAACATGTTATCTCTTTGCATTTGTTGCAACTGTAACGTACAGCCTGCTGTCACTTCTGCCAACGCACAATCATGAGCTTCTAAGATTTGGGCAATGTTAAAATCCACCTCACGCCGACGAGCCGTCATCCCACTAAACCCACCATTACCATCAACACCTTCATTTTCAAGAAGATACCGTTCAAGCAAACTCACAATTTCACGCGCATGGGCATAGTCATTGTCACGCGGTTGCGTGTTCGTGTCGTCTGGACTTAGAGTAGGGTGGAGATAGTGCACCCGTACGGCGTATGCCAGCATACTATAATAACGTCCATACATATTAGCCTCTTGTGTCCGGCGACGGTGTGTTGCCTGTCGTCTGCGTGCAAGTGTATCTGCTGGTAGTAGTCCCGGCAAACCCGTATTGTGGAGTGTTGTCAGTTTGGAAGGGTCTGTGTAAGGGTTATATGTTGGGTCACTAAACTCAGCTGCTGTGTCAGCAATACCTGTTATTGAAGAAATGGGGGGTTGTGGAAGATCAAGGTCTGACATGATTTTACTATGGAAAGATTTATTGGGGACATTTTTAAAGTACCCAAGCTCGATTTCCTTTTGCAATAACCTTGTATGGAATTCAATTGTTTGTCTGAGAGAAACTTTTTTAGGAACAGAAAGCTTGCACAAAAGACGTGGGTCTGGAAGATATCCGGCATCTACAAAATAATAAGAGGCCGGTGGGAGTGGGTTATTATCTCCAAGAGTACGACGACGACAACTTTCGAGAAGTTCAAGGAATTGCGCAAGAGAGGTTTGGGAAGCCGGGTCAAGGAGAATACTAAAGGGATTTTTAGGGGGTATTGAACTTTTATTTTCATTTCGTTGCATAGATGATTCAGCAAAACGTATAGTCCCGTTGACCATGAAATTGGGAGGTGCAATTTGCAATGGCGATATACTGTTTGACCAACTTTTGGCTTGGGTGTGTTGTTGTTTGAAAGGCTGTGCATTGACTACTACTGGTGATGATGAGCCTAAACCTGTTGAGAATCTCTCTGGATGTGATTTTGGACGAGTATCAATTTCTGAATCTGGGATACACTTTGTAATGGCAGCAATAAGATCACGTTTACATTTTTTAAAAGCCTCGACATATAAGTGTCTTTTAGAATGGTGTGCTAGGTGATGATAAACAGGTTCGAACTTTTCTATACCAATAGTCACAATATTACAAAAGGCTTCGATCCGTTTATTTTCTGTGGATCCAGATTGCAAAGAAGCTGGCCGTTCAAAGTGTGGAGAATCTGGAGATAGCTTATTGTGTGTACTTAGATGGTCAGCAGTAGAGGCAGCTCTTTGGGTTTCCCAGATGTGTGATTCTTCTGCAAAGGACTCTTCAAGACGTGTAAGGGCAGCCAATTGTGCGTAGTAACTTCCAGGATTGTCAAAGATTCCTTGGTGTTTGGCTAATTCTTCCAGGTTTATATCTAAGCTTTCTAGTGTTTTACGGACAGCAGCTCGCACCACCACTTTACACCAGTGATCGAGTTCGAGTAGTGAATGTGTGAATAAAAACGTTGGTTTAGGAACTAGTTTATCTAATCGTGAAGATATGGCAGATTGATGAATTGCATATGTACTACGCTCGACAAACTCATTGAATTTGATGACTTGTGAGAGATATTGTTGTTCAGCCAAGTAGTCGTAACGTGCTTTGAATTGGTCGAGCGATAGATTTTGTTGTTGTGGATGTTTTTGGGAATCATCACGGTTTTGAGTATCATAATAAAGGTATTCGAGAACTGATTCATAATAACTTGGAGAGATGCTATAGATTTCACCTTCGTAGATTAAATGGTAGACAGGGTCCATGATTTTATTTGTATTTGTATTTGTATTTGTATTTGTATTTGTATTTGTATTTGTATTTGTATTTGTATTTGTATTTGTAGATGAGATTTATTTAGTTAAATTTTTTTTTTTTTTTTTTATTGGAGGAGGAGGAGGAGGAGGAGGAGGTTTAAAAATGCGAGGAGAAAGAATTTAGAAAAAAAAAAAAAAAAGGGGGGAAAGAAAGAAAGAAATGAAGATAATCTATTCAATATTTATTATTTTTATTTTTATTATTATAATCTTGAGACTTGCCATGTTTTTTTATATATATATATTTATATATTTATTTTTAAGATGAAAATAAATAAATAAAATTGTTATTTTAAAACAATTTTTTTTTAGAATTGTTGATAGATTGATGTTTTTATTATTATTATTAAAAAAAAATATATATTTATTTATTCTTGGCTGAGTAACGCGTCTTACAGTTTATGTTATGAAACAAAACGAATGAATTTTTTTTTTTTGAAAGGTGGAAGAAGAAACATTTGTGGGGGAGGAACAGCAACAGTAGCAGCTATTATATCTGCGCGTGACTTAAAACAACACTTTAACTATATAGAATTTAAAAAAAAAATAGCCACAGAAATAAATAAATAAAAAAAAGGGAGTTTGAAGGATAAAAAAATAATTAAAATAAAACTAAAATAAAATAAAAAGTTAAAAAGAATTTTTTTGTTAATAAATATAATTAATTTAAAAAAGAGAATAGTTTTAATTTAAATTTACAAAAAGTGTGGGTGTTTACAAGTTTGAAAAGAAAAAAAATTTTTTTTTTTTTATTCATTTACAAATTAAAAATTTAAAATACTTCTTAATATCATTGACGATTCAATCAATTGTTAATTTTGTATTGTTTAAATTATTTTAAAATTATTATTATTATTATTATTATTATTATTATTATTATTATTATTATTATTATTATTAAAATGTTTATATATATAGTGTAAAATCTATTTAATAATCCTGGGTTTAATAACACCATTTTTCTTAACACCCACTCTATAAGTGGCCTCATCAATAACACCAATTCTATTTCTTTGTGAATCACCATCATATCCAACACCATCATAAGCTTTATCAATGATTTTGAAAATTGTTTGACGTTCTACTTCAGCATCATATGGAGGTTCAACTTTTAACTTTCTTTCATGATACAAGTGTAACAAAGAATAGATTGAAGGAATACCTTGAGGAACCTTAAAAAGAATGATTTTTGTAATAATAAATAATAATAAAGCACAACAACCAACAACAAATATAGTAAAAACAATAGGAGTAACATTATACCTAAGTTGATCAGGGAAAAGAAATTTAACTTTTTTGGGATTACCGATTTTAATGTTAAAAACATTGCCAAGTACTCCAAAAACAAACGGTGTTACTTTAATGTCATAAACAATTGGAAGAATCTGAACATTATTGATAATTGATGGTGTAGAAGTATTATTGTTGTTAAAGTTACTAGTGCTATTTTTCAATTCAAAAGTATACTGTAAAACTCGACTTAAGAATTTAGATTGGGTAACTATTAATAAATCATCATCACTATGATATCCAAGAGTGACTTTATTATAAAGATGACCTCTACTAGAATAGGTATCATTTGGTGATTTTAAAGTAAAACTTAAAACAAAACTAACGTCTGTATTGTAGTATAAGTCGATGAAATTGTAAAGACTTTCGGTAACGTTGTATGTTACATAATGTGCCGTTTGATTATTATCTATGTTGAAAAGAGAATTAGTTTCAGGTGAAGACAAGTCACATCCTAAGTCATCAAAAAATCCAGTTAAATAATCAAAAAATCCATCATCAACTTCATTTTTTTTACCAACAACTGTTTCAAGATATTCCGTACCACGATAGATAACAGTGCTAGCATAAATAGTTTGATTATCCCAATTGACTCCAAAAATAGTGAAATTATCACCAACATTGCTAATTGTATTAGGATTAAGTAAATGATCCAATTCTTCCATGTCAGTGCCAGAGCCATCTGAAGTGGTATTTGAACACATAATTTGGGGGTAAATGGGAATAGCAGGTACATTTAATTTTATAATGTTGGCCCCTCCCATATTCAAAACTGTTTCGCTCCATTTATCTCTCATACCACAAGTCAAATAATTACCAGATACTGGATCAGAATAATTGAAAAAAACTGTACCTCTAATATAAAATGAGTTTGCAAATCCTATTTCATTTTCACTAGGTATTTTTAAAGTTTTTTCCCATGATTCCACTTTGCTATAATTTGCAAGTGTATGGTACATTATTTGACTACGGGTCCAACGAGAATTAATGTCGAAATCACTTGGAATTAGTAGTGAATTATTAGAAGTGGAATTTAAAAACATTTTAGAAGCATCACGGATTGATGCTTGAGAATAAGAGTAAGTTGGATTAACACTGTTTGAAAAAATCAAATTTAAGGCTTTGGAACCATAAGTTGAAGATAAAATAGTAAAGACAAATAAAAATAAAACAAAAAACCGGAATTTTTTTTGGGGTATAGGTGAAATTAATCTATCTTCAGTTCCCATTCGTTCTTCGGCTGCATATTCATTATAACTATTTTTATCAATACTTCTCATTTCGAAATCTGCTGGTGATGATGATGATGATGATGTTTGAGAAAAACTATTGGTTGAATTTGAACCTGAGCTAAAAGATGAAGAGTAGTCATTGCTTTTCGTTTTCCTCATTCGGGCCCGTTTGGCTTCTGCACTGGTAAATTTTAATAATCCAGAAAGACTAACAAGAATTGTGGCAATTTGAGTTTCATTATTACCAATAATAGAAAGAAGTTCTACTAAGAAATATGTAAAAATCCAAAATACTGCTTCCATGACTATAAGCAGAGTTTGAAGAGGCAACTGCCCATAGACGTATAAAGCTTTCATTTATGATGATGATGATGATGAAAAAAAAAAAAAAAAAAAAAAAAAATTATAAACCAAAAGTTGATTAAGAAAAGAATGTTAGTGTTTTTTTAAAAATATATGGGATAATAAAATTAGGAAAGTTCAAAATATTTATATTTATATATATACCAATGTATCTACAAAAGTACATTCAGCTGCTAATGGTTTTATAAAAGTATGCAGCTGTTCTATTTATCAAAAAAAAAAAAAAAAAAAAGTTCATCTAGTATTTTGACGCAATGTCATCACTTAAACTAAAGAATAATAATAATAATAATAATAATATTATTATTATTATTATTATTATTATTATTATTAACCAGAAAAATTAAAATAAAAAAAAATAGTCAAGTCGCTTTGACAGCTTGGCGGAAAAAAAAAAAAAGAAGAAGAAGAAAAAAAAAAGAAGAATTTTATGAATTATTCATTAATTTAATTTTTTTTCTTTTTTTCTTTTCTTTTCTTAACCTTTTGTGACTTACAAAGTTGTCTGCCCACTCTGCCCTTTGATGTCTACAATAGTTTCTGTTTTTTATTTTTATTTTTTTTGACTAGACAATAAGGCATTTTTTAAGCTACTATAGGTCATTCATTAATTCATTCAGTCACTAATCATATATATATATATATAAATATATAAATATAAAACTTTGATGTTATTTTAAGAAATGAAAAAAAAAAAAATAATAAAAAAAATTTAACAATAATAATTATTAATATTATATTAGAAAAGATCTTTTAAAACTAAACTTGAAAATTAAAAAAAAAAAAAAAAAAAAATGATTTGCTGTAGTCATGTGACTGTGACATTTTTTTAATATATATTTTTTTTTTTTTTTTTTTTTTTTTAAGCAACAATTTTTTTATAGTATAATTATCGCCTTAATATTAATTAATTAATTAATAAATAAATAAATAAAAAGCAATCTAAATATATATATATATATATATATATATATATATATATTTATATATTTATATATTTAAAAAAAAAGATTGTGAAATCTGTGACTTTTTTTTTTTTTTTTTTTTTTTTTTTTGAAATTCTTGTCAAACTTTTCCCCTTCAAAACATAGCAAACAATATATACAGCCACTTTTCTTTTTAAAGGGAGTATGAAAAGGTACCCATTTGTATATAAATATATATATATATATACACATTGTAACTTCCAATCAAAATAAGAAAAAGCAAAAATGTGTTCTTTATTTTATATGCAAGGTTTAATATCATTATCAAAAGTAAGATTTAAAGAAGAAGAAGAAGAAAAAATCATTTGTTAAATAAACTCAATAATTTTTGAAGTTAATAAATAAAATGTGATTTATTTTTATTTATTTTTTTTTTTTTCATTGCACACAACCAATCTTATTTTTTTTTTTTTTTTTTCTGCTTCTTCTATATAAATTTCTATTTTTTTTTTTTTTATAATTAACTATTAATTTTACTTCAACATTACATCTCTAACTGACCAAAAATGAGTTGTAATATCAGCTAACAAAGAAAAAAATAAATTATAAATTAAAATAAATTGGCTAATTATCACTAAACAGTCAATCACTTGTGTGTTTGTTTTTATTCAAGGGTTATAACAGTCAATCACATGATAAATAAATATTTTACTAAATTATATTAATGTGCTCATATAGTCTTTAATAATTACGTTTTCAACATCTCTCGATAGCTCAGTTGGTAGAGCGCGGGACTGTAATGGCTCATTGTAATCCTGAGGCCGCGTGTTCGACTCACGCTCGGGAGATTAACTTTTTTTATTGTTTTAGTAAAAGTAAAGCATGAATAATTTTTTTTATTGGTCTTGACAATTATAATGATATTTTCAGATTTTCAGGTTTTTTTTTATAGAAAACTTATATATATATGATACAATTTTAAAATGAAATAACTTTTGTCTAAGTTTATTTTTTAAAAACAATAAAATAAAAATAAAAATAAAAAGTAAAGTTTAAAAAGAATTCTTCATATAACAATAAATAGTTTAAAAATTTAAGAATTATAAAAGTAACCAGAAAATGCATAGTTTAACCATAAGACCCAATTATCTTGAGATTTATTTTATTTTTATTTTTTTTTTTTTTGGTTTGTTATTAAATAAAAAAAAAAACCCCCCACCCTGTTTATGAAGAGAGATGCCCGAAGGGGACACATTTGTATCCCACTTCGTCAATAAAAACAACAAAAATACCATCAAGTGGTGATTGTCAGTTCGGCCCGTTGCTAGCAATAATAAATATCAGGGCTTAATAAGAAAAAAAAAAAAAAGTTAACAAGTCTTTCAGCCTTGTATAGATGTATATATATGTAAGTGTTTATTATTACCATTAAACCAATATACAGCCCCACGGCCCCCCCCATGTCAATCAAAGAATGGCAGGAAAGGGAAGGACAAAAAGGCATGACGGGGACCCAAAAATACAGCCGAGCAGTAAAATAGAGCAAGTTATTGTAATAGAGAGATGTGTGTGTTCTATATATATACATACATATTTACCAACTTAGCTTAATATATAGTTGAGATGATACCATTTGTAAGAATTCTTCTTTTACCCCCCCACGGCTAGAATATCTGCCGATAATCACCGTTGGTTGATTGTTTGCATATAGACATACACACACACACACACACACAAAATAAACGGCCGACGGTGGCACGAAAACTAGGGCATTTTAAGATTAATAAAGAGAGAAATAAAAAAAAAAAAAAAAAAAAAAACGAGTATTATGGGGTGGTTGGTAACTTTATTAAATGAATGAATAAATATAAATATTGATAATTAATAACGTTTAGGAGAGAAGAGAAAAAGAAAGTGTGTGTGTGTGTGTGTCTGATTTAATTTTATTTTATTTTATTTTTTTTATTTTATTTTTATTTTTTTAAATTTTAGGTTGTTGATTTTGGCCTATTCAGGAAAACATGTTGATCTATGGAAATGGTTATTAAAATGAGAGAAAAGATGGTTTTAAAGATTTATTTTATTTTTATTTATTATTTTTATTTATTATTTTTATTTATTATATTTTGATGAAATGTTTTTTATCGATAATAATAGACAAAAATAATGAAGATTATTTATTATTATTATATAAGGAATAATATATATTATTTTACATTTTAAGGATGTTGGGATTAATTGATCTGATAGTGGTAGTATTTCGGGTATTATTAGATCCATGATAGTAGTTGTAGTAATAATATATTGTAGTAGTAGTAGTAGTAGTTAGTTATAATATCAAGTAATGAGATGAATAGAATAAAATAAAATAAAATAAAATAAAATCAAGTTTCTTTTTGATCTATATAGAGTAGCATTAAAGTGAAAAAAAAAAAAAAAAAAAAGCAATCCAACCAAAAAAAAAAAAAAAAAAGATTGATGTTTAAGTAACAGTGGAAAAGAGCAAACTTAAAAAAAAATAAAGCCCTCGGGCAAAAATTTTGTTTTTTTTGTCCACGTATAATTTAGTTTACAATAGGTTTTTAATTTAAATTGGTGGTAGGCTATTAAATATATATATATATATAAATAATTATAAATTTTTAGCAATGTTAAGAAAAAATGATTTTATTATTATTGGATATACAAGTCAATTTAATTTAATTTGATTTAATTTAATTTAATTTAATTTAATTTTATGGAACAAAAGTATGACTTCTATATAAAGGGATTTATTTGGTTTGGTTGCTATATTTATTATTATTTATTATTTATTATTTGTATTTGTATATGTATTTCTAATTTGTACCTATTAAAACAAAAAAACAATAATGTGATGGTAGTTTACTTTTATATATTTATATATGCCCGAGGGCTTTTTCGTATATGAATGTGTTAGAAAACACTCTTTTCATCATCAATAGGCAATAGCAACTTTGGGCAAAAGATTCGGTCATATAATTTTCGTTACAATCAAAGTAAAAGTTGAAAAGAATAATAAAATAATATAATTTCATTCATTTTTTTTTTATAAATAAATAAATAAATAAATAAAAAGTAACTGCCCTTCGGCCACTTGAACATATCAAAATTGATTGAAATTAATTAAAATTGACTGTATCATCTGGGAAATTACAATAAATGGACTTTTTTTTTTTTTTTTTTTTTCTCTTTAGAAGATGAGAAAAAGTCTCAGTAATAAGTAAGTAAGTAAGTAAGTAATTAAATAAATAAGTTTAAACTTAAACTTGTAATTCATCCATTCAGACTTATTTATTTATTTATTTATTTATTATTAAATAATTTTTTTTATTTTTTTTTTTTTTTCAAATGTAGAACAGATCAAAAAAAAAAAAACTACAAAAATCTCCACTTTTTTTTTTTTTATATATAAAAATTAGAATTAGAATCGTGGTCTTTATTTATGATCAAGAACATACAAATTTTTTTTTTTTTTTTAATTATTTAATATATAAAATTCAACAGACCAACAGACCAACAGACCAAAATAAAGAAATAAAGTTAGGCTTATCGGCTTATCGGAGGGCCTTTATCTAACAGTCCATTCTGTGAGAGAGAGAGCGAGAGAAATAAATTAAAGATGAACAAAAAGGAAATAACCTTTAAAAAAAAAAAAATCTCCGAAAAAAATATCAATCAATCAATCAAATAAATAAATAAATAAATAAAAAAGCGGGGTCCTTTTTCTTTTTTTTTTTTTTTTCTTCTTTACAATATATACAATATATATTTATATATATTTATATATTACATGCTATCATAAAAGAAGCCCCGCCAAACCAAATTCTTTTGCCAACGGATCACCGGGGGGAGGGGTGTGTGTGAAGCCAATGAGAGCTTTATTGAGTGTCATTGAAATATAACACCAAATACCAAAATACCCAAGACCTAAATATCTAAAATATTAATCCTTAACACACAAACCATTATTATACACCCCGCTTGTCCGATCTTGTATATATATATATATATATATATATATATATATTAAACTGTTTTTTATAATCAATCTTCGGAGCTTTCCGATAATTAAGAGACTTTATTTCTTTTTTATTATATTATTACAATTATTTGTTTTTTTTTTTTTTTTTTTTTGAAAATTAACTTATTTAAAAGTACATTTTATTTATTTATTTATTTATTTATTTTCTTCTTTTTGAAAAGCTCCACTTCTCTCTCTCTCTCTCTCTCTCTCTCTCTCTCACACAGACTTTTTCTTTTAAGTAAAAATCAGCCGTGCGTATTCCTAAAACAGCTAAGCTTTACGATGATTGGCCGGGCTGCCCGCGGCCATTCGGCTTGGACCGAAAATACATAAAAAACTCACAGGGCTAGGGTTTTTATTAATATAATTTAATTTGAATTAATTTAAATTAATTTAAATTAAAAGTTTCTTTTCTTTTTTATTTTAATTTAATTTAATTTAATTTATTTTAATTTAATTTCATTTATTAATTTATTTTATTTCTCAAAGTTTCCTAGGCGCGGGGCTTATCAGTGCGGCTTGTTGAAAATTTCCCTTTTAAGAAAAGTCTTTGCTTATCAGCATATCCGTTCGTTCTTGTAGGCACGTAGACACTGACAATTTTGGATTGCCCAGCGGCGGTGTGTAAACAACAAAAATAATAATAATAATGGCAGTAACAACAACAACAACAACACCATCATATAAAAATAAAATCAATATTTCATTCATTTCTATAAAACCCAGCAAAGATCCACAAGATTATTTTTTTTTTTTTTAAGAATTATATATAAAATAAAACTTTTCCACTTTTCAGATTTTTTTTTTTTTTAAAAATCTTGAGCTTTTATAACTACTACTACTACTACTACTACTACTACTACTACTACTACTACTACTACTACTACTATTAATCTATTAATACAAAAGCTCTTACTCTCTTTTTTCTTCCTTTATTTTTTTTATTTTTATTTTTTTTTTCAAAAATGGTAAACACAATTGGCTGGACCATCCCTCAATGGACCCAATATACAACTTCTACAGACCCTGCCGAGGTCCTTAAGACCATCCAGGCGCTGGTCGCCTCTTTCCCTAAAGACGATCCCGCCTGGATCTCAATTGCCTCGCCAGATCTCATCCAGCAACAATTCGACGCTCTGAAAGACAAATCGGTATGTTCCATCCCTTTATCTATCCCTCCCTTCAATCTATTTTATTTTTTTAATCTTCTAAACTAACTTGCTCTTTTTTTTTTTTTTTTTTTTTTTTTTTTTTTTTTTTTAAGCTCCCATTATATGCTGTCCCAATTGCTGTCAAAGATAACATTGATGCAGAAGGATTTGATACCACCGCTGCTTGCCCTGCCTTCTCCTACACACCGGAAAAAGATGCTACCGTCGTCTCCCTGCTCCGTAAAGCTGGCGCCATTGTTGTCGGTAAAACAAACCTTGACCAATTTGCTACTGGCCTCGTCGGTACTCGCTCTCCCTACGGGAAAACCCCCTGCGTCTTTTCTGATAAACACGTTTCCGGTGGCTCTTCTGCTGGCTCCGGATCAGTGGTCGGTAGAGGCCTTGTCCCCATCGCTTTCGGTACTGACACTGCTGGCTCGGGCCGTGTCCCCGCAGCTCTCAATAACATTGTTGGCCTTAAACCTACCCGTGGTGCTTTCTCTACCACCGGTGTTGTCCCCGCTTGCAGATCCCTCGACTGCCCCTCTATCTTCACCCTTAATCTCCAGGACGCCCAGCTCGTCTTTGACCTTACTGCCAAGTTCGATCCCACTGATTCGTACTCTCGTCAACTCCCCAATAAGCTCCTCACATCTTTTGGCAAATCCCCTGTCTTTGCTTACCCCTCAGAGCCAAAGTTCTACGACGATAAGTACAACCCTGTCCTCTTCCAGCAGGCCCTGGAAGTCCTCAAGTCTACAGGTGTCAATCTCGTCCCTACCGATTTCGGTGTTCTCCACAAACTTGCAAACCTTCTCTACGAAGGCCCCTGGGTCGGCGAACGTTATGCTGCCATCCGTGAGTTTGTCACTTCTCGTAAAGACGAAATGGACCCCGTTGTCTACGGAATTGTCAAGAAGGCTGAAAACTTCACTGCCGCTGATTGCTTCGACTTTGAATACAAGCGTATGGACATTCTCCGTGAAATTCAAGAGCAGTTTGACCAATTTGATGGCCTTGTGGTCCCTACCTGCCCCTTGAACCCTACCTTTGCCGATCTCGAAGCTGAGCCCGTCCTCGTCAACTCTTACCAGGGTACTTATACTAACTTTGTAAACTTGGCCGATCTTTCGGCTCTTGCTATCCCTGCCGGATTCCGTCCTGATGGCCTCCCCACTGGTATCACTTTCATCTCAAAGAAGTTCAATGACTATGCTCTTCTTGACCTTGCTAGCAAGTTTGAAAAGGCTAATTCTGCCAATAGAACTTTTGTCGGTGCTCTCAAGGATGTCCCTGTTGCTCAAGGTGATCTTCTCCACCAGGGAATCCCTGTTACTTCCCCCGCTGTCATTCCTCTTGTTGTTGTCGGTGGCCATCTTTCTGGTATGGCTCTCAACTGGCAACTCCAAAAGGTCAATGCCACTCTTGTCCAAAAAACGAAAACTTCCCGCAATTACCGCCTTTATGCTCTCCCCAACACTACCCCTGCTAAGCCCGGTCTTCGCCGTATCCTGCCCTCTGATTCTCCTCTTGTTGGCGAGGAAATCATTGTCGAGGTCTGGAACGTCCCCGCGGAGGAATTCGGCACATTCATCTCCATGGTCCCTCACCCTCTTGGTATTGGTAGCGTTGAACTCGCAGATGGCCGCTGGGTTAAGGGTTTCATTTGCGAGCAAGCTGGTTTCCACGACGCTGAAGACATTACCAAGTTTGGCGGCTGGCGTGCTTACATGGCTTCTAAGGTTGACCCCAAAACTAAACCCTTTGAGACTGTCCTTGTTGCCAACCACGGTGAGATTGCTGTTCGTATCATTAAAACCTTAAAGAAACTTGGAATTAAGGCTATCGCCGTCTTTTCCGAACCTGACCGCTACACCCAACATGTTCTTGACGCTGATGATGCTGTCTCTCTCGAGGGCACTACTGCCGCTGAAACATACTTGAATGTTAACAAAATCATCAAGGCTGCAAAGGATACCGGCGCCCAAGGTATCATTCCTGGCTATGGTTTCCTTTCGGAGAATGCCGACTTTGCTGAGGCCTGCGAAAACAATGGTATCATCTTTATTGGTCCCTCAGCTGATGCCATCCGTGCCCTTGGTCTTAAGCACTCTGCTCGTGAGATTGCTGAACGTGCCGGCGTCCCCATGGTCCCTGGCTCCGGCCTCATTGATACTGTCGAGGAGGCTGTTGCTATTGCCGAGCGTATCAAGTACCCAGTCATGGTCAAGTCCACTGCCGGTGGTGGTGGTATTGGTCTCCAATGTGTCCGTAACCCAGAGGACCTCCCCAAGGCCTTTGAGACTGTCAAGCACCAGGGTCTTTCTTACTTTAACGACTCTGGCGTCTTTATTGAGCGTAACGTTGAAAATGCCCGCCACGTCGAAGTCCAGGTCTTTGGCGATGGCCGTGGTGGTGCTATTGCCCTTGGTGAGCGTGACTGCTCTCTTCAGCGTCGTCACCAAAAGATTGTTGAAGAGACTCCTGCTCCTAGACTTTCTGATAAGACCCGTGCTGCTATGCGTGATGCCGCTCAAAGCCTTGTTTCTACCATGAAATACAAGTGTGCTGGTACTGTGGAGTTTATCTACGATGAAAAGAATGAGGAGTTTTACTTCCTTGAGGTTAATGCCCGTCTCCAGGTTGAACACACTATCACTGAAGAGGTTACTGGCTTGGATTTGGTTGAGTGGATGCTCTACATTGCTGCTGACCGTCCTCCTGCCTTCACCCCTGTTACTCCCAAGGGTGCTGCTATTGAAGTCCGTATCTACGCTGAAAACCCCGTCAAGGACTTTTTGCCCTCTCCTGGTCAGATTACTGATGTTACTTTCCCTGACTGGGCTCGTGTCGACACTTGGGTTGTCAAGGGTTCCAAGATTTCCCCCGAGTACGATCCTACCATTGCCAAGATGATTGTTTATGGCAAGGACCGTGATGAAGCTATCCAGAAAATGTCCAAGGCTCTCGATGAGACTGTAATTTACGGGCCTGTCACTAACATTGATTACCTCCGTGCTATTGTCAACTCTGAAATGTTCAAGGAGGCTAAAGTTGCCACCAAGGTTTTGGACTCGTGGACTTACACTCCTGCTGCTATTGAAATCACTGCTCCTGGTTCCTACACAACTGTCCAGGACTATCCTGGTCGTGTCAAGCTCTGGCACATTGGTGTTCCTCCTTCTGGTCCCATGGACTCTTATGCTTTCCGTGCTGCAAACAAGATTGTTGGTAACGACTCCAAGTCCCCTGCCATTGAATGCACTCTTGTTGGTCCCTCTCTTGTTTTCCACTGCGACACTGTCTTTGCTCTGACTGGTGGTCTTTCCCCTGCCACTCTCGATGACAAGCCTGTTGAATTCTGGAAACCTATTTCTGTCAAGGCCGGCTCCAAACTCGTTGTTGGCAAGCTTTCCACTGGTTGCAGATCTTACTTGGCTATCCGTGGTGGTATTGACGTTCCTGAGTACCTTGGCTCTCGTTCCACTTTTGCTCTTGGTACCATGGGTGGTTTCAATGGCCGTGTCATCAAGTTTGGTGACGTCTTGTTCCTTGGTAACCCTGAAGTTTCTGGCTGCACTTTGCCTGCTCCTATTGCTAAACCCATGGAAATCCCAACTTCTCTTGTTCCTGCTGTTCTCTCCACTCCTCCCGCTGCCCCTGGTCCTACCACTTGGAATGTCGGTGTTACTGTTGGCCCCCACGGTGCTCCTGATTTCTTTGCTCCTGAGTACATTGAGACTTTCTTTTCTTCTGAATGGAAGGTCCACTATAACTCAAACAGATTTGGTGTCAGACTTGTTGGTCCCAAACCCAAGTGGGCCCGTAAGGATGGTGGCGAGGCTGGTCTCCACCCTTCCAATGCTCACGACTATGTCTACTCTCTCGGTGCCGTCAACTTTACTGGTGATGAGCCCGTCATTTTGACTTGCGACGGTCCTTCCCTTGGTGGTTTCGTTTGTGCTGCTGTTATTGTCGAAGCTGAGATGTGGAAGATTGGCCAGGTCAAGCCTGGTGATTTGATCAAGTTTGTCCCCATTACTTTTGATGATGCCATTGCTCTTAAGAACTGGCAAGATAAGGTTTTGGACTCGGTTACTGATTCCTTTGTTGACGAGAAGCCTCTTGAGATTGTTTCTGAGAAGCTTTCTACTGCTGTTGCCACTGCCAGCTCTGCTGAGCCCGTTCTCTTCCACCAGGCTGCCACTGCCTCTACTCCCAAGGTTGTTTACCGCCAGGCTGGTGACCGCTACATTCTTGTTGAATATGGTGAGAACATTATGGACTTGAACCTGTCTTACCGTGTTTACAAGCTCACTGAGGCTGTCTTTGGCCACAATACCAAGGGTGTTGTGGAAATGTCTGCTGGTGTCCGCTCCGTTCTTATTGAGTTTTCTGGTAAAGAGACTACCCAGGAGGATCTTCTCAAGACTTTGATTTCTTACGAGTCTAAGTTGGTTGCCACCGAAAACTGGCAAGTTCCTTCCCGTACCATCCGTCTTCCCTTGGCTTTCGAGGATAAAAAGACTTTGGGCGCTGTCGAGCGTTACAAGGAGACTATCCGCAGCACTGCTCCCTGGCTCCCCAACAATGTTGACTTCATCAAGGAGGTCAACGGTCTTGAAGACCGTAATGAGGTCCGCGACATGCTCTACTCTGCCAAGTTCCTTGTTCTCGGACTTGGTGATGTTTTCTTGGGTGCTCCTTGCGCTGTTCCTCTTGATCCCCGTCATAGACTTCTTGGTACTAAGTACAACCCTTCGCGTACTTACACTCCCAACGGTACTGTTGGTATCGGTGGTATGTACATGTGTATTTACACCATGGAGTCTCCCGGTGGTTACCAGCTTGTGGGCCGCACCATTCCTATCTGGGACAAGCTGACTTTGGGTCAACAAGACAGACCCTGGCTGCTTTCCCAGTTTGACGTTGTTGAGTATTTTGCTGTTTCTGAGGAAGAGCTTGATGTTTTCTGCGAGCAGGTCGAGAATGGTCAGTACCACATTGAGATTGAAGATAGTGTTTTCGATCATGGCAAGTATGTTGAATGGCTTGATGAGAACAAGGAGTCTATCGCTGCCTTTGCTGAGCGCCAGCTGGAGGGCAATGAGGAGATTTCGCGACTCATTCAGATCTCCAATGCTGAGCTCCAGGCTGCCCAAGATGCTGGTTCTGCAGAAGATGATTCGAGCAAGTACTCTGAAAATGCTGAGCTTGTTTACGCTGAGGTGACTGGTCGTTTCTGGAAGAATATGGTTGTTGTGGGCGACAAGGTCGAAAAGGGCCAAGGCTTGGTCATCATTGAGGCTATGAAGACTGAGATGGTTGTTCCATCTTCGGCCTCTGGTACTGTTGTGAAGATTGTCCACAAGAATGGTGACATTGTGGAGGCTGGCGATTTGGTTGCTATTGTCGAGCCTTAATTGCCTTTCTTTGTTTAAATTCTTCTTAGATGTGTTTTTTTTTTTTTTTTTGCTTTAGATTTTTTTATGACCTCATGACGTGTTTTTTTTTATATTTAATGATAGTAGTATAGTAGTAAAATTGAAATTTTTTTAAAAATATTGAATTGAAAATATTGAATTAAAACTATTGAAAGTCTTATTTTTAATTTTTTAAAAAAAGATGGAATTGGTGGTTGGTTTGATTAATAAATCGAGCACGTGGGGGGAGAAATTCTTAGTGAGGCTGAGTAGATCAAAATGGCCTTTAAGCTAATAAATAAACTTAATGATGACACTCACAAAATATCGAAAACTGGCTGGTTATAAAAGGTCGCAACCTTGCTGGAAATCTTTAATCATAACTTGGTATCATCAAAATAACTCAACACATAATAATAATCAATGACTCGCTTAAATCCTAAACGACGACATATAATCCTGCTCATTGCATCTTTCCTGGACATTTCCACACTTGCTCTTTTTATTATTAATGCCATCAATTCACCTAATTTTTTCCATATCTTTGCAATGTACCAAATTGCAGCCCCACAACTTTCTACTGAAGATTATCTTTCCTTTTTCATAAACGACGAAGCTTATAATCGCACAAGATACTCTTCCAAAATTGAAAAATTATTACCATCATCTGCAGAAACAGTCCCTGCTTTTGACTTTTATTACAATGAAAACTTTTGCTCATATAACTCGACCAAAACTGACGATATACGACAACACTATTTTCCCAATAATACGGTCGTATCAAACCGTTCCATAAAAGAATCTATCTGCTACTTATTTTTGCGTGGATACATTCCCCGTGAACAATGGATTGGATTTGAAGAAGCTCTTGATTACGAATCCTGGTATGTGAGAAACTATTTATATCTAAGTGACTGCACCAATACCCCACTAGAAGATTTATCCCAAGGCTCCATTATTGGAATTATTCTTTGGTCTATTTCGATATCTTTGGAGCTTCTCTTTATTATTTTTCTCTACTGTGCTAGTGGCGGTGAAGATGTTTCTGTACGAATGTGTATTGTGTGCAGCTGGACTTTTGGATTAATGCTCTTATCAATGGATGCCGGAGCTTTGTTATCATATGCAAATTATGTCGACAAATTAGTACAATATTTGACTAAAGATTATGGTAACCTAGTAATTTTATTTCGAGAAGCAGGATTAAATCCAGCAACTCTTCCGAGACCAATTACTCTTGGAAGTCGAATATTAATATTTTCTCCTTTAATACCAGGAGTATTAAGGTTTGGTATATGGCAAGTGGGTGTATATGCGGTATGGATGTCAAAAGATTCACCAACTTCTAATATGACTTGGTACGAAACTTTGGAGAAAAAAATTCTAGGACAAAGACCTGAAGCTGAAGGATTGCTTGCTGGTGAAGATGCCGATCCTATATGGGATGAAATTGGATATAATATAAGATAAGAATGTTAATTAGAGAATTTAAATTGAAATAATGTTAATATTGATAATGGAGTTTTTTTTTTTTTTTAAAGTCAATGAGAGAAATGGAAATTAGAGAAAGAGTATATCAAAAAAAAAAAAAAATAGCAGATACATTGTTAATTTGTTAATGTAGGTTTGATAATTTTAAAATCATCTTGCTATTAATCAAATCACTTAAAAATAAAATCATCATCGATTTGAAACTTTTCAAGTTTCTTGTAAAAAAAAAAATAAATTTTAAACATCAAAAAGAATCTTTTTTTTTTTTTTGTAAATTTAAACTTACTGAACAATACTGAAACACACTTCGTTTGAACTTCCATCCATGACTGAAAAAAAAAAAAAAAACTAATCAAATTGATTATTTTCTCCCATTTCTTCTTTTTTTTTAATCTTACCATCAACTTCATTTTTTTTAATTGTAGGAATAATTAACCATTTCCATCATCATTATCATCATCATCATCATTATCTTCATCATTATCTTCATCTTCATCATTATCTTTATCACTATCACTATCATTATCTTTATCATTATTATTATCATCATTTATTCTATATTATCTGTTTCTTATATTATTCTTTTTTAATGCTCAATTTATTATCATTATCATTATCATCATTATTTAGTAAGTGAAGGTTCTCATCAAATTCTTAGCTAACTCTTGAACAGGTATCAAGAGCAAATTAACAATATTGGCAAATGGTACGTATATTCAACTTGTTCAATTTCTTCAAAACTAACAAACTAACATCCTAAGTCTCATCAAACCTTCTTGTAAATCAGCAACTATCCTCATAGCTATTCACCATCACATCCTTGCATTTGCCAGTAAAAAAAATAAAAGCCGTTAACTAGAAACGCCACGCACAGACTGCCCCCTCGTCAAAATATGTGTGTGCGGAGAGGAGGCTCGCAAGTCATTATCTTTCTTTCACCATGACTACTGCTGCGAGTCTACGGGAGCCATACTCTCTCCGAAACAAAAATCCTGGAGAGATGAAAAAAAAATAATCGACAATTAGTTGTCATAACAAGGTTATACGCTACAGGTAGACTAATCGGCCTGGTTTTGCTTGGGCGTATATTCCTTTGGCCTATCGGTTTTCTTAGGGGATTGGGTCTTGCCCCTTTGATTACCAAAAAAACAAACAAACATTATTATTATTATTCGTGGGAACTTGGTTGAAAAAAAAAAACGTTATTATTAAAAAAACTTGATCTATGATTATTTATTCATTTGTGGAACCTTGATTGAAAAACTTATTTTATTTTACGTTTCTTAAATCTAAAAATCTTATTATACTTTTAAACTCTTGCGATCCGCGACTTCGCTTCGACACAGCTTTGTTCTGCAGCTTGAAACATTTGGCATTGACTTTTCCAACATTTAATTGGCACTTTGAAGTACTTAGTTTATACTATTCAACTTTTTTTCAGCATCTTTTTCAGCATTGTTTACAGTATCTTTTTCAGCATCTTTACAAAAAAATTTATCCTATCTGGTTTTAGTTTGGATTCATATAATTCATAACCTTTTGTTGTGGTTCCCCGCATTCCATGAAAACTAGCCGCCTTTTCTTCAGACCCGTTAGAAGCTTAGGTTCCGTTGGTGGGATTGGATTTTGTGGGAGAGGGTGCCTCTCCAGGTGCAAATGACAACTACACAATTGGGGGCGGAAAATTTTTGGAGAATCTTGTCAGATAAGTTCCATTTTTCCATGGGGAGTAACCTGAGCAAGCGTCCACGTCGTGCTTCCTGGGGTTTCTAGCGGCTAGCAAAGCCAAACAGAAATGCTAAATTTGCTCTAAATATGTAACAAATAGTCAAAATAAATTAGAAACAAAAAAAAAAAATAATATTCATTCAATAATAAACAAGAAAAAAATCCCCGGTATCAGCTACTGGAACAAGTACAGAGCGGAACATGGATCAAGGGTTGTTTCACGATAAGTTCTTTGTAAAAATTTAAATATTGTAAAATTTACGAGGCTTGAGGTAATACATGTTTTGTTTTAAAAGATAATTAGCAAATTAACAATAACTATTATTGGAATCTCATAATGTAAAATCATATATAAAACCAAGATAGTATCAGATTTGTAAAAAGAGGGGGGTTTTAAAGGGTTTGAAGAAAAGTTGCTTAATAGAATTGGAAAGTTTTTCTTAGGATTTTGAAAGAAATGATATATATATATCATTTCTATAAAGCTGTTTTCAAGCATATGGTCCTTAAATAGCCCTCATAAGGATTGTTCTATTCAATACTTAACTGTTTTAAAACATGGCTTGATCTCAAGAATGGAGATTTTTCATTTTTCTCATATACTGACTTTTAAACCCATATTTATACACAAAATGTTTTCTAAAGGACTATTTAAATGGTAACAAATTTATCAATGAATAAAAAAAAAACAATTTGATTTAATTAGAATTAGAGCAATCAAAATAAATCATTTGAGAAGAACCAATAGTAATAGTATATCAATAATAATCACCAATAGAAAAGATAAGTTTAAGTTACAGGCTACCAAAGTTATCTCATATCATAGAAATTTCCAACATCTTCAAGCTCCCCCAAAACTTACTATAAAAGTTTTATACTAATTAAAATAAGTTGACATATGAATTTTTGCTACTTTGTGCTTTTTAAAAATGATATCTTGTTTTAATGTATTTGAGTTCTTTTTTTTTATTTCTAGTCTTAAAACTTCTTGTCCATGTTTTACTGCTTGACTGTTGGACCAATTGTTGATCAAAATTCTATTCCTCTTCATGTTTATAGAATTTTTTTTTTTATAATTGATTGTATTTCATTGTTAAAGCTGGCTATTATCCAATTTCAGTACTTAACGTGCTTCAAATATTTATCTACACAATGTGATTTAATTTTACAAACAATTAATATCGATGAATTTTAAACTATTTATATTTTTTAAAGAACTATCGAAGATTCATACACACAAAAACTAAAAACCGTTACTTAATAATATGTAGATTTTCAATTAAGTATTGTTATTAGGACTGTTTTTAATTTGATTTCATTTTGAGTAAAAAAACAATAATTACTGGATCAAATTTTTCATATTTGATTTCATTCCAGCACTTTTATTATAAACCAATATATATATATATATATATGACCATTGTTTAATTTTTGAGACTATTTTCTAATATTCAACATCAGATGCCAAGAAGGCGGTGTTTGGACTTTTACTGTTTCTATCTATTAACAACTTGTATCTTGCATTTTAATTTTTTTTTAGATGAAATCGGTATCACTGTTTGCTTGGTTTTGCAACTCCTAGCGCTCGGTGTTGCATATAAATCTTGATCATCTTGAGGCGGCGTGTACGTCCACCTTGGTGCACCCGCATCATAACTTTTGTACGTCCAAAAGGCTTTCGTTTTTTTTTTTTTAAAAAAAAATAAAAAATAAAAAAAATAGAAACTCTTTTAGTTCTTCAAAAACAACATCTCTCTGTGTACAGTCTTAGTTTAATTTTCAGGCGGGTAACATTTGACTTGGAATATTACTTCTGTTAATGGGCTTTGTATGTACATGTCCTTTGTTAATTTTTTTTTTAAAGAATAAAATAGCCTTGTTAATTTTTTTCTTAAAGATCTTTTTAATTCACGGTCCAGAACTTTGATGCAACGTATTCCATTGTGCTTATGAAAGAAAATTTTATAGCAAACAGTAAACTTTTTAGTTCAAAACTAGATTTCCACCGTTTTGGAAAAGAAAAAAAAACAATTAATTGTTCAATAAGTATAGTGAAGGTATATGCATTACAAAGAATATTGGCCCCATGTAAGCATTTTTTTGTTTAAGAGTCATCGTCATTAATTGATATATAGAATACTCCTATTTTCAACCGCCATGACGATTAGTCAAAGATTAACACGATAATGTCAATCCATGATTTTATGTTTTAAAAAGAGGTCCGTGTGAAACATATTTTTTTTTTATTCAAGGATTATAAAAGTATATTGTATAAGAATCCACATTATACTTTAACCGTTTTTCTTTTCTTTTCTTTTCTTTTCTTTTCTTTTCTTTTCTTTTCTTTTCTTTTAATTTTGGGTTAAGATAATTTCTCAAGTACCTATAATAGATAAAAAAAAAGTTTAACTTGCGGGTAATAGAACCAAATGGTCTGTAGAAAAAAAGAAAGAAATGGTATATTTGGGAATGATATCCAAAAATATCGTAGAGTGTGCATTCTAAAAATTCTTGTTATCTAAATTTTAATAATAAAATACTTATAAGTTTATAACTTTTTTTTTTTTTTTCAGAATTCAAACATTCAATTATTAGCTTAAAATTCACCCTAAAAGGTAGTCAAATATGCTTCTGGGTATCATGAAGTTAATTATGTAGTTAATGACCGAAATAATAGTTGGGTATATAAAAAGCAATAGATATTTCTTAGATAAAGAGTTTTCTTTTTTTCTTTTTTCACTAAACTGGATTGTGTAGTCCTTTTTACTAAGATATCATTTCAAATAACCCCCTTTTTATTTGGTCATTAAGGGGTGAATTCATTTCAAGTGAATGCTATTTCTGGTGCATTCATAGTCTTGAGAAAATAACAATATGTGGTCATGAAGTCAAAAGTTATCAAAAAGACTTAGGTATCTGAGCTGTTATATACCCGCTAATCTTAAAACAAACAAACTTGACTCAGGTTTTAACTTGTGTGATATTAGATCAACATGTGAACTAGCATAATTTAGGGAGTGACCCCTAGGTAAGAATATATATATGTTTTGCCAAAAATCAGGGGGAGGGGAAAAGTCAAAATTCTTAGATGCTCTTCTTGGCAATTTACATTTTCTGAATGATCCGTTCTCAGAATTTCATCCCGTTACAGAATGTACACTGCTGAGGTTAAGATATTAAAATGCAGATATCGAAGCCATTTAGTAAAAACTTTTCTTTGATAATTGGGTATTTAGAATGAAAAAAAAAAAAAAAAAAACCAAATTGAACTCTTAGAACAGATTTAATAGGTTTAAAATTATATGCTTCAATGTTTATTCATTGCTTTATGTAAACAAAGTTGAATAAGCTTTCCATGATGAATGCCGGTACTCTATTCTCTTAAATCTAGAATACTCGTATAGTCTAATTTGTTAGATCCAAAAGGCTAGTAGTAATACTTGACAACTTTAGCTAAACCGCTTTAAATAAAAAATATTCATTAGCTCTCATTTTTAGTAAATTAAGTCACATATTTTTTTTTATTGTGTTTGTTTTCGATCCATTCCGTTTCATCATAGTTGCATCCTTTTCGTTAATTAAACATTGTTCTATAATCTATAGTTTCTATTAAAACATTCAGTTACACATGAAAACCTGGATCCGGCAGTTCCTTAATTTCTGCAAATTCATCTTCCCGTACATATCTCCATGCCTCGTACTGCCAGTTAAGTGACGGTTGATCATGGATACACAGTCCACACGACGCAGCGTCGATTCCTCCAGATCCCTTTTGAGGGATAACATAGATAAGCCTTGTGAACCGTGAGTGCAACAGCCCCATGCTGCACATTGCACAAGGTTCATGGGTCATATATGCATGGAATCCGCGACACAAATATCCATCACGGTCTTCGTTATAATCTGGTGGTAATTCGCCTGATTTAATATTGTTGACAGCTGGTGCAGCCATGGGCTTGGAAGACGCAGGGATTAAGGTCTCCTTAGCAACTTTCTCTGCCTCTTTACGCCAAACAGCGGCCCGTTCTATGGCAATCAATGCACTATGATCCAGTGGCTTGTGTTTGGTGCGCAAATCAGTTCCTGTAGTGATTATTCTATCATTCAGAGGATCAACAATAAGGGTAATGATTGGAATTGAGTCTTTAGGTAGTTTTTCAGTTTCTTCATCGTAAACCTCTTTAAGCTTTTTGACATATTTTAAGGCCTGTGCTTGTTCACGTTCACTAATGGAGTCTGGAATCGCAGCCACGTTGCCGCGCCACATTAGAGGCCAACCAACACTTTTTGCCCATTCTTCCGACTCATTTTTTGTGTCTGCTGGATGTAATGTTGCTGTGCGTTTTTCAATGAGTCCGGGGAAATATAAAAATGGGTATTTTTCGCGTGTTGATTCTACCAATGGAGCCAGTAGAGTTTGTGCTTCTTCTGCAGAAGCTACAGCATCGACAGTACACACAAATACGCGAAGATAGATATTTGTAGGTTTTGGAGGGACTGCTTCTTTTGGTTGGCCCTTTTTCTGTTTCGGCTGTTTTTTCTTTTCCTTTGTGGCAGATGGATCTTCAGGTTCATTCTCATCGGATTTTTGCTTCTTTTTGGGCGGAGGTGCTGTTACATGGTATTCTGCGGGAATGTCGTAATTAGTTTCGGTGACAAACCGGCGGACATGGGGCATGCGATGGTCATCTTGTGGGAATGTGTCTTTGATGAATCGTGACAAGATTTCCGAGTAAGTTGCTGGAATGACAGTTGTCCAGATGCCGACTATGATGATTAGATAAAGAAAATATAAAGCAAAAAAAAAAAATAAATAAATAAATAAATTCAAGAACATACTTGGTTCAAAACCAGGGCGACGTTCGGGGGCCTTCACTTGAAGTAGAGCGCCGTTGGCTGAATAGTTTAGTTTTTCGGGACGCGGTGCCATTATATTAGTTGAATGATCCCAGACTTGTTGAAAAAAAAAAAATTTTTAAAAAAAATGCGGCACCCTGAAAAATCAGCAAACATGTCCAAGTCCAACAGCTCTCATAAGGATTTCCACATACAAAAATATTTCTTAGCGTTATTTTTTTTTATTTTTTTTTACTCCATTCCGAACCTCCTTTTTTTTTTTTTTATTTTTTTTTTTATTTAAAACCAACCAGTAATCTAAACACCCACTGTGCACGGTGTCAACATGGTTTTTGAAGGTTTGTAAATAAACCAGTTTCTAGATTAACCAAATTATATTCTAACACTTCTAAGATACAAAAACATACCTGGACCAGGACTCGCTGGTTCAGCTTCGCAGCTACAAGTACCAAGTACGTTTGACTGACTGACTGACTGACTGACTGATTGATTAATTGATTAATTGATTGATTGATTTGATAAGATGTAAACTAACACACAAGCCACTAAGAGTGTCGACAAATCTTATTTATCGTACTACATTCTCAATCCATACTGGACATGGTGTGCAAAATTTATGCCATCATGGCTTGCACCTAATGTGATCACTTTGCTTGGGATCATTGCAATCTATGCCAATGTGATTACTATTCTTATTTATATTCCAGACCTCGTGGGTCCCGGCCCTTCGTGGATTTATTACTCGTTTGCTGCGGGTATTTTCTTCTATCAAACCATGGACAACATTGATGGCAAACAAGCTCGTGCTACAGGTACTTCTTCACCTTTGGGCGAACTGTTTGATCACGGAATTGATTCACTCAACTGCTGCCTCGGCGGTCTCGTTCAATCTGCGTGCATGGGAATGGGCTCGTCCAAAAACACAGCCATTGTGACTTTTATCACCTGCGTAGCCATGTATTTGTCAACATGGGAGACATATCACACCCACGTCCTATACCTAGGATACCTCAATGGTCCGACTGAAGGTATCATAATTGCTGTCATTATGATGCTTATTTCGGGTGCATACGGTATTCAGGTGTGGAACAACCCAATTTCCTCGGTGTTTTCAGCTCCCATGCAGACCTTATTCTCTCTCTTTATGGGTGGATCTCCCTATCAAGTTGGCCAGCTGCCACTCAAAGACCTTTGGGTTGCTTTTGTTTTTTGGGGTGTTTTGATCGGCCACGTCCCTGTGTGCCTTTACAACGTGTACCAATACAAGCGTGCCAATAAGGAATCTTTTACTGCTACACTACCCAACCTGATTCCAATTGTAATTGCTTCACTTTCAGTTTACCTTTGGCTTTGGAGTCCCTACTCCATTATTCTTTCGGATAACCATATTGTACTTTTTACACTCGCCATGTCTCTGGTATTTGGCCGCATGACTACCACAATTATTCTCGCACATCTTACCCGCCAACCTTTCCCTTACTGGTCTACACCCATGACCCCACTTGTCATTGGTGCTGGTCTTTTCCGATTTTTCCGTTGGCCATCTTCTGCCACTGTCATTGTGGATGGTGTTGCTACTGCATCTTCTTCTTCTAATGCCAATAAGTTGTTTTCGTATGCGGCTGGCAAGGGTGCTGCTATGCGGTTACTTGCACGCACCATTTCAGGTCCTAACAACATTAAGTTGGAAAAGTTGGGCTCACCTGAAACTGCGGATTTGCCCTTAGGCCAACAGACAAATTACAGCTTCCCAATCAATTTTGAACTGCTCTACCTATGGCTCTTTTTTGCGTACCTAGTTTTGTACTTTAGTGTCTATGCCCGTCGTGTCATCAAGGGCATCACCGAGTTTTTGGGAATTTCTGCCTTCACTGTTAAGAAGCCAGCAGATCTCAACAAGGCCATGTGACGAAAAAAAAAAAAAAAATGAAAATGAAAATGAAAAATAAAATGCTAAGTAAATAGGAATTGATATATATATATATATATATATATATATACGCTTATGAAAATTATAAGTCTATTATTAGAGAATCATAAGATGCAAAAAAAAAAAAAAGAATTTAAATAACACATTTAATTTGGTAACTCAAACAAACTTCCTACGTTTTACACTGTGACCCTCATCGTCACTAGCCATTGGTATTTCTTCATTAGGGAGCTCTTCTCCTACCAGTGGTACTAAAGGTTTCCGTTTCTGTGAAAGCGCAATGACTTGTTTATAAGCGTGTCTGCGCAATTGGGCTGCACGAACCACAGCAGCGCAAACTTTCCCAACTGCATCGCGCGCACGCATATGATCAAGACCCCAAGTAGTGGCAAGGTTGACAGCATCGTAAGCCCCACGCACGGCCAGCGGCGAGTACGCCTCCGAAGACACAATGACTGCTCGCTTACCGCGGATTGCACGGATGATAGAGGCTGCGCCGGCAATGACATGTTTCCTGGCTTCTTGGTTATGCATTGCGGATGCTGCAGCGCCGGCCTCATCGTAGAGTAGGGTATCAGTGGTGGTATCAGATTTATCATCAGCCACCTGGGTCAGTTTAGGAGCGTTTGTAGAAGTGGGTGCTGCCGAAGGGTCTGCGCCGCCCGCGTAGCAGATTTCAAACACCACGCCACGTGCAATGGCAGCACCTATGGTCTTATGCTTGAGAAAACAGGGGAGCCTTGTTGTGAGATCGAGTGAAATGAGATTGATTGCATCGTAGGAGGTACATGAGAGTAGCAGAGCGCGTTCTGTTGTTGGTCGTACGGCCAGGATATCATAATCAAGAGCAAGAGTTGTAAGTTTTTGTGCTTGAGCCGATGATGCTGGGGTGTCGTTAAGCACGAGAGTTGCACGAGTTAGAATAGTAAGAGATGCTGGAGGAGGAATGGGCAATAGAGAAAGGTCGATTGGATTTTCAAAAGGATTAGATTGTTGTTGTTGTTGTTGTTGTTGTTGCTGTTGTTGCTGTTGTTTTTGTGCTCCCTTCTTTTTGGAGTTTGAAGTATTTGATTGTGTAGTTTTGGGATAGATGATATGGTTTAATGCAACAACTGTGTAGCCAAAGTCTGCCAGAACCAAAAGGGTTTTTGAAAGACTGGCAAGAGCCGCTGGTGTAGGATTTGCAGGCCAGGGCACGTTAAGATCGGCCAACATTGTTGATTTATGATGATTTGAAAATTTAGGTGAGAGGGAGGCGGGGACGGGCGGGAGGAGAATTCTATTCTAATATATATATATATTTTTTTTTCAACAGGCTGAAGACAAGAAAAAAAAAAAAATAGAGAAAAAACGTCAGAAAGAAAAAAAAAAAATTGTTCTTAGTAAATTTGAGAACAACTGTATATCTAAAACCATTCTTTATTATTAATCTTATGTCATTTATGAATAATCTTTACCAATCAGTTTCTGGGGTATTTATTTTATTTCATTTTATTTCATTTTATTTCATTTTATTTCATTTTATTTCATTTTATTTCATTTTTGTCACAAGACCTTCTTCTACTCTTCCTTTCCTCCCCACAAAAAAAAAAAAACAAACGAAAAACTTTCCATCATTATTATTTAATAATATTTATTACACTATCAGAAAATTTCCCGGACCAAAAGAAAAAAAAAAAAAAAGTTACCCAAAGTGAAAAAGCCGCCAGATAAATAAATAAATATTTATTTATAAATAAAAAAGTGGTTTGATTCTATATATATATATATATATTAAATATATATACAAGCAAAATAAAAAAAAAAAAAATTCTTTCTGGTTATCAATATGAAATGTTAAGATATTATTGTAATTTTACTTATCTATCAAAGATTCCTCACAAGATAATTCAACCATGTTTCCTCTTTCTTCTTCTTCTTCTTAAACTTGACTCTTCATCTTTTATTTAGTTATTTTTATTTATTTATTTTTTTTTATGAATCAAAATGCTCGCTATTAATCCTACAACAAATTGCACTTTTCTTCCATTACTGCCTTTTGAAGGCACTCCAGGTTCTCATAACTTTGAATCTTCCACCGCCACTGCCACTGCTGCCACTGCTGCCACTGCCGCCACTTCCACTACCACCACAGGAGGAGGAGGAGGAGGAGGAGGAGGAGGCCTTCAAGAAAATCCCGTGTTAGCCGATTTCGCTGCGGTGCTTATAGCAAACGCCGCGGTGTCTGTAATGACCCCGTCAGCAAATCCTATAATTGTTACTGCTGAACCTACCAATACCAAATTCAACACCGAGATAAAGGCAAAAGAAGAAATTCAAACAAAAATAACAACAGCATTAAACAATCCAAACATTGTAGCAGTGTCACGCGCTCAGTTTAAACACGTCTTGCAGATTCAAGATCTAGTGGCCAGGGCGTTACAAGCTACCTATTCTCCGGGCTTTTTCTTTGCATACTTGTACCAACCTGCGCACGTTTTAGTTGTTGCTCTAAGCAGTAATACCAGCAGTTCTACTTCACAACCAAATTCAGATCAAGCGCAGCTACCGCCTCAGGTCGTTGTAGGTGTGGCTGCAGGGTTTGTTGATGCTAAGACTCACGCGTGCCGGTCACCGTGGCTATCGACTGTGTCTGGGTATGTATCTGTACTGGCTGTATCGAGTGAGCATCGTGGAAAGGGGTTAGGATCACAGCTGTTGCAAGAGCTTGAAAGGCAACTTGTAATTGAAGCTGCGCAATGGCGGCCGCAGGGCGGGGTTTTCCAACGTGGCGATGCCATTTTATCAGCATTAGTATTGGACGTTGCAACGGAGAATGGGACTGCACAAAAGTTTTATGACGCACAAGGGTTTTACTGTTCGAGCAAAGTTAAGCCTGGGTACTACACTATGGGGAAAAGTGCAATTGAGATGACCAAGATGCTTATTGGTTAATAGAAGGGCAAATCTGTGAGCAAGAGGAGCATTTATTTATGAGCGGGTCCAGACATTTGGTCATGCCAATATTAATGACACATGTTGAACTTTTTTTTTTTTTTTTTTTTTATTTTTTGGAAAATAATTTGGTTATCCCCCACAAAACTATTATTATTTTATTATTATTATTATTATTATTATTACTATTATTATGATTATTGTATTTATTATATTTATTTTTTATTTTGATAATAATAAAAAGGATCTGCCAGCAGTCTTTTAACTTTATATTTAAATAATATCTAGAGATCTAGATATTTCAAAAAAAAAAAAAAAAAAAAAAAAATATTTTATTTTTATTTTTAATTTTTAATTTTTAATTTTTTTTTTTATGCATCTCATTCAATTCATTATCATTTTTTGGTAATTTTATTACTGGGCTTTTTTTCTTTCAAGACTTATTAATAAACCCTTTTTTTTTTTTTTTTTTTTTTTATAAAAAGAAAAAGAAAAAGAAAAAGAAAAAAAATTAAAACTAAAATCTCGGGATAAAATTACAAAAAATAAAAAAAAAAAAATAAAAAATACACTTACCTAAGAAAGTTCAAGTCTATTATTCATTCATTCATTTATTAATATTTTTTTTTTTTTTTTTCTTATTTTACCCTATTCAGTTACCATTCTATTATACCCATCAAGTCGGTGTATCGTCATAAGCTTGTTGAGCAGCTTGCAGTTTTTCATGCATCACATCAGAAAACCTTTGAGCCGACATTCCAGAATTAAATCTAGCAACATAATACCGGGCTATCAAAGGTTCACGGAAATGACTTTCTAGCATAACAAATCGAGACATGACAGAAAAAAAGGGTTGTGCTGGAAGCCACGTGCATGCAATGTCATGTGCAGAAACTCCAAAAGTTGTGCGGATTTCATTTGCCCAGTGTTGGGATTCTGGACTTAAAGAAGTTTGATGTGATGAAATATGATGATGATGGTGGTGATTACTGCCATGTGAACGATGGGTATGCCTCCGACTACTATTGCTGTTATCGCTATTATCGCTATTACCGCTATTACCGCTATTACTATTACTACTACTGTTACTGTTACTGCTACTGCTACTACTACTTCTCCTACTGCTGGAATGCTGGTGGTTATGTGATGTTTGTTGTTGAGTTAGATCATCATCATTGTAATCTTGAAGAATGCGTTTGAGCTGGTCAAAAATAAACATTGAACGAGTATAAAATCGGAGTCTTGCTTGAGTCGGATAAATAAATGAATTTCTTGGGACAATATTACCCATCAGGGCATTACGATGCCGCACAAAGTCCCGGGCAACATTTTCTAGAGTGTACCCCTTTGGAAGTGAGTTAGGGTCTGAAGGCATCCCTGGTATTAATGTATGTGGAGATTGTTGTGCAAGTTGAGATTCTTGAGAATAAGTCACTCTGTTGTAAAGATCTGCATTGGAACGAAGCATCAAGGTTGCAATGACTGGAATATCAGCTTCTTCAAAGCGTAAAGGTGAAAGTTCACTGATGAGAATGTTATTGAGGTATGTGGCCAAAGTTGTTGTTGCGGCAAGATCTACCGTGTATTGTTCGAGGGCTTTATCAATAGCCTGATATGATGGCGAAGAAGAAGTAAAGTTACTCATTAGAGAGAAATGCTTCTATAGGATTGGAAGAAATGTAAATAGATGATTGAAATGATTATTGGAAAAGGAATTTGTTTTTCTATTAAAAAAACAAATAAAAATAAAAAGATATAAATAAAACAAAACAAGGGCAGAAGTTAAGCTTTAAATAAAAAAAAAAAAAGAATTTTTTTAAAAAAAATAAAAAAAAAAAAAGGGGGAGGGGGGAAGGGAGGGAGGGTTTTGTGAGAGAGTTAAAGAAAGAAGAAAAAAAAAAAAAAGGAAAGGATAAAAGGGGAGAAATGCAGTCTTTTTTTTATTTTTTAATTTTTTTTTTTTTTAAGACAGAAAAAAATTTTTTATTTTATTTTTTAGTTTTAAAAGAAACAAAAAAAAAAAAAAAATGCCAAAAACGTTTGTATTTATAAAAAAAAAAATTATATATATATATATATATATATATATAAAAGTTTGCAGTTATGATAAATCTAATGTATTAAAAATTAAATTAATAATAATAATAATAATAATAATAAAAAATAAAAAATAATAAAAATGTTTATGTCCGACCTGTCGGGACCTAAATACTTTTTGGTTTCAAGATTATCTATTCTCTCCCCCCCAAAATAAATAAATAAATAAATAAATAAAAACATTCAATTATATATAAAGAGATCTTCTTCTTCTTCTTCTTCTTCTTAAAAAAAAAAAAAGCACGTTCTTTACCACAGTCACGGTCAAAAAAAAAAAAAAAAAAAAAAAAAAATTGGTAGCCGTTGCGGCCAGGGGACTCCGACACTCCTACAATAATAATAATAATAATATTAATACAAGTAAACCCTCCAAGATCTACAACTACCATATTTTTCAACGTTATTCCAGATCCATAAACCAGATATGGTTTTTTTTTTTTTATAAAATTATTAATTTTTTTTATTTTTTTCATAAGACCTACTAAGTTAATAATCAATTCATTTTTCCTTAATTACCAATTAATTTTTTGTTTCTTTCATTGCCACCGCCACTAGATTTATTTATTTTTTATTTTTTTTTTTTTTTTTTTTTTTTAGCATAGATCCCATGGCTGGATAGTAAATACAGTGGTGGTTGTCGTTGGGTTTTAATACTGGTGACCCCCGAGAGAGGCAAAAAAAAATAAAAAATAAATAAAAAATAAATAAAAAATAAATAAAAAATAAATAAAAAATAAATAAAAAATAAAAAAAATAAATAAATAAAAAATAAAATTGATGTTTTATTTTTTTTTAACACTCTGTCAACTTTTATTATATAAGAAGAAGAAGAAGATATGAAGAAGAATTATAATAATAATAATAATAATAATAATAATAATAATAATAATAATAATAATAATAATAATAATAATAATAATAATAATAATAATAATAATAATAATAATAATAATAATAATAATACTACATATGTTATGATTAAAATCATCATCTCTTGGCCCGGAAAAGTCTTTCCGTAACATGGACAAAAGTCCGGACTCCTATCCATTTAGTGAGCTTTTGTCACATTATTTTTATTTGTTTTTTTCCTTTTCTTGTTTCTCCGAGTTGTTTAATTTTTGTTATTATTATTATTATTATTCTTGTGGGCCTTTTTTTTTTTTGTTAGTTATAATTGTTGTAGTTAGTTGTTGTCTCACTGCACAAATCTATATCAAGACTTTTGCATTTGTATTTTTTTTTTTTTTTTAAAACTATTGTTTCAAGAAAGATATTATTCAATAATAAAGGTTTCATTTTTTTTTTTATATATATTTCTTATTATCCTATTTTTGTTCTATTCTTCATTAGAGACTTTTACTATTTTAGTATGATTTTTTTTTTATTTAATTTTTATTTAATTTTAAATTTTAAATTTAAATTTTAAATTTGATTTTTATATATATATATATATATATATATTTAATAATAATGTCCGGGTAAGTCAAATAGAATGCAAAATCAAAGTTAAGGTAGCGGAAGGTTGAACCGTTTAGGAAATATGCATTTAAATTTCCAAAGATGGTAATTTACAATACTATTATTAACAAATATATAATAAAGATACACTTTTGAATAAGAAAAAAAAAAAAAACAATAATGATTTTAATTGTCAAAAAATAAAAAAATCTTTAAATTTAAAGATTGTTTATAAACAAATTGTGCCGATTATAAAGAAATTTATTTCTATTTTCCAGAGAAAAAATCAATTCAACAAAAAAAAAAAAAAACAAAAAAAATTTTTTTTTTTTCAAAGCCTTCCTAACAACTACAATCCATTTAATAGTCTTTGCACCAAAACCTTAAATTGTAGTTTAATTCAACAATGGAGGATTTTAATGACTTGTTCTTTTTGAATTTTTTATTTTTTTTCTCTCTCTCTCTCTTTTTCTCTTTGAACTTGAAACATGTTTACCAAAAAAAAAAAAAAACACTTCTAATTTACTTGTTACATTCCATTCTCTTTATTCTTTTAAATTATTTTTTTTTTATTTCTTATTTCTTATTCTTCTTTCTTCTTTCTATATATATATATATATTTATTTTTTCCACTTTCTCCACAAAGACTCAATCTAATTTCGACGTAACCCCTCCTAAAAAAAAAAAAAAAAAAAGAAAGAGATTATTCCTTTTGGATCTTTTGCACATAACACATCACATTCACTTTCATGTCGCACTATTTCAAAAACAAAAGAATACATTGAAACCCTTTTTTTTTTCTTTCTTTCTTTCTTTTTTTTTTTTTTTTTATTCATCCTTGCTTCTCTTCTCTTCCCATCCCATCCCGGTGGGTCCTGCACAAGAGATAATTGAAACAAAGACTTGGTATATCTGCAATAACCTGCTATATAAATATGTATTCATGATTTTTGGAACACGCGCCTTGGGACCCGTTTTTTTTTTTTTTATAAAAAAAGAAAAAAAAAAACTTTTATATGTTGATCTGAATATCTCGCTTCATTCATTAAATTCGTACAAAAAAAAAAAAAAGTTCAAGGACCCCGAATCTATGGAAAATAGAGGGCTCAAACTTTATCCTTCTTAAGTTTTATTCATATCTATTACTTACAAGTAATACTGCTAAAAAAATTTATACTTGAATATATTATATACAATTATATTATTATATTTTTATTTTATTTTATTAAAATACCCAAAATCTTAGATTTAAGTTGAAATATATTTGGAATCGGATCATTTGAATCTTGCTGGTTTCTTTATTTTCTTTTTTTTTTTTTTTTTTTTTGCTCTCCTTTGTACCAAACTATGGGTAATCATCTATTTAATCTTACACAACCACTACAATAATAATGATAATAATTTATAATATAATAATAATAATAATAATAAAAATAAATGTATCCCTCGCTTCATAAAAAAAAAAAAATTTCTGTTTTACTTTGAAATTATCTAAATTCCGAGATTCTGGAAACTAATTTTGTTTAAAAGACGAAGCAAGCTTAAAAATAAAATAAAATAAAAAAAAAAAAAAAAACTACCATATATTAAAATCTTGATAGACATATTTGCATTTTCACTATAATCTGCTTGGCCATGCGTATTTCTCGAGAAATTAAGGCGGATAGATATACAAAATACGTTATAACGTAATTACTATTAATCGACTAGAATATCAAATGTTAAATTGGATAACTAGATTTTGGACCGAGGTTCTTTCTCATGAGTCAACGTGTACTTTATTTTATTTTATTTTATTTTTATTTTCATTTTTATTTGTTGCAATGATGATGAATGATGCACGTATTCACATCACATTTAAGTAAACAAAATCTGTGCAGGCTTTTCTTTCCTTCTTTAAACACATCATGATGTATTTAGAATCAACAACTATATATATATATATACATGGAGCAGGGAAACCTTATATAGATTGACATTTCACACATGTTTTGGATATATATCATGTCTCCGGATAATTATGGACTTTTGTCATACCACCAGGCACAACACATACACAACAGGACTTTTCAGCCATGTTGAACCCTACCTGCACATAATACAAAAAGGTATTGAGCATATATATATATATATATATATATATATATATATATTTATAAGATGCAATATGGTTTTTTGAATAGCAACAGCAGCAGAAACATCAAATATCAATCATTATTTGTGTATCGCAAAAAAAAAAAAAAAAAAAAAATATCTTTGAAACTTTGTTTTTTTTTTTTTTAAAGATCCTTTTGTTGCTTTTTCTCCTAAAGACTACTTTACATTTATTCTTGTAACTTTGCTTTTTTTTTTTTCATGTGGTGATGATCTATTTCAAGTAATTCAATTATTATTATTATTATTATTATTAAATTTATTTTTAAATTCCGAGAAAGCAAACTAATCTAAAGGCTTCTAAAAAAAATGAAATAAAAATAAAATAAAAAATAAATTAACTCAAATTTTTTTTTTTTTCATTCTTTTTCTTATTCTTTTAAACATCATCATGTTAAGCGACTCACAAATTACTCATTTTGGAGAAAAAGTAGTGAAAAATAGTGAAATTTTTTTTTTTTTAAGGGATCCACTCTCCGTATCTGATAGTACATATATATGCTAGCATAAATCATATAAACTATATTGTTTTTATTTTATTTTATTTTATTTTCATTTTTATTTTTTCTTTTAACGGGGGGCGTTTTTAAGCATTCAACTAAGCTATATATTTGGGACATAATGTGCTTTCTAAATTATATTCGGTTCCAGATACCTCAGATTAATTTCTAATAAATTTCAACCTTATGGTTTTTTTTTCTTTTTAAGGCGCACTTACTTGATGCCTTGGCTCTTTTTATGTTATTTTATTTTATTTTATTTTGAAATAGAGGTATTTTTTTTCATAAAATCTGCCGCTTTTTCCATCAAATGGTGAAGATAGTTAAATCAATAAAATAATATATATATCTGAAAATAACCAGATTAAGAATATTGAAAATCTCCTCTTTCATTTTCCTAAGTTTTTTTTTTTTTTTATGCTTATATAAAACTTTT